ATAGATAGAGAGAATTACCATGAAAAATGTATTTGCATGAATATAATATATTGTTAGTGATGGAAAGTACTGAGAATTAAGTAAAATGGTGTGCATTATGTAAAATAGTAGTTTTGATGAGCGTGTGTTTAATATAAATTTATATGTTAACTAATTTTTTTAAGGACAAGAGCTTTGGACCTAGTGTTTGAGTATAATATTTAAACAAATACGTTAATGGATATTAAATTATATAAAATAATTTCTATATGTAAAAAGAAATCAAGAATGAACCTTAGAATAAATAAGAAAGTTAATAATTGAAAATTCTTTGAACAAATAAATTGAATAAGTTTTAATAACATTAATAAATGTTAAATTTTAAAAATCTCTCAAAATATTACATAAATTTGTAATAAAGAGGACTTTGTTAAAAATTTATATCTAATCTTCTACTATACTTAGAAATGGTTAAAATATATAATAATTAGTATTAAAAAGTATATATTTTTGTATTATTTTTTTGATAACTTTAGTCTAATGTTGTTTTTTTTGATTTTAAACAAGAACATGATATGAAAAAGATTTATTTTTCATTTGAAATATTTCAATTATTATGAATATAAAGGATTATTAAAATAAATGATAACTTTTGCATTGTTTTTAATAGTGTGCTAAGCCGAATATGTGAAACAAATTCTTCGCGATCTATCTGACTTGAGTGAATTTACACCAATACCATAAACCTATTCTTGTTCAGTTTTAAATTATGACATGGTGATTTTAGATCAAAAAAATCCTTCACTATCACTCAACACATCAATTGAAAAACCACATTATTTTATACATCTTTATATTGACTATATGTTTTTAGGATAATGGTAAGGGGAATCAATTTAACTATTACTTAATAACAATATCATTGATGAATATACATACATATGGACTGATAAATCTAATTAAGGATTTATTTGTAATGGGTAATATATTAGATATACTTTTTTAGAACATCTCCCTAAAAATATATGACAAGGGAAATTGAGTTTTATCATATAGATTAGTATTTGGAATTGAAATTCAATATGTAAACTATTGATTTTGGTGCAATAAATCCTATGAAAATACCAGAATTTCCTCCTAAACTTGGAATTAGAAATATTTAAGTTAATGCATAAGAATGTCATCCATAATGTTCAAGTTGCAGTGGTCCAACAGAAAATGATTGTAGAGCATGTCCTTAGTTAGCTAAAAAAGGTAAAATATCAAATACATGTAAATGCCCTATTTCTATCCCATACATATATGCAGATAATTGTATAGCTTATTGTCCAAAGAATACATTTCTAAATTATTATAAAGTTTGTTTTGGAAGTTCTTTAATCAAAAATATAGAGACTTCTTTATTAAACTCTTTTGAACATGGTTAAAATAATAAATCATCCTTATGGTCAATTTCTATGACACGTACTACAAAGAATCAATTATAATTTAGGCATAAGGATAGTTATTTGATTGGTATGTTTGAAGAGAGATAAATATTAACAATAAATTAGAATAGTTTGGTTGGACATCATAGAATAAGAGTTAGGTTTAATTTATATTTATTTTACACTTGGGCTGTTAATGAATATATTATAACTATAATTGATAATGTGAGATAAAAGCCATTATTATATAGTAAGGATGGATTTATAAATTATGCAAATAAAGATTCATGTACAAATACTGAAATAAATGAATGTTAAATTTTCCTTGTTGATTATTATCTTAATCATACTAGTGATAATTTGAAAATATAAATATATAGTGATACCTATAAATAGAGTACTTCAAGATGGGCAATTTCTGATTTCATTGTAGATGTTTTAAGATGCACAGAAAATTGTGGAAATTGTTTGAATGATTAAGAATGTACTAAATGTGAAACTGGTTATTTTTTACTAAAGAATTAATGTGTAGCTACTTGTCCCTTATCTTATAGTTTTTTATAGGATACAAATTGTATAGAAATGGATGATGAAACTTAACGTATTATAATTATATTATTTTTTAGAATCTGAATATTTGTTGAAAGAATTAGTCTAAACTAAACTACATGGAACTGTACCTAATATAACTAGTTATTTTAATGGATATCGTCATTTAGGTGGTCTATAGGTTTCATCTACAAGATATTATCAGAAATTTTAATATTTGAAACCACATTATTAAATTAGAGCAGCCTTCAAGGTGGATCTATTAAATATTGCTTAGTCTTAAGGTGATGTCTATATTAATCTAGGAAATTATACATAAACAATTAGTACAGATCCTGTTAGATTATATTAAACAACAACTGTTAATTTTACATTTGCTCACTCTTCAAAATATTTGAAATTAAGTATCTTTTCATCATCAAGTTCTTCTAATTTTTTTAAATCAGGAATTTCAAATATGAGAATAGTTATTGATTATTGTTATCCTACTTGTACTGCTTGTACAGGACCAGGAATTGATGAATGTCTATAATGGTCATATGATCCAAATTATGATAGACAATCTTATTCTTGTTAATTATCTACATATTTCTTTAATGATTCATGTACACCTTGTGATTCATAATGTTATTCTTGTAATAAGTAAAATTATTGTACTTTATGTTCATCTGATTTTACATAATCTGGATAATCATGTTATTGTAGTAAAGGCTATTATTTGGATGAATATAATAATTGTTAGAAATGTTATGAAAAGTGTTCTGGATGTGTAGGACCATTGTAAGATGATTGTTTTGATTTATCATCTAAAGAAATAGTTTGTGATATTTCTAAAGGATATTAAATAGGATAAGAATGTAATGATGGAAATTATAATATAAGGGATGGATGTTCTAATTGTATTATGGATGAAGGTTGGTCATGTTTAAATGAAATAGGAAAATATTCAATTTGTATTAAATGTCCAGCAAATTGTATGGATTGTAAAAGGAATTAAAATTAATTATAATGTTTAAAATGTTAACCTGGCTATTTCTTTTATTAAAATGGATGTTTCTAATGTAAATCAGAATGTTTAGAATGCAATTATATAGATTAATGTACTAAGTGTAGTGTTCCTACAATAAGTCCATTAAATGGTAAATGTTAATTTTGTGAAACTGAAAGAGGATACTATGAAGTGAATGGAAAATGTTAAGCTAAATGTGGTGATTATAGATAAACATTAGAAGAATAATGTGATGATGGTAATTTAATTGATGGTGATGGATGTTCTTCAAAATGTTTTATTGAAACAGGATTTACATGTGCTAATGGTATATGTTAATTTATTTAATAATAAAATAAATTGGAATTAAAATATTCTAATAAAACTACTACTAATACACTTAAATTAGACTTTGGTGAATATCCTGCTAAATGTGATGAGAAATATATAAAAGTTTATCTAGAAAATTTTGATCCAAAAGATTTTAAAGTTTTTTTAAATTTAAAGGAAGAAGGTTCTATGAAATATTGTTAAATATCTTTTAAATTTTATAGAAATGTTAGAGATTATGATGTAATTCATGTGATATTTTATAAAAATAAATAAAGATTATTATCTGTAGATTTTGAAGAAATGATAATCTAAGCAAGAAGTGAAACATTTTATACTGATGAAGAATAAGAATAAGCATAATAAGTTTAATAATTATAGAGTAATTTTGTATCAGCCCTTTATTTTTTGGGTCCAGGAACAATTTTACTAGGTGGATTTAACTTTTTCTTTAGTATTTTAGATATTTTAGCTTGGTTAAATAATTTCTATTATTTCAATGTAATGTATCCAGCTAATGTTAATATTATATTTTTAAATCCTGCATGGGAATTAATGAATCCATTTGATTTTACTCCAATTGTCAGAATGGAAACTGATTAAGATTATATTGAAAGTCCATTTAGATTTGAACAAAAAGGAGTTGATCCTTATTTCATTAATAATATGATGATGTGTTTTGTTACATGGCTTTTATGTGCTAGTCTTTATCCAATATGTAAATGTGTTGTTTTCATAATTGAAAAGATATATTAAAGAAGTCCTAAATAAAAGGTAAGGACTGTTAAGATTAAATAAATGCCAATTTTTCATTTGGATTAAAACTTAGAATCTCAATAACCAGAAACAGAAATAAAATTAGAATAACCTAAATAATTTCCATCTGCGATTCAATATATTTATGATAATGCATATTAATACTAGATCAGTTTTAAAGCAATCATAATTAAATAGTTAAATTTAGTATATTTGGATTTATGTATGGCAAGTGTTTTACAATTATAATTTATGGATAAAAGTGATTAACCATTAATTTTCTCATAGATTTTCTTATCATTTATTGGATTATTTATTTGTATGTCAATACTTCTCATAGCTATAAAAGTGTCTAAATAATCTAGTGTATTATTGAATACAAAATCATATTAATTTGATTATAGTACTTTATATGAAGGAATTGATGTCAAATCTGATATATCTAAAATGTATTTTAGTATAAGTTTTGCAAGAAAGATGCTTTTTATTGTATTTTTAGTTGGATTGTATCATTATCCATTATTTTAAACATCATTTTGTTGTGCTGCAAGTTTTTTAAATTTGATGTTACTTATTTATAAGAATCCTTTTGAAAGTAAAGTGGATTACATTTAAAATGCAGTACCAGATGCTACTATATTTTTTGTATTAGTTCTTTGTGTCGTTTTAGCATTCGATGATAAAGAATAAAAGTATTCCTCGAAAACAAGAACCAATATTGGATGGGCAATGTTAAGCTTTATTAGTTTATCAGTATTAACATAATTAGGATTGATTTTAAGGCAATTTATTATAGACATCAAAGATAACTATTAATGGATCAAAAATAAATTGTGCCCATCTGATTGATTCTTATTTTCATTTCATTAATATGCAACAATATATTATTAATAATAATTATATTGACTATTTTAATATCAATTAATATATATATTTATTAGTATATTAATTTAAATTTGAAGTTCAATAAATATGAGCAGAAGTAAAATTATTTTGTAAATAAGAAAAGAGAGTTTCCTGGTTTTTTGAAAGTCAACCTGAACCTAAAGAAGAATAAAATGTGTCTTCATTACATAACAATACAGTTGAAGAACAAAAATAAGATTAAAAAATTCCTTCAGCATAAATCACTCAACCAATGTAGTCTATTCCTTAAGCTCCTTAAACCATACCAACAACCTAATTTGATTTGGAAAGTAATAGAACTAGAAAAGTCTCATTTATTCCATTTATAGGCAATAGAGTTGCTGAATCTACTCCGCCAAAATTAAGTACAATTTTTGAAGAATAACCAAGTTCAAAAAAATAGGAACCTCAATAAAATAAGGTTCCTGTTGCTTAATAAACTTAAATATAAATGTCTATATAGAAATAACCAACTATACAAACTTAAATTATTCAAACTCCATAATAATAACCATATCGAACACCCAAAGCAATTCAAATTGAAGAAAATAGTGGAAAGTAATCCTATAGAAAAAATGTGAAGCCTATTGAAATAGATATTGTCAAAGAACTCTAATAATTAAGTTCATTGGCTGAAATGAATGAGGCAACTTTAAAAAGAGTGATTACAAGAGAGGAATAAGAAATTTTAATTATTTAAGATTTATTGACTTAAAAGATTAGTAAACTTCAATAGAAGTTGATCTAATTAAATGAGATTGAATAAAAACAATTAGATTCAAAGATGAATAATAATAATAAACTCAATTAATTATAAGAAATAGAAAATATAAATGAAAATTAATTAGATGAACCAAAAAAGTAGGAATAAAAAGGATCTTCTTAACAAATAAGAGCTATTTTGATTTAATGTCTTGGATATAAAGTAAGTCATATCTATTATGATAAAAAATAATATTAAATAACATTTACCTATAAATAAGCCAATGTTTAATATACATTTTAGAATTAGAAATAAATAGATGGCAATCTAGAAATTTAAGAAATATTTAATGAATTCTATAGAGAATTATAAGAGAATAGATTGGTATTATCTGGTTTGAAGGTTGATTATAAGTAAAAGACAGAAATTAATAAAGGAGAAATATTATAATTATCATTGAAACATTAATTTTAGAATTCTAATAAAATGGCAAATGAAATAATATTTTCAGCTATTCATTAGATGCCTATATTGTTATCTAAAGTGGATGAATTAGAATTATAATTGCTTTCAAATAATAAAATTTGGGGGACTTTATGGAAATTAGATCCAGAAAGAGGATCAATTTAAATTTTATTTAGTCATAGATGTAGAATAGATGACAAAAATCTATAATCAAATTCAAAAAAGAAAATTCTAAGATTTGAAATAAATTTAAGAACTTTCGAAATTCAATATTAATTTTTCAAATATTTTGATGAAATAATATCTCCTTTCATTTAAAAGGATTCTAAGAGGAAAAAAAGTGTTTCTGAAATTTCATTTGGTGAAAGAGCAGAAGGATTAGTTAGTGATGAATTTACAGAGGCAATTTAAGATTATTTATCAAGAAAACCTAATTTATAAGAACTTGTAGAGTGGTTGAATATTATATAACTAAATTGATATTGTATATTTTTCATAAATAAAATTATTATTAATGCTAAACCCTTCAGAATAAACTGCAACATCAAATTTAAATGATAAATTGGAGGATCTTAAAAAAATAATGAAGTAATACTCCAAGTATACATCTGATTCATAAAATGAATTTGAGTAACATTTTAAGAAATTCGGACCATTAAATAAATAATACTATTAATAGATATCATCATCAGTTAATGATCCAATTAGTTTAGGTATTTTAAATTATTTAAATCAAGGATAAAATTTGATAGAATTCATATAGCTTTTTGAAATGACCTCAAAATCTACACTCTCATAATTTTCAGAATTTTAGTAATTCTTTTCTCAAAGTATTGAGTAATATAATGAGAAAATGAATATTTTCACAAAGATAATAACAGATGGTAATTTTTAATAATCATAATAACTTGCATAACATAGATAAAATTTTAAAAAAGCAAAAGATAAATATGATAAATTATGTAAAGAAATAGAAACTACTTTGAATTCAAGTAAAAAAAATTCAGGAGATGCCTTAACTGGATATGATCTCAATATATCCCAAAAAAATGATTAGAAATTAAAAGAATTAGTTAAATAAGTAGAGCCTGCAGAATAGTAATATAAGGAAACTTTTGATAGTTTAACAATCAAAACAAAAGAATTCAATTAAGCTATTGATGATTCTCGATAATAATTGATTCAAGCTCATTAATTAACTTATTAAAGATTTGTAGAAATCACAATGAAACTTGATTAACACAAATTATCAGCAAATTGTTGGATTAAAGGTTAGATGGATGAAAAATAAGAGAAAATCTTAACTATGCCAAAATATGAATAAGAAATGGAGGATCGAATAATAACATCTAAATATGAATAAGATAATTAATTTAGATATATTAATATTATGAATAAAATCATTGAGAAAAAACAATTAACAGATTCAGAATATATAATGTTTCCAGATATTTTACATAAACATATTGATGTTTAATTATCATTTATAAATGATAGACTCAAAAATTAAAAGGCTCTACCAAATTATCTAATAGAAATATCCAATCAAATGGATTCAGTTTCAAAAAACTTATAAAAATCAATAAAAACAACATTATAATTTATTTAAGTAATTAATTTAATCATTCATATAGGATAAATCAGATAAAGATAAATCAAATTTCATCAAACCAATTCTATAAGTTTAAGAATTATTAGTTAAGTAAAATGAATAATATTCCAAAAAGTTTAATTAATAATCTTAATTTATTTAACTCAAAGCATAATGTTTAGATTAATTTATAAAAGAACAAAAAATTTAAGAAAAAAGTTTTTTAAATATGTATCAAAAAATGTTAAAAGATTTTTAAGGTCTCAAATAATAAATGTAAGAAAATGAATAAAAACCAGCAATAAAAGATAATCTACTTTAATAATTAAAGAAATCTATTTAAGATAATTGTACTGCTATTAAATATTCAATTGATTCAATTAGAGCAAATGAATTTCAAAGATCAAATCAAATTATTTAAACTTTAGAATAAATATTAAGTCATTATAGTTCATTCATTGATGAAATTATAACTTATACAAAATAATAAGAAGAAATTTTATGTTAAATTTAACAAAAAATAGTATAAGTTGATTATGGAACAATCATTAATATTAAACTTGATTAAATTGATTTGAAATTTTAAAGGATCTTTGAAATGACTGATGAAATTAAATCTAAAATAGAAACAGCTACATTACTCTAACAATAGGAAGAAAGTGAAAGTGATGATATTAATTTAGAGGAAGGCTCTGTTAAAGTTTCTTAAAAACTAATTGAAAAATTTAGAATTTTAGATGGAGATAGGTGTATAGCCAGTTATGCATGTGCATTCGAAAATAAAATTTTATTGTAAGGAAGAATGTATATTTTTTCATCTAAAGTTTGTTTCCACTCATATTTTAATGGAAAAGTATTTAATTTAATTTAATAAGACTCTCTTTGGAACTACTGCTTTAGGCATTCCATCAATTGATATATAAAGTATAAGAAGAACTAAAGCATATATGGTAGATGCAGCTCTTGAGTTTAAAACATAAAAAGGAATCTTAGTCTTTGCAAGTTTAGCAAATAGAGACAGAACATTAGGAAGCTTGAAATAAGTAAAAGGATTAGAATAAGGAATTATAGAAGAAAAAATTGAAAATGATCCAGAAAGAAATATATAATAAATTTATGTAGATACATAACTATTAGCAAAACCTTAAGAAAAATAATAAGGAATTAGAAGTCCTTCTCCAAAACCTTAAGCTAATTTAATAGAAACTATAAATTTAAAAAATTTAGAATAATCAAATGATAAATTATAATAAATTGATAAAAGCCCTAAAAATTAGAATATCTAATAATAATCTATAGTATAATAATAATAATAGATTCCATAAATAACAATTAATGAACCAACTTAATAGATATAAGAGAAAAAGTCTACTTTTGAATCTACCTCTTAATAACAATAAAATTAAACTACCAATTAATAAATAACAACTGATAAATAATAATAATAATCTACTATCATCAATACTGAATCTTAAAATAAATCTAATCCTGCTTTACCCAAAGTATCACAAATTGAGGTTGAAAATACTAATAGTCTATATAATGAAATAATGATTTAAAATAAGTAAAATAGATTCATGAATTAACCTAACATATTAAAATTCAAAACTTAATTAAAGGTCACAGTAAAAGAATTTATAGATTTCTTTTTATTAGATAATCCTTATGAAAATTGTCTTTCATTTCCTCATTATTATTAAGTTGTCATATGTTAGGATAAGGATATTGAATTTAAAAAATATTAACCTTAACCTTAAATTGGATAGATTTCAAAAAGACCTATCAATTTTATACATCCAGTTAAAGAAAAATAAATGTTTGCACCAGATGTAGTTCATTGTTTTGCAGAAGATATTTTATATTATTTTAATTAAGATGAAATTTTGATAGAAAAAGAAGTTAAATTTGCTAAAATACCTTATGCAGACAGTTTTTGTTGCAGAGTGTTTTGGCATATACATTAAATAGATGGTGGATGCCAAGTAAATTATGGATTTTATATTCATTTTCTTAAGTCAACTGTTTTTAAAGGTAAAATTGAAAGTGGTAGTAAAAAAGAAAACACAGATGTTTGGGAAAAATGTTTGAAATAAGTATATGAAGAAGGGCAAAATAAAATTATATCAAAAAGAATATAGAGTGATTGTAGATAATAACCAAAATCTGAACTTGAAATTCCATAATAGATAGAATCTTAAGTAGAAAAGGAAATTTTATAAAGGGAAAAATAATAGACTTAAGAGATAAATCTAGAGGAATTATAGCAAGAATCATAAATGTTACTAGAAAATAAGTAATAAAATTAATAATTGTTAATAAAAGAAGTAATTGTAGATAATAAATAATCATAATCTGGTTAATAAGACTTAAATTTAAAATTAGATAAATTAATTCAATTATCTTATGCAATTATTGGTCTTTTAATTATCAATATTTTGTTTGCAATTGGAAAATGATTTTATGAATAACAAATATATATTAATAATTTAATATAATTGTAAAATTTCAAGATTCCTTATAAACTTAGCTTAGAAAACGAATAATATATAAGTCAAAAAATAAAGATTATTTTATGATTATATAATTGAGGATGCATGATTAAAAACTTAAGTATTTCATTTTTAACTAATTTAGACGATAACATATTTCGAATTAAAATTAAAATATTAAACGAAAATTGCAAATACGATAATATGAATTTAATATATATATGATAATTTATTAGTATTAGTTTATATGAAAATAGTATTAAAATTTTAGCTGATCATAAATTAAACTACTTTTGAAATAGACTCTATAAATTCTAAGTTTTATATTCATTTATAACTTTTTAATTAATTGCTTATTTTTTACAATTTTCTTTCTTAACAGTAGTGAAACCATAAAATTGGTTTATGTAAGATCTTATTTCTTGTATCAATATTGGAATTAATTATTTTCCATTATAAAAAGTATCAAATATACATTAATATTATCTAAATTAAAAATTTATGTTTAAGTTTTTAATACAATTTTTGAAATTAAATATTCTCAAAAAGAAAGAGATCAATATTTAAGAATCTGCTATTAGCTAATTAAATTGGGTTTCCTATTAATTTAGATGTTTGAAACGATATTTCTGTTTGCAAAAAGAATTTGATGAAGTTTGAAAACATTTTTTATTGAATCATAAAATGAAAATTTAATGTTCCGAATTTATAATCGATTAGAAATAACCCTGAAAAACCATAATTACAAGGTAGGATATAATGTAATATAACATTTTTTAGCAAGCAAATCACCATTAAATGGTTGAGAGAAGACCAATCCGAAAAATATTTGTATATAAATTCAGAAAATGTAGTTATGTTGTCACAGATAACTAAATTAAGAGTTTAAAAGAGAGAATATAGTAGATTTTAATAAAACTAACAGGAAAATACTTAGAATAAGAAATCAAGAGGTTGAAAAGATGTATGCTGAGATCTGTATTTTGTAATACATATATATAATGATTTTTAACTTCTTTCATGTTTATTTGAAACATTAAAACTTTGGTACTATGAAGAAGAATCTTATATCATATATACCAGATTATTTGGATTATAACCTCATCTAAATATTCTGGAATCTCAATAATTATCATAATATTTGCACCTAACGATGAGACAAAAAAATATTCAAAAAGTTCCAACTTGTATGAGCACTTAAATCATTAGAGCAAAGTGGAATAAGAAGGAAGATAATTTGCTAAAAAAAGGCATAAGAATATGTGGAATGAATTGGATGGAAATAGCATAATACGTACCAAATAGAAATCCTAACTAATGTGCCCAAAGATGGAAAAGACTTCAAGGAAAGAGAGTAATAAAGTTGAATTATATATTAGAGTAGAAAAAATTAACTATGGCAGCCTGAAGAAGATGAATAGCTTATATATCTTGTTTAAAAAATAGGAAAAAAATGGTCTAAAATTGCTGAAATGTTTCAGAATAGAACTGGCAAATAATGTAGAGGTCGATACACTAATACACTTGATCCTGATTTAAAATTATAAGACTTTACTTAAGAAGAAGATTAATTAATATACGAAAAGTACTTAGAGATTGGTCCAAAGTGGTCTTAAATATAAAAATTACTTTAAGGTAGATCGGTAATATAAAATATTTACACTAGGATAGTTAAATAAAGAATAGGTTTTATAGTCGCATCAGAACTTAGTACCTTTAGATATAAAACCCATATTATTCAAAATTAACTCCATTTTAGTCGAGAAAGATTTTGGAAAAAGCTAGAGAAGACCATTTAAAAAACATGGAGTCTTCAAAAAAAGCAGAAATTATATTTGATTAAAATGATTTTCATAGAAATGAACTAAATTACTCAGGTAATTTAAATTTCTAGGATAACTCAAATTATCAATACGAATATTATTCTGATATGAATTAAGATGGCTTAAGTATGGATTTTTAATACATCGAATGAATAATATTAAAATATATTAATAAATATTCAACCAAAAATTTCTAAAGGTTATGATAAATCATAACAATAAATGATTTTTGCTTACATTATAATTTATTAATCTATGAATAATCTGGAAAGAAGATGGTTAAATATATTATAGACCAATTTCATTAGATAGATAGGGAAAATCATTTACTGAAATACAAATATTAATTTTTACATTTTAATATTTATTATCTCAAAGAAATATATGAAAATATATAATAAGACATAACAAATTTTTTTTTAATTTCATTAAGGACATAAGATTTTTTTAAGTAGTTATGTATATTTAACTTTTATAAACTTATAAATCAAAATATAACACATTAAATTTGTTTTTCTTTTGTTTTGGACATAATTATTGGCAAATTATTAGAAAGAAATTTTATTAATTTAGTTATTTTATGGAAAATATTAATATTATTATTTCATCTTTATCAGGTGAAAAATTAAAACGATATGTACCTGTGTAAACAAAAATCATTGACATTAAGGAATTTATTGCTTAAAAGAAAGGAGTGCCAATTTAAGCAATTTCATTAAAATTTAATGCTAAGGACTTAGATGATTAAAAAACTATTTAAGAGTGTAATATAAAAAATGGAAATAGCATAATATTGATGATAAAGAAGATTTTAAATTAAAACTTTGGGAATGTTCAAGATGTTTAGACATAATTAATTTAAAAAAATGAAGAATAATATAAAGAATTATTAGATATTGGATACTCTGAAAATGATATTATTGATGCTTTGAAAAAGACTAATAATAATTATTAAGAAGCATTAATTTTATTATCAAATAACATAATCAAAAATATTGAAGAAGAAATTTAATTTAAAATTCCTACCTAAAAAGAATAATATTAGGCTTTGCTTTCAGAATAAATTGTTAGTGAATTAAGATAAAGAGTATCTAATCAAAATGAGTGGAATAATACCATAGAAACTATTAAATAATAAAATGTGTAATTATCAGTTCTTATATAACAAAATTAAGATCAATTTAGACATTTATAATAATAGCATGTTATAGAAAATATAATTAACATTGACGAAGAAGATTTAAAAATGTTAACATAATTGAGAGGTTTTAAAGGAAATTTAGATGATAAATCTATACTCAAAATATACTTAAAAAATGATAGAGATCTTTTTTCAACAATGTAAGAAATAGAAAATTTGTAAGAGTGATAAGCAATAATATCAATTATTATTCACTAATCTACCATTCTCAAATATACACTCTCTTTTGATACCATCCTCTATAATATAACCTTTACCATGTTGTTTTCCTTGATTCCATCCTCCAATATATACTTTTCCATTTTCCCATGTGAATTATCCTTATCCATGCTTTTTATCATTTTCATATTCTCCTACATAATGTTTGCCATCAGGCCAAAACATTTCTCCTTTCCCTATAAACTATTTAATAAATATAGATTTACCATTCATTTGATTATCCTTCCATTAACCTTTATAATATTTTCCTTCTTACCAATAAAATTCTCCATTTCCACAAGCCTAATTATTAACAAATTCTCCATCATATCTACTACCATCTTCAAAAACTATTTTCCCTCTTCCATGTTTTTTTCCTTTTACATATTAACCCTATTCATCTAATAATACTTAATTAAAAAACTTCATATTTAATTTATTAAGGCCATTCTTCTATTCCATCACCATGTTAAAGATCATCTTTCCATTATCCAGTATAGGTACTTTAATTACTTTATTTGAAAATTCCGAAACCATTAGCTAAATCATTAGCCCACTCCCCTTCATAAACATCTCCATTAGGATGGATAATTTAACCTTTTCCATGCATTTAATCATTTTAAAACTAACCTGTATAAACTGTATTATCACTCCAAGTCTATAGTTTAAATTTTCTGATACATATATTCCTTATCCATGTCTCATTCCATTTAACCACTCTCCTTCATAATACCCTTAATTCTTCATTTAAATTTTATGAAACTTTGTAATGACAGATGCATTTTTGACTAACTCTTCATCTTCTTGATTCAAAGGAACAGAATCTTAAATAAATTTATTTATACTAACCAGTATTTCTAACTATTGTTTATTTAGATGGGACCTTTTGAGCCGGTTTTAATTAAATTTCTGATTCACCTTAAGAATTTTGATGGCAATTTTAACATGCTGATCCCATCTTTATCTTATTATTATTATTATTGAATTATTCATAATAAGGTTTTTCAATAATTATTTTTGTTCCTTAAAAAATTATTCTTGATTTAAATTTATGAATTATTATAAATCAATCATTAATCTTTTTCTTAACTTTTATATTCCTTCACTTTTTTAGCTAAAGCTTCCGACAATAAAGATAGCACACTAATTTCATAATCAATTTGAGTGACTTTTTTATTTTAAGTCTATTTTTTCAATTCTTCATTCTATTTTTTTAATTATTGATTATGTTCTTAAAATTATTTAATTTTATCTGTTAACAATGAAATTTATTAAGACTATTAAAGTTATGATTCAAATTTGCTTTTCTAATTCTTACTTTCTTCTTCCATTTGCATTTCATTGATTTTAGCTTGTAATTCTTTTATTTTTTCTTCTAATTTATGATTTTCTTTAATATAATATTCTCTTTCAAAATTTTCATTTTTCATATTAACAGATAATTTCATTTCTTAAGATAATTATTAATTATTGCTACTAGTTATTTTAGGCATTTCCTCTTCAACTTAATGTAAAGTCTCTAGTAAATCTTAAAGTTCTCTTATTTTTTATCCATATTCAGTTTCCATAATTTTAATTTATTCTTATGATCTTTCAAATCTTGCTTACTTTTATTATAATTCTAATTCTAAATTTAATTTGGATTCTTTCAATTCAGATTATTATAATAATAACTCTTTAATATTTTATTTTAATGTAGTTATTTCTTTTTCATATCTTTCTTTTCCTTTTTAATAAACATCTTTGTCTAATTCTCTTCTTTCTTGTAGCTAATTAATATTTTCTAATCACTTACGCTTTCAATTTTTTATTCTAATTTTTCATTCTCTTATAATTTAAATTTGTGTTACTAATATTCTTCCTTTAGCTATATAAATTAGGTTTCTTTTCTTTTTAAATCTTCTATTATTAATTCATATTAAGCTAATTTATGTTCTTGTTCCAAACACTTTTAATGAATTTTTTCACTTTCCTTATACTCATGTTAAAAGTCCATCTTCTCTTCCAAACCTTAAAATAAATATAAATAACTTACATTTTTCTAAATGACATTTAGATTCTGTTAATGCTCTGATTTCCATATCTTTATTTTCTATTTAGACTAATGCATCATCTAAAGCACTTTTTAATGATTTTTTTTTCTCTTCAGATTCATTTAATTATTTTTTAAGTTCTATATTATATGATTCAATTTCATCCATTTTTTACACTAAATTTTAAATATAGTTTTCTTCTTGCCATTCATTAGTTTGATTTTCTTCTGACTTTATATTTATATTAAATATATTATACTTCATCTAGATGATTTTTAAGAAAATGCATTAAAGTTTCTTAATCCTTCTCCTCTAACATTAAAATTGGCTCAATAAATTTTCCTCTTTAATTTGAAGAAAGGATAACTTTCATAATCAATTCAAACAATGCCAAAATTTATTGCTTATTTTAATTCACAGTGATTTCAAAAACATCAATCTCAATATAATCAGGTGGTTTGCATTGAATATTTGTTCTATACTATTAAACTTTTTATAGCATATCAATTAAATGTCCTTAAACCTTCTAAACATCAGTATCAATCTTTAAGTTTTTTGCACTTGCCAAAGAAAAGAATGTAGGATCAACTAAATTCAACAATTAACTAAATGTGCATCCTTTTATATAATTGTAGCCTTACCATCAGCCAAACTTTCAAAAGACTAAATTTTCAATTACTAATATTTGTTAAGCCATTATACAATAGCATTCTCTAAACTCATGTTTTAATTAATGACTTAATATTAATTTTAGATAAAATAAGGAAATTGAGAATATTTATGATAAATAAGATAATTAATTCTAAAAATCACAAAGAAAAGGATAACTTTTAAATTAACAAAAACATATTTTAAACAAATTAACTTTTAATTGACCTATTTAAAATAAATAATGGAATATCATCCAGATGTAATATAGATAGTAATTTTTAGAACTAAATAAAAATGATTTATAGAAATTCACATTGTGATTTTTAATAAACTTAAATAAAATGTTTACTATTTATTTCAAATTTAATAATTCTATAAGTTTTATTAACTCTAAATTCTATAATAGAATAATAAAAACAAATTATATTAATTGTAAATAATAAATTATAAGTTGAATAACTTAGATTGAAATTACAATTTACTTTGTTAGATATTTTTCTATAGATAAATAAAAAAGATTCTCAGATTATTTTTTTTTAATTTGTATAATCAAATAAAAATTTTTGATAATTATTTTTAATGGAATAAATCGCTTGCCAAGTTAAGTACCCACCAACAGCTGGAACAGAAAGAGGAAGACCTTCAAGAATTGATTCTAGTTCGAAATATTTAGTTTATTGCATTTCAAATAGTGTTATTGTAAGAAATTTAGAAGATCTATCTAAATATTCTGTATTTGATTAACATAAATTTGATACAACAGCAGTTGCTATTTCACCTAGTGGAAATTTATGTTGTTCAGGAGATGCAAAGGGATCCATAATGGTTTGGGAATTAAACATTTAGGTAACTTGATGAATGTAGTTTAGCCTCATCCAGTATTTAGATAATATGACGATGTTTTAGGAGGTGCTATAAAAGATATCTGTTGGACAGGAGATGGTGAAAGATTAGCAATAGTAGGAGAAGGCAAAACTTATTTTGGCAGAACTATACTTCTAGACACTGGTAGTAGTGTTGGAGAAATTAGTGGAGTATCTTAAACATTAAATTCTTGTGCAATGAGACCTTAAAGACCATTTAGATTAGCTTTAGGAGGAGATGAAACTTCAATATGTTGGTTTGAAGGACCTCCATTTAAATTTAAGAAGTCAATGAAATAACATAATAATAGCATCTTTTCAATTAAATATAATAAAAGTGGTGATCATTTTGTTTCAGTTGGAGCTGATAAGAAGATCTATGTATATGAAGGAAAGACAGGAGAAGTTGTTAAAGAAATTACAACAGATAATCCTCATACTAGAAGTATTACAGGAGTAAGTTGGATTAATGATACAACATTTGTAACTTCATCTAATGATACTACATTAAAAGTATGGAATTTTGATGGATTATTAAAAACATTGAAAATTACAAATTCATAAGAAATTGATGATATGCAAGTAGGAGTAACTGTAAATGAAAATGTTGCATATTCTCTATCATTAACTGGTGCTTTGAATGTTTGGAAAGATGTTCTAAATGTAGAAGAGGGACCTACTCAAAGATTATTTGGACATAATGCTCTTGTTGGTTAGATGGTTGTTTATGGAAATAAACTTATAACAGGTGATAATAATGGAAGATTATGTAATAATTATTTAATTAATATTTATAGTAATTTGGGATAATCTGAATTCAATAAGGCCAACAGGAATACATCATACTAAATAAGTGATTTCACTATCATTTTCATAAAATTTATTATACTCATTAGGAGGAGAATAAATTAAATTGACTAATTTAGATACTAATACAATTGAGAAAACTATTGATTGTAAAGGTTTGACTTTAAAATTATAAGCAAATTAATCTAATCCTAACATTTGCTATTTGCTTATGGAAAATGGAGTTATATTAGAATTTACTAATTTACAATTAACTAGAGAATATTAATTAGGTTATGAAGTTAGTAGTTTTTTATTAGCTGAATCAGTATTTTTAGTAGGTGATCTTAAAGGAAAAATTCATGCCATCAACATTGAAAGTGGTGCTGAAGAATAAACTTTTTAATTATAATAAACTAAAATAACAGCTATGGCCTTATAAGGTGATAGATTCTTATGTGGTGATACAACTGGTAAAATGAAACTTATAGATTACAAATAAAATTAAGTATTATTTGGGGATAGATGGACTCATCACACTACTATCATTTCATCTTTATGTTTTACATCTTCAGGTAAATTTGCAGTATCTACTGGTTATGATAATAAAATAATGGTTTGGAATTTATAAGATGGTTAAAGAGTACTTGAAAGAATAGGTAAACTTAAAATTAAATTTAAATTTAGATGCTCATAAAAGAGGAGTCTTAACAGCTATTATTACTTAAGATAATAAAGTCATCAGTAGCGGAGGGGATAATTCTTTTAAAGAATGGATGCTAAATTTAGAATGAGTAATATTATAAAAATAATAAATATTCTGATGTATTCCTCTATAAAATATACGTATAAATATCATAAATTTGATATTCATAAAGAATAATATATGTTAAAGAAAGATAAACTATTTAAATATCATTAATTCAAATTTACAATGATCCTTGAAGATTTTTCTTTTCCTTACTACAATTTCTTCTTTTTATTATTGGATTATTATTTATCATAAATTTTGATTCATTACTCAAACAGTCTGATTGTATTAATCTTTCTATCTAATCTAAATGATTTCTTTGATTTTATTTTGGTTTTTATATAGAACATCCCATTTGAACAATATTTATCTTGAAAATTATTAAAAAATAATTAAAATAATAACTATGGGATTCAACTTTAAATCCCCAAGATTTTTTCATCAAAATAAAACAAAAAACTTTATCTATAAATATTACATCTCTTTTACTTATTAATTGTAACTAATCTTAGTTTTTATATCAAAATTTCCTATTAACAGTAATTTACTTAATTATTTATTGATAAGAATGTTAACTAAATCAAATCAATTTACTATGTTAAAATTTATTTAAATAACTATAAATGAAAAAAAACAAAGTAAATTTAAGACTTATTATGAAAAATGAATGATTTTAATTATATTTTATACAAATACTTATGTTAAGAAGAATAAAAATATTATAATCTAAATTATATAATTAATAGTTTTACTTTATAATAGATTTTTACTAAGAAATATGATTATTATTTATTATAACAAATGCTTATATAAATATCATTACTTAATTAATATTGAAATTAATCTAAATATATTAATTATATTTTATTTAGATTATAATCTTAAAATATTGATTTTGGAAATGTGATTATATTATCTTTCCATTATTTAAAATAGAATTATATAAATTTAATTAATGAGTATGCCATTATCAAAATTTCCATCAATTGAAATCATTAAGGTAGCAGGATCAGGTACTTTTGGTAAGCATTTAAATATATATATATAAAGGATATGTCTTTGAGGCCTATGATCATAATACAAAATAGAAAGTAGCTCTTAAAAGAATTGAGAAGGTTGGAAATCTTTTAAGTAGAGAATATGAGATACTATTTGAAGTTAAAGAATGTGATCATATTGTTAAAATACTTGTATAATATTTTAATAATAGTAGGATTTTTTTTATTCCAGAACTGATGCGGGGAAATTAATTCAAAATATTGTGTTTGAATATATGGAGGATAATCTTGAAAACAGGATATAAACATATATTAAATAAGGTAAATTCTTCTCTGAATTGACTATAAAGTCATACATTTATCAAATTTTAAAAGGATTATAGTTTATTCATAAAAAAGGAATAGCTCATAGAGATTTAAAACCGTAAAAATGATTGATAATTTTTATTAGAGAAAACATTCTTATAAATGACAAAGAAGTAGTTAAATTGTGTGATTTTGGAAGTTCTAAAATGATAAATACACATGGTTAAAATACTCCATACATAGTATCTAGATATTATCGTGCTCCTGAATTAATATTATGTGTAACAAAATATGATGTGTCAATTGATATTTGGGCTTTGGGTTGCATTATGGGGGAATTAGTAGTAAAGGAAGCTCTTTTTAAAGGAAAAAGTGAAGGGGATTAATTATTTGCAATTTTCAAAGTTATGGGAAGTTTTAATTAAAGTGAAATGGATTATTTTGCAAATAAAGTGCCTTTTGATCATAAAATATTTTTCAAAGAATTATAGAAGTATAAAAAATAGAATTTGAAAGAAAAATTTAGTTAAGTGAAGGATTTGGACAACTTTTTAGATTTACTTAAGTAAAATTGTTTAATTTATTAAGTTAAATGTTGTAATATAATCCAGAAAAAAGAATTAGTGCAAGTGATGCTTTGAAGCATCCGTTTTTTAAAGATGTTGCAGATTAATGATTATATATGAAGAATAAATTATTTACTATATATATATTTAATATGAATCACTTATCTTAAGCTTCTCTACTTGCAACAATTTTTTCCTCTCCCATTGCAGAAAGAACTGATATTAACAAATCCCTAAGAAATTTATGGAACTTAATTACTTGCCAGCTTCAAATTATTCTCTGATTTCTTTAACCAAATTGAAATCATCTTCAGTTTCTGGTAATTTAAGATCTTCTTTAGTTGATCCATCTTCATTCATAAGAATGACAAATCCATCTGCTTGAATATCCATTAAAGTATATTCCTTTTTAGTAACAAAAGGGACATCAATATTGTGAGAAGTTGGGGCTGAATCTTCATAAGTTTTGTTTGTGAAAATATCCTTTCCAACAATAGAAGCCTAAATTTATTCAATTAATTATTATACTTTAGCATGACCATGTTTTCCTGCTTTTGATGTTGAAACATCAGTAATCTTGCATGGATGTCCCTTAAGCATAACATAGCCTCCTTTTTTTAATGAACCAGCACTTTCAGTGTATGTGTGGGATGATCCTGCATTTCCTTACTCGAATTGATTTTCGTCGTCAGACATTTAATTATATTTAAATTTTATTTTAAATTTTGGGATTTGTGAAATATTATAAATCACATCTCATCAGAAAATAAATTCTTTAAAATATATTAATAAAAAGTTATTTCTGCAAAATTTTAACTATAAATAATGTCATTATGCTTGACGTAAAAACATTCTAGTCATCATCAATTCTTACCAACATTCAAATTCTAGATTTTCTATTATTTACATTTTAGTATGATTTCTTTTTTCCTTATAGCAAATATATGGATATTTCCAATCACAATTATTAGTCAATTAATTATTTAATTAGGTTCTAAGTTAGCAAATATCTTTACTTATATTCAGTTATTGCTATTTAATCTTATTGAATATAATTAGAACTCTTATGATTAATTAGATCTATCCACTAAGTATTTTTATTATGTTAAAATAAAGATCTATATGAAGTTTATTAAGATTATTAATGTAATATAGATTATTATTACTTTATTAACTCAGATTACTATTCTGTATATCTTATAGTAAAATCAGCTGGAGTATGTAATGATGTACTAGGAGTCTTTTTAATATATTATTTTATTTATTATTTAGGAGATTTATTAGTTAGACCTATTAAGACATTCTTCCAAGATACATTTTGTGGAATAATCATTAAAGTACTCTCACAAGATGATTTCATTTTTAGATTGTTTATTAGATTTTTGACATCTTTTTTTTATTTTGGACAATAAAATTGTTTTTGCTTAGTATCATATCTATCATATATCTAATTTATTGTTTATTTATTGAATGAAGAGGTTCTCTTCTTTTCAACTCCTTTATTCATTAAGTTAACAATATTATTTTTAATATAATTCAGGTTTTACAATTAATTTAAGAAATAGATCAAGATTTGTAATCTTTTTATAGATTCAAAATTATTAGTAGATACATTAATTTATCATATTACATTCCAAGCATTCCTACCCTACTTATTTAAAATGTGAGAAGAGGCTCCAGAAAACATGAGTAAGTCAGCTATATTAAAATGAGAATATGCTATAGCCAAATGCAAGGGGGTATTTCCATCATCCTTTTTTAGTAAAACAATACATTTTATATGTTAATATCTGCTCCTCTCTTGATTAGTTCTTTTACAATCTCCTTATTTCCACTTTATGTAGCTAAAGTTAAGAATGTTTCATTTTTTTAGAATCTATAATCAATATACATTTCTGGCAATTATTTAAAGTTTTCCAAAAACTATTTTCTTAAAGATATTATTTACTTCTTAAAAATTATTATCCTCTATAGCAAATTTTACTTGATATTTTTGATCATATTTCTATCTTCTTGTTTATTCTTCTGCATGGCTTCTCATTCTCAATGAATGTTATTGCATACTTGAAATCTAAAGAGATAATTTATAAAAATATAAATATATACTTTTTATTCAAAGATTTTATTGATTAAATTTTCTGATTTTGTTTAATGATGTTTGACTTTTTTTTCATTTTCTACTTCATGAGTTTATTAATTCTTTGTTTAATGCTTTTAATTATCAGCTTCTAATATCTTTTATGAACTAATCTCTAATTTACTATTTGAAGATTTTATAGATGATGTTTCACTTAAATCTGCATTTGATTTACTTTTTTGGATTATTTTTGTTCCTGAAACATTGACTGATTATTAAGATTGGTTAGTTGGTTTTGTTAAAAATTATGTAGTAGATTATGTTATAATATTATTTTAAGTTTATTAATTAGTTAATTAATTAGAATATTACATTGTTAATCTTGAGTTGGTTTAATCTGGTGAGTTGCTAGTTTATTTTGTCCTTAAATTTGGTTAAATATTTATAGTTTATGTTTAGTTTTTTTTTAATTATTTTTTATTAAGTAAATTTTTTTTAATACTAACAATTTATCTAATCTATTATTCTCCTTTTACGCTTTATTAATTTGTAACTTATTATTATTATTATTATTATTATTATTGTTATTATTATTATTATTATTATTATTATTATTATTATTATTATTATTATTATTATTATTATGACTTTTAACTTTTTTATTATTTTTCTATTTCTTTTAATTTTGGTATTTCAGGTAGATTTTATAAAGTATCTATTAAATCTTAATGTTCTATATCAATAACTTTTTCCTTATCTTAATATCTTCCAATTAATATTTATTCATGTCTAATTTCTAATTATTCTATTATTCTCTTTTTTAAAATTAATTTATCATAATATTTTTCAAGTTATTTATAAGCCAAACTATCATTATCAGAATTAATTGAATCTAATATCTAATTTATAGGTATGGCTTGTTAAGGAAATGTTAATAATTCGTTTTTTGTATTTTAATCTAATGTATTTATAATGTAAACAAGATCAAGTGGTTATAAAAAATGATTTTTAGCTTTCTTAATAAGAGTCAATTAACCAGTTGATAGAGCTGATATAAATTAAAACATAAATGATTACTTTTGAAATTTTTGAAATCATCCTCAATAAATATTGTCTCATCTTTTTCTTAATCCAAATTGTTTAGTGATTTTATTATATTAACCATTTTACTTTCGTGCTCTTCTTTTTATAATCCTAGCCTAAATTTATTTAAAATTAAACTTTAAATAGGTTCTTCTAAAAGTAAATCCAAAGACTAACTTTATTCTGAATCACTTGAAGAAAATGTTACACTTTAATCAAAATTAAAGTTTAAACATAATTTTGGTTGATAAAGTATAAATTTAGGTATATCTAAATTTTATTCTAATGTAGGACCAATCTATTCTAATCCTGGTACTTCAGTGGCTTAAAAATTTCTAAATATCTTAAGAAAATACATATTTGTTAGCTTAATTAATTGATGTTAAGATGTAAAATAATCTTCAATTTCTTGTAGATTCATCCCAACAAAAGTAGTTTTTCTTGGCAATTTATGTAATCTACCTTAATAATAAAGTCTGACATATAAATTAGACTTAAATAAATTAATATATTTTATTTACTTTTGAGAATTCTTAATTAAAATCTAGATTATTGTTTTCTTCTAAATAAGGAACAATAGAAACATTTGATGATTCTTCTTTAATAATTTATTAAGAAACAGAATGTCTTAAATTAATGTGTTTTTAAGATTAATGCATAGATCCAGAATGTTATAAGATTCTTCTTCCAGGAGAATTAGCTTATTTAGGGGGAGATTATGCTAATTAAACTTCTTCAATAATTTAATCTATTTAAATAACAAATTTTGGTCTGTTAAAAATTTGAATTTCATTTTCTAATTTATCGTTAGTTATTGTAATTGTAAATTAATCTTTATTTAGATTGATAACTTAAGCAATATGTTCATTACTACCTTATTAACTAAATTAGCTTTTTTTATATTTAGATAATAATGAAAATTTTTAGGGTTGCTCAATTTCTTTGCTATTTTCAGTTGTAGTTAAAATCATTTTAATTTTTCTTTAAAATGCCTTATTTGTAGTATTTAATTTAGCTATTTATGAACTGACAATATTATTCATTTTATGAGGATGCTTGATATTTAATTATGTAACAAATAGTTTTCTTTTATGGGTTACTTATTTCTATTGAAATTACTTTGCTTTATATAATATAAAATTTCCAGCTTCAAAAGCATCACTTATTTTTTAACGTTCTTCTTCATGCTTGAGTGTAAATTCAGGGGAGATTATCACATTAAAGAGTGACTTTGGCTTAAATAATTGTAATAATTTTACTTGTTTATTGATAAAAAGTGTAGAAACTTATGATTAAACAGCATTCTTAAATTTGAGTCTAACAGAAAGTTTCTTCATCTTCTTTTAACCTTGAGGAATATCATCTTCTTCTTAAGAATCATCATCTTTATCTGAATCATATTCTTAACCTTTTTATGAATGCTACTCTAATGGTTCTGTAATTTATATTATTGGAATTTGAAGTAATGGAGGAATATCTGGCAATCTGGCACTATGTTAAGATTCAGTTTAAATTGAAGGCAAAGTACTTTTTCGAGATTCAATTTTTCTTAATTCCTTTGCCTTTTTTTAAATGATCAAAAAAGGATGCTAATCTGATTCTGTATATAATATCATTTTCTCTTATTTGAATCTTTTTTATTGATGTTAATTCTTTAAGTCTGATGATAAACTTTTAATATGATGAACTTATGGCTGTTATTTAGAAATATGTTGAGTCTATGTTTTTACTTGAACAGAATTTAAATTTATTGGTTTACTTACATTTTAAGGAGTTGTAATTGGTTTTGCTAAACTGTTTTATTTGTATAAATTGGATGTCTGGGTCCTTGTTGATGATAAATATTCTGATGCCATACTGGGTGTTGAAGTATGAGGTCCAAAATAATTCCCAAATGCTCTATAGAATTTCTATGTAAATCAAATGAATACTAAACCTTAGTCATATAGGCTTGGTCAATATAATTTTAATTCATTTTTTATAATTAACTAGAAATAGAAATATTCATAGAGAAATTTGCAATTAATTAATATTGTTGATTACAATTTAAGTAGTTATCAGAGTAATCAATAAATTATTACTAGCAATAAGATTGAATAAGTAAATATTTATATTATTTTTATTTTCAATTTAAGTATTCAATCTCATTTATTATTGATAAATACACATAAATTTATTTTTTTAATATTGTTACTGTGTATTTCTCAATTTAAATAATTATTATCATATTTTTATATATCAATTATTCATATGAGTTAAGATTATTGTTTTTGAAAATAAGATAATAATGAAAATAAAAATTGAAAACAGAGTCTTACTTATTTCTGATTGAAGATGATTTATAATTTATTTCTCTTAAATCCATCCTACATTTATCTCAGAAATATTACTAGACTAAATTTTATTCATGCAAATATTTATGTGGGTAATTTTAAGTTGTTAATTCCATAATCAAATAGGAATCATCACTTAATGCCATTTAATTTTCTCACCAAGCAGGACGGATAGGTGACTCTTCAAGCACATAATTCATCATTGTTATTCCTGGATTACCCATCATTCTAGCTATTTCCATTTCATGATTAAGCAGCATAACATCCATAGGTGCAGTTTCAATAAATGGCTTTGTTAATTGAACAAACAATGAGTATTCTTGTAGTTCCGATGTATAATCATTAGACAAAAATGATAATTCCTCGTTCTACTCTAGTCTTAATAAAGGCCACTCATACCAATTTTACTCTTGCCTCTTAATGATGTTTAAGCTTATGTGTTGAGTATTGTTAAAATTAGAATCAAGATGACCATCTTCATGGTAATTTAATTAATAACTAATATAAATCCGTTTTTTTCTAGATAAATTATTTCTCCATATCAAAATGTCTAACTACTTTAGATTGTTATATATTTCTATATAGATACGCTTTGGAATTATTTAAAATGAAAAATATGTTAAAATTTTCAATATAATATCAATAATTTTATTATTATGAAAGATTACAGATTAAAACATTAATTTAAACACTCTATTAAATGTTAAATATGATTGCTATTATAAGATTATTTAATTTTAACTAAATACATAAGCTAAACTAATATTTTTAAGATTCTAGATAATTTTGACTATATTATTTGTTAAATACTTAGATATATTCTATTTAATAATTAAGATCCCTCATTTTTAATTTAATGATTGATCTTAATTTATTATAATATTTAGATTATAATTATATTAATATTTTAGATGAGTAATGGTTAATTTTGTAAAAGTGTTGGCCAATTTCAAATAGATCTGACTTCATCTTTAGGGAAAGGTACATTTGGAGAAGTGTACTTAGGAAGGGATACTAAAACATTTGAGATACTTGCAGTTAAAGTTATTAATTTAAAAGGGAATGAGAAACAAGTAGATTAAATCACAAAATTGTGTCAGAATGAATGTTAAATCATGTAGCGTTTAAAACATCCAAATTTAGTTAAGTTTTATTAACTATAAAGAACTTAAAATAATATATATTTCATGATGGAATATTGTGAGGGAGGAACCTTGAATTCCTATATTGATAAGAAATGTCAAAAAAATTAACTGAAATATTTGGCAGAATCAGAGGCCAGAATTATTTTAAGTTAAATAGTTAATGGATATTAAGAAATGTATAATTAAAATATAGTTCATCGTGATTTAAAACCAAGCAATATTCTCATGAATAAAGGAGTGGCAAAGATTTCAGATTTTGGGTTTAGTAAAATCCTAAGTGATTTTGAAAACTAAGTACTTATGACCTTTGCTGGGACACCATTATATATGTCTCCTTAAATTTTGACTTCTCAAATATCAAGACAATATTCTACAAAAACAGATATATGGTCCTTAGGAATTATATTTTATGAAGTCCTCTATGGATAGACTCCTTGGAAAGCAAGTTCAATATAAGAACTCATGATTAAAATACAAACAGTTCCTATAAAATTTCCAGCAATTCCTCGTGTTTCAGATTAAATGAAATAAATAATATCAAAAATGTTAAAAGTAGATGAAAAGGATAGAATGAGTTGGGAAGAATTATTTTAATTATAAATCTAGCATGATCAAGAATCATTATTAAACTTAGACAAAAGTGTTATAATGATTAATTAGGAAAAAGATACATTTAAAAAAAAGAATCTAGAAAAAAATTTAAACAGAGGTGTTGTTTAGAATATACAACATGGCAGATAACAATAAGAATAGATAGAAAAAGCTTATCCAAAATTAGATAATAACTCAAATAAAAGTAAATCAACAGAATAATCAGAATCTTAAAATTAATCTTCGGTTAGTCCCAAAAGAAAAGAGAAAATATTATCATAAAAAGAAAGTTCTTCTTCTCCAATTAAAACCTTAACAAATTTTAATTAAAATTAGAATTAGAATGTTTTAGGAAGAGAATAATAATAATAGATATTAAATAATTCTATAATAAAGAAGATTTCAGATTGGATTACACATAAAAAAAATAAATCAGAATTTCTAAATACATTGTCTCAATAATTATTTGAGTAATGGTCTGCATGTATATAAATTCCTATTTATTCATAGAAAAATTTTAATAGCATTAAAGTGTTTATTTAGGAATTTGTTTTTTGTTGACAAAATACTAGGTACTAATTTTATATAAGACTATGACAAGATTATAAAAAAAGACTTTATCTAAGTATTTGATATGTTTATAATTTTTAGTACAACTAAAAGATTTACAGAAAAGGAATGGGCAATTTTTTGTTAAAGCAAAGAATATTTTGAATCATTAAAATTGATAAAGACAGATTATGATTTAATAAAAGAATTTCTTATAGAATTAGTTAAAAGAACATAATAATCTCTTTGTGATACAGAGATAGAAGAAATTAAATTAATTAAAACTATTGCAAATATGGAGTAGGTAGAAAAAAATAAATTTGATTTCATTTTCTAAAATGGCTTATAGTATTATCGTAAAATTGTCTTGGAATAATTACATAAAGAATAGAATGATAGAAGTTATTTGGAATTTGCTGTTCGCTTAAAGGATTGTTGTAGAATACATGAAATTTTTAAATTCTAAGTGGTAGATTTCTTCAAATATGAAGATGATATCACTAATTCTTCTAACTAATAATTATTAGAGTATTTGTTGAAATGAGAATTTCCCATATTAAAAGTCTAAACCTATAAAAATTATTGTTTATTATAATATGATTTTATTTTATTTACTTTCACTAGTTAGATGTGGAGAAATCTCACCTTATCTTAGAAAACCCATTGAACCTTCAGTTAATAATCAACTGGAAATATCAGACTATGTCTTCACATATACAACAGCTACTGATATGTTCAAAGGTGATTAATTACTAATCAAATTTCCTACTTAATACACTAATTTACCATTAACCGAAACAGATTATAAAATTACTCTTTAGAAATGGAACCCAGATCTATTAATATGGTAAACAATGACAGGTGTTAGTTGCAAATATCTTCCTACTAATTCTTAAACACCTTCCCTTTTTAAAATAACCCTACCTGATGTTAAAGCAGGTAATTATAAACTAACTATACCATCAATATCAAATCCTTTATATGGAGGAACAGGGAACTTTAAGATGGAAACCCGAAGAAATGATGTCTATAAAAAAGATATTAACTTAATTGATTTTAATTATGCATTTGGAAAAGTTGGAATTGCAAAAGCAGCAATAGATTTAAGTGGAGTTAGTACTACATATTCAGCTTCAGGTGTAAATTTTATAAATTAAGTCACATTTTCATTTTAAACTAATATATTAATACCAAAAGAAGGAAGATTAACTTTAGATTTATCTCAATCTATTTTTTCAATATAAGATGATAAATATTCAAGCACAACTACTCTAAAAGGTAATATTACAAGAGAGGGAATGATGTTTTCAATAAATGGGTTTGAAGATGATTAAGCAGCTGCATCATATGAGATTTCAATTTCAGGAATAATAAATCCAAAATATTCTGGTATTCCAGGATAATACACATTAAGAACATGGACAAACAATACAAATACAATATTGAATCAAAAGAAGGCAGTTAATTTTCCATCAATTACTCCAGGAACATTAACAGATGTGAAAGTATCCTCTCATCCTACATTGACTGGATAAACTGAAGTTATTTCAATAAACGATGTTACTATATATTAAATTACATTTTCTTTAATTAATGCTGTAGAATCAACAGGTTAGATAATAATAAATTGGTTAAGTGGAGGTTTATTTGAACCATGTTATGTAACAAATGGATTATATGATTAAAGTGAGAATGTATAAGTGAGTTGTATACAAAATGTTAATCAATTTATTATTTAGAACTTTAAAAGAGTTTAGCCAAAAACTTCAATTGTAGTTTAATTTAAAGCAACAAATCCAGGGAGCACTCCTTTGTCAAATTTAGAAATAAAAACATATTAAGATTTAGCATAAATATAATTAGTAGATACATATGCAAGTGTTATTACAAGTTTGTCTTTATAATCCTTTCCATTATTTAGTACATTTGATATTACTTTTCCTACAGCTGATCATTAAAGGGCAGCTTAAACAGCTACTTGGGTTGTAAATTGGAAAAATTCAATAGTTCCAGCTACATCATATAAATTAAAACTAATATTTAGTACTGATTTCTCCTTTGTTGGTTTATCTTGTACAGCTGTAAATGATGCAGCTGTAACTGATACGGGTACATGTTCTAATAGTGGATCCATATTGACATTCACATTTGGAAATACTGCATTTTCATCAACAAATAATAACTAACTTACTATTGTAGGTGTGAAGCATCCTACAACACCAGGTGAATATGTAGTTGCTGTTAATTTATTAACAAACCTCAATGTTATTGTTTCAAGGTAAACTATTTATTTCTAAGTTCTTCCATACAAATTAACATCAATTTAATCCTTTAGATTATCATAAGATTAATCTACAAAAACCTTAATTTATTTTAAGTTTCCAGCTTTAAATGATATTCCAAGTTCTGAATGGTAATAGGATTTTAATATAATGACATCTGAAATTTGGGTTGAATTCTAAACTGTAGATTCATTTCATCCAGCTCCTGCAAATTTTTAATTTTTAACTGATTTAGGAACAGGTTTAACAGATTAAGCAGAATTCCCATGTTATGGTTATTCTAAATTATAACCATTAAATGGAAATTCTGAAATAAAATGTAATTTAAATAAACCAAGCAGTACACCTGATCCTGCAAGAGTTAAAGTTCATCATTATAGAGCAGTTTTAAAAAATGAGTAATTTGAGTTACATTTACCAAATATTTAGAATCCTTAATGTGAATCATATTTAGTTACTGTTGATGATTTATGTAGATCAACTGCATCTGTAACAATTAAGATTCTTTTAAAAAAGAATAGAAGATAATATATAATGTATTAAAATGATCCAAATGATGTTAATTTGATATTTCCTGCTGTTCTACCTAAGATAGTTGTTAAGAACAAATACAATGATAATTTAGTTGGTGGATTACCTTCATAAGCTTCACCAAAGTTTGTGCCCACAATAATCAATCAAGAATCTAGTATTTAGATCAGATATGAACCTGGATCTACTAAGCCCTTAAAATCATCAGTGGATACTTCATAAGGTTTAATATTTATATTTCCATAATTACCTACTACAAATCCATAAGCTTATATAGTAAACAAGAATGTTTAATGTAGTTTAGGATTACTTACATAATTGAATTGTTATGCATATAGAGAAGTTGGATGGGTAGTTGTTATTCCAACTACATTAATAGATATTCCTGGAGCAAGTGCTTTAGATGTTACTTTTTATTTGAAAAATTTCATAAATCCATATTATGCAGCTGATCCAATTGGATGTATTCAGATTATGACAATTAAAAATAATTAATAATGGGAACATATGATATTCTAAGATTTACCAAATTTTAGTCCTGGATCTGCAAAATCTGTTTAAGTAACATCTAGAAGATATGAAGCTAATATGATTGATGTAGAATATAATTGGTTATTTTCATTTAATAATGATATACCTGCTGGTGGCAAAATCTATTTGATTTATGCAGTAAACTTTTATGATCATGGAGGCAGTAATAGATTTATAAATTTTGAAGTTAAATAAGGATTAGAACCAGTTAATGATAAATTTGGCAAAGCCAATAATACAAACATTTTTATTATTTAAGATTTCAAACCATACACTAAAGGAACTGTTATTAGTATAAAAATGACAGGAGTTAAAAATCCACCAAAAGCTGGATTAACAAATTTATTTGGTGTATCCTCATTAACTTCAGATAATTATTATATTGATTCAACAACTGATGTTACAGGTATGACAATTATTCAATAAGTACCTATTGGAGAAATTATATTCAATTATTTTAAAATGTATCCAGATAATGGATCACCTCCAGATTCTATATTTCCAGCAACTTATGAAATCAGTTTCTATCCTACTCGTAATATTCCAAAATATGGTAATATTACAATTACTTTTCCTTAAGATTTTGAAGCTTCTTCATTATGGACTACTTTACCTACTGATCCAAAAGAGATAAGCTCTGCTTCATTTTTAGATATTATAACTGATGACTCTCAAATAAGATGTTATGTTAGTGGATCATTAAAAACAATGAGTAATTGTATAATTGAATCCTTGAATGTGATAATCACACTAGATAGTGAATTAAGAATTGAAGCAGGTATGGAACCAGTAATAGTTAAAATATTAAATGTTAGAAATTTCAATGAAGACAAAAACTCTGGAGTTGTAGTTATCAAAACTATTTATGATGCTGTTGTATTAGATGATAGTGGTACAACTGAGACAAATAGAAAAGCAACAAGTGGTTTGAAAGCAACCTTTATGAACAATACTCAATATTCTCTTCTATATTATCCTACTACTGAAGGTGTATAAGCAACCTATGAATTAACTCTAAAACCTTCATTGGATATAAAAGAAACAGCAACTATTGTAGTAGAATTCCCAGCTATGTTCCCTTATGGTTTGGGTGGTAGTATAGGATGTGATATTCCATTATTAAGTAAAGCAACTAATGATCCTATTTAATGCAGTGTTTCTGCATGGTAAATTACACTATCTAATTTAAAGGCCTATGTTCCAAACACTGATGGTTTTGTAGTAATTATTACAGGTGTTCGAAACCCTAATTAAATAATTACATCATCAACAAAATAGCTCAGGTAAGGGATTAGAGTATATATTATGTCTAATGCAACACATGCCTAAGAATTTGTTCCAAATATGGGTGCACTCTTATTTACTCCTGCTGCTTCTATTCTACAATTACAATAATTATACATTACATCATCTAATACTAGAGATTATGCTGATTACACTCTTTAATTATAACCAGAAATTAATGGATCTCCAACTAAATTTAAATTAGATTTCTAAAAGGGATATTAAATTGCTTCACTTTGGAGTGAAAAGAAATTAACATTAGATGGAAATCAATTTGATGTTGAACCTTCTGGAAATAGTTTTAGTTTTGATACTACATTTACAGCTGATACTACCAAAACATTCTAAATTGTTGTTCAATAATTACCAAATCCATTAGATGAAGGTATATGTCCAGGATATCCTGATCTATCACTTTATGATGGCACTACTAAATAAATTATTATGTAAACTTATTCTAATTTAATGCAACCTTCTACACCTGACTTTAAACATGCAGGTAAATTAATTATAATAGATGATGATGATCCCAATCATTATATTGAAGCTGGAACATATACTAATAATATTACATTATCTTTGTATCCAGTAGAATCTGCATCTTAAACAATGGAAATATCTCCATTATTTGATGAGGCTTTCAAAGATATTTTAACTATTACTCCAATGTTAATAGATGCTGGTTAAAAGACTGGTTAATTTAGAATTGGTATTGATACATCAATTGCTGTTTTAAGAGTAGTCATAAAATTTACACATGAAATTAGTGATTATATTCCAGTTAGACCAATTTATTTATGGATTTAAAGATACAAAAGTATAATTAATTATAAACTTAGATATTTCAATAAGTGTAAGTGATATATTTGAAGTACCAGCTGGAGGTAGAAGTGATGTATAAACAGTCGAAATGTCTTATGGATCATATAAACCTATTATATTCTCATTTTATCTTCTAAATAATCAACCAAAATATTCAGCTGTTTATCCAAAAACAATTACTCTTACTGATGGACAAAGAACTGGTTAATTTTGGGTATCATGTGGAATACATACAGAAGGTGCAGTTGGATAATTATTAACAATAATATCTGGAGATGACAAACCAACATTTTAGGTTGTTAATAGAGTTAGAAATTTTAGTGTGATTAATCCTGATTTAAATATTCCTTTTATTGTTATTAAATAGATTATGCTTGCTGCAGATTCCTTAGTCTAAGTTCGTATAGTCACAAATGAACCATGCACAATCTATTTTGCAATAGTACCTACTTTTATTAGAGAAGTAACCTTACAATAAATTAAAAATAAAATGTTACCTTATGATTACTTTAATTATCCTTTTATTTTTGGTGAATATATTTATGATTCTCCAACCTATGAATATTAAATTCTTGTTGATTAATTACAAATATCAACATCTTATTAATTTATTGGCTTTGTTGAAGATTATTCTGGAAATCTAGCAGAGGCTCCTGCAATATTATAATTTAATACAACAAACTATACAGATCCTCATTCTGATACACTTTCATTGACATCAAATCCATTAATTTTTGCAGATACTAACACTTCTTTAACAATATCAGGTCTTTAAGGAAAAATTCATGCAATAGCACTTAGAAATCCATCCTATATTTATGAAAATCATTTTACAGCAGACTCTTCAGTTTTAAGAAGCAGAAGAATATTATAAGATGCTACAGATCCAACAACAACAGATCCTACAACAACAGATCCTACTACAACAGATCCTACTACAACAGATCCAACAACAACAGATCCAACAACAACAGATCCTACTACAACTGATCCAACTACAACTGATCCAACTAATACAAATACTGATGATGATGATAATACTAATACTAATTCTACTGATACTATAGATGTTATAAAATCAGATCCTTATGTTCCTGAAACTAGTGATTATACTTGTAAAGTTTTGAGTATTAATTATCTCTCTTAAATTTGTGAACCCGTAGCTGATCGAAAAGCCAATTTCACTAGAATAGATTATTATGCATAATGTTTGATATTTAAATATTTTTAGAAATTATAATAAGTCCAACTGGGAAATAAATTTCAAGAGGAGAAAATCATGAAGGAATACTTGTAGAACATTATATGACTTCATCAGTACATAATATTTTTAATTTATTTAGGATGGCACTATTAAATTTACTAATCTTGTTCCAGACAGTGATTATTTTATCTTCATAGTACAAGAATCGAATTCATTATATTCATCTAAACCACTTATGATAAAAGGAACTACAAGAACTTTATTTGAACTTTACATCTTGAAACTGTTAGTGCCAATAATAATATATATTTTAATTTGATCACATAGAATAATAATTTATATTTTAGATTTCTGTTTCTTATGAACATTATATATTTAAATAGATTCATTTAAATTTAATAACTCATTTTTTATTGAATTATAATCATATATATATAAAACTCTGTCATTATTTTATATATTTTATCATCATATTATAAGATAAATATATAAACTCAACTTTATTTCATTAGAAATGTATGTATATATTTATAAAATACTATTCTATTGAAATCATAAATTTTACACTAAAAGAATTAGAATATTTATTAAATTATCAATAATAATCATCATTACAATTATTATATATAAAAAATGGTAATTCTACATATAGAATACTCCTAATTAAATGATTTTCAACTTAAGTATTACGATAAAAATATAAAAGAATTTCTCAAAGTTTAATTATAACCTAGATTGATTTATTAAATGAAAAGTATTTGATTCAGAATATACAAATTCTGAAATTAGAAATGATAATTTAAAATAGAAAGATTGATTAATGATGGTTAATAATGATTTTTATAATAATTTTACTATTTCTAAAGCTTTAATTCTTAAAAATTGAACTCTTCTATTATGATATTATTTACTGTAATTTTCAAGATAAATTATAAAATTATGATTAAATATTCAATTAAACTTTCTTAAAGAGAGCAATTAAGATTATCAAAAATAGATTTGAATAAAACTTAAAATAAAATAAATATTATTTTATAATTACTTGCAACCAATTAGATTTCATTAAAGATTTTGTGTGATTATAAAAACTATTTACTAGGTCATACCAATAATATGTAATAATATTAAATTTTTTAATATGAATTGTGTAGTCTTTTCTTATTTAATTAGTTAATCCAATTTGAATATTTTGTTTCTAACATAATTTTTATATTTTATTAATTTTGATGGATAAAGAACAAGCATTGCCAACTCTGTAATAATAGGAGAAAGAACTTGAAAAGAAGCGTACAAAACAAGGCTTGGATTAACATTTCAAATTATTTAATGATCTCTTGAAATTAAAATATGCCTCATACACAAAGACAGCATTAATGCTAATTATAGCATTTATCCATCACTTTCTCAGTTAAATAAGATAGTACTTAAATAACTATATTCAGATATAAGAGCTTAATAAATATTCATTATTAAACTGAATCAACTATCCTTGATTAAATGATTGACTTTTGTACTTATTTTGACATCCAAGGCTTGTTAAGATAAGATATTACAATTAATTACATAATGCTCTCAGTTTTTTTATTAGCGACAATAGGAAATACAATTCTCTATTTCATTCTTTATATATTATAAGGAGATGATTTTAGAGTTCGTAAGAGATTTTTAGGGAAGGTAAATTGATGAGTTTGTATGTAGAAATTTGTATAATTATGTGAATGGTATGTGTGGTTATTACATTATCCAGCAATGATTGTGTTTTTTGAAAATATAGTTTGTGGACCTACAATAGATTGTACAAAAACATCAGTAAGAGATATAATAATATCTTTATCTGTGATAGGGTAATTTATATGAATTAAGTTTTAGAGTATTTTTTGGAACAATAAATAATTGTTTTTTAAGTGTTTTTTTTCATAATAACAGTAATTAGAAGAAAGATTGTTTAAATACTGAGAATTCACTTTATCTTGTAGCCTTTTAAATATTTCGAACGATTCATGCATTTCTATTAACTTTCAAGTTTCATATATAAATTATATTCATAGTTCAACAGAATATGCATTTGTATGGGTGATGCTTATAGTAATTTTTTTTGCTTTTAGTTATTTTTTGATGAATTGTTTATTCTTTAGTGGTTATATGGCATTTGCTACAACATCAGTTAGAAATACATTTTAAATTTTATTAATAATAATGGTTTCAACTAGTTTTTCTATGATAGTAGATGAATTGTATAGATATAATACTGTGTAACACTAATTTGAGAATTTTAGTATATTTTTTACTGTTTCTTTTATTTTTCTTTGTTGTTGTTTTACTTATAATTTAAAGAATTCAAATTATAAGGATATCAACTTTGAAAATGCAGGAGATCAATAAATAAATAAATAAATGTTCATAATGAATACTCTTTTAGAAGTATCAAATTAAGATATAAATGTTGATTTATTTTTTAAAGGAATTCTATAAAGACATATGGAAGTAGATTGTAGACACACAATTATATAAGGTGAGGGTAGATGTTTTTGTAAAAAGAAAAAGATTTTTGATTCTAAGAAAAAGAAAGAAGTAAGTTTAGATGATTGGTTAATACATAAAAATATATTTGTTAAATTCTTAATGAAATCATGGATTGAAATAAAATTAAATTAAAATCCTAATTCAGTTGAATTATTAATACTTTATGCTAGATTTATGTTTTATAAGTTTTAAAATCATTAAGTATCATTACACATATTGACAGAATTAGAAAAACGTTTTCTATTCATTATAAATAGATATAAAGCATATCAACTTAAAACTTAGATTATGAAATATGTTAAACATAGAAATTAATAGAGTTATAGAGAGAAATTAGAAACTTAAAATGCACTATATATTGAAGATATGATTGAAACAATAAAAAAGAATATTAATAATATAATGATATAAAATTGTGTATTTTGGAAATGTTTATAGAAAGAAGTTATTGATTTAGAAGAATTGAATGAATTACTTAAAAATTAATTTGATAAGATAGAATAAACTAATTAATTATGGGTTTAAATATAAAATTATCTTGATTTTAAAAAGAAATGGAAATTCTATTATGCTTGGTTTACTTTATATATTGAAAATAAGAAACTAAAAAATAAAATATTAGATAATTTTTAAGGATTATCTGTTAATGAAAATGATATATTCTCTGAAGAACTTTAAGAAAATAATTTGGAAGAAGACATAGCTAGTATTAAATCTGATTAAGAATAAAAAGTAGATATGGATAAAATAGATATAAAGAGTAAACGTATAGTATTTGATAAAAAAGCATGTATTATATAAACTAGTGATGATCCAGATGCTATAATTATAAAAGTAAATAAATAATTTACTAAAATTTTTGGATACACAAGAGAAGAAGTTTCTATGAAATTCCCTATTGCATAATTAATGCCAGATATATATTCAAAAGTGCATCCATCATTATTAAATGATTATAGATTAACAGGAAAAGGACATTCTCTCTATTCTTAAAGAAAAGTATATTGTATTCATAAAACTGGATATATGTTTACAGCATAAAAATTTTTAAAATTATATGTTGATTTGAATGGGTATTCTTAATTTGTTGTTATGTTAAGACCTACAGATATAAATAATGAAAAAAAACATGATGTAATAATTTTAAATTCAGATTGGGAAATTAATGGAATGACTCCAAATGTTATATAATCATTATAAATTGATTAAGATTTATTTTAAAAATAAAAAGTATAAACACTTGTAAATATGCTTTTATTTGCTCCTAAATTGATATAATTTAGTAGAGCATGTTCATTAATAAATGAAGAAACTGATTTAGAATTATTTGGTATGTAAAAAAATAAGAAAAAACGTGAATAAACAATAAAAACAAATAAATCAAATATAAATTAAGATAAAATAAAAATTTAAGTAAATATGGCACTTTCAGGATCAAGTAATTAAGGTTTCCCAAAAAGTAATAATGCAATTTCTTCAGATGATTAATTATCAAATTATCATTAAATGTAATCATTAGAAGTGCCTGAAGATAAATAATTCTTTTAATATGCTAGTAGTGTTAGTGATAAAAATGAAGCATAAGATTTTAAACATTAAATTGATTAATATTCTGAAATGTAAAAAGATATAAATGAATAATTGAATAAAAAAGTAGATGAATAAATTAAATAAATGTATGAAACCTAATATTAAAACAATTATAAAAGAATATAAACTAAATATGATAATAATTAAGCAGAACTTAGTGATGATAATCTTAGTAGAGATGAAATTATTAAAATGAAAGGATAATTTATATTAGAAGGAAAAGTTAATAATGGTGAACCTATAACTTTTCATATGAAATTATCTGATTAATTTATGACAGCTTGTAAACATTATTCTGATTCCAAATATAAATTATATTAAATTAAAAAATAATAAGATGATGTAAAATATATATATCATTATTTAAGCATGTTAAATTAGAAGAAAAATAAGATTAAGAAAAAGAAAATAAAAAATCTAAAGTTAATGAATCCAAATAATTAGTCAAATAAGGAACTTAACAAAGAGAATTCAAAAAGAAAGCTCGTTTAATGTTTTAAAAAGCAGCAGAAAGAAGAAAAAATGATGAAGATAGAAATTATTATGAATTAATTAAAGAAATATATAGGGATATATTAAAAAAACAAACTAAAGTTAAATCATATAAAATAATATGCACTATGGCATTTTATAAAATAAGAGATGAGAGAATTGGTATTATGAAAGTTACAAATATTTAAGAAATCTTAAAAAATAAAATAAGACCTAATGTTAAAAAACAATCATAAATGTTGTAAAAAGGTTATTCAAGAGGTATAATATAATTATTATATTATAGATTTGACTCATTTAAGAAGTATCTAAAATATTGATGGACCTAAATATATGACTATGACTAGTGATGGTGAAAGTAAAATAATATCTCCACCTTTACCATACTCTACATAACCAAATTCAAAAAGTAATATCAAAGTTAATAATAAATAAAATGGTTTAGGATATTAATTATAAAAAGAAGATAATTTAGAAGATCCAGATGATAAGGATGCTTTAGTCAATTACAAAGGTTAACCTAAAATGATAAATTGGGAAACTTTTTAAAATTAATTTAAAATGTAATAAGGCACATAAAGTTTTTCTCTTAATGTTCTTGATAATATTTTTAGAAAAGAAGACAATAATAAACCAAGAAAATTCTTAGTAAAAATATCATATTTAAGTTGGTTTCTCAGATTCATGTACATTACTATTTTGACTTTAAATCTAATTACTTATTTTCTTAAACCTTACACTGTAATTATTCTATTATAATTTATTAGGATTTCATACCAATTAAGAATCAATCTTCTAGAATATTTCAACTTTCTTAAATGTAAACATATTTAATTGAAGCATATGATACAGTAATGGATATACTATTATATAAAGATGCTGATTTTGCAACATTATTAGTTAATGGAGTTGCTTTAGGAACATAGGAGCAATTCTTTTCTTATTAAACAAAATAAATAGATTCTGGTTATGAATTTATTAAATAATAAATGAAAGATTTAGATTAACAATATACATTTTTAGATGAGTCAATATTCTTTAGTAATTCTGTACTTGATGAAACTATTTTTGATGTTTAAAATGTGCCTATAACATTAGATTATAAAGATGCTTTTACTAAAGTTATTTTGGTTGAACATTAGATATCTATTATGACGGTAGATTAATTAATTTAATTAACTGAGACAAATTCAATAGTGAAATACATTAGAAAGATCACAATACCTACTATATATGAAGAAATAAATTCTGCAATAATAACATTATCAGAAATGCTGACTGATAAATCTAATTCTATGTCTAATTTTGTAATTACTGTATTAATAATGGAATCATGTATTTTTATAATTGGTTTTTTTGGATTATTATTGATAATAGTTTGGATATGTCAAACATATAAAGCAGTATTAAAAATGTTTATAATGATTAAGAAAAATGATCTCAATAAAATTGTCAAATAGTAATCATTTGTATAGACTTAATTTTAATATGTTTTGGCAAAAGATGATGAGATTTCAGGAATTAATCCTTAATATGAGAAAAAATTTATAATGAATAACAAAACTAATTATTAATAATAATAGAATTTTTTGTTGATTAATGAAATTGAAGATTAAAATATTATGAAAAGAAAAGATAAGAAAATCTTAGAAAAATAATTATTAAGAAAACTAACAATTAAAATGTCTTTTATATACATATTATTTGTTTTAGTTTCCTCATCTGCTTCATTATTATTCTTTTTGACATTAAGTGATTCATCAAAAAAAATAACTTAAATAATTAATATTGGTTAAAATTCCATATTTGATTTTAGTGATAGTTAGTTATTATTAGTTTCTGTAAAGGAAAGATTTTTTAATACTGAATAATATGATTCATAATGTTTACCTACTATTAAAGACATTTTAGAATCTTAACTATCAGATATCAATGTTGCTCCATCAATTGATAATCCTAATTATGGTAGCTATTATGATAGTTTTCAATCAATTTATTTCAATAATTTATGTTTATTCCTTTATGAAAATCAATATTTTGATGAAGTAGCATATAAAGATTGTGAAACAATGTTGAATGGAAAATTAAAATAAGGAATAGTAGCATTTAATTAATTATATTCATCAATAACTTAAGGTATTTAATATATAATATTAAATTTAGATTATGTTTTAAATAAAGAAACAAGATTTGGTTAAATTAATTTGGAATCTATTTGGTAATATAATGTAGCTATTGACTATATAAAATCAGCATTCAAAGTACTTTTAACTAGTTGGTCTAATGATTTAGGATAATTGATAGATGAAGATTATACTTTAATATTGGTGTTATTAATAGTGATGGTAGTGTTTTAATTTTTAGTTTTTGTAATTGTAGCAGAGATGTATTTAGTTAATTAATTAAATACAACATTTTAATTTTACAGAAAGATTTATAAATCCTATATGCCTAATGATATCATCCAAAAAGAGAAGATCATAAGGGCTTCACTAATAAAATACAATATAATAAAACGATGACTAATATTATTATTATTTTATTTATCACCTAAAACCTCCATCTTCTACTTATTAAATTGGTTGCATTCCTTCTTTGATCTTGTTTAAAACATTCAATTTCCATTTGTCCAAAGGTATTATTTTATTGAATTCAAAACTGTAATTACCATAATATAGTGTACCATTCATCTGAAAACATTTACACATTATTATTATCAACAGCCTTAATTAAATTAACAATAAATTTATATTATCTGGCTGAACCAAAACTAGGATCTTTATCTAAGTATCTCTCAAGGGCAATTCCACATCCTACTGAATCCTATTTTATTTGATTTTTCAATATTATACATTATTGCATAAATATAGTAAACATGATTTAAAGTATAGTTCTTTAGCACTTGGAGCTGTCAATTTATTTTCCATATATTTATCACCAATTTCTTCAAATATCTAATTAATAAATCCAATTAAAACCTTTATAGCAGCAATTAAATCACCTGAAGCATTTAATGTTGATAATTCTGCAACTTTTAATCTCATTTAGTTATAATCAGATGTTCGTTTCCCATCTGCCTAAAATAAATCTGCAGCTTCCTAATATGCTTTTACTGCTAAATGGAATTCAAACTCTGATTCATATATTTAAGCAATCTCCTTTTTATATCTTGATGCATTGTCTAATCTATTCTCATTTGCATAATGTTCTATTGCTTTCTCATACAATTATATTGATTCTATACTCAAAATTATATTAGTATACCAGCTTTATTTACATTACTTATTGCTTTAGCTGCTTCAACATAAAAATCACCAGTTTCTCCAGATTTTAGAGTTTAATCACAAGTTATACAACGTTAATATGCTTCACATGCTTTTTCCCATTTTTTGCCCAATTTATATTGTGTAGCTGCTGACTTATACAATTCAAGAGCCTTTTCTGCTCTTTCTCCTTTTGATCCAAAAATATTCCCAAAAGTTGAACCTTTTATTTATATTAATAGCTACCTTTAAGGGCTTTATCACCTTTCATCATAAATTCATCTCCTTTTAAAACATAATTAGAATCCATATATATTTAAATGAAATAATAATGGAATGATATTAACGAAGATGTTAACATGATAACCATACTAAAATCAAAATTTAAACAGACCAGTCCTACTTAAATCTGTATCGACATTTAATACTAATGAGATTACTAGTCCTATGATCATGAAGGATTGTTGCTTAAAGACAACATAGTATACAGAGGAATACTTCGTAATTACACTTTTATTTTATAACGAAAAGATAAAAGCGAATTCATACTAGACTTTAATCAATATCCTATTAGTAATACTTATTTTTATATTTTAGAATTATCCATACTTACCAATGATGTTTTTTAATTATCGGTTTTTAGTTATTAGTTTTAGTTCCAATCTCTCACCAATAGCAAATAATGGATTCTCTCACTCAATTACTATATTAATACATCCAAACCTTACTGTTTTCAATCACCTTTACCTAATTTCTTCCTTTAACATAAAATCCCTTTTGATATTTTTGAAAAGAGAGCAGAATCCTTAGATTTACTGCTTTTTAAAAATAAATCTATAGCTTGCTAACTCTAAAGATTGATAACTAATAGTGAATATGGTAAACATATATAAAATTATTTAGATCATGTTGCTCTTCTTTTAAGAAATAATAAAAACGTTCTTCATGTATTTGAAGCAAATAGTGACGATGGCGTTTGTATATATACTTGGGATGCTCTGATGTAGAGTAATTTTTAAGATTACGTAACACAAATTAGTTTTAGATAATTATACATTAAAAGGGATATGACATTGTTATTAAAATTATAAGACTTCGTTTATAAGAATCATGGAAAAAAATATTCAGTTAACATAATGAAGCTTTGTAAGAAAAGATCAATTACAGGAGTTGAGAAGGAAAACTATTTCTGCTCAGAATTAGTAGCTGCATGTTATAAACATATAGGAATTATGGAAAATGATATATCATCGTGTTAATTTTGGCCCAGTATTTAATATATTTAATTAATTTAGAGGATTTTGCAGGTAATATGAAATTAACTAATGCTTAATTAAGTCACGAGATTATTATATATTAATGATTTTCACACTATTATTTGAAAAACCATATTAATTTATCACAAAATAATTAAATGTTTTTATGCTTTTTCTAATTAATAAAGTATATTATTAACAAGTTATTAAAAATTAGAATTTTTAATTCTTAAAGTATTATAATAACATTTATAATCATAATATAATACTAATGAAATCATTTAATAATTCAAAAAGATTTAACAATTTCCGTAAACATGATTTATAAAAAAATTCTATCTGAAAATGAGAATTCTATAAGAGATTAAATTTTAACATTAAATTTTAGAAACATAAATTTCTACAATTTAAGAGACTTTTTATTATTAAATATATTATGAAGTCTTGATTTATATTTGATTAACTTTCTAGTTTTTATGCTTTATATATTGATATTCTAAAAGGATTAATAATTTTTAATAAGATAGATTATCATAATTTTTGTGTTAATAAAATGGAGTAAATGAGCAAGTACACACTTAAATTTAAAGCAAAAGAGATTGAAGAGAAATATTAGGCATAGTCATATTAAAAACATCTAAAACCCTTATTTTATGGTTTGCTTATTATGGCATTGTCTTTGAATACACTTTAACTGGCCATAAATTCATAGAAGAATAATTTAGTGATTCCTTATATTAATATGGGATTTATCATTATATGTCTAATTGGTTTATACGTAATGTACAAAATAGAAGGTTTAACAGCAAAGATTATAACAATTACAAATGCTTATTCTTTGTCATTATAATTCAATTTTTCTCCTGAAACTACTCAAGGATAGGAATACTATTTATATGGTTGTAACTTTTCACTAATATAGGCTGTTATATACTTTTCTACTGATTTTCATTTAAGTTGTCCTTCTCTCTTACTGCATATAATTTTTAGATAAACATCAACAATTTTGTTAACAAATAAAATAGATGTTTAAAGTTTATCATTGTCTATGGCTACAGCAATATTAATTACATGTGTCCTTTACATGTGTAATAAAGCTTATAGAATACAATTTTTAATGAACTATTAATAAGATACTATTAATAATTAATTGCATAAATTAATAAATAAACCTTTTTCAAAGATATAGTTCAATGAGAAGAAACTATAAATTGATGTTTAAACAACTGCTTTTCATGAATAATTCGAAGATTATAATAATGAATTTTGTACTGGATGTAATGTTAGAAGTTTTATTAGAAATTGTATAATAAATAATATGACATTGGAACAAGCATTGATAAGTAGTTAAGTTAAATTTGATGAGAGTTTTGAAGTTAAATTATAAAGAAAAAAAGTTAAGATACGATTATGTTAATATAATATAGATAATAGTATAATACTAATATAAGAAAGTGTTTAAAAAGATCCAATTCTATATAAGAAAGTTTCATACAATTTATAGTAATCTTTATTTAAATAATTTAATGCAATTAGAAAGACTCCACAGAATTAACAATTTTAGTTTGGAACTTTATCAATTTTAATGTTAAGATAATTTTAAATAAGAACAATTAATATTAGAAAATTGATAAAAAATTTAATGTCTATCTACTTAATATCTAAGAAAATTAAATTAAATTTTAATGGAGATTATACAATAAAAATAAGAACATATGGACACTTAATTAAAATATTCTTAATATAAGTTTTTTGTATTCTTTAAGATTTGGAATATTAATAAAATTATTTAGAAGAAATTAGTATATTGAATTTGGAAACATGTCTGTAAATTAAATTAACAATAAATGATTAGTTTCCTTTTTTTCCACTTTATTTGAGAAATTATTTTATTGAATAGACAGCTCCTTATTTGCTTTTAAATCCATTAAATTACAATTTAGAATTTTAATTTAGCAAGATAATGCCTTTTAATGATGTCAATTTAGAATATTGATTTATTAATTAAATATTAAATTAAATATTCATTATTTATATTCCTTGTTTTTCTTAAAAAAAATCAATATATTTAAAAGTATTTATAATTTTATTATCTATCATATCTATGTATTAGATTACTTTAAGTTTATAAGGATTAGTTATAATAACTTCTGTAGTGTTGATTTAAATTATAAATTAATAATACTTAGTAATTGAAATCTTATCTTAAGGTAATTGATTAAAAATTTAATCAATTGAAATTAACTATATGATAATCAACATATTCAATATATGGCATTTATTATAAAAATATATTATTTATATATATCTATATATATAAAATATAAATTTTAACGTAATATATATCAATTGATGTTGTTTTTTAATAGTATGAAATATTTTATATGAATTTTGATAAGAATAGTGAATAATTAATATTTATATATAATATATGNATGACATTGGAACAAGCATTGATAAGTAGTTAAGTTAAATTTGATGAGAGTTTTGAAGTTAAATTATAAAGAAAAAAAGTTAAGATACGATTATGTTAATATAATATAGATAATAGTATAATACTAATATAAGAAAGTGTTTAAAAAGATCCAATTCTATATAAGAAAGTTTCATACAATTTATAGTAATCTTTATTTAAATAATTTAATGCAATTAGAAAGACTCCACAGAATTAACAATTTTAGTTTGGAACTTTATCAATTTTAATGTTAAGATAATTTTAAATAAGAACAATTAATATTAGAAAATTGATAAAAAATTTAATGTCTATCTACTTAATATCTAAGAAAATTAAATTAAATTTTAATGGAGATTATACAATAAAAATAAGAACATATGGACACTTAATTAAAATATTCTTAATATAAGTTTTTTGTATTCTTTAAGATTTGGAATATTAATAAAATTATTTAGAAGAAATTAGTATATTGAATTTGGAAACATGTCTGTAAATTAAATTAACAATAAATGATTAGTTTCCTTTTTTTCCACTTTATTTGAGAAATTATTTTATTGAATAGACAGCTCCTTATTTGCTTTTAAATCCATTAAATTACAATTTAGAATTTTAATTTAGCAAGATAATGCCTTTTAATGATGTCAATTTAGAATATTGATTTATTAATTAAATATTAAATTAAATATTCATTATTTATATTCCTTGTTTTTCTTAAAAAAAATCAATATATTTAAAAGTATTTATAATTTTATTATCTATCATATCTATGTATTAGATTACTTTAAGTTTATAAGGATTAGTTATAATAACTTCTGTAGTGTTGATTTAAATTATAAATTAATAATACTTAGTAATTGAAATCTTATCTTAAGGTAATTGATTAAAAATTTAATCAATTGAAATTAACTATATGATAATCAACATATTCAATATATGGCATTTATTATAAAAATATATTATTTATATATATCTATATATATAAAATATAAATTTTAACGTAATATATATCAATTGATGTTGTTTTTTAATAGTATGAAATATTTTATATGAATTTTGATAAGAATAGTGAATAATTAATATTTATATATAATATATGAATAATTAACCTGTTTATATGTCGGCTGAGCAAATTAATGCATTATTCCAAAGGGATTCTACTTTTGAAATGAGAGATGATAGAATTAATTCATTTTAGAACGATTTCAAAAAAAATGAAGTATGGGATTTTAAGTTAGTTAAGACTTTGAAGTCTGAAAGTGTTGAATGCGAAGAGAACAGACCAACAAATTAGAGCGAGAGCATGATGATGAGTAAGAATTATTTGGCCTAAGGCTTAAAGTAACTAGGGAGGAGTACCAGAGTTTATAGTAAGAATACGATAGACGTAAAGATATGGAAGAGAAATATAAAGAAGATATAAATAGATTAATGAGGGAACTTAAACAAAAGTGTAGTGAATTGGATTGTATGAAAAGAGAACAGGAGATTTATTTGGAACAGAATCAAAGAAGAGAATGTATCCTTTATTAATAAATGAACAGCAACACTTTAGAATCTGAGGTAGTAGATTCAAGAAGCCAACAATAGAGAGTAGAAGGCTGTTATTGAATTAGGAGAGTTATATGAATAGAATATGTAAGTGAAACAACAATTAGAGATTGTCTAACAGAAGTATAACAATTTATAGAAGCAACACAAATTTGAAATTGATAGAAAGGATAAACAAATTGATTAATTTAAAATTCAAATTATGCAACTCAATGAGGATAATGAAAGACTTAAGGCAGAACACCCTACAGGATTTCTCAATCTCGATTCTTAGAGAGTATCATAAGATAAAACATAAAATTAATGGGCATAATTTAATTCGAGTGCTTATAAAAGCAGTATTTAATTTTAAAAGGATAAACCAGTTACTCAAATTTAGTTTAAGAGCAATTACGACTCCAAAGTTATTTTCGGAAAGAAGTCTCAAAATACATTAAAATATTAATAGTCACAGTAAGATTTGTAGCCCAAATGATTTTGAGTCAAAATATTATATATATATTTATATTTTAATGGGCTCCCAACAACAATATTTTATATATTACAAAATATATATATATATATAATATTTATCTAACATTCAAATGTTAACATATAATTTAATACATATTCATAAAGAATATATAATAATTAATTTAGAATTAAATTAAACTCTATTATAAAGCAAACACTTATATATTATTCAATTTGATTTTTCTTATTTTGGCTTTGTTTCTATTGTTGATATTATTCCAAACTCTACTGAAGAACTTTGTTTTTTTGAATCAAACGACTCTTCAATCTATTCAACTATAAAAAAATCAAGTCTATTTGAAAAATATTTAAATGGAAAACAATTTTCACATTTTTTTTAGAATGCCTTAAATAATCCATCTAATTACACTTGTTAATCTAAAAGAGAATCCATCAAAAAATTAATTTTCTATGAAAGAAAAGATTGTAGCCCCTACTAAATCTAATCTTGGAAATCTAATAAAATTCATTGTCAAAAAGAATAGTGCAGGGAAATACTTCTATGGTAAATTAAATGAAAAGCATAAAAATTTCTATGTTTCTTCTTCATCATTTAATGCTCTAAATTGATTTTATTCCATAATACCTTCTCATCTAATAGATGAATGAAAGATTCCAAAACCCAAATGAATTTGCAATAAGCATTTCTTCATCCAAATAAGAAAATCCATAACAAAATGATACAAATATGATCTATTTTATAAATCAAATATTTATGTACTTAAATGATAAGATTTTTGATAAATAAATCAAAAAAAAATTGGACAGAACCAACTTTTTTTTCTGTTTATATAGCGAAACACATAAATCCCAATAAACTGACAGAAAGGTTAAATAAATTACCTTATATTATTATATTGATAAATTACCATGAAAAAATTAAGGTATGAGTATCCTCCAAATTTCACATTAAAAAATAGTTTTCTTTGGTATATTCATAAATAATGTAAAAAAGTATTCCTAATAATAGTAGTCTAACATATAACAAATTAAGCTTATAAACAAAACAAACTTAGTTCCAAAGGATATATTATTCCATATAGTTTTTAAATTATCTCTTAAAGTCATTTTATATATTATAATAATAATTATATATAATTTTATTACTCATTATGGGTATTTGATACTGAATGCGTATATGTCAAGAATATCACATAATTAATACACTATACTTGTTACACAATGTAGATATGATAAAACTGAGAATACTAATAAGGCAAAGATCAATTTGACCTCATCAATATAACAAAGACCATCATGAGTATAAAATTAGCTCATCAAATTCAACATAATTGATCCTAAAGTCATAGCCCAAGTGAATGAAAATTAACTGAAATTCTATATATTTTATTAATTATAATTACTTCTTTAGTAATGATTGCTAATTACCATAAATTAATCATCTTTGACCATTATAATCCAATAGTCAAAACATAAATGTGGAACCATTTTGATAAAACATTAGTTGGTGATAAATATGTTAAACTAATGAATGTTATCATTAAGGTAATAGGTAATGATAGACTTTTTAGAATAGTCAAAATATTCCAATTCATCTTCTTGAATACAGGATAACAAAATTAAATTATAGTTACAATACATCCACTAATGGTAAGTGCAAGTAAAACTGTATTATATTGAATTGAAAATGAATTTGTAAGTTAAATTTCATTAAGCCAAAATTATGATGACATGATTGCAGTTAATACAAAAAAAAATTATAATGTTGGCAATCCTTCATCAACTCCATTAATTACACCTAATTAAAATACTCCTGTATGTTATTGACAATAAACACCAAAATAAAATCCTAAGAAACTTACTCCTATTGCAGTTAACATATTGAATGGAGTAAATGTAATTTTAAAAGCATTTATATATAATAATCCAGCAATCCAAGTAGCAGTACAATCACTACCATGATCCATTAACATTCCCAATGCAGTTGATTATTTTGTTCTTCTTGCTTGTTTACCATCTGCATTATCTAATGTTTGATATACAAATATTGACCAGGCTATATATAAACTTGCCCATTATGGTAGATCTTGATCAAACATAGGATTCAAAATGAATATCAAAGCAAATGCAGTTAATAAATTACAGAATCCTGCTATTGTTATAAGATTTGGGGCAACTGTTTTAGGTAATTAATCAACCTAAAATGTATTAATAGTATCTTTACCACCCATTATGCCATATCTCCAAGAAACCAATTATATAAAATTGAAAGATTCTGTCCACTGTATTTAAACCTTCTCAAATTTTCATAATATTATGGATTCACATATTTTTTTAATAGCATTTTAATTAATCAATTAATACCATAAAATTAAATTAAATATCAATAATTTATTATCTTTATTAACTAAAGCCTACATTAAAAGAATTAGAATAACAAACTGATTTAATAAATGATTTATTGATTTATAGTAATAATTTGAAAATATGCAAATCATTTAATCATTAATTTTTCAATTTCTTCATAATGATTGTACATTTCCCAATAAGTTATGAATCCTTTTCCAAATAGATCAATTTCATGATAGAGACTAAATTAAAATGATATATATATTTACATTTCTGCTTATATTCTATCATTCATCTAATTGATAAAATTGTCCATATTCACATTTCCATTAAGTTAATTATATAATTCCTTAATTGGATTTGGATGTACTTCTTTTTATAGACATGTTTCTTTTAATGTTTTTCCTAAATCTTCTAAATTTATCCATCCATCTTCATCAGTGTCTGCTAATTTAAACAATGACTCTAAATCTAATTATGCATTTGGAATTGCTATTTTAGCATTTTCCATAAGTTAATATAGATTCAACCTTTTAGTAAATCGATGATGAACTAAATATGTGAATAATTCTTCAGCAGTTACACCTCTAATTTCTAAACTCTTTACAAGTTAAGATGGTTCAGTTTTAAGAGTCGTTAAATTTTATTTTGATTATTCTTATTCAATTTATAATTATGATTCATAAACATTATCTTATTTTAAATGATAAGTAGGTTATTAAGGAGTGAGTATATTTTTCCAATCTGTAAATAAATTTTAATATTCTGTATTTGCTATTTATTTATAATTTAGACTTATTAATTTAGGAATCATGTAGGTCTCTTTTGAAACATAATGTTTATCTTATTGAATATATTACTATATTTCTGCTACATTATATTATAATATGCATTCACTTCTTTAATCACTTTAATTTAGAGGTGCTTATGAAACAATCGTTTAGAATTCCATTTTGACAGGAGTCAGATCATCAAAAAATGGATCAACGATTGAATTTGCTGTATTAAATACAATTTGTTATTCTTATGGTTTAACTTCTTATATTTCATCAAGTATCTTAAATTCATCATTTTCTTTATTTTCTATTTGACTATCCAATTTTTCATGCATCTTAAAGGAATCCATTTTTTTGTGTGATTAATCATCTTTTTATTTCTTTCTGAAATCTAGATTAGATCTACTAGGTGATTTTATTGATGGATTTGAACTCATTGATGTATTCCATTCACATCTCTCCTTTGATTTTACTTTCCTTAAAATAATAGGAGCCCCTTGTATTTTTTCAGGTGATCCTTTTTTATCTTTAAGGAACTTTCTTAATTCTTATTGTAAATCATTGAGATCATTTCTTCTTTTATATTTAGCAACTAATTCAATGAGTCTCACATTTTCATCCTTTACCATTTACCTCAATTATAAACGATCCTCCTTCATTATTTCTACACAATTAAACAATTATTCATACTTGTACATCTCTCAATCACTTATATTGTTTCCAATTATTCATTTTTTCTTGACTTATTCGAGATTTTGAGCATGTTTAACGGATAATTAATATATAAAAAAGCTAAATAAAAAATCAAACTATTGATATCTAATTCATATTATTTATATTTCCCTCTAAAACTCTATATATATATATATTATAATTAATCTTTTTTTGTTATTTTGATCTCTTGAATCTTCATTTTCCTCAAATTCTATAATTTTTAATTAAACTTTTTGTTTACATAATTATCTTTATAAATTAAAGAAATACATTTGTATTTGGGATAACATTTCTTATATTCTTGAATGATAACCAGTTTTTAATTCCAATAAATCCTATTATTATAAGGAATGTAATTTTTATAAGTACTCTCAATTCTTATTATAAATCTAAATTCATACTTCTAATGATTTGATTTAATTATCTGATAAAAATAATCATTTTGATTGTTTTATATCTCACTAATATAATTTAATACTTTGAAATTCAGACTTTACCTTTTAAGATTATCATTTCTAATGAATTTATTTTTTAATCCTAAAATATTTTAAGTACACAATCTTTAATAGCAATGGTTTATAACTTTTATTGCTTTTTGTAATTTTGTATAATTTGTTATGTAATTTATATAATTCAAATTTCTAATATATATAGTTCTTTCAATTATATCTGCATGCTTATTAATTTGATTTAAAACATTTTCTGGCTTAATAATAAAACTTTTTAAACCATGAAGGTATCAATTATTTTTTCCAAAGATTACTGATCAAAAGTTGAATTTGAATTACTCGCAATTCTTCTTTAATTTAAAAAAAATTAAGATATTAAATATAATTAGTATACATCAAAAAATAAAAAATATCTAAAATAATTCTAAATCATATGTGAAAGTTTTGTGCAAGAGACATATATCTAGTCAAATATGAATAATAAAAAAATTAAGTGACTTATATTGTATACATATAATAAATTATTGTTTGAAAACAATCAAAAATTATTAATTCTCTACTTCTTTTTAACTTTATTAAAACTATTATTCAAACTTTAACTTGTTTGTTGATATTATGGAGTCTAAAATATATCTAAAAAGTATAAATAAAATAATAACCTCTATCAGATTTTTTAGTATCCTAAAAAAGAGATAAGACATCATTCTTTAGAAATAAAGGTTTATTGTTTATATCATTTTGTTATTATTAATAAGTACTAGTTTAGAATAAGTTCAAACTTGAAATTTAATTAGATGTTTATTACTATTAAGAAAAAAGATTTTAGAATTAAAAATTTTATTATTACATCAATTATTATGGGTAATTCTATTACTATTACTATTAAAATAGATTATTCTATTAATTTGGCTACTATTAATAATTTAGTTATGCTATCTCAAAATCTTATTACTTACCTTAAATAATCTAATTAATCTAAGTTGGTGCTTATTCAATGATTTCCATTTATTTATTAGTTGAGTATTAGAGTATTTTAGCATTCCCAAAATTATTAGAATTTTATAATAAATTTTAAGTATTTTATTTATCTTAAGGTTTATTAGGAATTATTTGTTAAGGTTATTATGTTGATATTTTAAATAAATCTATTATAGGTTAATTTTAATTTTATGGTTAGCATTATTTATTTTGATTGGAGGTGGAAAACGCTTGAAAATAAAGACTAATTTGATCAGAACTGATATTAGAACTTTATGTTAAAAATGGATTTTATTCTTTTATTGATTTATCTACTGTTTATTTGTTCTAATTATTCAAAAAGCTAGTTTGTAATATATTTTTTTAAATATCTTTACTTTGTTATGGTAGAGAATTTTAAAATTTTGATGTTTTTTCAGACAAATAATCCTATTATTCATTTTAAGATAATAAATTTTGATTCAAAAATTAATTTTATTATTGAAATACTTCTTAGCCTATTTTATCTTATTAATTTTCTAATTGTTATTCATTCTTTATGTCTTATTGTTATGATATTTAGTTTGAAAGCTATTTAGTTGTATTAGTTTCAATATGACATTATTTTATTGTATGAAACTATTTATCATTTGAATTAGAATCTAATAATGAAGAATTCTATATATTATTCTATTCTTTATTTTCAGCTTCTTATTATTTATTCCCTTTTATTTATTTTTAAATTACATCAATTGTTTAAATTTGTAAATGTTCTTATTTATTATTATCCTTATCATTTAGGTTATTATTATTTTCGTTTTTTATTATCAAATTATTCTCTTATTAAAAATCAAACTAATTCTAATTTAATACAATATTATTTACTTGATTTAAAATTTGTATACAGGATTCATTGGATTTTTAATTATTTTCAAATTCTTATTCTTAATTTTATTAAATAATCGAAGGTTTTTTATTTTAATCTATGTCTTTTATATTTTCTTATGGTTCTTATTAAAAATAAACATTCTTAAAACTTAATATTGTCTCATTTCCCTCACCTTTTGAGTTTGTTCCAGTTGAGCTTGAAAATTTATTATTTTTATTTAATTCATCCTTAAAATGATTATTATTTGATGGACTCTGAGCAGATGATGATGAAACTTTTAATTCCTTAAGAAATGAATCACATTTTAAGTTGTTATTATCATCATTTTAAATAATTGATTGATTCTCAAGTATTTTTACTGGAGATAAATAATCACTAGTTTCACCTTTTTATTTGATTGGTATACTACTCTCTGTAAAGCTATCAAATTATTTTAATCTCTTATTTGAGTAATTAAATTAATATTCAGATTAATTTTCATATTTTTGATTAAGATTTTACTTAAAATTTTGTTTATTCAGATTAAACTCTAACTATTTTGGATTTTCTAATGATATTATTTACAAATATTACCTTCCATTTTTCTACTTTTATTAATTTTTGAGTGTTCTTTTTTAAACTTCTTTTTTTTTTTAACATTTGATGTTTTGATTTAGGAATCACTTGGTTTACTACTCATATCAGTTTATGTTTCTTTAGATATTTTTTTATCAGAATCCATTTCCTCTTTTAGATATTATTCAAAGGGACATATGGACTTACGTTTTAGTATTATAATATCATCTTTATTTGGTATAATTCGATCTATAAGAACAAGATTATTTTTAAATTAATTAGATAGTTCTTATTCTAAATTTTTATCGTCAAATGATTGTATCCGTTAGATTAAACTTTATGAGTTGATTGTTGGTTGAAATAAACCTTAAATCTTATTTTTTATTTTAGTTATGATGCCTGGTTTCATGTTTTTCTAAGAACCAAAAGGGTTATAACTTGAAATATTCTTTCTTCTATTTCCAAACAGAAATTTATGCATAATTAAATAAATAATATATTTAAATTATTAAGATAATCTAGATGACAAAATATTTAAATGTTTTAATATTAACTAGTATAATGATTCATAAATATATTACTACAACTAATACAACTTATCTCCTTAAATTATAATTAAAACTTATTTATTTTTTCATTTCATCTTATTTCCATCATTTGTATAATATTTCAAACAAAATCTTATTTATTTGTATAATTATTTTTAGATCTGAGATGATAATTACTAAAATCAGAATATTTTATTTTATGTAATTTTAATCATTTTACAATTAATTCTATTCAATTCTTTAACAAACAATCAATCTAGTTCTTATAATTTATGTAGTTGTTTTAAAAAAAAGCGCAATAAATTAAATTAGAGTTTTCCCTTTTTATGTTATAATTTATGGGAAGTTAAGAATTTTATTGATAAATAATTTATTAAATTTTAAATAAAACTACTTTACTCTAAAAGACTTTTAAAGTACCTATTTATTTTTCTATTTAATTATTTAGTTGCTGTAAATTAAATACAAAAGATGGTATTAACCATATTAAAAATATTCATAATTAAAAAATGTATTTAATAGAATATTGAAAATTAGTTTATGAGTTTGTAAAAATAATATAGATAAACTCATATAAATTAATTTTGATTTTAATATATAACTAAAAAGTAAATAATTTATTTTATATAATTGATTGTTTTTATTATATTAAGTGATATTTGGTAATTTAATTAGGTAATTATTCTGAATATATAAGTAATCATCAATAATTTAGATATAATTAAATTTTAATATAAATATTTTTAGTTTTTAAAATAAAGGATTTTCATCTAAAAAATGATCAAAATTTGAAAACCTATAAGATTTATTATCATATATTATAAAAATTCTTATAGACAATCAATTAATAATAAGAATCAATCTACTTCTTATTTAATTTTTAGCTTTTAACACACAAAATTACAGAAATAATAAAATGAAATATAAAATATATAATTTATCATGAGATTTATATTAAATTATTAAAATTAGATTACTAAAATTATTTTTGGAATTATCGATCTCATAAAATTTTAACAAATCAATCGTAAACATTATGTGGTGATTAGCTGAATATTCATTCTTAATTTATCAATTCTAATACCAATTTAGAAAGTGGAAGTAAAAATTATTAATAATCATTAAGAATTTTAATTATTTTACTTTGTAATATTGAAATAATGAAATGAATGCAATTTGGAATTTGTATTATTAATATATTGAAATAAAGACAAAATTTGTTTATTTATAATGAGTACAAGACATTTCTCAAGGATTCCAACGAAAACAGCTTTGGCAAAAAAATTAAAATTAAATTTAATTACAATAAAAATTTAAAAATAAAATTTAACTTCAATATTAGATTGGAGAATATGTTTGTCAAGAGTTATTAGTCATATTAATAATGATAAGATTATGTTTCAACAGTAGATTAGAGTATGATGTTATTTTATAATAATTAAGTAAATAAATATCTAAATAATGATGAAAACTTGAATTAATTGAGATTTATGTACAAGATAATTTTAAAATAATTATCATAATTTTCTTTTCATTTATTAAGTTCTAAATGCCGAATATTAGTGAATTAATGTCCAAAATAATAGCAAAATACATGGAATATGATGATTCTGCTCTTTAATTACCTGAAAACTTAGTTAACTTACTACTTATTCATGCATCCCTATTGAATATTTCATACATATATTATCAGAATTCATCTTCTTGGCTTTATACTTTAGTACTATTTGCTAGACCATCAGTTAGCATTTAGATTTCACATTTTTATATTTTTGGAATTTGTTATTTGCTATTACATGTACTATGTATAATAAAAGCTAAATTACTGGGTAGGAGTATAGTAAGTCTAATAAATAGTTTAATGAAGGTAGGGTTACTGAATTTTGTAATTGAATAGTTTGATGACATTTTTGGGTATTTAATAGGAGGAATTATATTAGTAATATAATTGTTTGAGATCTTGTTTATTTAAGGTACATTAGATATAAATACAAAGAATTTTTAGCGTACTTAGATTACTTTTTTCAGCATCATAACATTAATTATTAATATACTGCTGATGACATTTTATAAATTAAATTTCCAGCTTAGACATATATAAATTGTTGCAATATTAAATTCAACCACATAAGCTTTGGATCTTATTTTATTAAAAAATTATAGAAGTCCAATAATTAGATTAATAATAATATCAATTTAATTGGTGAGTGTTTATGTTGGGATTATGCAATTTATTCATTTTGAGAATTCTTTCACTCTTATATTAGTACCTTTCTTTTTTAAAATAATATCATTACTAAGATTATCAGATTTAATTTATACAAAAGATCCAATAATTAATGCATCTATTTTAATATAAGATAAAAAATTTTATGAAAGTTTTATAATTCTAAATAAATTAAAGGATCAAAATTTCATTAGATAAATCAAAAGAAATCAAATGTTAAAAAAATGCATTAATTCAATTAATTAAGAATTATAATAAAAAGTAGGAAGTTAATAATTATTAGGAGTTGCTTCAAAATTAATCTAAAATGATATTAAAAATATAAAGATTTAAAATAATTTATTAAAAATAATTTAATGGAAAATAAAATTATTATAAAATTGGAAGGTTAATGAATTTGATGAGATTTATAAATTTGTTAATAGTATGTTAAAATTAAAGAAATAATTAGATAGTTATTATTTAGCTGAACCTAATAGTATGGTATAAGCTTTAATTTGTTTTTTTTATGCAGAAATCTTAAATGATTTATTAGAAGCAAATGAAATGATAATTCATGCTAAAAAATCAGCAGATATATACTTTATAGATTATACAACAAATAAAAATATGTTTTATATTACTACAAAATATGAAAATGGATAATTACAAATGAATAAAATATCAAGTAATGCTCCATCTTTTATATGTAATAAAAAATTATAAGAATTAATTCCTCCAGGTGTTCGTGAATGGCATAATAAATTAGTAGATGAATTTATAATAACAGGAAAATCTAAATTTGTAAGATAATTGAATTAAAATTATGTAACTCATGGTTAATCAATTGACACTGTAGATTTTGCTATTGATTTAACCTACTCAGATTAAGTAAATTTTATTTGTCTAATATCTCCAACTTTAATTAAGAATGCTACTTTGATAGTTGATGATAAATATAATATAACTAGTTATACAAATTAATTTAAAGAGATTAAATAATATAAATTATTATTTTCTAGAGGATCATCTATATTTAATATTTTCCCATAAATTTAAGAAATAAAGTAGACCTGTTTTCTAGAAAATGTTCTTATTAATACAAAAAAACTATTAAATTATAATGATGATTAAGATGATGTTAGATACTATTGTAATTTAGAAATAATTGTCAAACATCATTAAGATGTTATTATATATCTGATTGTAAAATTAGAAAACATACAAATTATATATTCAAATACTGGTAACTCTAGTAAAAAAGATACAATGACAATTCATTCTTCTTCTAATAATGAATTAAGTATAGCAGAAGAAAGACATTTAATATCTTAATAGAATTCTAAATAAGAGATTCCTATTTTTGAATATAATGAAGAAATTAAGAGCTTAAAATAATTAAAGAGTCTAAATGAAAAGAAAAGTCTAAATGAAGAAGCTATTAAAAATGTCTTAAATATTGATACACCTTAACCATAAGTATTTACATCTAGAGGAGATCCAGAATAACATCTATTAGTTGATAAAGTTAAAACTGAAAGCAAAAAGTATTCAGTTAAATCTCAAACATAAGGTGGAGATGGAAAAGAATAATAGTAACAATAATAAGATGTAAAAAAAGAAGAATTTTTTGATAGGGAAGATTGTTCTTAAGTTTCTTCTATAAGAATGCTTAGAAATTCTAAATTTTATAGGAAATATGATCTTTATAATAAATTTAATAAACATATGCCTTTAAAAAGATAACATTAATTCTTAGTCATACTATTTGTATTAAGTTTAATTATTTAAGGATTATTCATCATTATTGTAATATATTAATATTATATTTTAGCAATTAACAAGTTTAAATTTGGTATCATTTGCTATTGATATCAATTTATTAGAAATCAAAAACTTATTCTTCTAACCAATGGATATGTTTCTAGTTACTAGATGGAATTTATGGACTTATAATTTTTAAAAATCTAACGGCATTATATCTCAAGAAGAATACAATTCAGTTTCAAAATTTGCGACTTCAAATTTAGGACTTGGATTTGATTCTCTTAATTCAAACTTAAAATTAGTATTGAATCGTTAAGAACTTCAAGGTTTACTACAAACCAAATATATAGAAGCTTATTCTTATCTTGATACATATAAATCAGAATAATATAATATGACATTAAGGACAGCAATATCTGTTTTATTAAATTTCTAATACATTTTGAAAATGAATTACATATATGAAAAAACGGTTAAAGCCGACAGTCCTTAAATCTTTTATAGTTTTAAAAATTATCCTATAATCAGAGATATTATGACTTAATTAAATTCAGATATAATGGTATAAACAATAGCAAGAGGATAAAATTTTGAAGATGAAATGGAAACTCTTTTTTTATTTCAGTAGATATTTTTGATATTTATGGTACTTTCTATTATCTATGCTAAAATTTATATAAATAAAAAACTAATATTGTTTTTACATTTGAGTTAATATTCTGATAATGATGCAATTTAACATGAGATTTAAAAGTTTAAGCAATTACTTGATAAATTATAATCAGATAATTCTTATAAATTTAATTATTCTCTTAAAATAGCAGATAAGGAATTTTAATTTTTGGAAGAAAAAGTAGAGAAAGAGAATAAAAATACAAAAAATTTAAGGAAAAAAAGAATATCTCCTTATAGATTTGTATTTATACTCATTTTATTTTATTCTATACTTACTATAAATAGTATAGTAAATTATTATGAATTTTAAAAGTATCTAAAAAAATATCCTGAAACAGCTTAATATAAAAAATAATTGGCTGATCTTGGTGGAGATATACCATTAATGTTCGCTTAAAGGGAAGTTCTTTATGGTAGAAAAAACTATATGTACTTAGATGCTGCTTATTTCGATAGGATGTGGTATTATATTATGGAGTCTCTTAATAATACCAAATTATTTACATCATAAGATCCAGATTTTAATAAGTAATTTATAATAATCATATTTAAAGAATGCTTGTGACTAATAATTTTAATGACTTTTATGCTTAAATTTAATTGAGTGATTTATGTGAATATTTACCAGGAGATATAAAGATTAGAGCAGTATCATTATGTCCAACTATAATGAATTAAAATATGAGACATGGACTTAAAGCGATGTTGATATACATTCAAAACTTAATTGAGACTGATGTTGCAATCAATAATTTTACTTACAGAGCAGTTCCAACTTAAAATGAATTAGAAGGAGCATTTATGATATCTGAAGTTATAAATGTAATGAATTCTTATTTTTATAATGATTTAATTGATGTTACAACCAAATTGGTGGATCAATAAGAAGTAAATTATTCTATTATAATAGATTTTCAATATTTGCTATTTAGTTATACTTTTCGGGGTTTTATTGATTATAATTACTGAAGTTAAGAACAAAATATATGAAAATAGTAAGATCATAATACATTTTGTATATGTGATACCTTCCCAAACAATATTCACTGATGATACATTTGAAAGAACTCTTAGAACTTTAATCAATTTCTGATAATATTTCTATTCAAAATTTATCGTAACTTTTATTATATTATTAAAGAATATATTTTCTGATAAAAATTATTATTATAATGTTGAAGAATGTTTTTAAATGAAAATATAATAATGTTGTATAATTTAATACCAGGAAGACAATCTTATTTAAACTACGTTTAAAATGTTTAAGAAGGGGACTATTTCTTATTTTAAGATGAACCTTATAAAATTCTCAAAGGTCAAGTTAAAATGAGTAGTCATGGAATTTGTGCTTTTTTTAAAGCAGAACATGCATTTTCTAAATAAATCCTTGAAGATTAATTTCATTCTAATGGATATTTGGAAATTCCTGTGATTTAATTTGAGGAATATAATTTGGTTGGAATTTAAAATGATGATTTTTTATCTTTACTAAAATCCAATGGTACTATAAGAGAAGATTTAAAGATGCCTATATATAAGGAGTTAAGTAACAAAATAAAAATGTGGTTTGAAGATGGAAAGTAATATATTTTTATTATATTTTTAGAGAAATCATAGTATAGATTATGAAATATTTGGATAAAGAGGAGGTGTTTAATGCAAGATGTGAGGAATGAATAATATTATATTTTTTAATAAAAATTATTTAGCAAAGTTAAATTATAATACAATTTCTAGAATATTAAATGATGGTACTAAAAGCGTGTATGGTGGCAATTACATTATTCTTATCGTTCTGTTAGGATGATTCAGAATATGAAGTGAAAAGCAAACCTAAAAGACAAACTTATGAAGACCCAGTATCTGCAGTTATCTATTGAAAGGATCCATATTAAAATCTAATCCAATGGTTGAAAGATGGAAAGGCAGAGATTTCAAAGGTGTAAATTGAAGTAAAGAGTGAAGGTTATAGAACATTAAGAGCAACGCAATTCATTAGATAAGGTGAATGGGTGTTGTTCATTCCACGAACTCACTATTTATCATTGGATGAAGTTAAAAAAAGTTGTTTGATTAATAGAAAGATGATTTAAATCAATTATAAACCAAATAACATTCAAACCTATTTTGTTAATCATTTATTACAAGAAAATAGGAGGTTTTTACTTAAAAATAAGTATTAGATAATATTCATTTTGGAAACCATATATTGATGTATTACCAAAAGATGTGAGTGGATTTCCTACTTATTTTGATGCCGAATAGGATGCATTATTAAAAGGTTCTCCAACATTGTTTACAGTGATAAATTAAAGGAAAGTATTTAAAGAGGAATATGAGAATTTAAAGGAAGCAGTTAAAGAGTTTTAAAAATATGGTTATACTTATAATGATTTTATTAAATTCAGAATTCTAACAATATCTAGAAGTTTTACAGTATAAATAGGAGATAAAGAATAATAATAATTATTAGTTCCATTAGCAGGTATCTAATTTTGAAATTATTAAGATTTTATTAATCATGATAATAATGGATTTTTATAATATGGATATTCTAAAGATGCAGATGGTTTTTTTATGTAAGCGGTTAGAAATATTTAGAGAGGGGAGGAATTATTTTATAATTATGGTTAATGGTCAAATAAATATTTTTTTATGAATTATGGATTTGCAAGTTTAACTAATCCAATGAATCAATTTGATTTTGATATTTGTTTGAATAAAAATGATAGATTATTCAATTTAAAGATATAATTAACTAAAGGAAATATGTGTTGGGGAAATAGATTAGTAAATGAAACTGATCATGATACATTTAGATAATCATTAGCTACTGTCAGATTTACATAAATATCAAAATTAGATGACTTTTTATAATTAGAAGAAGATGTTGAAAAATTTAAACAATTTTGGCCAGGATGGCATACTACTACAAAAACTATTGAATTAGAGAAGGCAACATTTAAAGCATTAAAAGAATTATTAGTAATTGAATTAGGGAATTTTGCAAGTACAATAGAAGATGATTAAAGAAGATTAAATGATCCAAAAACACCTGAGTTTAGAAAACATATAATAATGTTAACAATGAGAGAAAAATAAATAATAAAAAAAAATATAGATGTTTGTGATTAAATGTTATAAGTGATAGATAAGAATTCTGAAGTAAATATCCCTTATTATTATTATAAAGGAATTAAAGAATTTGATGAAATATTATCAATATAAAGAAATAACAAGATTTGTTAATAGCTAAATTATTCCTATGAAAATAGAGTAAGAAGGCATAGTATGATAATAATAAATATAATATTGGTAGTGTATACATAATATCAATATTCTTAATCTGGTGGTTATAATTCATACTTCTAGAATCCTGGGAATAATAAATCATCTAAATCATCATCTAATTAAGATGTTTATTCTTATTTCTTCTTTTATATAACAGGAGGTTATATCACATATGGTTAAGGTTATTTATTTTGAGTGGTAGTCAATAATGGTTAAGATTTGCGATCAGTAGAGAGTTTTTAAGCTTATTATTATTGATTTTGTAAATCTTTTGTTCTTTTATGTAATTCCTGAATATAATCTTTTTATCTTGTTTTCAACCTATCATTCATTATATCAACATTTTAGTCTTAATCAGATTTCTTCTTATCATCTAAAAAGAATTCTGTTTTAAATTCATTGAAATTTATTCGACTACAATGAACTCTAAGAATATTTAAATTATTACTTTGACATTCTATCTAAACAACCTTTTAAATCATATTATTCAAATTAACCTCCTAATTCATTCATATATACAATTAAATCTTATATAGTAATATAGCCTTTCATTCCAATATCTAATTATTTGAATAGAGCTAGTAGAATATCTTTGGTTCCAATAACTTCTTTTATAAAATTTAAATTTCTCTCTAATTGTAATTGTAAATGCATAATTTCACATATCCATTCTCTTTGAGCCACTGAAAGAAACTAAGGAATATTCTATTTTAATGGATGATGCATATAATGCATAGCTCCAAATTGCATAAATTATTATTAATCATCTGGACCTAGAAGCATATACTTAAATTCAACTGAAGATATTTAATTATCATCATTGCCTCCATAACGTAGAAACATTTAACTCAATTCAATTGAATTTAAAATGATATCTAATTTCTACAACCCTAACTGAAATTCACTATAATCTATTGTTCCATTCTTTTTAGAATCAAAGAAATCAAAAAGTAATTTTACATTAAATCTCTAATCTTATTTTAACATCTTCTGTAATTTCCATATTTTCTTATCAATAATAGAACATTCAGCCATATATTTTGCAAATGCCACTTCCTCAAAATTTTAAGTAGATCTTGGTAAATTTTTGATAAACTATAGTACATATTCTTAATATCCATCATCACATCCTAGAATTAATGAATCAATGCTTACTTTCATGAGGCATAAATGGAATATTACTTGGATCGTTAGGATCAAAATATAATTATGGTTATCCCATTTTCACTGGATAAGGAGGATATTCATTATATGCTATTATTTAATTAATAATCATACTATAATTTAAAGGTCGTACATCATTCAAATATGTTCTATTATGTAGTTGACTTTAGTAAGGATCATAATATTAGTAATCTCCATAATCATCTTAAGTTTCTGTTAAAAATCCACTGTTTCTGTATGTTTTTTCATTATACTATCCATGAGTATATGGTTGTTAATATGGGTCAGGATTATGATAATACATAATATGAATAATTATAAATTATAAAAAGTCTTATTCAAAAAAGTCAATAAAGGTGTAATAGTTGAAGAACATCTCCTTGTTAGATCATTGATGGATAAATAATGTTATATTTTGAAAAGAACAGATATTAGCAAAATTAATGCAGAAAGATTAAAAGAAATTGAAAATCATCTAAAACAATTGATCAATATCAAACATCCAAGTTTAACTAAAATTAAAGAATACTTTATTGAATCTTAATATCTAATCTAAGTCTTAGAATATTGTGGAGGTACTCAATCCTTAATAAATTAGAATAAATTTTAAATGAAAGATTAAACAAGTAAGTCTCTGTTAATTTAGTATGTCAATATTTACTTTAATTGTTATTTGCATTAAATTACTTAGAAATCCAATAGATTAATGTCTCATTAGATTTAGACACAATATTTTTAAATTCTTTTGGATCACTCAGAATATAATTTGATTTACTTTCTCATAAAAATTGGAAAGATGAAGTTAAATATCTTTAACAAGTTCTAAAAAAAACTAATTTGGATTGGGAATCATAAAAATCACATGAATTGACTTAAATCCTTAAATCACTAATGTAACCTAATCCACCAAGTGTTTAATAAATGATTAATCATCCTTATTTATTGAAAGCTATGTTTGATTTTTGTAAATAATAAGATCTAGAAGCTTAAGCTTAATTAAATTAAGAAAAATTAATTAAAGAGCAAACCAATAATAAAAGAGTAGTTAGAGCATCTACTTCTGCTAATTAACATAGATAAAAAATAACATAATAATCTCCTACTTAAAGGAAGAATTCAAAGGATAGACCATAAACTAATTAATAATAAAAGAAGAAACCTGAACAATAGATTAAATAATAACCAATTAAAAATTAAATACCTCCTAGACCTATCAGATAAAGGAATAATTCTTAAGATATTGTGATTAATGAATCAGTTTTAAATCAAGATTTACTAATGACTAAAGGTAAATAGGAATTGTAAGAATTATTAAAACTCTATAAAGACTAGCTTAAAGAAAGTAGTAAATAATATAATCCATGGCTTAATATGTCTGAAATTAAGGAAATCACTGAATATGATACAACTACTAACTTAAATCAACAGGCATGAAATTTATATCAAAAATTATATAATTATTTCAATATTTCAATTATAATTATGAAACTTATTATTAATCAAAGTATTATAATAAAAAATTATTACTTAACTAAATTAAAAATAATTTAAGTCAAATTCATAATCAAAATAGAAAGATAATCAAATATTTATCTATAGAGAGGTGTTGTTATTTGATTTATGAGATTATATTTATAGAATTTACATCTAATAGAACTTATTTAATTTATAATATAAAATATTATGTTTATAATTCCACAATTATAAAATGGATTATAAACATAAAAAAATGAATAAAGAAATGAATAGAGATTTGAATTAAATTTCCTTTGGAAATAAATAGAATAAATAAATTTAATAACTAAAGAAGTCATATAAAAAAAGAGTTCAATAGTCAATCAATCATCATCATGAAGATTATTCTGTTAAGGTTATATATTGCCCTTTTACATAACTGGTTATCTTTAAGGAGAAAAAATAGATAGTAATGCATATGCAGCAAATAGTGTGAACATAATGAATGCTAATCCTAATGTTGGTGACGTGTTGGATGATGTAGGGTTTTGATTTGCTATTGGAATAATCAAAATATTAATTACTCATGCTTCCATTTTCATTTAATTATCCATTCAAATTCGCTAATGATATGTATATTTGATTTGCATGATTAACAATTGATTCGCATAAATCGTTGTTCATTTCAAAAAAATAATAATAAATAATTTCTAGAAAACAGAACAGTTTTTATAGCATAAAATACGTAATAAAATTTATTAAATTATATTTTTATAATTATTTATCAAACATTTATAAAAATATTGCTTAATATCTGATAAACACTTGGTTGAAGTTACATATTATTTCTAGAAATAAATTGAATCCTTTTTTTTTAATGATAAATTGCCTTAATGAGAAATAACCTTGATCTAGTTTCTTCAATTTAAATAACAAACACTTAAATGATATTTACTTAGGTTTTTATATGAATATTTGAGTAATTTTTGCCATTTAATAATGTTCAAATATCTAGTTTATTTTCTAAACTACTTTTAATAATACTTGAAATTATTGAATTTATATTACATAATTTTAATTATAAGAAATATAAATTAAGATCATTAAACATAAATATGAAATCGACTTTAATTTTTCTTTGTCTTTTTTTAGATATTTTTCATTTCAAGAATTCTATTCTTTATGTCTTTACTATAAATCTCTCCTAAGAATCAAAGAATTCTAGTAATTAAGTGATCATCTTATAATTATTGTATGTAATATCATTAATTAAAAACAATCTTTAATGGAAGAGAAAGTGTACATATCAGAAGAAGGAATGAGATCATTATTAAAAGATTTTGATGCCAAAGACCCACTAAAAAATGTCTTATGGACTACTAATTATAGAATGGAATTGCCAATTAGAGTAAAAAAATCTGGTCCAGGAAGTGAAATACCAATTACTCTTCCAGAATAATTTAAAAATGATTGCACTCAATTTGCCTAAAAGCCTGCTTTAAGTGTAAAGAGGAATAATAAATGGTAATGATGTGTTGAATAAAATAGGATTACTAGAACATATGAGGAATATTATAATGAATCTATGTAATTTGCAAAGGCTTTAATTGCTTATGGAGTAACAGAAATGAGTGCAGTAAATATAATAGGTTTTAATGCTCCTGAATGGCACATATCTTTTATGGGAAGCATTCATGCTCATAATTTACCTGTTGGAATTTATACTACGTAAGAGATAAAATTAATACGTATTTAGAAATAATCCAGATGCATGTTTCTATGTTTCAGATCATTCTGAATGCGAATTAGTAGTAGCAGATACTAAAGAATAATTACGCAAGTATTTGAAAATTTGGGATAAATTACCTCGATTAAAAGGAATTGTATTATATAATGATGATATTCCAACAATTGAAATCCCTGAATAAAGAAGATCATAAGTATTTAAATGGAAAGATTTTATTGAAATGGGCAAAAAAGCAGATTTGATGGGTTCAGTATTAGAAAGAGTATCAAAATTAAGACCTGGAAATTGTGTTACATTAATTTATACATCAGGAACAACAGGAAATCCAAAGGGAGTTATGTTATCACATGATAATTATGTGTTTACAATTACTTAATAAAAAAGGAAGTATGTAATGTAAGGTACTGGAGAAATGAGATTGGTAAGTTATTTACCTTTAAGTCATGTTGTAGCATAATTAATAGATATTATTGGTTTTGCTAGATGGGGAGCACATTTATTCTTTGCAAATCCAGATGCTCTATCAGGATCTCTTATAAATACTCTTAAAGAGGTCAGACCTACTCTATTCTTTAGTGTACCAAGAGTATGGGAAAAGATTTATGATTAAATGTAATAAATAGCAAAATCAAATGGAGCTATAAAAACAAAGATAGCTAATTGGGCAAAATCAATTGGTAAAGAAGGTACTTTTGCATAAACTCATGGTCTTAAACCTCCTCTTTGTTTTGGATTGGCAGATAAATTAGTATACTCAAATGTTAAAAAAGCATTAGGATTAGATTAAGCTTAATATATGATATTTGGTGCAGCACCCTTATCCCCTATTATTAGAGAATATTTCTTAACTTTAAATATGTATTTAATCAATGGATATGGTATGAGTGAATGTGGAGGTGTCTAAAATATGGCAGATCCTTTTCACTTTGATAAATTTGATGAATTATTTATTAATAGTACAGGTAAACCTATGGAAGGAACTGAATTAAGAATAGATAATCCAGACAAAGATGGTAATGGAGAAATTTGTTATAGAGGCAGACATATATTTATGGGTTATTTTAAGGATGAAGAATCTACAAGAAATACAATAGATAGCAATAGATGGTTACATTCAGGAGATGTTGGTAAAATTGATAAGAATGGTAATTTAATGATAACAGGAAGAATTAAAGAATTGATAATTACAGCAGGAGGTGAGAATGTAGCACCAGTTTTAATTGAAGATGAAGTAAAAAAGAATATTAAGATTGTTTCAAATTGTATGGTTATTGGAGATAAGAGAAAATATTTATCCATTTTATTAACATTAAAACATTAATTAACACCTGATGGATAGTAATATTTATATTTTAATATTATCTAGACCTACTGATAAACTAAATGATGATGTTATTGCTTTATTTAAGAGTCTTGGTTCATCAGCCATTACAATTGAAGAAGCCAAGAATGATAAAGCTATTACTAATTATATATAGTAATTGATTGATGAAACTAATACTAAGTAATCAATTATTTTTATAATTTAAGAGTTATTTCTAAAGCTCAATATATTAGAAAATGGACTTTAATTCCTGGTGACTTTAGTGTTGATGGTGGAGAATTAACACCAACTTTAAAATTGAAAAGAAGAGTAGTAGAATAGAAGTGGCTTGCTGAAATTGAGAAAATGTACTAAGATGCCAAGTTATGAAATTATTAATAAAATATAAATAAAAGTTAAATGGATCAACCAAAAATTATAGTTGCAGTCAGAAAGCGTCCATTATCTAAGAAAGAAAATAAAGAAGGTTAGAAGGATATTGTTGAAGTTCAGGGTAATACTGTTATTGTTCGAGAACCAAGGTACGATTAGTATAATCCTATTAGAATGAAAGTTGATTTAACTAAATTCATAGAAGAATTCAATTTTAATTTTGATGCTGCCTTTGACCAATAATACACAAATGAGGATTTGTATTAGTAACTTGTAAAACCTATGGTACAAGCAGCAATAAATGGAACAAAAATTACATTTTTTGCTTATGGTTAAACTGGATCTGGTAAAACATACACAATGTTGGGTGATTAAAATGTGGTAGGAATATATACTTTAGCAGCATATGATTTATTTTAAATGATACCAAATTCAATGGTGTTGAGTGTTTCATTCTATGAAATATATTGTTCTAAATTATTCGATTTGTTAAATGATCGTGTACAATTAATAGCTAGAGAGGATGCTAAAGGTTAAGTCAATATAACAGGTTTATCAGAAACAAAAGTGCATAGTGTTTAGGAGTTTTAAAAAACTGTAGAAATGGGAATCAAAAGTAGAGTTACAGGATAAAATAGTGTTAATTAAGATTCATCTAGATCTCATGCTATTTTATAAATAAATTTGAGATAATAAAATAAAATCATTGGCAAATTGTCATTTATTGATTTAGCAGGTAGTGAAAGAGGTGCTGATGTTGTTGAATATCATAAACAAACTAGAATAGATGGAGCTGAAATTAATAAGTCATTATTAGCTTTGAAAGAGTGTATTAGAGCTCTTGATCTTAATAAAAATCATACACCCTTTAGAGGATCTAAATTAACTTAAGTTCTTAAGGATTCATTCACTGGAAATTGTAGAACTCTCATGATTGGTACTATATCTCCTTGTCACAAAGATGCAGAACATAGTCTCAACACTCTAAGATATGCAGATAGAGTAATTTTGTTATCTAGCATTTAATTTAGGTTAAGGAATTGAAAGCTCCATAAGCATCTAATGGTGTAGATTAATTAACAAGAGAATTAATGTTACCAAGATAATATATAATGAATAATTACTTATTTGAAAGTCCTTAGGCTGTTAAATCTAATTCACCTCCTAAATTATTTGATCATGATAATGGAGATTAATATGAAGATGAAGTTTATATGAAACCAAGTAGAAATAATAATCTTAAGGATAAATATGATGAACTAATTTAATAAATATTAGATGAAGAAAGAGCTCTTAAAAAGGCTCATAGAGATCATATTGATGATTTAATTGAATTGGTTAATGATGAAATGAAAATGTTATAAGCTGTAGATTAACCAAATTCTGATATTGAAGAATATGTTGATGGTCTTGATCATGTTTTAATGTTGAAAATTGAAAAGATCATGAGGTATATTCATAATTTATTTATTATTTAGATTACGCAAGAAATTACAATAATTCAAATAGCATTTGATGGATGAATAAGATTTAGCCCATTAATGTTAGACTCATTTCTATCAGAAACCACACTAAAACTGATTATATAATTATATTTATTATAAATTAGATGGAAAATAACTAAGAACCAGAACCTCCAAGTCATTTCTAAATCTGGTAGTCTATTTTTTTTTATTTATATAGGCTAACATTTATTGAAATGGTAGCTGTGTTAGTTTGCCTTGCTAATAACATGGACAAATTACATAGTATGAAAAATAAGAATCTGAAATTTTGGTTTCTGGTGAGTATGAATGCATCGAGTGCATTCAGGGGTATAAGTCTCCTTCTAATAATGGAATAGCCATAAGGCATATGGTTAGACTTTCTATACACAGCACCAATCCTATTTTGGATCCAATCTTACATCATATTCATTGGACATCTAGCCATTTGCATAAGTGTACTAGCTAATAAGGATACTAATATCATTCAGTACTCCATATACTATAGCCCTGTTTGTCTAGGTAAGTTGTTTATAGACCCTTAGTCTTATCTTATGTTTACTTTTTACTTAAGGATGGATTCTTGGAAAGAGTGTTAATTCTGTAATTTTTACTCTATGCCGCACTTATTATTGGATGTTTATACTTTAGCAATAAGTTATTTTCTGATGTACTAAAACTTAACTATAGCAGCTAGAAGATGATGATTGGATTGTACCTTTCCTTACATAAGTCAATAAATTGATCTAAACTATATCAATAAGTTTGGCACTTAGATTGCTTATTTTTTTTCTAATCTTTGCCAATTATGTTAAATTGAACATAGATTTAATTCTTATAGTATTTTTCCTAATTCAATTCAAATTTAGGAAGTATTTATTGGAGAATTAGTTCCATATTATGCTTTGACATTTTTCAAAATACCTCCTCCTCGGCATGACAATGATTCCAGAGCAGGAACCTAGTTGGAATTACAAAATTTAGAAGGGCCACTATTGAAATGACAAATATTATAATTTATAGTTAGTTTAAAATATTCATAATTTATTAGTCTTTATTCTCATAAAAACTAATAGATTTTAATTAAATTGAATTATTTATAAGATGCATGTGGGTTATATTAAAAATGTGATATAATTATATTATATTTGAATTATTAAATTAAAGAGATTCAATATATATATTGAATATAAGATGATCTTATTCATCAAATTATTATTAAAATTCTGAATCACTATCTAATTAAAATAACCAAATATATCTTATTTTGACCAATCAAGAGTATTAATTAATATTATGAAGTAATTTAAATTTCACACAAAAACAAATTAACGATATTTATAATTATAATATTTGAAATCAAAATGTCAACCACAACTACTCAAACGACTTCTAAAAATGAATTAGTTAAGTGGATAAATGAAACCTTTAAAGTAATCAATTAAATATCTATGAAATTAGTTAACAATTACATAACTAGAAACACTTGGCACAGGTAGTACATTTTGTTAAATATTTGAATATTTATATCCAAATACAATACAAGGAAATAAAATCATTTGGAAAGCTAACAAAGAGAATGATTATATCAAGAATTTCAAGACCTTAGCAGATGCTTTTACAAAACTCAATATTTAAAAATAATTAGATGTACACTGTTTTTATTATTTTAGATCTAATCACTTTCAAAGGCTAAGTATTAAGACATTTTAGATTTGGCATAATTCTTGAAATAAAAATTTGATAAATAAACAGAAAAAAGAGAAAATTATGATCCAATTGAATTTAGAAAAGTAGAAGAAAGAAAAGTGTTTACTCCAACTAATAGAAAAACTTTATCAACTTTAAAAGATAAGACAAATAATGAAAACACAACTACATCTACTCATTCTTTATTAGTTAAAAGACCACTTTCAAAAACCTCCTCTTGGAAAACTACAAAACCAACATTCACTAAAACACCTGAACTTAGTTCTATAACAGAAATTATCAATAATACAGAAGATGATGAGGCAACTAAAGTTAAAAAGATCAAAACACTATTCATTTGAATTAAAATTAAATATATATACAATCATAAGTTCGATATTAAATTATTATAATAATATAAATTTATGAATGCTAAAAATTAAATAAATATATATTTTTTTTAATGATTTCATAAAAATTAATATTTAATTAATTAAGGAATTAATTATTAGATGCATCTCTTATCTTTTATACTTCCTTCAGTAATATTATTAATATATAATTTGGTTTATATAAACTGTAATTTTGGGTCATAATAAATTTTAAAACATCTCATATTTCTATAAATATAATATAGAATAAAAATATCAATAATTGATATAATTGTAAATATATTTATTTTAAATCATTGTTTATGTTTCTTAGAGTGATTCTCAACTAGATCATAAGCTTATTAAACAGTTTTAATTTCAGAAATTCTAAATTATATAATTTAATAATTATTACCTTTTACCCTTTCTAACAGCATAAGCAGCATCATATTATTCTTTGTATTCTCTAGTTTAGATGAGTAATTATTCAGTGAGACTTAGATCTCTATTTATGATAGTTAATCTTTTTTCCAAAAGAACCTTAAATAATTGAATTATAAAATACCTTATCATTAGTTCTTTTTTTGATCAATTATGAAGTGACTTCAAAATCTTTAGAAAATCTTTCTCTCAATTCAGCAATTTCTTAGAGAACAGTTTAAAATGTTATCTTTATTATAAATAAAATATTACTTGACTTTATGTTTCTTATTCATCTTCTTATTACATTAAAGCAATGACAGCATTTCTAATATGTTCCAATTTATCTATAATTCTTTTAACAGTTGGAACATCGAATTTAGTTGTCAATGCAACCATAATAGCAATTGGATGATTATGTCCTAAATCTCTTTTGATCTTTTCAACAATTTCAAATTATTCTGTTTACAATAATGATTTTCCATCTTAATCAAAAACAGCCACTTATAATTTAGGAATAATTTCATTCAATGCAGCCAATACTTTGCTATTATTTTCTTGTCTAGCTTAATAAGATGCAGCTTCTTAAGCTCTTGTTTATCTTAATTATTCTTCTTTTCCATTAAGAATATTTAATTATTCAGTAAGTGCATCTAATTATTATTGTAAACCAACAAGAATTTAATTCAATTCACTCAATTAATTATTTTTATCTTGTCTTTCCTTTGTAAGGTTTCTTAATACAATAATCAACCATTCAATGTCTAATCCTAGAGTTGTTGTTCTCTAATATTATTAATCTCTCTAAAATTACATGGGCATATTCAAGATCATCATTAAGTTAGTCTCTCTTCATTTACTCTAATAAATCTCCAACCAATGAAACAACTTCAGAAACCTTTCCTCCTTAACTGAGTTCCAAATCAAGTAAAAATGTAAATTCAGTATGTTCTGTTTTTATTGCTTTAATTTCCTTAAGCAAAATTGGGACACCTGATTCCAATTCTACTGCAGTGATTCCAAATATCAATAATCCTAAAATGAGTACAGGTTTCATTATATTATTAATAATTAATAAAAACGGAATTTAATCATATAAATAATAAGAAAAGTGTTGTCATTTCACATCTCCCAAAACCTTTTCACATAAAGGACATTAATGTACTTATCTTTTACAACAATTCATACAAAATGGTATTAAACAACAACTAATAATTAAATAAATCATTTAAATAATACCCACAAAATAATCCAAAAACACACATTGTTAAACATAAACTAAAAGAAAGACATCCAGAAACATAAGTTAACTTTGTTTAAATCATACCTGCACATTCAGGACATCTAACATTTAATGAATAAGGAGGTAGATTCTCTTTATCAAGTTCTCCTATTCATTAAATTTTAAAATTTACCAAAACTTCTATATTATAAACTACTTGGATATTGAGTATTTGGAATTGCAGGTATATATTAGGGAATATTGCCATATTGAACCATATTAATTTAATTATTCTACCATTAAGTTCCTTGTATTGATTATCCTACATATATTTGTTACAAATTTTCATCAGGAGGAGGATAACTATTTAGTTTGATTTCATTGTTACTTATAATTACTAGCAGGTTTATCAAGATCAGGATATTGAATCATAAATAGTTATTATTTATCTAATAATCAAGTTTGTTTATTATTTTATTTTATAATAAAACTTTTCTCACATATTCTTAAAAGATTAATTTCAATATAGAAGAAATACTGATATAAGATATTAAGTTGAATACTTTCTAAATTGCTTCAGTTAAATAGGAATTAGTCTTTCAAATTCAATTAATACTATCTAATCTTATAAAATGTATAATTAGCATTAATATTATATATGAATTCAAATTTATGTCAAAAATCTCTTAAACAATGATGTGAATAATCTTTTGATCTTTTTATTTATCATTGTATAAGTAAGAATAACTGATCAATAAAATATAAGAATAATTTAAATATTTGATTTTATAGGATTTCCTTTCCTAAATATTATATTATTTATAAATGAGTGAAAATCAATAAGATGATCAAATTAGCCCTTTGGATTTCGGAAAATACCATACAGAACCATAGAGAGATCATCGAGAGATAAAATATATGCCAACAAAACTTAGTGAGCCAAGAGGGAGTCAATAGTATCCCTAACATGTTGGTGTTGTTATAGAAGATGATACAACCTCAAATAATGATTCTAAGTGGTATGCTAAGAATAATCAATATAAATTGCTTATTGGAAATGAGAGAACTGGCTTTGTTAAAAAAGTAAAAAATTTTAAATTAATAGGTCTATTCAATTATGATAATTTAATTGCTTATAACTATGATAATGTGTGTAATATCATATTTCTCAATTGATTATAGAATGTTCTAGTTATAGCACAGTGGTTATGCATATTTGGCTTTAGGAATTGCAATCTTCATAGAATTATTACTGTTTTGCATACCTAAATTTGCTTGGAGAGTACCCTATAATTATATTCTTTTGATGATCTTCACTATTTGTGAAGGGTATATGATTTCTAATTTATGCAGTTATGTATTTGACAAATATAGTTAAAATGGTGGTAAACTGATTTTCTTTATTTAAGGTTATATTGTATTGATGGCTGCCAGTTTATCTTTAGCAGCAGTATTAGGATTAACTTTTTATGCTTGCAAGACAAAATCTGATTTTACAACAAAAGGAGCTTTACTGTTTATGTGTACTACTTCTTTATTGTTGTTTGGGATAATGGCAGGAGTATATTACTAAAATGTAATTAATCTTCTCTACTCATTGATATGTAGTCTCCTTTTTGGAGCCTATTTAATTTATGATACACAATTAATTTTAGGTGGAAGTGTAATATATAAATATCATTATATAGACACATAAATTATCTATTGATGATTATATAATAGGATCTATGATTATTTACATTGATATTGTCTACTTATTTGCACACATTTTAATTGTATTGATAGCATGTCTTAGATGAAAATTTATTTGTTTTTAAATTTACATAAATATATTTAATTATTCATCTTCTATAAGGAGCCAAACTGCTTCTTCTAACCTCTTCTACTTCTTTTTCCTTTTCTTAAACTCTAGCTCTCAGACTTTCAATTTCTGCTGATTGCATCTAAATTTAGAATCATAATATTACCACAAAGTGAAATAAGAGATCTTAAATTTTTCTTGTTTATGCTCCACCATCTGCATATTATAGTCTCCATTATTTGAGTTCAGTTTCATTAGCATCAATGATTCCTTATAATCTATCGATTTCATTAGACAAAACTCTAATCTAAAGACATATTATAATTTATTTACATTTTCTTCATATTATTTTAACTAAATAATTTATTATTCTTATTAATAACATTTCTTTTTTAATTAATCAATTTCATCTTATCTATTCATTAATAATTAATTTAATCTTTCTATTTCTGTAGATAACATAGCACATCTATTTTCTAATTCAATATATTTAGATTTATATAATTCTAAGGAATTATATTTCTATTTTAAATCATCATATTATCTTTATAATAAATTATATTATGATTCTAATCTTTCTTTATCCTTTCTTAATTCATCTGATTCTGAAAATGCTTTTCTTAATTATTAATTAACTCTTTCCAATTCTTAATTACTAATTTAAATCTTATTTTCATATCTTTATATTTAAGTTCTATAATCATCAATTTCTCCATTTCTTAATCTCAATTATTCATTCAATCTTTAATTTTCAGTTGTTAAATTCATAATTTTCTATTCTAAAATTGAACAATTTTCTTAAAATATTTTCAAACTTGCTATCTAATTTTCTAATCCTAATCTTTTACCCTTTTCTTCATCTTGTAATTTTTATAATAGATTATTTCTATCTAATGCTTTATATAATTAATCATCCTTAATTTTTAATTAACTTTAATAATGAGATATTTGATTAGTCAATTATTCATTTTCATCAAAAATTTCAGCTTAAACTTATGTCAATCTATCAATTTCAGAACAATGTAATATTATTCTTATTAATGATTATTTCCACTTATCTTCAACTATTCTATTAGTTTAACTCAATTCAGAATAAGCTTATTCTAATCTTCTATATTTAGACATCCATTCTTCTGCTTCTGTAGATTTCAATCCCATACTTTATTTCAATTTTTAAATATCATTCATCATCTATCTTCTTTATTCATCAAATTCTTATGATTTCTATTAAAATAACATTTTTTATCTTTCTAATTCTTATGTAATCATAGCAATAGTATTTTCATATTCAACTAATTTCTTATTTTTCATTAATGATTCTTATAAATCATATTCTATATTAGTATATTTTCTTTTCCATTCTTCTATTTATTTTTACAAAGATTAATTAATTTATTCTTGATTATTAATTTCTTTTTATAATTAATTTTGATTAATTTATAAATTTTATAATTCTAATTATTTCTATCTCAATTATTCTTACATTCTATCAATTTCTTAAGTTAAACAACTTAATTTATTTTTAATATCATTATATTAAATTGATTTATTTTTAAATTCTTATTCATAATGTTAACATTTTTATTTCCATTCTTCTAATTCATGAATCTTTTATCTTAAAATATTATTTAATCTTTCAATTTCAGAAGTTAATAATTCAATTCTACTAATTAGATCTTAATTTCCTTATTCTAAATTATGATTTGATTATTATAATTAATAATTTTTCATTTTTTAATCTTCTAAATTATTACTCAATTATTAAAACATATCAACTTAATCTTTTAATTACATTTATAATGAATCTAATTTATTTAATTTCTATTTCATTTCTTTGCATTAATTATCTGAATCAAAATACTTTTATCTCCATTCCTCTCCTTATTTTATCTTTTCTCTTAATACTTAATTCAGTCTATCAATTTCACCTTACAAAAGAACTATTTTGTTTTACATTTAATCTATAATTTAATCTTAATCCTTGTATTTAATTAATTCATTTTAAGTCATAACATAAGCTTAATTTAGTTAATCATAATCTTTCTACTTTTTATCAAATTAATTTTATAACTATCTTAATTCAGATCTCCATTTTTCAGATTCTTAAGTCATATTATTATAACGTGCTTTATTCATTTCCAATTCTTCTAATTTCTATTTCAATAAATTGTTTAATCTTTCAGTTTCACAAACTAACATACCAATCTTATTTTCCAATTAAACTATTTTTTCTTCCTATTATTTGTATTATTAAAATTCAGCCTCATATTAATTCAATTCTACTTAATAATACTCTACTGCTTATTATTTACTTAATAATTATTCTTTAAGTTTTTATAATTCATTATCCTAGATATATTTAATTACTCATATTACATTCATTTATTTTTAAACAAATAATTGATTCTTTAAATCATCTATTTCTTTTTATTATTTTGAATTTCCAACCAAAAGTTATTATTTCAATTACTCATTTTCATTTCTGTATTTTTCCTCATTATTAAAATATCTAATCTTCCAATTCTCAATCTCTTCTGTATATTAAGAAGTAGTAATCTCGACTTCTTATCTTAAACCATCATATAATTATATACCTATACATACTCTCCTAATATTGCATTTACATAAGTCTAGCTTATAAATCTTCTATTTATTTTTCATAACTATTTCTATCAAGCAATTTATCATCCATCTCTTTTATTCTATATTTAAGTTTATCATTTTCAGCTACAAATCTTTCAACCTCACAGGCCATCAAAAAACAAACAATATCAAGGTTTTTACCTAATTATTATCTAGCTGGTGGAGGGTTATTAATTTATGATGAATAGATACTATTTCCAGACCTATTTACTATAAACACAATTAATTACATTGATCTTTTCATTTGAGAAACTCCTAAATTTTGTGTAACTGAAGTACACTGTCTAACTGTACTTGTAATCACCTTTGATGAAGATTAAGAAGTAAAATATTCTTTATTTTAAGTGACTGGTTCTAATGGAGATCGACTATATGTATTCATTTTGAATTCAAATAATTATTAATAAAGATCGTTAATTTTATATTAACATAAAAATTTGTCAATCTTATTACTTTACAATACTAAAATATTACAAATTATATTCCATTTTCTATTAACTCTTCTATCATCTATAAAATATAATAAAAATTTCATATTCAAATGTAATCTCAATAATATCATATTATCTTAATCTACTATTTACATCATAAACTATTTAGTCAAATTTGGATAATTTATAAACTTTCTTTTATTATATTTTATTGGTTGTTATAAATTAAATGCTTAAACCGAAAATAAGCAACCCAAATAGTATTGCATTAATTAATTTAGACAAGATTACTGGATGTAAGGTTGAAAGTCAAATAAAACCCAAGATGACTGTTAATGAAAATAGACAATTAGGACATACAGAATCTGATTAACAAGATTTTTTCATGGAAAGCAAATTAAATCCTAGTCAAATAGTTACACCAAACAAAATTAAAAAGAAGAAAAAGAAAAAATCTAAGAAATCTTCATAGAAATCTAAAACTGAAATACAAAAAAGTGGACTCAAAACTAAAAAGTCTATTTCATAAGTATTTCCATGGGGAGTAAATCAGTAAAGACTAAGGAATTATATTTTATCTGAATAAGAGAAATATTATAATGCGATTTAACGTCGAAATACAAGAACAACAATTGATTTCAAAGATAGAAGATAATAAATTGGTACATCCTTTTTAAACCAATATACAGAAAATAATCTTAAATAAATGATTAAAAGTAATATGATTTATTAAGCTAGAGAAAAAGTCTTTTCATGATGAGAATCAACCTAAATAAAAATTAAAAATATCAACTACCTTACAAAAATAATACAAATAACTTCTAAAGAAACCTAAATATTTGAATATTCTACCTAATCGACTTAAAATAAGTTCTATTCATTATCCAAGTCCTGCTTAGAAAATATAAAAGAGAAATAGAAGTCTTTCATAAGGTTAGCATAATAAATAAATTTTAAATAATAGGATTAGAACAGGTTCTCTTCATGAGAAAACTGGAAATTTATTTGAAGCAACAACTTAAAAATTAAAATTTAAGAAACCTTTAAAACAAAAAAAAATAGTTATATAGTATTAGAATATTGAAGACAATTTTCTATATAATAATAAAAAAGAATCTAATTAATATAAAAATGAATCAAAACCTCATTCATCTTTATACAAATTAATGAGTAATTCAAGCAGCAATAATATTCCTAATGATAGTGATAGAGAATAGAATATTTAAGACTTAAATGATAGCACTTATAGTAAAAAAAATATTCTAGATACTTATTCTGAGGAAGAGGGAGAAAATAAAAAATAGAAAGGAAATAATTTATTTTAAATGAGAAAATGTTCAATTCCTGAAATTGATAATGAAGAAAATTATTTTAAAAAATAAAATTGTAAGAAGATTACTTTACCTTAGAATATTTTTTCTGTTGAAAATTAAGCTGCTATTATAATTTAAAAAGTTTGGAAAGGATATAAAGTTAGATAAATATAATTTAAATCTAAATTCTAAGAAAAGAAACAATTCAATAAAAATAAAGATGGATTAAATTTAAAAAGTTTAACCAAATCTTAAATTAATAAATTAATCAAATATGGATTATTAAAAAAAGAATCAATAGATAATTCTTAACTTGTAGATGAATCTAGTTTTTTAAGCTATTCAAGACCTAATTCTTAAATGGATAATCAAAAAGAAATAAAAAAGTTGATAGAACCAAATTAATATTAAAAATTTATAGAAAATTTTTAAGATGATATTGATTATTTACCTAATCTATCTAACTAATAGAATTAAGTTTAAAATAAATTTAAAGATATTTAATTGTAAATAATATCTGAGCATACACCTGAAAAAATTAAGAAAATATATCAGAATTCCTAAGATGAACAAATCCAATCCTTTGGTAATTAAAAATCAAGAAAAATAAGTAAATTGTCAATTGATGTTGAAGAATAAGAGGAAGAGAATAAAGTTGATATTGGAGAAATTAGATGTGCTTTTGGTTCAGAATCATTATTAAAGAGTTTATCATAAGAAGGTGAATAATCATTCTAACAAGATAAAGGATTATTTGAATAAACATCATTTTAAGATTTCGTTATGAATAAATTTAAAGAACTTATGTAGAGAGACAAGATGGATTAATTAATTGCTTTAAGAGAAGAAGCAGTTTAATAAAGACAATAATAAACATTGAAATAGATTGATAAAGCTTTTTAAAATAATTAAATATCCCCTAGAACATTTGAATTTTAATAAAGAAAAATAGAAAAGTGGGTTAATAAATAAAAAACAGATTTAGAATAGAAAAAGAGAGAGATTTTAAGAGGATAATAAAGTATATTTGATGCTATTGTTAAAACTTAAAGAGATTTACAATTTGTTAAATAAATGTAATCATCATAAAATTCATAAACATACATAAAAATAGTTGATTCTTTAAGTTAAGAATCTGCAAATTATTCTGAAAATTCTCTAAAGAGTTCAATTATAGATATTTAAATATCTAATTCTTAGATGTTATAATAATATTAGTAAGAGGATAAAAATAAAGCTTATGAGGAAGTAGTTACAATTTAGAGAAAAAGTAATAATATATTAGAAGAAAAAGAATTAATTTGTCCTGAACCCTTTAATCTAAAAAAGTTGGCTTAATCTTAATTTGTTAGAAATGTTGAATAGTTGAAAGAACCATAAAAAATATCAGAGAAATGTGCTGATTCATACTCTATTTTGATTTCAAATATGTTAATATAAGAGGAAGTAAATTAATTTTATACAGAAATGTAAAGAAATGGTATTGATTTATATGAAATAATAAACAATTCTTAATTAAATCGTAGGACATAGATTGCTTAATCAAAAGAATAAAAGATTTAAGGACTTAAGACTAATGTAACATAAATTAAAACATATCTCAAATATTTAGAGGAGTACTTGATAGGTAATCAAATTATTTAATATCATTAAGATAATGTAATGATTTAAATTTAGAGAATAATTAATATTCCTTTGGGTCCATCATCTAAAATAATGCTTAAGTTTCTTTAGCCAATTAGAGATTCAGCTGAGTCAGATTATGATTCAAATGGAGCATAACATTAAATTATTCTTAGTGTAGAGTTGTTTGGCAAATTTGAAAGATTTTTAATGGAATAAAGAATAATTAACCATTAAAATAAACTATTAATTGAATTAGAGCATATACATAATAAAGCAATTTTTGATTCTTTAAATGAAGCACTTGATTATTTTAGACCATATGGTTTAAATGGATAACCATTTTTATGGAAATCTGATCCAACAAAATTAAGAGCAAGGGAGGTTTAATTGACTGATATTCCTGGGATTATTCGTAAAGCTTCAGAAAAAGTTATTGATTGGAGTCATTATATGACAGGGATCTTGATTGATAAAGAAGATTCACCATTTCCAAAATCTTTTTAATTAGATTAAGAAACTATAGCATAGATAAGAGAAGACAGACTCTATAGAATGTTAACATTAGATGTATAATTAAATTAAAGAATTTTAGATAATAGATAATGAAGATAGATGGACAAATTATGATGAAGAGACTACTGAAATATCTATTGATTTATCAGATCTATTATTTGATCATCTAATTGAAGAGGTAGCATTTGAGATGTATAAAAAATGATGTTTTTGTTGAATATATTAAAATTTCAGTTTTTGTAATTTGTTCATGTCTAATGTTTAATTACTTATAAAAGATTATTTCTTATTTATTTAACATCAATTTCATTTTATGTTCTAAATATTAAATAAATAATATTTACTGTAAGATTTGATTTAAATTGATGAATATTAAACTTTAATTTAATAATTGAGTATCAAAGATACCTGTATAATTTTATAAATCTGCTAAGAAAGAGAGGTCTTATCCTTTTTCCATATAATCTAAGACCCATTCCTCTTATAATTCAGTATAAATAATCTTATCAAATTCTTCCTCTGTAAATATATCCACAGAATTATGATAAGCATACTTTATTTCACAAGGAAGCATTTCTAGTTAATCTTTGAGTTTATTAATGAGATCTAACATTTTAGTTTAAATTTCAATTAATTATCTATTCTTTTGATCTTATTATAAATTCGAAGTTGAAAATTGAGAGTTAGATATTTTTGTTTTTTTGTAACCTTAATATATTAATACAGCTTTAGCTATATTTGTATGATGTTATTCTAAAGAAAACCATTTTAAAATTTTCTCTGTATTATCTTAGTCAAATTAAAGTAAACTTACTGGTTTCTCACCTCCAAGAATATCTATTTTTTCCATCACTTTCTTTAGTGAAATTTTAAATGAACTTAATATGACTTTAATTAGTTCATTTTTAATCTATGACCAATGTTAATACTTTCGTGGATATTAATTTAAATAATAGAATAAATGACTAAATCTATTTATGGTTAAAAAGTCTTCATAATTTGAGATGTAGATTGTTCTTGAATATTCAATTTATTACTCATCCTAGATTGGAAATATGAGTTTAATTAAATTCTTTATATTTAAGAATAAATACTTTTCTAAATTAGTCATATTATTTAAATAAATTTAATATCCATTTAAATCCTTATAATTAAACTTATTTAATTTCTTGTAACTTATCACTTTAAATTAATTCAATCCTTTTTTGACTCTCTAAAACTACTTCAATTAATTATTATAATGAACTATTGTTATTCTTCTGATCAATTTCATTAAAATCTTCAATAATCATTTATAGATTTCCAGAATGTAAATATTGCATAGATTCTAATAAACATATAACATCTTTCTCAAATGTAATATCTGATTGCAATTACTATTTAATATGTTCAACATCTTAAGAAACTTTTTTTCTTTATAATTTTATAGCAATTTATTCTAATTAATGTGATTAACTAAAGAACTTTTCAATATTTATCTTTTTAAGGTTTTAATTTTCAATATCACTTAATTGTAATTATTATGGTAAATTAACAACAATTTCTTATATTTTTAAATCCATAGTTTATCTTTATTTTTAATAGCTATCTTTAAATGTCAAATATTAAACATGTGCATCAATATCATGAATATTAACATATGGTTCTACTTTGGGACTCAAAGAATTAATAAATTTAAGTTCTGCTTCAATCTTTTTTACAAATTTCTCTTTAAATTCACTTAAAGTAGGATGTTATTATTAAATATTGTTTATTTTTACCAATATTATTTTCAATATACATTTAGCTTATTATACTTCTTAATATAAGTTAATAAGATGTTACCATTATTCTTTAGTTATTGTTTATTATAAATTATAGAAAATTTAATCAAAAAAGTCCTAAAAATTATTATTTTAATATTTTTTAAATTCATCTATCATAGGAAGTATGAAATTCACTGCTGTTTTCTATGAATTAACTTAATTTTGAATAGTATCAATAAATAAACATGATTTTTAATAAATCTTATTCTTCATAGCAAAAAAGTATTTGGTCTAATTAAAATGTACAAATTTAAGTTCATCTTTTTAATATTTAAATTAGTAATAGTTATCTTTGTAATTTTAAGGTTATTAATTTAAATAAAATATAAGATATTAATAATAATCAAAGCTATCATAATATTCTTATAACAATTCTTTATGAATTACAATTTTATCAATTGCAGCTAGAGATAACCTATAATCTTAGATAATTAGTTAGTAATTTTATAAAGATATTTATATATCTTTTGAAACTCCTTTAAAATATATAGAGGATACTCTTTATAAATTAATCATTTTTTATTAAAGCTCTTATTCTTATTAAGGGAATGATTTAATTAATTATAACAATTTAGAGCAAATAGATTTATATTATTGATGATTTTGATTGATATTTCCAAATCTAAATTATATTTATAATATTATTTTACCTTCTTTTTTCTGAAAGTGTTAATTCATACTCTTTAGCAATTAATTCTATATCTGAGAAATGTTTAAGTGATACTGATGTGAATTCAGCTTCACTTATTATTTCTGATTCATCAAAAGCTTTATGTAATCTCTCATAAGCAGCCACCGAAATTACTGACATAAAGTTATAAGCTTCATTAAATAAATCTCTTAATTCATCAGCTTTAGATTCAAATTGATTAAATGCATATTTGATTTCTCTTTAAAATTTTGAATAAGAAGTGCATTAATCATATTAGTTTAATGTAGTCTGAATATTTTTAAGTTATTAAGTAATATTTAATTTTTATTGTTTAATTCTACTATGCTTTTCAATAATAGTATGAACAGTTCGACCTTCCATTTTAATACGATCTCTTATGTTTTCTGCATCAATTTCTAATTATTAGTAATATTAAGGTTCAACATTTGAAGATATTAATCTTGAAGCTTAAAGGTTTGATTAATTCATTGGTACTGTAGATCTAAATAATGTGAAAATATTTTCTAAATTCTCTAATTAAACCTCTTTCAATAAACTTTGTTTTGCTGGGTCTTCTTAAGATATTTACTCATTTCTAATTTCACTTTTTATTTAACCTTCAATCTTTGAAGCAGGTTTTTATTACTCAATTTCTATTGGTGCAATATATGATAATTCAGGATCAATATTCAATGAATTAATACTTAACTAAGGTTATTTTTAAGTTGGTAATTGCAAGTGATTTTGAGTATAATTTGGTAGAGTGTTATCAAATATTCTTTTCTTTTATGTTGACGAAACATTATTAATGTTACTTGTATTAACATATATGTTTGACATATTTAATAATAAATTATGAATAAAATTAATTATAAATTCATATAATCTTTCTTTATTTGATAATTATGTTATTATTAATTAGGAAATGTTAAAGAGAATCAATTAAAAATAAAGATTAAAATATAAGGATTATAGATATTCTAATTTCTAAACTATTTTTAATTGATTTATAAATTAAAAAAGTTAGTATTAACAATAATATATTTTATATCGTTAATAATATTAATCTTAAAGTATCTATTATGAATAAATTAAGTAACCTTTATATAATTTCTTAATTTTTACATCAACCATAAAAACAAAAATTTGAAACATATAAATTAAAAAATTAAAATCTTTATTCATTAATTAAAATAAATAATGAGAGAAAAGTGGAGAAAGAAGAGAATGCGAAGACTTAAGAGAAAAAGACGTAAGGCACGTAAGTGATACAAGAATGTGATAAATATAAAAATATTTAATTGAACATCTTTTTATTCAAATTTTAGCAATTCTTTAAGTTCTGATTTTCTAAAGTTGGGTAACTTACAATCCATCCAAAAATATTAAATCAATTATTTAATATTTATTAAGGTTGATATAAATATACAACTATGCTTAAGAAGTTTTCATTATATGCAGTTAATTAATTATTATTTAATTTTAATGGAGCAGAAGCCTTTAAGTAGGTTCAAAATTACATCTTAAGTAATTCATAATAACCTTACTTTAAACAAAGGAGTTTTTGGAATGTGAAAATTAATCTATAAAACAAAAATAAATGTAAGAATTTATTTTATATATGTTAAGTTTACTTACAAGTTCTAAAAAAGAACCAAATAGAAATAAAGTCAGATTTAATGATATGGTAAAGAGTAATAAATATTTTGAGAAAAATCAATCATCAAAATGTTATAAAATAATATTAAGTTATTAATCTATTGATTTAAGATCTTAGAATCATAATAGTCTGTTTATTTATTTATTGAATATTTTAAAGGAGTATTGGTATATAAATATAATAAGAAAAAAAATATCAATTGGAATCCTAATTTAAATTATCCCTTCCTTTTCATTTAACAACATTATTTTTATAAAAGGAACATCATTTTAATTGAATATTATCATAGTAATTATATAACACATTCAAATTTGAATACAGAGATTATTTTATAACATGAAATGACATATTAGTCTTTGGATTGCATTTAATGCTATTAATAAAATAATGAAGATATTTATTGAGAATCTAAATACAAGATTAAATTTTAGTTAAAATATACAGTATATAATTTTTTATGAAAAAATTAAAAACATTTATTTTAAGATTGATATGAATAAAAAATATATTTTATCCAAATCATCTTAAAATATTACCTAATTTCAATTTAGCATAAGTAGGATAAGATAGTTATAATATAGTATATTGAATTTAAAATATTTGTTTAAAATAAGTTAGAAATGGAATTCAATATATAGAGATAATTATGAAATCAATTTTATTAAATTGTACTGAATTAAAAGATTAATAATAATAACTTCTTGAAGAATACAAGAATGATTAATTATTTTATTTAATAATGTAAAATCTCATTACTTTCCATATTCTTTTTAGGTCATTAGATTATAAAAATCTTAAAATGTAACAAATCCATCATCATCCAAATCAGCCTATATTAAATATATTAATAATATATACTTTCTTAAACATATGTTAAATTTCTTCATCTGTCATTTCTTCTCCTAAATCTTAAGCTACTCTTTTGAGTTCATCCCAAGTTATTCGACCTTAAATAGTAAATATATTAGTTTACCTTCTTTGTTCCAGTCATATAAATTAAATACCTTTTGAATTTAGTCTCGTGTATCTTTATCACTAACTTTTGCTGTTGCTAGATGTAAAAATTCTTCAAAATCTATTCCTCCAGAATTGTCAGTATCTAACTCTCCTAAGACTTAATAAATAAATTTATTGTGATATGTTTTAATTCCAGATGCTTCAAAAGCTTCTCTCAATTCTTATGGATCAATTGCTCCAGATCCATCATTATCAAAAATATCAAAGGCTTACTTAAAATTACAATATAATCATACTTTAACTTCTAAGACTTCTTCTTTTGTCAAATGGGGAGGTTTAGCATAATCTTCAGCATTGAATACTTTTTATTTAGGAGGTTGAGTAGGTTATGAAGTTTTTTACTATTAGTTAACTTTAGCTGGTTAAGGAGGAGGTTATGTTTATTTGTTTTATTATCTTGACATTGATAAAATAGATATTTATTTAAATAAAAGTATATTATTATCATTTTAGAATGTTTACTAATTCATGATTTTCATCTAAATATTGAAAGGATTCACATATTTGTAATTCAGTATTAGTTTCCAAAAGTGAAATAAAAAAAAGTTCTTAGAATTCTTATTTCAAATGATTAAGCTATTAGTAAATTATTATTATAAATACTGCATTCCATAAATCCAATAATTCAAGTCCATTACGAATACATAGACATACAACTATAGATGGATCAATAATTTAATTGTGTATTAATTAAATATTTTAACAAGAGTAAGAAGCTTGATTTTTTGAAAGATCTTCAAAATTCTAAGCATTTTACACAAAATGAGGATCCAAGTAAATAAGATAATCTTGAATTCTTCCTACAATATAGAAGGCTCTATTCGAAACTCCTCCAATAATACCTTAAAAATAAGGTAAAGTCATTAAATGATTCAAGACTTCCAAATAATCTTTATTAACATTTTAGAGGCCAATTCGAGTAGGAAGAAAGATACCAATACCTTTATCATCTTATTAATTTAATTGAATATTATTTTTAACACATTCTTTTAACCATTCTAAATTACCTTTATCATAATTAAACATTTTTTGTATTGCATCCTAGAGAATAAAAGCACATTCATAATTTATATAGATTTACATGTTTACGGAGTCTTATTATGAAAATTCTATTTACATTAAGAGTATTTAAATAAGTAATTTAAAGTTTCAAGTATTTCATTAGGTTTATACCAATCTCCAGGTTCTTTCTTAAATTCAATTTTTGCATGATAAACAATTTTTTAAATAGAAAATGGAGCATGATAATATTCAACTTAGTTCTATTTAGTTTACTTAATAAAATCAATCATCTCATCATCATCATCATCTATAAAATGTCTAATTAAAACTATCAATTATTCAGGCTAAGTAAATGAATGATAATGCCTTATAACTTAAGCTAATGCCATTTGAGCAACTCTAATCATGCACCCCCAGCCTGTATCTGAAGTGAGTGAACTGACTTAAAAATAGGAAAGTATATAAAACTTTAAAATTATGGAATTTTTTTCCTATAAGAAAACCAAAGGATTTATGAACAAGTCTTTTTCAATTTTTCTATTCTTTGCTTAAAATAAATAATGAAAGTTTTCTTACTTCTATACCAATATCGTTTTTTATAGTTTCATTTAAAATATAAATAACTTTATCCTTTTATCTTAACTACTTATCTATGTCATAAACATATTAAGTCAAATTAAATTTGGCATTATACCATCTATCAAGTAAGGACCCACATAAATTATACATATATTAATTAAATGTTAAGAAATAATACTGATTTCTATATATTATTAATAATACATGGCTAATCAGTTTATTGAATATACATCTTAAGAATTTTTGCAATTGCATTCTTACCTTTTAAATACCAATAACAACACCCTTGAATTAGAGAAAACAGTAATTTTTCATAGATTATTTCCAGTTCAAGGAAATAGAAAGAGCTTGCACTACATTTTCAACATCTTTAAAAAAAATAGCAGAACGTCTTCATGAATTTGTGAGCAAAGGTACAGGTGATGATGACAATATCGAATGTGTTTACTAGTATTTGAGCAACTTTTTACTTTAAAATTCTTAATAGTGGCAATAAACAAGTGAAAATCTAAGAAGTGAAGTTTAATTATTTTATTATTCATGCCTTAGGTTCTTGAACCATATCAACTAATCATGAGCAATTATAGAAATATAAACTTAAAATTATCTTAAGAAATGAAAGAATATATTGGAAATATCTAATCATTAAATAAATAAATATCTGAGTAGCAAGAGGAATATATACGTTTAATGCAAAATGCAGATAAAAGTTAATTAATTATGGAAAGAACAGTTGGAGAAATTGCTAAGGGAAACAAAGGCAAAGATGAGTTAGTGAGAGCATCAGAAAGATAAATTAAATTAAAAGAAATTGCTATAGAAGCTTAGGAAGATTATAAAAAAATTATAGAGAAAGGAAATAAGAAACTTTCAGATTTTGATGTAAAAATTAAAGATTGGTATTAATAAGTATTTTTAAATGATGAAAACAGGTAAAAATGTATCATTTAAATTAGAATCAAGTTTTCTAAATAAATTATGTTATCATTAATGAAAAAGTTAACAAATGAGACTGTCTATTCTATATACTAAGATAAACTTAATTAATTAGAGTTGAGAGTGATTCAAAAATAACCTTCGGATCTATAACACTAGATTTAAAGATTGTTAAAAAAAAGTGGAAGTAAATCTTATACTTATTGAAGCTGAAACAGTTTAATTCTCATTATTTGATTAAATTAATTATGATTAAATTAAGAGAGGAGAATAGAAGAAAAATATGTAATATGTTGGAAGTGAATGGACTTTAATAGGAGAATAACTAACTGAAGAATAAGCTACAAAAATTCTGTAATTTATTAATGAACTTATGGAAAATCAAGAGACTTCAGATGACAGTACCAATAATTCTAGAAATAGATCGTATTCAACATCTTCAACAAAATCAAATTAATTTTTGTCACATGAATATCTAGGAGTTAAATAATTAATGTCAAAATAATCAGCTAGATAATTCTTAAACAATTTATTATCAAAGGAGATTGAAAAGAGAAAAGTCAAATAATTAAATTTATCAGAAGATTCTTTTAATGAAGTTAGTGCTATATTTAAACATGTATTCTTAATTTTAGATGCAGAATTTGATGTAGAAGAGTTCTATATCTTTTTATAATTATCATATAAAATTGTAAAAGGAGAGAATTCTCATCTTATATCAAGCTTTACTAAATTAGATATTTGGTAAAATAAATAGAAATGGAAATCCTTATATGAACATATTAAATCAACTAAATTTTAATAAAAACATATTATAGATCAATAATTTAATATAGTTAAAAAAGGATATGGGTTGATTAGTAAGGGATTAAAGAAAATTACTGGGGTTGTTTAAGGTTAATAATATTCAGAAAAAGAAAAATATTAATAATAAAAATACAGTGTATTACATGAGATTGCCACATTCCTAAGTGAATTAAATGTCTCTCCTTAACTAGGAACAGATGTAATATTAGAACTTGCATTTCATTCTGATATTAAATTAGAAAAGGTGTAATTAGAAAAACTATTATAAATATTAGAAGAAAAAAATGCTATTACATTTAATTAAAAATATTCTTCAGGTTTGGGTATTAAATAACGTAAGGAAGATAAACATAAAAGAAATGGATTAAATAATCCTTAATTAAGATTGATTTATTCAATCAGATTATCTATTAAATATTTGTCATATAAAGATAAACCCTATTAATTATTACTAGTATCAAAAGCCTTTAAATTTCATTTAAGATTTGCTATAGAGAAATATTACATTATTCATAATAGTCTACCATATATGGAACAAACTCAATATTATAGAGCATAAAATTTGAAGGTTTACCTCAGAATTGATCAAAATCATATGGATTATGCTATAAAAAAATCTGAAGCTTAATAGGAAATATAATAATATGAAGAAATTATTACTATGGATGTTTAAAGATCTTTACAATTACATTTTGATAGGGTTCCTTCAAGTAAACTACAATCATTCCTCAGAACATATGCATTTCATAATAAAGAAGTTGGATATTGTTAAGGAATGAATTATATTGTTGGATATTTGTATTTAACATTTGAAGATGAGGAAGTAACATACATAGTGTTTGATTATATTATGAGAAATTATTTTTCTTAATATTTTGAAAATGAATTTGAAATGCTGGTATTAATATTATATTTATGAATTAGAAAAAAGTATTTTACCAATATGAGAGATTGCTGTTTTTATTTTTACCTAATTTATATCAACACTTTAAAAAAGTAAATTTAATTAATTATGAAAGTAAAAAGTTGATGCATCTTACTATTTAACTGCTTGGTTTATCACTGTATTCACTTAAGTATATTAATTTACCTTACAGTCAGCATTATTGAATATTATATGGGATATATTCATTATTCAATAATGGAAAGGTAAATATTAAAATAATAAATTTTAGGATTTTATAAATGTGTTTTATTTTTATTATATTTTTACTAAAAAGAATTATTACAATTAGAATTTGATTAAATTCTTCATTTTTTGAGTGAAATTATAAAAAATGAATTATTTAGTCTTAAAACAGAATATTAAGTTTAAGAATACATTTGTACAAAGTTAAAAATTCCATCAAAACCTCTAAAAGGAATAATCGTTAATTAATTCCATGTTACGAATAGTCTCTTATAATAATTGGAATAGGAGTTTAATTGCTTTTCAACAAACTTTGATTCATAATTAAAATAGTTCAAATACAAATGAAATATAATTATATTCATAAATTTATCTATTTTTATTTATTATAATACTTATTTAGTTAAAACTAATTTATTAGGAAGACTTTATAATGATTCATATATTATTTTTAAATAATTGATTAATTCATTTATAGGATTATATGTAATCTCAATATTATAAATAATAATGAATTATTAATTTGAAATTATAAAAAAGGTTTGGGCATCTAAGAAAATTTGGGCTTTTTTTAAATATCAACATCTTTTAAACTAGAGAATAAAAGAATTAATAAAAGAATTAGATCCAAAAATACAAACTGTAATTGAATTGAAAGAGAAAAAATAATAAATTGGAATAACTAATAAATAATTTACAAAAGCATGTACTAAAGCTTTAGAGAATCAAGCTAACCTTTTGAAACCATTGATATTACTGAATAAGAGAAATATTATAAATAATTAGAAGTATCTAATTGATATTTTATAAATAATTCATTATTCTACAAATAATGAAGAATCTAATTATGTAGAGGAAACAATGAAGAATGCAAAAAAAATAAAAGAATAGAAATAAGTAAGTTTATGACATAATATTTAGTTATATAAAATATTAGAATTGATATTTGTGATGTTATAAAATCAATAAAAAGAAACAACTAAATATTAAATATTAATATGTTTAGATTCCATATTAAAATCATTAATGAAATGCTCTTAAAATAATCCTGAAATATTGTAAAATTTAATATAGTTTTAAAAATATAACAGGAGTATTTCTTACAAAAAATCTTATTAAGGAATAGGTCAATTTATATAAGCAATAACATCTTTTGATTGTAAATTAAAACCAGATTTGACACCAGAAATAATAGATACAACTTTGAATAATGTATTACAATAATTAGATTGTGTAATTTGTTATACTGCAATGAATGATCCTGTATCAATGAAATGTGGACATAGTTTTTGTAAGTCATGTATGACTCAAGACTAAAATAATTCTAAGAAATGTCCAATTTGTAGGTATGATTAATGAAAAATTTAGAGTGGAGTAGGTAGATGAGGTTTATCTAAGTGAAAATAATAAATTCTTAACAAAGTTAATTTAATTACGATTAAGTTTTGAGAATTAATAAAATTTATAATAGGAGGATGATGTTTAAAACTATTATAAAATATATATAAAACCATAAAGTAGTGAGACTTATGAGTAAAAAATAATCTTCAGAACTTAATAATCTCTAAAGTATTTAATTGAAGAAGAAGTAGAAATTGATACTAAGAGATTTAAATCATTATCTGTATAATAGTTTTAATAAGTATTACAATAAAATCTTATTTTTATTCTTATTGATAAAAATGAGAATGCTTATATAGTGAAAAATATATTGACTCATATAAGCAAGAGTAAAACAAGAATTAAAGTTGAATATTAAGATAAAATAAAAATTGTAGAATAATATTTCTCTGAAATTCATTTGAATACAGAAAATGGAGAATACATATTTGAATCATAATTTGCAACAGCAATTACTTTAGAAGATCAAAATATAGATTTAAATAGTTTTGAAATCCAAAAATAACTCAATAATTTGATTAATAATATAAAAGGATTCTTTAATCAAGCTCTATTAAATTAATAATAAGATTAGACATATTAAACTATATATTCATACTTATCATAAGTAGGAATTTTGAGTTTATCTAATTCTGATATAATTAGTAATTATGACTAAATAAGAAAATATTCATACTTAGTACCAAATATATTAAGAATACCTGAGAAGGAAAGAGTAGAAATCTAATAGACAAATAATTTAATTACTAGATTAGAGTTAATTCAAAAAAACTTAAATAGATTCAAATAATGCTCTAATATATTAATGATATTTCAAATTCAAAGATAGAATCAAGATTCTAGAAGGAATATCATAATTTTTATTATAGTATTTTTTTTGTTTTTATCGTTTGTCCTATAGTTGTGACTCATGATAAGTTTGTATCAAATATCAATTATAATTATTCAAATATGAATCAACAATATCTGCAAGTTCCTTTGTCTTAAAGTAGATAATCAATGACTTATGAAAAGTATTAAACTACTTCAGGAATAGTTGTAAACACTGATAAGTAAATTTATATTCATAATTTAGACGAATAGGTGATAATAATTAGAGTGGCAGAAAAAGTACTCTTTTTGAAGATAAGTATATAATTATTGAATATGTAGACGATATGAGGAATTACTACAAGATAATAGAAAATTAAAAGAAGTGATAGAGCAATTGGATAAGGATAATTAGCAATTAAAATAGATGTCAGGGGAGAGCTATAATCTAAAATAGAAATATATGATTACATAAGCAGAATTAGAGGCTGCATAATAGGAATTAGCTAAATTGAGATCTCAACTCTTGATGAGAAATTCTTAAGATGCAGAATAATCAACTCTTGTAACTAGATACAAACAAGATGTATCTACATTGACTCAGCAACAGATAAAATATGAACAAGGTAAAATTCTAATTAATTTTCAAGAAATATCACAGTTAAATGCTTTGTTAGAATAATAAAGGAAACAAGTAGAAGAATTCTTAAGATTAAAAAGTAAATATGAATAGGATATCTAAACATATAGAAGTAGGGCTTAGAATTTAGAGATGGAAATTAGACAAGTCAAAGAATAAAGGAACTCTACAACTTAAAATGAAATTATTAGATTGACTTAGGAAATTGCAAGATATTAATCTGAATTTCAGGTTAGATCATCAGATAAAGAATTATATGAAAGAACAATATAAACATTAAATGATAAAATTAAAGAGATGGATAATGACATATAGATATTGATAGAAGCACATACTTAGAATTAATACAAATTAGAATCTGCTATGGCTGAATCGAAGAGTAATATGTAGTATCAAATTGATTAATTAAAACAAGAGATGAATTTCTATTAAACATAATGTAGATAATGGTAGGAGAAATGTTAAACAGCTGAAATGCAAAAAGAAGAAAGTGAAAGAAGAATCATTTAGATGGAAATTAGAATTAATGAAACAAAAAAATAAATTGAATAATAATAAAATGATAAAGTATAAAGAGAAAGTTATTAAATTCATACTATTTAAAATGAATTAGAAAGTTGGAAATAAAAATATATTTCATTAGAAATTAAAATGAAGGATTATGATAATTATAGAATGAAAATAATACAATTAGAAGAATAATCAAATTATTATAAAAATGAAAATGATTAAATGAAAGAAGAATTAGAAATCTTGATAGCAGAAATTAAATAGTTATAAGAATAAAATAATGGATATCGTTTGAGTATTACTCAATTAGAAAATTAAACAAGAAATAGTTTAGAAAATGATAGATATAAAACTTAGATTAGGAATTTAGAAAATACTATTAATCAATTAAATCAATAAATAAATGCATATAAAATAGAAACTAAAGAACTTGAATAATAGGTTATGTATCATTAAAACAAGAATACAAATGTTGATTATTAGGTAAGAGAAAAAGATGAAACTATTTCAAAACTTTAATATAAATTAAATAATATGGAAAAAGAACTTAGGATTATTTTTGAGGAATAATTAAAAATAGAAAAATAAGATTGGGATAGATAAAAATAATAATAAATAGATGATCAATTATAAAAGATAACCAAAAGATATGAATCTGAAATCTTAACTTTGAGGTAACATTTTTCCTCTTTAGAAATAGAGAATCAATCATTAACAAAATAATATGAAAGATTAAAAAAAGAAGGAGAAATGAGTTTTTAAAGATAATCAGAAAAAGAAAAAAGTAGAATTATTGAACTTGAAAGATAGATTATTTAATTAGAAAATTAATTATCTTTATAAAAAAAAGATTTTTAATTGAAAATTGAGGAAGTTAATTAATAATCCAACTTGAAGGAGTATTATGAAGTTTAAATTAAATAAATAAATGATAAATTATAAAGAGAATAAAATTAAGTTAAATAATTGAATGATTAATTATTAATTGAATAAAAAAAGACTTTAGATATAGAAACAAAATACTCTAGAGAAATACGAGATATTAAATTATCATAAGAAAAAAGAATTGAAATTCAATAAACTACATAATTTTAATTTGAATTAGAGAATCATCAAAAAGATATGGAAAAATTGAGAAGAGAATATAGATAGATTGAATAAGAATATTAAGAGATGGAAGTTTAAGTAAAGTTATGGAAAGAAAAGTTCTATGATGAATAACAAAAACATTAAGAAATTAGATAATAATTGATTGAAATAAGATCTTAATATGAATCTCATACAATTATAAATACACAATCAGACTATGATAAATAAAGAATTTAAGAACTTGAAATGAATTTAATTTAATTATAAGAATAGATAAGAGTATTTTAAATTAGAGAAGAAAAATATAAAGAATAAATTACAACATATTCTATGTCAATAGAAAAACAAAAATCTAATTTAGATGAATTGAAGAGAATCAAATAATTAGAATATGAAATTGAATCCTTAAAGATTTAATGTAGAGATTTAGAAAGATAATTACAGGATAAATAAATGGAATATGAGAAATTACTTAAAAGAAAATAAGAAGTTAAACTTGAAACTATTGAAGTTTCATCATCATAAGATAAATTAAAAATTTAAGAATTAGAATCCTAAATTCAATTATTAAAATTGTAATTATAATAGTTACATAATTCTAAGTAAGAAGTTATAAGAGAGACAATAAGAGAAACAGTACAAGTAAGAAGTTAAGAAGACATAAAAATGATTGCATAATTAGAGGAGGAATTACAATTATGGAAGACAAAATATTATGAATTAGATAGAAGAAAGAATTAGGTAGTAGTTGAAACTATCAGAGAAGTTTAATCATTAGAGAGTGATAAATAAAGAATATAAGAATTAGAAATATAACTTTAATAATTAAATTTAAAAAAATAAGAAGTTATTAGAGAATATGTAACAGAAACTATTGAAGTTCCATCAGAATCTGATAAATTAAAAATACGACAATTAGAAATTTAATTAAGTAATATTCAAAGGGATTATCAATTGTTAAGTCAAAAAAAATAAGAGGTTATTAAAGAAACAATTACAGTAGAAGTTCCAAATTAAGCAGATAAACATAGAATTTAATAATTAGAATCACAATTATCCTAATTAAAATAAGAATTACAAGTTGTTACTCTCAAAAAATAAGAAGTGATAAAAGAAATAGTGACAGAAAGGATTGAAGTTCCTATGGAATAAGATAGATTAAGAATTAATTAATTATAAGAATAAGTGTAAAGATTATAGAGAGATTATTAATTATTAAATCAAAAGAAATAAGAGGTTATAAAGGAAACAGTCACTGTAGAGGTTTCATCTTAAGCTGATAAATTGAGGATTTAGTAATTAGAATCTTAATTATAATAATTAAGAACTGAGTTATAAATAATAACATAAAAAAAATAAGAAGTGATAAGAGAAGTAATTACTGAAAGAGTAGAAGTATCTTCTGAAGCTGATAAATTTAGAATTAGATAATTAGAATAATAAATAGAAAGTTTAAATAAGAATTATGAAATACTAAATAAAAAAAAGCAAGAAGTAATAACAGAGAAAATTACAGTTGAAGTTCCTTCTTAGGCTGATAAATTGAAGATTTAATAATTAGAAACATTAGTTGGATAATTAAGATAAGAACTTTAAATTGTTAGCTCAAAGAAATAAGAAGTTATAAGGGAAGTTGTAACAGAAACTATTGAGGTTCCTTCTTAAGTAGATAAATTTAGAATTTAACAATTAGAATAGCAATTAAATAATGTTAGATTAGAATTATAAATTGTATCACAGAAAAAATAAGAAGTTATTAGAGAAGTAGTGACAGAAAGAGTAGAAGTTAGTAGAGAGTCTGATAGAAAAAGAATTTTAGAATTAGAGTAGGATTTATATAAATTGTAATAAGATTATATAAATTTGAATAAAATAAAATCTGAGGTTGTAAAGGAGACTGTTACAATAGAAGTACCTTCATCAGCAGATAAATTTAGAATTTAATAATTAGAATCTTAATTATTTTAAATTAAGAGTGAGTTACAAATTGTTTAAGCTAAAAAGTAAGAAGTCATTAGAGAGACAGTAACAGAAAGAATAGAAGTATCTTCAGAATAGGATAAAATGAGAATTAGATAATTAGAATAATAATTAAATTAATTGTAATAAGATTATTACACTTTGAATTAGAAAAAGTAAGAAAAAATAAAAGAAACAATTACAGTTGAAGTGCCATCTGAGACTGATAAATATAGAATAAGATAACTTGAATAGCAAATATCATCCTTAAAAGAAGATTTAAATGTAATTCAAGTTGAAAATTAGAATATGAAAATTCAAATCAAAAGTCTTTAAACTACAAATTATGAATACTAAGATCAAGTGAGAATATATTAATCAAAATTAGAAGAAAACTAAAAGTAAAGATCTGTTGTTATTTAATTTGAGAGGAAAGAATAAGAACTTTTGGAATAAATATAGAATTTAGAGACTTAAAAAGGGAGAGAAATCAAAGAATTAAAAAATTAAATGGAATTTCTATAGAAAGAGAATTAAAAAATAAATGATATGATGAGAATTAAAATAGAGGAGAGTGAATAATGGAAAAGAAAATATTTAACTGTTTAAAGTGAAATGTCTACAAATTCTAGTGAAGCTGAATCTTTGAGAATGTAATTGAAATCATTAGAATAAAGTAGAGAAACAATTAAATTAGAATTAGATAAAGTAAATAAAATGTACTTTTAAAGTTAAAATGAATATACTTAATATAAATCAAAATGTAATGAACTTGAATTAAGAATCAAATAAATTAGTAGAGAGAATTAGGAATATTAAGAGAGATATTAATAAATTGATTTTGAAAAAATTAATAGATTAGAATAAGAAAATAGAAGAAAAACAGACACTATTTAATAATTAGAATTATAATTGAGAAATCAAGTGTCTATCAAAGATCTTTAAAATTAATTATCTAATAAAGATAAATAAATATTTTAATTACAGGAAAATATTTCAGAATTACAAGCTACAATTAGAACTTTGAGAATAGAAAATTAGACAATTTGTGAATAAAACAATAAATAATAAGTTATTGTTAGAGAAACATAAAAGTAATTTAATTTATATTAATTTATAGTAATCAAAAAATTGTGGAATTAGAAACCAGAATATAGGGTCTTAATTAAGAGATATAGAGATAAATATAAATGAAAGATTAAATTTAAATAAAACATGATAAATTGATTGAGAGAGTAATTTACAATTAATTATATAGGCTACTGAATATGAATCAGAAATTAATATTCTAAGAAATGAATTACAAAAGAAAAGATTTAGTTCTACAAATAATGGACCTATTGTTTCAAAAACATTTGAAATTCATAAAATAGGAGAAGTTGTAAATAATGGTACAGGATTGGTTTCAGGATTTAATTTAGAAGATACTAGAAAAATAAAATCAATAGTTAGTACACAATAATATAAATCTGAAATATCAAATTCAGCATCCAATATTAAAGAATCCTAGTAGTCTATGAAATCTAATTCATAAGTATAACCATTTAATCCTTTAAGAAGCGATGTATATATAATATATAATCATAGTTAATTAAGTCAAAGGCATAATTGAATAGAATGGATGAAAAATCTTATCAATGAATTTTTATATTATAAAACAATAATTTGTTAATATTCAATTTCAAAAAGCTTTAAATCTAATCTGATAATCCTTAAAATTTTATTATCATCTTAGGAAACCAAAAATAGCCAATAAAATTAAGATATTAAATTTCTAATAATTTAATTCATTTATATTTTATTAGTTTTATTTTTGCAATCTATTCGTTTGAATTAAAGTTTTACATTAAAACTAATAGATAGAATAAATACAAAAAGATAATTTAATTAAGTAACTAGTTTCCTCATTACTAATATATACAAGAAATAATAATTTATAAATAATTATAAAAAATTCTCATAGATTTTCCTCTCCTATTTTAATTTCTTTTGGAACTTTATAATAATAGTATTGCTATTGTATTTGAGATTAATCTTTCTTCAAGGAGTTTAATTCTTAATCATAGACACTCAAACCCACTAACTAATTTTTTCTCAGTATTTTACTTTTAATCCGTTATAATCAGATACAGATCTACCCTTGTCATAACCATTTTTATTTTTGATATCAGAAATCAATTTCTATGGATTAGGTATCTCTAATAGTTCCCTACTTGGTATTTATTGTAATAGATCTTATTTTAGTTATAATCTTTCCTATTCTTCTTTTTAAATAACTTTCTATTATATAAACAAACATTATATACTTAAGGTCTATATTGAGATCTTAGTCTTTGATGCCATGTTATAACTGGATTTTTTGATTCTTCAGGCTTCAATTCTTCAAACATTTCAAGAGAGTCTAACCTAGATCTATACTCTAATTATTCTATAAAATAAAATACAAGCCTATCTTTCAATTAAAGTGTTTGAATTATTTTTCATACGAGTACTTATTTTAGTTGATAATTCATTCCATACTTACAATTATTTTTCATGTTTATTTAGTGCTCTTTAATGTTGAGTTTTCAATATTTTTTCTGTTGCTGAAATTTTTTACAATTAATCTTAGGCATATTTTTCATTATTCTTAATTATTTTCTATATTTTTTCCATAGTTTATATTAACTCATATTTATCAAGTACTTCAAAATTAGCATCTCCTGTTTTTTATATTACATGCTATTAATTTGTTATATTTTTTTTGCTTCTATAAGATGAATTTAGACTTGATGGTTCATTAGTATTGGCTAAAAGTATATGCAAATGTTATAACTTCTTTTAATCCTCTTTTACATATTAGATAACTTTACAGGTTAACTAAAACGAATAGGTTTTTCAAGATCATTAGCTTATTTATTGAAAGTATCCACTTTGCCCACTATTGATCGAGATAAAATTTCATTAGTTGAATTTTTATGACTAAAGTCTAAAATTTGATAATCAGGACTCTAAGCTAATTGATTACTGATTTTGTACTTTGAAATATATTACTGGAATGTAAGTCTTAATCTGCAAATGGCCAACTCATTTAATTCTACTCTGCTACAACCTTCCTTAATAATAATGTATGCTTTCTTTTCATTCTTTTTAATAAATATTTTTATAATATCAATAGATATTTCTTCTTAGAAAAACTAATAATTTTTCAAACATGAATTTCACAAAATTTCTAGTAAAATATAAATGTAATATCATTCTAACTATCAATAAAATTAATTAAAGAATCTTAGAAAATTATATTATCAATCTGTTTTAACTATAGATATCATTAATAAACTTGTAAAGGAGGATAAATTAGAATTGTTTAAATCAAAATTTATAAAGAATTATAGATCTAATAAAATGAAGTTTAAGTTAGTCAAAGTTTTTAAAAACAAATTAAATCCTAAAACATTATTGAGTAATTATTATATACTTATTGGATAATTACAAACAAAAAAATACAATTGCAAAATTATGTTAAAGAAAAAAATAAAAAATATATTTATATCTTCTACTTAAAATTGACATTTAAGGTTTTTAAATATATTTGTGTTATTTAGTGAATTTGAAAAAAGAGATGAATTTAAAGAAATATAATATTATGGTCAAGAAATCTCATATAGTTAATATTCACTTATTAAAATCTTTTTTTTAAAATATAAATAAATGGTTAGCAGATTAAGAAAATGTAGAAAGATGAGAGGACATGTCTGCCATGGTTATGGTAGAGTTGGAAAACATAGAAAACATCCAAGTGGTAGAGGTGTTTCAGGAGGTTTGACACATCATAGAATCAACTTCAATAAATATCATCCAGGATATTTCTAAAAAGTATTTACAAAACTTATAAATAGACTGGAATGAGACATTTCCATTTAAAGAAGAACACACTTCATAAACCAGTTGTAAATATTGACAAATTGTGGTCTCTTGTTACTGACGAAACTAGAGAAAAATATTCCAAATCAAAAGATAAAGCTGCAGTCATTGATGTTACAAAGGCAGGCTATTTCAAGGTTTTGGGTAAAGGAAGATTACCAAATCAACCAGTTGTTGTCAAGGCTAAATTCTTTAGCAAAACTGCAGAAAGAAGAATCAAGGCTGTAGGTGGTGCATGTATACTTGTTGCCTGATACATTATATACATTAAAACAACATTTATCAATGTCATTAGAATTATCTTTTGGGTACATCCATTCTTTTTATTTATTTTTTTAATATATATTGTTTTATTTAAGAAAATGGATTCTGATACTATTATGTAAAAAATGGCAGTGATTTTTGATGATCCTGAATAAAAGTTACTTAATGAAATTTCAGAAATCAATAAGAATAGATATAAGACCTAAATGCAAAAATTGAATGAGCTTAAAGAAATATAAGAGGAATCAGATATTGAAATTCAAAAATAGAAAAAATTAATCGATTAATTAGAAAAATCATTAATCATTGAATCTAATAAGTCTAAACAATATGATGAAATCTTAAAATAATATGAAAGTGAAGGTAAGTCTTTATCTGATGAAAGTAAAAAATATATTATTCAAATTACACAACTTAGTGAGAAAGTTGAGAATATTAAAAAATAATATTTATAGGCATAAGAAAAATAAGATACCATGGAAAGAGAATAATAATAGTAATTAAAAGATTTAGATAATTGGAGCAAGAATACAAAGAACTTATAAAATGAATTATAAAAGAAAGATTAAAAATAAATTAAATTGCTTGAAGAATTAACATAAGTTAAAATATAACAACAAGAAATCAAGTAAGTAGAATCAAATGATGATTTACAAAAATAATTAGATAAACTCTTATCAGATAATAAAAGGTTATTAAAATAAAGATAAGAAGTTGTGGCTGTATTCAAAAAATAAGCTAAAATTATTGAAATCTTAAAAAAATAGAAGCTACATTTATAGACATCTACTTCTCTTGATTTGACAGAATAAGATTTTGCTAAGATTGTTGATTTTAGTTTATGAAATTAATATTTCTACTTTTATTTTAGATAGAATTTTTTACTAAATATTTGTATTATTTATGATGAAAATGAATATCATCTTCCAGACCATGAGGCAACTTATTTCTTGAAGATAATGATGACTTATTCAATTATAGCATTCTCTTCATCTCTCTTAGCCTTAGCTTCAGCATAATCTGCTCTTTTAGCTTCCAAATCAGCTTAAGCTTAATCAAGAGCATCTTAAGATTCTTGTAAAATAATCTTGGATTTAGCTTATTAAGCAAGAGCTGCTTAAATTTACTAGAATTTATTATTTAATAAATATTACAGTTGCTAATCTATCAGCATAAACTTATTTTCTTTCATATTCAACTTTCAAAGTAGCAATTTCTGCTTCACTCAATGAAACCCATCCAGCCAATTCCCATGAGGCATTAATTTCATTAGTTTCAAGTGCTTCAAGGGAAGCTGCAAGATTAGCTTCAAGTCCTTCTAATACTGATAAAACTCTTTCAGCTAAGGTTGCTCCTCTACTAACTGATCCATCCTCTTAGTTGTTAGCTAATTAAAGGAATGTATTAATTTCATGTTCATTAAATGTATTGCTGTATGATTTAAGTTTTTCAGCTACACTTTGAACTTACACTAATTCAAAAGAATCTCCATTAATAATATATCCTGCAACATCTTATTTGAGTAATCTCACAACTTCAAGAGCTTCTCTATTTTGTTTGATTGATCTAACAAAAAGTTGATTGCTTAAGCATTATTAATCAAGCAAAACATCAATTTTTCTGGCAATTTCATCTTATCTTTGTTCATTCCATGCAAGATAATTTTTAGTGTCTGATAACTCTTATTCAAATTAGGCTCTGTTTTCAATTGATTATTGGAATAACTTTTGATTCAAGGTCTTGATTTTAGTAAATTATTCAATTGTTCTGAATATAATTATTAATGTCTTACTAAGCACCAACCCATTCATCTGTTTCATTTTTTTAGTCAGCTGCAAATTAAGCATCCTTATTTGATTGTATTAGATCATTCAATAAACCAAAAACTGTATCAATAGCATCCATAGCCTTTGTACCAGTTTACAAAAAGGCCATGATTTGATCATGAGTAGAAGTGGCTGAGGCTAATGTTACTAATAATACTAGAGCAAGAGTCAATTTCATTAATATTATCAATAGTTTTAATGCTCTTAAATAATGAATATAAGCGTAACCTACCCGTTTCCAGATAAATATATAAAAAAAAACGGGTATTAATATAAAAAATAAAATTAATAAACTTATCAACCTCTCTAATGTTTCTATATATAATTCTTTTCATTAAATACATGTTCTAATCAAACTTCATTATGTTCAAATATTGATTTCAAATAATATACATGATTATTGTTATTTCATTTTATATTCAATCTATTTCTTAATTTATTAGAGAATAATCAATTTATCTCATTATTGAATGATTTCCTTGTTGAGTTGAATCAATATTTATGTAAAAATATAAAAATATTCTATTAAAATGTAAAGAAATGTTAGATTTATTGATTATATTTTGATAGAACAATAAAATTCATAGTTGCAAACTATATTTAATGGATAGTTGTATCTAAAAATTAGAGTTGATGATATAATTTTTAATTTACATATAGATAAATGGTTGTATTTCAATAATTGATGTTGTTTATGTTTTGAATATATTGTCATAATTTTTGAAATTGATTAATTTATTATAAAAATGATTAAGAATTCAAATAAATTAAGTTATTCTAATTTAAACATAATAGTGCAAATCCTCAGAGTAATTTGTAGTAATAAGATATATATTTTTGGCTGAAATGAAGTTATTTAGTAAATTACAAATTTTTTAGATAAAAGGGTTTGTTAATTTATATAAAATATTAATGAATAAGTATGAAATCATGGGCGTAGTAGGTGAAGGAGCTTATGGCATAGTGTTAAAATGCAAAAACAAGGAGACTAATGAATGTGGTTAGTTATTTTTAATTATATGTTAAAGTGGCTATAAAAAAGTTTAAAGAAACAGAGGATGATGAAGCAGTGAAGAAAAGTATTTAAAGAGAAGTGAAAATGTTGCGAATGTTGAAGCATCCTAATATTATTTAATTGAAGGAAGCATTCAAAAAGAAAGGCAAAATATTTCTTGTTTTTCAATTCGTTGATAGAAACCTATTAGAATTATTAGAAGAGAGAAAAACTCTAGATGTATGTTTATTGCATTTAAAATTAGTAAGAAAGCATTAAACGAGTGATATTTTAATTGGTTCTTGCTGTTCATGCTTGTCATTCTGTAGGAATTGTGCATAGAGATATAAAACCTGAGAATTTACTTATAGACAATGAACTTAATTTAAAGTTATGTGATTTTGGTTTTGCAAGAGTAATATAGATCTAATTATAAGACAATATAAAGTTAAGAATAATTGACTGATTATGTAGCTACAAGATGGTACAGATCACCTGAGTTACTGATATCTAATAATTATGGAAAACAAGTAGATATTTGGGCAATTGGTTGTATTATGGGAGAATTGATAGATGGTCAACCATTATTCCCAGGTGAAAATGAGATGGATTAATTATATCTAATATAGAAAATAATTGGTCCATTGACTTAAGATTAGATGGAGAAATTTTAGAAGAATTAAAGATATATAGGAATGAAGTTTCCTGAAATTGTAAAATCAGAAACTATTGAAAAAAGATATTCTGGTAAAATGTGTAATAAAGGATTAAATTTCTTAAAGTAATGTTTGATTATGGATCCAAATAAGAGAATTACTTCTTTAGAATGTTTAGAGCATCCATATCTATCAGATTTATGGAGTAAAGAAAACGATGTTAGACCTAAAAGTAATTTTTAGAGAAGGATTAGTTGTGAAAGAGATGATTCTAAACCTAGCATTATTAATCAATATGATTTTGGTGAATAGAAACCAAAAAAGATTCAAGAGAAAGCTATTCCATAAACAATACAAAATTAATCATTTGTTTAAAAATAAGTATATAATTACAAAATAGGAGATGAAACTCCTGAAATTACCAAAGAAACAGATGATACTAAATCATAAATGCATAAAACATTTAATTAATCATTCAAAATTAAATTTAATGATACTTTACCTTAAAGTAGATTAGGATCAGAATAAGACAAGAGAATTAATAGAGTTATTGGTTTACCAGGTTTAAAGGAAGACCCTAAATAGTAGTAATAATAATAATAATAATAATAACAGACTAATCATAATAAATCTCCTAACAAAAGAACTTCTATCTAATAACCATCATTTTATGTTTAGGTATTTATATAATCATATATATATATAGGGATAATATAATTTGTAACCTTAAAAGCTTAATCTAGTATATAATGCTAATACATATAATTATTCAATAAAGAAATCGTACATCTCAAAAAAATGATTTATTAATATATTTTATTGATGTTAATTGTTTTATATTTATTCTCTTTAATTACTAATTTAAATGATCTTATTCATATATCTATAAAATATAATATTTAAGGCTATTGTTAAAGAAATCAATTATTTATATATTGGAATTAATAAAATAAGATTTATAATATCTTCTTTGTTGAAGCAACTTTTCAAATAATAAGATTATTCATAAATTAATTGACTAATAAATAATTCACTTATTATAATAACACTTAAACAGTTTACTAGAATTTAAATTTTTTTAAAAGTAAAAATAAATCCTTTTATAAAATAATTCTTATTCACAACACTTATATTATATGATGATAATTATTTATACTTATCATTTATAATCCTATATAGTAAAGTAAAAGGAAAATATTAAGCAAATTAAGAATTAAATAGTTAGGAACTAAATAATTACATAAAATTTAATTAAAATGTTCGTTAATAATTCTTGTCTGCCAAATAGTATGAATTGCATTATAGCGCCATTAAATGGAGTTGGTGGTGTATATTTAGGAAATCTGGATGCCGCTTAGAATTCAGAGCTGTTGTCAAAATATTAAATAGGAGCTGTTCTCTCTGTGATAGATTAATCAATTCAAATCAGAGGAGCATAGAAATTGGTAAATAATATATAATATATAATCTAGTGGATAATGGCTGATGATTGTGAAGATTTCCCTTTGTATAAATATTTTGATTAGGCTACCAAATTTATAGATAGTCATTCTCTTAAAACTAATATATTGATTCATTGTTATGCTGGAATTTCAAGATCTGCTGCAATTTGTGCTGCATATATGATGCAAAAATATAAATGGAATTTGAATTAAACTCTTAGACATATTTAATAAAGGAGAAGATTCATTAATCCAAATCCAGGATTCATTAAATAACTTTAAGATTATGAATAAAAAATGAAAACCAAATAAATTAGAAAAAATAGTTCTGTTCTAATGGATTCAAATGAAAAATCTAGGCATAATTCAGTTGGATATGATGGAAATATTATGAATTTAAATGGAACTAATTCTATCAATAAATAAATCCTTAATCAAACTATGTAACAAAATCAAAGAGATAGATTAAGTGATTTTAATGTAAAATTAAACTCATATTTACATTAATGGAAAATAAGAGAGAGAGCTCATTGAAATAATCTATTTTTATACTAATTTTATTTAATGACGCATTTTCATTATTTTTTTTGAATTTCTTTTTTTAAATCATATAATAATACGTATTAATATAAAGATATTTAAATGAAATACTAGAATCTACATTAAACAATTATAAGCTTAAATCAATCAGAATAATTGTGAGTCTTCTTTTGTATCACTTTTTCTAATTAGAATAGGAGAATCAAGATTTGGAACATCACTAATGAATTTAGATCTGATTCCACATAGTATTTAACTAAATTCATTTGAATCATCATCTGATGAAATAATGTCAGCAAAAGGAACTTTAATTACCACTCTTTTTTCAATCTTCACTTTTTTTTTAATGGGAATTTCTTATGTCTCCTAATCTTATATTTTCTCTGTCTTTTTTTCTTTTTAAGAACAAATTGAAGATTTACGTCTGCTCATCAATATTTTAATTATATATTAATATTTTGTACTTATTTAAAAATCATTTAAAATCACATTATGTTTAGCAAATCTTTAAAATCATTCTTACTTCATCCATAATATAAAAGGATCCAATCACCAATATTACCTAATCAATTTAACATACTTTATTCACTATTTCCAAAGTAGTTTTTGATATATCACCATCATATAAAATCTTAATCTCATCAGAACCTAACAATTATTTAATTTAATATGCCCTATTATTCTTAGCTTAAACCATATACACTTAATGACAATTTTATTTTAGCAATTATAAACATGAAGTAATATCTTTATCATTAGATGCTCCATATATACAAATAATCTTTTAATCCTTTAATAAATCTAAGACACTTTTCTATTTCTTATAATATATTAATTACAATAGCTTATTCATTATGACCAACATCAAGATATACTTTAATATTGTCTCCCTTATCATTCTAGATATTGAATTACTCAAGTCTACATGGTTATTTAATTTTTAAAACTTCTTCAAAGTTATTTAATTTGAATTCTAATTTGAATTATATTATTACAATATTTTTCCATTAAAATTTTAGATGCAGCCATTACTATTGCATTATTTTCATCATTAAAATCTTAAAATTCACCTTAAACTATAGTTAAATCAGCATTCTTTTATTATGCCTCTTTAATAAAAATTTCATATGGCTTACTTTTTGGACCTATAACAACAGGACAATTTTATTTAATAATTCCAGCCTTTTCTTTGGCAATTAGTTCCAGTGTATTCCCAAGAATATGCATATGATCATATCCTATTGTTGTAATGATAGATATTAAAGGAGAACTGATTATATTTGTTGAATCCATTCTTCCTCCTAAACCAGTTTCCCATGATACATATTTAAGATTCATATCATTAAAATATTTTAATGCTAAACATGTCACATATTCAAAAAAAGTTAATTCAAGATTATTCCTTTCTGCTAAATTAAAAAAGTCATTTAAGTGTTCTTATACGTATTCTTCAGAAATCATTTAATTATCGACCTCATTTTGTTGATAAATGTACTTTAATTCTTTCTCTAAAACTTGATATATGAGGTGATGTATAACAACCACATGATTCAATTGATTACATTAATTTGCACATTTTAAGTGTGACAGAGCCTTTTNTGTACTTATTTAAAAATCATTTAAAATCACATTATGTTTAGCAAATCTTTAAAATCATTCTTACTTCATCCATAATATAAAAGGATCCAATCACCAATATTACCTAATCAATTTAACATACTTTATTCACTATTTCCAAAGTAGTTTTTGATATATCACCATCATATAAAATCTTAATCTCATCAGAACCTAACAATTATTTAATTTAATATGCCCTATTATTCTTAGCTTAAACCATATACACTTAATGACAATTTTATTTTAGCAATTATAAACATGAAGTAATATCTTTATCATTAGATGCTCCATATATACAAATAATCTTTTAATCCTTTAATAAATCTAAGACACTTTTCTATTTCTTATAATATATTAATTACAATAGCTTATTCATTATGACCAACATCAAGATATACTTTAATATTGTCTCCCTTATCATTCTAGATATTGAATTACTCAAGTCTACATGGTTATTTAATTTTTAAAACTTCTTCAAAGTTATTTAATTTGAATTCTAATTTGAATTATATTATTACAATATTTTTCCATTAAAATTTTAGATGCAGCCATTACTATTGCATTATTTTCATCATTAAAATCTTAAAATTCACCTTAAACTATAGTTAAATCAGCATTCTTTTATTATGCCTCTTTAATAAAAATTTCATATGGCTTACTTTTTGGACCTATAACAACAGGACAATTTTATTTAATAATTCCAGCCTTTTCTTTGGCAATTAGTTCCAGTGTATTCCCAAGAATATGCATATGATCATATCCTATTGTTGTAATGATAGATATTAAAGGAGAACTGATTATATTTGTTGAATCCATTCTTCCTCCTAAACCAGTTTCCCATGATACATATTTAAGATTCATATCATTAAAATATTTTAATGCTAAACATGTCACATATTCAAAAAAAGTTAATTCAAGATTATTCCTTTCTGCTAAATTAAAAAAGTCATTTAAGTGTTCTTATACGTATTCTTCAGAAATCATTTAATTATCGACCTCATTTTGTTGATAAATGTACTTTAATTCTTTCTCTAAAACTTGATATATGAGGTGATGTATAACAACCACATGATTCAATTGATTACATTAATTTGCACATTTTAAGTGTGACAGAGCCTTTTCCATTTGTGCCTGCTATATGTATGAATTATAGATTTTGTTATGGATTTCCCAATAATTAAGTCATTTTTATTATGTTTGTTAATGTTGCTCTATCTTTTCTAAATACATAAACTTAGTTAAGTTTTTATAATGTTTTTTAGTATTTTTACATAAATAAAAAATAATAAAATAAAAATCATTTCGTCATGACTTTTGATGTCTTATTAAAGACATTTTATCATCAAGATCTTTAATTAAGGCTTGAATAAGAGTTAAGCTTTTGTTAAATCCAGCAGCATTAGCTCTTAAAGAATCAATTTTTGGCATTTTTACAATTTCAGGTGTTGTTGTAATATTGATTTTTAAGCATTTGGCTGCAGTTAATTCATCTTCATTTTCTATGAATATTTATATATATCTTTACCTTTGAGAGTTTATTTTAGACGTTCAATTTCTTCCTATGATGATGATTTACTAGCTTCCAGATCAGTATGTGCTAAAGCTAATTGTTCGAGAACCTTATCTAATTTCACTTCTAAATCTTTATTTGATTCTTCTAGCTATCTTAATATAATTGAAAACAATACCTAATTTTGTTATCATTTAAATCTTAATCAACTTCTAGATCAATAATTTGCATTTTATAAGTTTAGAGTGTTTTTTATAATTCAGCAATTTGTGCATCCTTTTTATTTATTTACTTTTCTAGTTGATTTTAAATTTACTACAATTCATTCTAAAGAATATTAAATAATATATTTACTCTGGCTTTTTGGGTTTCTTCTTTTTGTTGTAGAAGAGAATTTTATGCCTAAGCAAGTTATTTACTTAAGGATTCAATATTCTTTTATTATTAATCTTCTAATGATTGACTTTCTTCTACAAATTAATTATATTCTTCTTCCATTTATTAATATTTTTCAACCATCTCTTCATACAACTATTTGTAGTTCATTTAATTACGAATAATTTATATTTAGTATAATATTTAATTTACTCATTTAAAGCGTTTGCTTAACTTCTAAATTCCATATTTAACACTTAATAACGGAGAAATCATAGCCAGATTATAAAATAGCATACGTCTCGAAGAAAATTGATTTTTTCTTTTAACACTTTCTTTAATAAGATCATTGATTCTTTCTTAACTCATCATTTTTAAAGTTCCCATATTATCTTTTTCACCTAATACTATACTTAATAATTATCCAGGTATCAAAGAACATAAGAATTCCCTAAAATCAAATAAAAATTGATTACAATGATTTCAAACTATTGTCAATTAATATCTCACCATCTTTTTAGATTTTAATCACATTATTTAGATCACCTAGATTGGAAAGGTAAAGTTCAGTTATATTTTTATAATTTCCTTTGAGAATATTGAAAACTTTATTTTGGTTTTCACCTCCCAAAGTAAATCTAATATCACCATAATAAGATAAACTTATAACACTATAAAGTAACTCTTATAATGACATAGATGATTTGAAATCCATTAAAATAGCTATAGCTACTGCACTTTATAAATTAGAAATGCATGCTCTTTAATATCGCAAATTTTCAAATTCTTAAATAGTGACTATTGGTTTCTACATTCTACCAGCAATAGATAGCCATTTCCAACTTTCTAGATCTTTGATTAATTCTTTAGTTGAAACAACACCATATTTTAATTTCAAATCTTAATATTAAACAAATGGACTGAAATGGATAGGAAATATTTCAACATTCATTCTCTATATGAATCGACTTCCTAAATAATAGCTTAAACCACTATAATGCTATGGTAGTAATATATATACTGCTGAATTGATTTGAATATTCTGTTGATGCCACTCTTCTACATTATCTACTGCAATAATTAAATCTATCATAGGTTTATTTTTTGTATAATCATAATTGAATTATGGTTAAACAGCTGATCCATAAGCAAATGACAAATCACTTTAAGGTAAAGTTTGAATGAATTATTTCAACAAAGTCATAGGAATTTGTTACATATTTATAATTAATATTAATAGTCAAATAATAAATAATTAAATGAATAACATTTATATATATATATATTATATTTGTCAAACTCCTTATATAAAATTATCGAGCATAAACCATGAATTCTCTCTTTAATCTTATGGGACCATCTATAATTTATATATATATATTTTATTACATGTCCAGCACCTCTGATAACTTGGAATCTGAAATAATTGTATTCGACAATCCATCCTGCTAATTAATCTTTCAATTTTCCTGGATGAATATTCAAATAAGGAGTCCAACCTTTAATTTCCTTGACTCCTGGTATCTATTTGATACTTTCATATGTCTCAACCATACTAACAGCTAAATCTTGATCACCAGAATATAAGAGTATTTTAATTCCTGCTTAAAATAATTCAGGTAAAATTAAATAACTTCCCTCTGATTTAGTATATTAAAGATAAACTGGATCACTACATCCTGTCCAAACAGTATCCATATCTACATGAAGTGCCTATTTATATTCATCAGTGTTTAATTTATTAGCTAAAGGTCCAAAATCAATACAAGGAGCACTACTATCATCATCATCTTCATTTAATTTTAACCAAGGAGTATATGAAAATCTATGTTTTGATTATCTCTCAACTTTGTATTATTTCAATGTACTGTCACCCCAACAATATGAATAAACTCCATAAGGATTAATTAATGCAATAGCATCATCCAAAGATTTCTTTGCTTATCTACAACTTGCTGAATTGGGCTATAAAGCACAATTGTGATTCAAAATAAACTAATTAGTATAATCAATAAATGATCTTCTAGCTAAGAACTTTAGTGAAGTTTAACTTCTAAATTTCTCATTATTGATCAATACACCATTTCCAATTAATACTCCCTTGAATTATATTTTTTCCTTTTAATCTATTGTTTTCTCTCCTTCCAATAATGCTTTTGCTGTATAGGGAATGTACATTCCTAATATTTAATAACTTTGATACCTGCATATGATTCTCCAGCAATATAGAAATCTCTACCTCTATAATATGTGAATGTATCAAACCATTATCTGATGGCCTCATAGTTAAATCTTCCAGTCTTCTCATCTGTGAATTTATAGTTTTTATCTGGGGCTGGTTAAGAAAATCCAACTCCAAATGGAGATTCCAATATTAATAAATGAGCATTCATATTCCAAGACCATGGATTTTATTAGTATTCAGTTTCTCCATTATCAATAACAAATGGACCGATTTCTTACATCAAACCCAACAATGATGAACATCCTGGACCACCATTTAGCCAAAGTATAACTGGTTAAGTTGCTACTTCTGCATCTTCTGTTTGGCTCTCTACAAATACATAATGTAAATTTCTAATGTAGAATCTATATAAACCTTTTAACTCCATCGTCATCTAGCTCAATCAATCCTGACCAAGTCTTGAATCTATATACTGGCCAATCTGGCCATTTAAATTCATCAGCCACAAAGTCTATGCATGAGACTGAAATCAGTAATGTAGCGAGCATCACACATTTCATCATTAATTTGTAATTATTTATTAAATTATGTAGATTTCCCGATTTCTTATTTAAATAATAGGTACAATTTTGAATGCATATTGATTATTGTACTCAATAATGTTTTAAATAGATAATTTATAACTCATAAGATATTGATATAATTAATAAGAGGATTATTTATAAAAATTATACATTATATTTTAATAGCCAATATAATTCATATAAGAATATATATATATTATAAAGTTATTCTGATTTTCTTCAATATTATAATATAATTTTAAAGTGTTTCTAATATTATTTCTTTCTAATTTAGTATATATAATAAAATGAGAATATGAATTGGTATATCAAGAAATTATTAAAAATGAATAAAATAAATTTAATTTAATATGTAGTAAATTAGTAAGGAGAAAGAAAATCAAATTTAATAAGCTATGGATTTAGAAAAAGATGTAATTAGCACATTAGGCAAAGTTAGATAATACGAAGCATCAATAAATTCACTTAAAAGAAACATTTAAAAATGCAATATAACTTTAAAAGAATTAAGTAGTATTGATTAATAGAAGACATATTTTCCTGTTGGAAGATGGTATAAATTTTATATTTAGTTTATAGTTTTATTTTGAAACCAAAGGCAGATATTGTGAATGAAGTTAATGAAAATATCATATTTCATGAGAAAGATATCAATGAATATGAAAAAGTTAGATAACATTTAGTTACAAAAGGAAAAGAGAAAGAATGTTAATTGTAAGAAGCAATGAAATCATTAAAAATTTGAAATTTTAATATATTTTATGTTCTAAGATAATATATGGGAATGTGTTTAATAAAATAGTATGCCAACTCCAAAAAGTGGACATTGTTGTTGTGTAGTAGCAAATAACTTTTATGTATTTGGTGGATAATCAAATACTGAAATATTGAATGAATTTCATAGATTCAATCTAGAAGATAAAATTTGGAGTAAATTAAAGAGTGATTCATAACCAAATGGAAGAAGTTCAGCAGGAATGTGTGGTGTTGATGATATTAAAAAGATTTATTTATTTGGTGGTACCTTATTGATAGTTGAGAAAACAAGTAAGAAGTATATATATAATTCTATTCATTTAGTGATCTCTATGAATATGATATTCAAAAAAATAATTGGAGTATTCTAATGACTTAAACACCAGGACCTTGTGAGAGATATGGTCATTCTATGATAATATCAAATTAGTAATTATAATATTCTATTGTTTAGTTAGATATATATATTTGGTGGTGTTCATTATGTAAAAGCATAAAATAGAATGAATCCTGAATTTTTAAATGATTTATGGGTGTTTTCCTTAATTGATAAAATTTGGAAGAAACTTGATGTATAATCAAATTGATTACCAAGCTTAGGGCATAAATTTAACCATAAGCTAGATACAGACATACAACTGCTATTATAGGAAATGAATTATATATAATTGGTGGTACTACAAATTAAAATCGTTATGGATAAATAGTAAAAACTGATTTTACTAATATGTAATGGTAATACTTAGAATTAGAGGCTTTAAAAAACAAATCAAAAAAGAATTTATTTAAAGGTAGATTTGGACATGCTTGTTTTGTAATTGAAAATATGGTTTATATTTATAGTGGTATGGATGATGGATTATGTGATGATGCATTATAATTAGATGTGATATAAAATAAATGGAAGAGTAAAAAGTTTAGAGGGAATATACCAACACGTGAATTTTTTAGTTTTGCTTAGACATCAAATCAATTATTTATATATGGAGGTAGAACTTAATAGAATTAAAGATTAAATGATTTATATGTATGGAATCACAATTTAAGATAAGAGGAATAGCAATATTGTACATTAAGATAAGAGATAGTAATAATTATATTATATTTAAAGTATTCTTTATTGGAAATGAATTAAAATTGTAGCGATTTGACAATTTATACTAAAAGTAGTACATAATATGTCTTACATAAAAGTTTTATATAAGTTAGATGTCCAATATTATTATAATTTCAAAATCTATAATTTTCAGATATTCTAGTTTAAATTTTAATAAAATATATATATAAAGCTGAATTAGCTTTGGATTTACTTAGTAAAGTTGAAATTAGAGAGGCTTTATAATTTAGTGCTTTCATATAAGATGATTTATTTGCAACAGCTATTATTTAATATTTTCTGATTGATTGTAGAGGTCAAAGTGATTATGATTTTATTGAAAAAGAATTGTTATAGATTTAAAATAAAGGTAATTCTAGTGGATAGATAAATTTTCTATTGAAAAGTGTATTGTAAATATTGGATTATAGAAAATAAAAATAATTTGTCAATTTATTTCAACAACAAAGAATAATATTTAATAATATTACAAATTAAATAATAATGAAATTTTATCAAGATATGAGAAAATTATAATATCATTCTGAAACTGATACATTAATTACTGCATAGGATAAATAAATAAGTGTACATTCATTTGTATTAGTTGCAAGATCAGAATATTTTAGAGAAATGATAAATTTTGAGAATGGAGTAATTTAACAAATTTAAGTTGATTTTGATCCATAGATTTTATAAAATATTATCAATTATCTATATTGTGGATATTAAGCATTGTAAAGATAAAATGAAGGTAATTTTGATCATTTAATAAATGCATATAAAGCATCAAATTATTTTATGTTGAATAACTAAACATTTTTATATTTGATATAAGAAGGAATGGCTGAATTTATAAATAAAGATAATGTATATGATTTAGCTGAATTAGCTGAACAATTGAATGCAACATATTTACTTTATGAATGTTGTACCTATATATCTGAAAACTTAAAAGGAGTATCATTATCAGATTTGAGAAAACTATCAAAAGAAGTATTAATTCGTGTTCTTGAAGTAATTGGATAGAAATAATGAATATATAATTAACATTATCAAAATTTTAAGTTTCAGTATAAAGTGGGTTTCTACATTTCTTTATGGTACTAGATAAATATTAATTAATACAAAAAAGTCTGCAGTTTTTCTAGGAATTAGATTACCATCCTTTCTAATTTATAAAACAGTAGTTTTATTTTACATTAAAGATTTAAGATTATTGTATAATTAAACTGCTTCTTCAATCTAAGCTTCAACACATTTATTTTTAGAAAAACTTATCTAACTATTGTATGATTCTTTATGCTAATGAAACTAATTTAATAAATGAATTTACATAGGAACTACTATTATTTTTAGTTGAATTGCATTCTACAGGGATTGAATTAAATTGTACTTTCAAAATAGATTTAACAGGTGTACTCTATTTTTTTTCATAAGTAGTAGGAGTATCTTATTTAGATTAACTTCTATTAATTTATATAATAGGTTTTGGTATTTTTCTTTCACTTTATACAATTTTATTGGAAACATCTTTATTTTCAGATTCTATTGTATTTGTCTTATTAATTGATTAATTTATTTTTTTTTCAGATGCACTTCTTAACTATAAAAAATTATATTATGTTTTAGGTGGTTATGGTAGTTTCTTTAAACTTGAACTTCTTATAACTCCTTTGAAACATTCAGCTTTTTTAGTGTAAGAGGCATCAGAAATTCGAGATTCTTTACTTGAAGGTCTTTATCTTAATTCAAAATATGCTTTTGATTATTATTATTATGATGAACTAGGTCTTGAATTTATTTTAGTAATAGATTCTTTAAGATTTCTTGGTTGTTAAGATAATTAAGATTTATTTAATAATTTCTCATTTTAAAAATCTTTAGTTTCTCTAGTTAATCTTTAAATTTCTAGATCCAAATTACCTATATCTCTAAGCAACATCTTTTTAATACTAGGCTTTTGTGGTTTATCAATTAAAGGAGATTATTCAATTGGAATAGGTTCCACAGGTTATTATACTTCATAATCAATTTCTTATTCTGGAGGTGGAGTTGGATTTCGTATTGGTAATTCTTCTTTAACAAACTATAATTTTTTAGATGGCTTTTTAGATGGTTAAGATTATTGTTTTTTAGTAGGATTAAAAACAATGAATTCTTATTGATTTATTTATTGTTATTAAGATTTGGATTACTTTTTATTCTTTTAACCATTTGCATTTTGGTATTGTTCTTACAAATTACCCAATAACTATTATTTTCTTAAGTAAATTAGGATATGTACCTTAATTCAAATTGAGCTGCAGCTTCTTCTTCACTTAATTTACTATATCTACCTTATTCTGCCATTCAGTTAAATAAATTAATAAGTATATTGAGAGTGAATTAATTACAATCCGTTTTTATTATAATAAAAAAATGGTCAGACAATGCTATCTATTCATCACCTTATTGGTGATTGTCCATAGTCTGAATTATGGAACTATTCTGATTTAAAATGATGGGGGAGGACAAATTCAATCAAAAGTAATTCATATGATAAATCTAAGGAAATTATATTCTCAAAACCATTCTAACACATACCATAAGTTGCTATAGCACTTCTTAATGGTCATGGAGACATATTTGCAGAAATCCACGAGATTAATCAAGAAGGTACTTAATTATCTATTTTTATTAAGGATTCACATTATAAATGATGGCATCTGAAGAGATTGAAGCAGAATTTGCCTATTTAGCAATTGAAAATGATGAGAACTATTAAATTGAATGTTTTAATCGTATTGCTGTTGGAAATGAGATTTAAATTCCTCTAATTATAGAGAAACCAACATTTATTGGTGTTCTAGCTACAAATACACATGCAAACAATTTCAATATTGGTAATTATTGATATAATTGGAAAAGATTTACTTGATGGAAATCTAATTGTTGATAATGATGGATAATTAAATATGTGTATAATTATCACAAATGATGAACAACCTATAGATTTGATTGGTTATTAAAACTATCAAGAATAAGAAACTGCTGAATTTCATCCATTTAAAAAACAGAATGCCATGTAACTTATTAAATATTAATTCAGCTTAGGAGCTTAGTATAAGCACAACAATCCCTTGAAATCACACATCTAGATTAGCATAACTCTTTTGAAATTTGGCATCATCAATCTATTGAATTAGTTAAGGATTCCTCAATTGAAATATATCCAACTCATAGATCTTTGGAAATTGTGAGTGAAGATTAACCTAATCAATAATCATAATTTAAATAAGAAGAATCTTTAGAAATATTTAAATTAGATAATAAAGACTAATAATCAATATCTGATTAAAAATTAATTGTTGAAGACATCCGTCTAGACAATCTTAATGATAATCTTTAATCTAATAATAATTAAATAGAAAATATTAAATTAGATGATGAATCAATGGTTACTTAACAGTAAACAACTGTAGCTGTATCCAATTAATCAGAAGATATTAAATTAGATCTTGAATCTACATAAGAAAATGAATAATCTGAGACTATTACTCTTGATGATTAATAATAATAAATTGAATAATCATAATAATAATAAAAGCTTGAAGATGTAAAATTAGAACCTGAAAATACTATAAATAATTAAGATTCATAATAAATTAATTTGACCAATGAAGAAGATGTTCAAATTCTAAAACCTGAAAAAGATACAATAACAAACTCATAAGAATAATAAAATACTACTATTATTGAATAAGCTGATGAAGTATAAATAGATCAATCAAATTAAGATGAGAATGTTTAGAATTTACAATCTGATCTTGCAACTAATAATAATGATTAAGTACTCTAATAAGAAGATATCACTTTTGAAAATTTAGATTAAGATACTTTAAAGGAGTAATCAAAATAAGAGATATAAATTGAAGATATTAAATTAGATAATACTGATATATCTTCAATTAATGTGAATGATATTCCACAATAATAATAAGCCAAAGAAATTAAAAATGATTAATTATCTGTCTAATCATATGTGAAACCAATTGAATAAACTACTATTACTGAAGATGTTGTTATTCATGCAGATGAAGTCAAAATAGAAAATGTGAAGATTTCTGAATCAAATTTGGATAACATAAATACAGAAGAATAAGTTTAAGAAGATAATACAGAATAAAAGATATAAGAAGATAATAAAGATTAAGTTTAAGAAGCTATTCAAGAGAATAAAGAAATCATTGGATAATCTGAAGATGTTTCTGTTGATCCAGATGCTTTCTCAGAACCATAATAAAGAGTGACTTAAATTAATAATGATGATGATTTACATAAATAAGAATCAGACATCGATGATATGATTAAAGTTGCATAGGAATTAAAAGAAGAAGCTTAATAATTAAAAAATTAAAATAGAAGTGAACAATAATAAGAAAAATTAGATAAGGAAGTAAGTGAACTTGAAGATGAAGTACAAGTACCTAAAGTTGTAGAAGATTAAATAAGTTTGGATGTTAATTCTGCTTATGAGGATTAAAAAGAAATATAAATTGAATAACCTAAAGAAGAATAACAACCACCCATCATATATTTAAATGATAGTGGATTAAATCCTGAATAATAATTAATAACATAAGAGATCAAAGATGATGATAAGCTAATGATTACTGAAAACTAATTATAAGAAGAAGTTGATAAAGAATTATAAACATAAGAACAATAAGTTGATAATGAATTATAATAATAAGAACAATAAGTTGAAAGCACATCATAAATTGGAGAAGAAGATATCTAAATTGTTGATGCTTCTATTAAATTAGATGAAGATCATTAAGAAATGGAAATATTTGAATCTGGTCAAGTTGAACTAATTCCTGATTAAGTTTAACCTTAAGTTGAAGAAGTCTAATAAATTGAATAATCTTAAGAATAAGTTGATGTAGAACCATAAGAGGATTATGTATAAGAATAAGAAAAAAAAAAAGAAGAAGGTGCTATAGAAATTGGATTGACAAAAGATGAAGGAGAAGCATTTATTAGAAAACCTTAGAAGTCTGATTTCTTAAGAGAGAAACAAAATTTAAAGGATAAATTAAGTAATGTAATTAGAGATTTTAAATTGGATTCTGTTTAAGATAATTCTTTAGATTCTGTAGTTGAAGATGATAAATAATATTCTTTAATTATTGATAGATTAGATGTACCAGAAAATAATGAATAAGTTATTGTTTTGAAAGATGAGGATTATGAATAAAATGAAAATGAACCAGAACCTAAATAAGAAGTCAAATAACTTGGTGATTATTTGGAAGCAGTAGATTCAAATATTGAAAATGTTAATTTTATCTATGATGATGAATAAAAATAGGAATAATAAACAGTTTAAATTGAAGATGTAAAATTAAATGATGATATTAATACTGATGAAGAAACTAATTATTAAATTGTTGAGGCTAAAGATGATGAACTTGTTGATACTACATTAGAATCTATAGATGATTAATAATAATATTAATTATTATCATCTGATGTTGCTGTTTCTGTTGAAGATACATCTACTTCAAATGTAGAAAATTAGATTCAAGATGAAATTATATCTTTTGATGAATTCCAAAAAGAACTTGAAGTCTTAGCTAATACTATTGGTAATATTAAATAAGAAAATATTGAAAATCAATAATCTAGTGATTTTATTATTGTTAATGACAATAGTTAGATATATGAAGCCCCATATGATGTATAAAGTAATGAATTACCACTTGAAAATGAACCTTAAATTTAAGAAGATTAAAAAGAATATTATTAAGGATTTGAAGATGATTAAAATACTTAAATTGAATAATCAACAAATTAAGAATAATAATAAACATAAGAAATTGAATAAACATTTGATATTCCAGAATAAGTAGTTGAAGATTAATCATTTTAAAATGAATAAGAATAATTAGAAGATGCAACTTAATAAGTAGAAAGTTATGATGATGCTGAACCTCAAGATTAATATTTAACTATTGATAATCTTGTAAAGGATAATTCATCTCTTGGCTAATCTTATGAATAAGCACCATAATATTATGATGAATCCAATAATGAATAACCAGAATAATATACTTAAGATTAAGTTGAAAGCACTTTAGAATCTGATTATGATACTTCTGAATAATAATAATAAAATTAGGAGATATAAGAATAATAGTAGAATGATTAATAAGAATAAGATTTTATTGTTATGAAGGCAGATTAATTTATGCCATAATTTTAAGATGAATCTTAGTAATAAGAGTAATTATCTGAAAACTAAAAAGAACAAGACATATATTCAGAAACTCCTAAGGATGAAAATGAAATAGATATTATAGTAGATGTAGGAAATTTATAAGATGATTAACCTTAATTAAATGAATAAGATTATGATTTTGGAGATAATTTTGAAAAATAATAAACTACACAAAATTAAGTTTAATAATCATCATAGAAATAATAACCTTAATAATAATAATAACAACCTTAATAATAATTATAATCAGGTTCTATATCTAATAAGAAACATAAATAAAAAATTTAACATTCTATTACTATTTCTCATAATCCTTAATAAGGTAATATAAAATAGGCTGACAGATCTATTGAAATATAACATGAAGATAAATCTATAAAAATTGAACATTAAATTAGTTAAGAAGAATTAAAGAAAGATTTAAAGGAATAATTAAAATAAGAACTTAAAGAAGAATTAAAATAGGAAATAAAGTAAGAAATCTAAGAATCTCATAATCGAAGAAAATCTTCAAGTCTTGTGATTGAGGATAATGTGAATAAAGATCCAGAACGACCTGCTTAGAAAGCCATAAATAATTTTAATAATTTATTGAATGATGTTGTAGGTGAGACATTAAAAGAAGAAGATAAAAAACACTATTAAAAATTACCAATAGTTGATGTTAAGAGAGATACTTTTAATAAAGTAGAACCAAAGATTGAATAAGGAATTGAAGACTTAAAAAAAGCATTAGGATTAAAAGGAGGAGTAGAAGTTGTTGATAATGATGGTAAGAAATAAGTTATTAATGTTGATGATCTCAAAAAAGAAAATGAGAAATTGTTGACTCGTCCAGAAAGAGATAATAAAAAGGATAGTCCTTAATATGAAGAATATTTGAAGAAAGTTACTGAGAAATCTCAAAAAAATAATAATGATGAACTAAATAATTATTAAGAGTAACATAATATTAGAAAATAAGAAATTTTAGAGAATATAAAGAGGGAATTAGAAATAAAGAAAGGCCACTTTACATTACCAAATGATTCTCCTTAAGGTACTTTTATTAATGTATGATTTAAAAGAATTATCACCTTATGAATTTGAGAGAGTTTATATGGATTGGGAAAAGAATAAATAGGATATTATTCCAAGTATGCTTTAACATTCAATTGAATAACCTAGTATTTAAGATATTAATTCAAATTCTGAATAAGTAAAAAAAAGTAGTAGTTTAAATATTTAGAGAAGCGATTTAAATATTTAAAAAAATGATTATTAAATTAATAATTTCTAAGAGAATATTTCAACGCCAAATATATAATAGAAATCCACAGAAAGAATCTCAAGAAAAGAAGAAGTAGATAAGGAAGTTTAAGAATTACTTTATGGAAACTAAAAGAATAAAAAATAATAATAATCAAAATAATCTTAAAAAGGTATATTAATTTATTATAAATTTAAAGAGTTTAAAGTGGAAGATTTGAAATATACAAAGGATGATCCACTTTTAGACTCTACTTATAGTGGATTTGTATAAGTAAAAGCAAATTTAAGAAAGAGATAACATTGATTAATATAAGTTTATAAATTAACAGATAATAAAATGGAAAGAAAAAAAAATCATTACTTCTTGGGTAAATCCCACTTCTTTCTTTAAGTAACAGGGTAATTATCATTAGTTATTTCTGGATTTTTTATTTTTTCTTATAAAAATTGTATCAGGTCGAAGTGCTATTCATTTCGTATTTTTGCAAATTCTTCAAGTAAATCATATAAGGATATATTTTTGAGTGTTTATGTTACATTTTATTTCTTTTAGCCTCTAGGTTTGGTAATAGAAGAAGGAATTGGAATTCTTCTTCTGCAATGAGGACATTATTGATTCATATAAGAAAATAAATTAATTTCATTGTTTAATTGTTTCTTTAATTGATTATTCAAGTCCTTAAGTCACATATGTCAATTTAACATTAGGTGGTAATTACACACAATAAATAGTAACAGCAATCATATTAGGATTAAATCTTGGATAAAAAAAGGATTGCACTCCACAAGTTTTACAAAAGTAATGTTTTGCCTTATATTATAGAATTGAGTAACTGATACTTGTTTGGTATTGAATGTATATAGACTAAGTTCTTCCATACTTGTAAGCAACTTAAATTTGGAATCAAGAATCAACACATGATGATTTTACTTCATTTTGCAAATTGAACAATGACATCTGATTACTTCCATCTCAAGAGGTCCTGAAAATTGAAATTGCACTTTTTAGCAATGACAACTTCCTGAATATTAATATTCCATTTTCTTATTTTATTATATATGTAATCAGTGAGCTAAATTTCTAAATCTGATCCAACTCGTTATGGTGATTCATTTAAACCTACTGCTAAGAAAATGACTCATCGTTTGCTTTCTCATTGTGATAGTGAAATGACTCTTAAGAAAATGGACTTTACTTTAGCTGGGAGTGGTAAACATATCCCAGATTATAATATAAAATCAACTTAAGTAGAAACAAAGTAAATAGAACCATTCAAAATAAAGGATTTTATACCATAAATAAATCCAACTATTAAAGGTGAATTGAGTCGTCTAAATAAGAATAGCTTTTTAGATTTTCTTTTAATTTAAAAAGCTGGAAAAGTAAATATGATTAATTCATTATTGTTAGTCAGGAGATCAGAAGTTCTTTGATTAATTGATTTAACAATACAACTTTGATCCATTTAAAAAAACTTTAAAGATGCAAGACAATAAATAATAATAAATTCAATATCTTCAAAAACGAGATGAAAGAGAAGAATAAATTGCATTACAAGTTAAGCAATTTTATAAACATATGTAACACAAAAGAAGTGGCACAATGAATGATTAGCCATTAGACCGTATGATCATAGAAAAAAATAATTATTTGATCCAAAAACTACCACGCTTTAGAGCTAAATTAGAGGCTTTGTAAGGAAAAAATGATTATATATGATCAAATTATAGTAGAAGTAGTGTACTTATGAGTTGGGATGTAACCATGGTTTCGACGAATAATTTTTTCGATTTCAAATATTACATGTATATCAGTGTTTCGAACCTTAGGTTTTGTATGATGGGGTTTCATTTTGATTAATGAGAGTTATGGCAAAAAATGTTTCTCATTTGGAGATTCCTTAATCTTTATGAATTTGTTGATATATTGTTATTTCACTACTTGTCTTGGTGATAAACTATTCAATTTTAACTTAGGTAATTCACTTTTCTTTGCTGTTAATATCTAATGTATTGTTTGATGAGTTTCTTTTATTTCTGTCTTTTCTTTATGTAATGGTACTGTCATTTAACTATGATATCGTGAACGAGGTCTATAATCATCACTGCCCCAAGGACCTAAGTCTTCATCATAATACATTTAATTATCAAATTATTAATATTTATACATGAAAATTTTATTTATTTCTTTTGTCAATATTTTGACTATTTTTATCATATAATTTAATAGAAACTAATAAAAGAATTAATATTAACTTCATTTTAGATGGAAATAATATTAATTATTGAATGAATAAATATTATTATATAATAGAAATTTAATAGATTGAAACAATATTTAATATTTACATAATATCCTTTATTTAAGATTCTTATTAGTATTATTTAATTAAAAAAAGTCAAATTTATTTATTCTTTTCTTATTCATAATAAATTTATTTATTATTTTAATTCTACGAAATCTTTGTATAAATATCAATTTTAAGAATTAAGTATATATAATATATAAATCTAATAGAATGAAATAAATTCCATTTGATTTATTTCTATTAAATTTATAAATTTTCTAATTTTGAAATATTTTTTAGATATAATCAATTTTGATTTTGTTAAATAATATGAATATCATAATAATTTTTATAGATTATTAATATATAGAGTTAATAATATATATTTATAAATAGAAATTTTGGTATAGTTAGTGAAATCTCTCAATTTACATTATTTTAAAATATTTACATAAATTTAATATTTATATAACAGCAATATATTTTGAATAATGATAAGTTTAGATGAGATGGAGTCACTTGCTAATTCATTTCGCAAAAAACCAAAGAAAAATTCATCTTTGTAAATACAAACAGATGAAACAATGGCAATGTTAGAAATATTAGAATCAGATATGAATAAATTTAGAATTGAAAATTTAAGGCTTTAACAATAGATAAAATAATTATAAGAGAGTTTAGTTCATTGTTCTGTCAATGTTACCAATACATCTTCTAAATTTATGTTGCCTAGTGAATTTAAATTAAAATATGAAAATATGGTCAAAGAAACACTTCCATCAGCATTTGGTTTTCTTTTTGATTAACCAAAAGTGCTAGTTTAAGTTGTTTAATAGAGTTGTCTCTTTTTAGAATAAATAATTAGAGAAGAACTAAATAATAAGACTTCACAAGTTGCTTCAATATTAGGAATAAATTGTTAAGGATTATTCAGTCTTTTATAAAAATTATATCAAGATAATTTCTAAAGTGTTTTGGGATTCAATGAAACAACAATAAATAAATTAAAATCACATTTGAAATTGAATATCAAAAACATAGATGAATTTATAGAGGAAGACAATGATGATTTGATTGAATGGATGAAATAATATTGGCTATTATTATCATATATAATTCTTAGTGATTAAGAGATTAATATAGGTTTTAGTAGAGTGATCTATGAAATAGTATCATATCAAAAGAATGAATATTATTGTGTAGATGGTTTTGGTAAAGAAGGAGCTAAAAGTTTGGTGATTCTCCCACCTATTATGAGAAAAAATCAATCATTTAATGGTGTCAAGCATGCTGTATTAATATTACCTAGTAATTTTGATTGTTCAATATTTAATTAAGATAATAATCTATAAGATACTATTTAAGAATTGAAATCTTATAATTCACCTAAATAATTAACTATTCCTTAAGAAATAAAGGTTATTGAGGAAACTAAGAGAAGTAGTTTATAATATAGTGCAAGAGAGAACACCTTTTAAAGTCAGGGATCAGAAAAATTTGATACTTTTGAGGAATGCAGAATTAAACCATAACAAAAATAACCATTAAAATCAATGAAGGAAACTCTTAATAAATTAAATTAATATAATAATAGTAGTAATAATTAATCATTTAAAGAGATTTCTAAATTACTTAAATAAGATTCTAAAGACAATAAAAGATTTAGGTAAATTATTACTCATATTTAGTTAGTTAAACTATATTTAAAATAAGATTAGCGATAATAATTGGAGTAGAATTCTAGCTAATAAAAGAAATAAAGAGAATAATTAACATCTCAATCAATCTTAATAATAAACACCTTAATTAACAATATAATAATTTATAAAGAAGATTAAGATAGATTTCTCTCGTCCTTTGAAAAGTCGTCATGAAGAATCAAAATTCATTAAATCACAATAAGATAGTTTCAGATAGAGAGCTTAGTCGAATGATGGAAAATTTGTTAAATATTATAATGATTCCTTTAATTAGAAATTTAATAATTGATTTACTATTATAAATTAATTATAACAGCTAAATGAATAGACCCAATAGTCAAACTAATGAGTACTTTAATTTAATTGAAAAATGCATATGTACAATGTGTCTTTCTATCTTTAGAAATTCCAAAGGATGATAGACTCTATCTTAGATAATGTGCATATTAAAACAATCCAGACATTATATCAATCATATTTTAATATAAAAAGAATAATGGTATAAATTTCTAATCTATAGAGATTAAAGAAGATTGTATATGAATTTACGCAAATTTTTATAACAAAATAAATAGAATCGTATTCTCTAAAAGAAATAATAGTAATAATCTAAAGAAAATTTGAGAAATACATCTCCTTAAGCAAAAAGCAAATAATAGTCTAGATAAAATAGTATCAGAAATAACAATCCAAGATCATTGAGCAAATAATTATAATGTATTCATCCATCTGATAAATAATAACATTTGATAATGTATATTAAAATTAAGAAATTAGGACTACTCCACATAAATAATAATAAGATAGATTATCTTAAAATTAAAAATTCCACACTAATAGTGGAGGAGGATTCTTTCAAGAAGTTTAAAAGTTTGATGAAACCATAAAGAAATCATAAAATTAAAAAAAGTGGACTGAAGAAGAAATTGTAAGGAAATATGCTGATCTGTTCACTGCACCTGATTTTCTTAAAAAACATAGAGCAATATCTTAAGACACAGATCCAGATAGTAAAGATTTTAATTTTGCAATTACTTGTCAGAGTTTCATTTGTTAACCTAAATATTATGCTATGTAAAAATTTAGTGCAGAATAAATATTTGGATTTATTTTTACTGAAGCTTCGTTAGATAAAATAAGCAAGACTTTCTTTTAATATAAAATGGTAGCATTTTACAATGAAATCGATGCTGAAATACCAGATCTACAAGAAATGTTTATTTTTATAGATAAAAAAAATGATGGTTTTATTGATGTTAATGAAATGGGATAATTTTTAGATTTTGTCTGTTAAAAAGAGAATAGAACAAATTTCATGAAATTAGATTCAAATAATTAAGGATATTTTACAGAACACTAAATGCTTTAATAAACAAGAGATAGATAATTAACAAGAAAGTAAATAATTTAAGATTATCCAAATAGCTATTTTTAAGAATATGATATTGAATAGACAGGAAAGATTACTTATTGGGAATATTAATTAAGGTATTTATTTTTAATTTAAAAGAAAAACTACGTAACTTGGATAAAATTTAAATAAATTATTAAAATGAAATTATATAATATTAATTTTTCCGCAATTTTTTATATTTAAATGTGTTTGGAAGAAGTATAGGATGATAAGGGATTGGAGAAATTTTTAAAAATGGCTACTAAATAGTAAGTCAATCTAATAAATCTAGCTATGAAACTAAATATGGAACCCCATAAAAAAATTTGAGGGAAAAGGCTATGACTTTATGGCTTGATTTACCATCTTTTAAAGACAAAATGATAGTAATGGAATTTATGTAAAGGAAAATCAATAGAATTGAATCTTCATAAACTAAAATCACTTAGTTTTTTAAATCTCACTCAAAACCATCAGCAACTAAAATTTAGAAATAAATTGATATAGGAGATGATTAAGAAATTACAGGTCCTTTAATAGGTGATAACACTCCTTTGAAAAGAGATAGATCTCCATATAGCAAATTTTATGAAGAAACCTATTGGAAACTAAAATTAGAGTACGAATTCTTGAATTAGAAAGAGATCAGATAAATGGTTAAAAAATAATGGGAAAGTAATAGAAAAATAATTTAAAATATTTGATTTATTTAGTTATGCATTACTTAAAAAGTAAAATCTTTATTTTTTCTATTTTACTAACATATATATATATATTAATAATATAATTTATTATAAAAATCGTTAAGATGTTAAAGAGAAACTCCCATCGTTAATCAGACAATTAGTTAAGATATTCTTCATTGACTAAAAATGATGAATCAGAGTTTAATCTAGGAAAATTTCGAGAGAGTGTCTATTCAAAGATGTAGCAATTAGGCAATCAAGAATAATAGTCTTATGTAAAGGGTACTGTTTCAAAAACTGTTAAATCCTCTTAAGTTTAAGAAATGAGAGGAAGGTATAAGAAAAGATTAAGTTTAGTATTCCATCATTTGAAGACATTTTTAAAAAGATGTCCTCATATAAAGACAATTCATATAATATATTGAAACATGATGGATCTTTAAGGTCTAGTATTTAATGTAAAATTGAACAATTTGCTGAACCACCATAGAGTAGATTATCCTAAAGATCAGTTGGAATGACTTTACACATTTCAAATAGATTTGCCTCTCAAACTAAATTGGATACTAAATAGCAATCAATAGGGAGATACACTTCAAGTTTTATAGAAAAGCCTGTCATTTCTTAACCGCTGAAAACAAGTCTAATTGATAAATTGCCATTAAAAGAACTCTCTGATATAAGAAATAGAATTGAAGGGAGTACATAGAGTGAAGTATAATAGTTGTCTAAGAATTATGTGTCTGAATTGGTGAAATTGGCACAAATCATAAATAAATAAGTGAGAAGATGCAAATTATGATATTATTAATATGTTATAATCTCATGATAATGGAACCACAAATCAAGAGTATAAAAGAGTAGTAGAGAAATGCTCAAGGTATTTGAATGAAAGATCTAAATTAAAACATCAATCTAATGATAAGTTATGTGCAGCAGTTCGTAAGATTTATCTGAATCCTCTCCTTCCTTTATTATAATCTGATCATGAATAATCTACTTATCGAATGAGAAGACGGTAATCTTCCTTATTAAAAAATCAATATTTGCATTTTAAGCAAGAATCTATTGAAAAAATAAATGGTAACATCTAATAATAAATTGTGAATTAAAATTCAAACTCAGTACCAAAAAAACAATAACATTAATCACAAGCCAATCTTGAAACATCACAATAATAAAATTTTTTTATTGGTTTATATAAAAATTAGAGGATTGAAAATTAGAGCAAAAATATCACTATTAAAGATTTAGTATAATTTCACAAATATTCATCAGGATAATAATAAAATATAACTCATTTGCCTTAATTGTAATAACCATCAAATGAAATTAATTTAAGTAAATATTTTGTGAGAAAAGCAAAACCTAAAAAGATTTCTTTTGATGATATCTCTTTTACTAATAAATATGAAAAAGAAAGAGGAAACAATATAGTGAGGATTGATAAAATGTAAGTAGATGAATTTTCAGAAAAAGTAATAGAATATCTCTTAATGTAAGATATAATGAGATTATTCTTTCAAAATTCTAGTGTTATATAATTGAAAGCAATTATGCTTGAACTTTTTAAAGGAGTTTATTATGAATTTTCACTAAATTTTGAACAAATTATAGCATTTTTTACAACATAACAAATAACATATTTGGAAATATTTTATATTAAGTATTCAATCTCTTAAGTCTTGTTAAATGCCAATTACAATTTTAATTTTATAGAAAGAGCTCTCAATTAATTTGAGGAATATCGTTATCTATTATAAAAGCCAATTCCTTTTATTATTAAATTATTTGATAATACTTTTTATTCCAATGTTGTAAAGGGAGTTATGATGAAATTATTAAAAAGTCCAGCTTACAATAAGTTTTTGACTATTTAAAAGTTTGAAAGTGAATAATTTATAAATTCAGTTAAGAATGGATTATTTCCTTATTTAGTTGGGGAATATGTAGGATTGCCTCTGCATGCTAGAATTAATGATGTCAAAGCTGAATTATTCAAATAATCAATATTATAGCCTTATATTAATTAAGTTCTTGTTATTCAAGTAAGGAATCTATTGAATGAATATTATCTTGATGAATTATATATCAAAGAAGTGTAAAGGAGATTACAATTTCCAAAAGAAGGATAAGATATTTCAGAAGAAACAAATTTTCCTCTTTATTATATTAAATCCTATATACAATGTAAGAATACTCTTATACCATCATATGATATCAAGGCAATGATAAATATAATAAATATTAATCCAATATAGATGGATTAAGATTAAAATTTATTTGAAGATAATATCAAATTTTTGGAGTAATTTGAGCAAATGACAGAAGAATTGTAATTATTTAAATGATAATCAATTTATAATTTCTTTTTAATATTATTCTAAAGTTTTGATAAACTTCTTATATTAAGTATTATCTAAATTAGAGATACCTTCATAATTGAATCCGCATCGTAGAGCTACATTAGCACTTTTGATATTTTCTACTTGACAATGTATAATCAGAAGATCTAATCCAAGAACTTCAAAGGCATGTTTTTAGAGTTGTTAACAAGCTCTTGTAACAATTCCTTTTCCTTAAAATTATTCATCTATCCAATAGAAAATCTTTATTGAATAAATATAATATACTTCAGCTTAACATGTGAAATTCTCAATACAGAAAGAATGTAATCCAATTTAACCACAAGGTTTATCTTCATGACATATGGTAAATCTTTTGAGTTCAATATTTTAGAAATCACCATAGATTCTGAGAAGATAGAGAAAATAATCATTTGTATTTTTTATATTAGGATAGCCTTCTCCAAAGCTTTCTAAATAGGCTTCGTTTTTTTGAATCATTTTGTAATCTAAAGGTATTCTGTTTTCAGTTAATGGCACAAGAGTTGTTGATGCCTTCATTTAAATTAGTTTAAAAAAACTATGTGAAAGATTAATAATAAATAAAGGTTAAGTTTAATTTATAATTAAAAAGTAGTTAAAATTGAATGGCAAGTGAAAGAATTCATAAGTATGAGGAATCAAAAGGTGCAATATAATAAATTGATTAAGTAGATTTTATTTAGAAATGCAAACAAAAGAATTGTTTTTCGAATAGTTATGGGAGTCCATTTTGTTTAGTTAAAAAATTTAATGATCATAATATTTTGAAGGAGAGTTATAATAAGATGAATGTACGTGGAGATGATAAATGTAGTTTAAATGATCGTCTTTAGAAATATAGATCTTAAGCTTAGATGACATTAGATAAATTGGAGACTGGTGAATGATATATAATTAATTTTAGGTAGATTACAAATATTAGAAGCAATTATTAATACGATAGATGTAATAGAAATGTTAAGAAGAGGAAGAGTAAATGTAGAATAGAATTTAAGTGCGAATGAAGAAAGCTTAACAATAGTGATTATTTATTATATATTTTAATGGATCAAATTGAGCATAGAATATAATAATTAAACCCTGATTCCTAAAGTGTAAAGGAAATAATAGATATCTTAACACAATATCATTAAATAACAACAGTATGTATTATTTGGGAAATACAATTCAATAGAGAGATTCAATACAAAAAGTAGTATTAACCTTAAAATCTTGTTAAGAATACTTTAGCCAATAAAATTACGATCATTATGGGGAAATGGATCTTAAGGTTTAGAATATAATAGAAGATGTTCAACGTTTAGAAGTGGTAAAAATGAAGAAGTCTTTTACAAAGAAGATGTCAACAAAGTAACAATTTAATGATATCTTGTTACTAGATCGATTAGAATATTGTCAAATAAATTGAGAATAGCATTACATTATTTAGAAGCTGATTGGATTAGCAAGAATGATACATCTTTCCAATATAAGTGGGCATCAATTAAAATGAAGAATATTTAGCAGTAAAAATGTTTAGTATTTTTAGAATAATGAAGATGGATATGAAAAAGTGGGATAAAAAATCACTTGAGTTATTGATTTGTAGGATATGTGAAAAAAAGGTACAAGCATTTGAAATGAAAATACATTGTGAAGAATGTCAGAAAATTGCTGAAGCAAAGAAACGAATATTAGAATTAAATTTGGAAATGGCCAATCTTTGTGAAGCAGCATATTAAGAAAAAAGAAATGCTTAAGTAAAACAAGCATTAATCAAGTAAGATTTGATAATAGTTAGTAAAAATAAAAAAGTTTAAAAAAATAATAATAAATTTAGAAGAACACAGACTTTCAATAGTGATGAACAAGAAAATGAATAAGAATTAAATAATATCAATAATGCTATGACTATGATTATTAATTATGCTGATAAAATTGTAAATCAATCTAATGATGATCCTAAGTGTAAGAATTATCTGACTAAATAGAAAATTTGGTAATACTTAATGATCTATCCAATGCAGGCAATTACATTGAAAGTAATGAAGCTAAGACCATTATTACACGTGTTCATAAGAGTATTCTTGATAGAATGGAATATTTCAAAAAATAAGAAGGTCATCATTAATAATATGATATGACTCTATAACTGTCCAAAATTTAAGCTATGAAAAAATCCTTTGCAAAACAAAATTCTCTCTCCTTTCGCTAATCTAAGTTTTCTTAAGTCTCTCAATCTCCAAGAAATAGAGTAGCTGATCCTATAATTGAATAAGAAGAAGGAGAAAGGTCTAATTAACCAATCATTCCTAGAAGAAGAGAATTTAAAATGAATACATCCATATTTAAGGTTAATGAAGGTTGTGACAGTCCTAGAATTTCTAATAAACCATATACAGCAAGTTTTATTAATGATCACACTGATTCTGATAGTGTTAAATAACCATTATCTTTTGATTCTGATGCTGGAGATAATAAAGTTCCATCAATAAAAGAAGAACTTAATAATAATACTTCATCAGAAGAATCTAGTTTATCTAATCCATCCAATCAACTCAGAAGATAACTATAAATCAAATAGAAAAAGAAACGAGTTTCTAATTTCCACTCTCAAGATATTTAATAAGCAAGTACTCCAACATCCTCTTCTTAATAATAAGTTTAAGTAACAAAGAAAAGCAAATTCAGTAGTAATGCTTCGAATAATAGTCCTCAACTGATCATGGAATAGATTGATCCTGTACACACTGACAAAGGATATCATTCTGATTCAGACATGATCAAGACCAATTCTACTGTATCAATTGAGTAGAAGAATGTTGGTATTAAGGATTTTGAATTCATTAAACCATTGGGAAAGGGAGCTTATGGGTGGGTATTTTAAGTGAAAAAGAAAGGATCAGGAGATATGTATGCATTAAAGATTATAGATTGTGCTTAAAGAGTATAAATAATATCATTTAATAATAGAATTTAGAGGCTTTTTTAGAATAATTAAAAGCAGAAAGAAATATATTTGAAATCCTTAATAGTCACTTTGTTGTAAAGGCATATTTTTCATTTGTACATGAACATTATTTATGTTTTGTCCAAGAATATATGGTTGGTGGTGATTTGGCTAGTATTTTGAAAGCATACACAGCTTTAGATGAATTTTATGTTAGACATTATATGGCTGAAATAGTATTGGCTTTGGAATATTTGAGGAATCAAAATATTGTACATAGAGATTTAAAACCAGAAAATATTCTATTAGATTCTTAAGGACATGCAAAATTGGCTGATTTTGGATTATCTGAAAAGGGTTTGAATAGTAGATTAAAAATGAAAAGAGAGGGTTAATAGTTACCAGATTGTATCTAGTAATAATTTAATGATTCATCAGAATTTTATGAACATATCAAAAAGGCTGAATCAATATTTATTGAATCTAAAAATAGTGGAAATAAAAAGTATTTGTATATATTTTCTAATTTAGAATAATTGGTACTCCTGATTATATTGCACCTGAAATTATTCAAGGTGTATCAGTAACTAATTATTCAGCAGATTATTGGAGTTTAGGTGTTATTATGTATGAAATGTTATGTGGAATTGCACCTTTTAATGATGACACTGTAGAGAAGATATTTGAGAATATTCTCAATTTAAGAATTGAATGGCCTAAATTAGGAGATGATGGAGTAGAATGTATTTCATATGATTCCTATGATCTTCTTACACGTCTATTAGAATCAGATTACTAGAAGAGAATTGGTCATATTTCTATTGATGAAATTAAATAACACAAATTCTTTAAAGGTTTTTAATTCTATTGTTATTTAATAGGTATTGAATGGAATACATTACTTAATAAACCAGGTGTTATTATTCCTGATTTGGATTAATCTTCAAGAGACACTGAAAAAATGGAATAATTCTTAGTTAAATTAACAAAACCAACTAAGGATTAGGAACATAAGAAATTAACATAACAATTAAAGAATTAATTGTAAAATTTAGAACGCATAGACTTATTGAAATAAAGAAGTGTGCAAGAGGCTGAGGAATATATGTATGTTGTTCTATTTACCATTTCTTTTAGTCAAACGATAGAAAGAGAATAAAGTTATATACAAAAATAGATTGATTAACTTACTTAATTTACTGCAAAGCTTTATTCTTTAAATATGAAAAATAAATGAATGAATTATATAATATAAGATAACTTGTCATATGATTAGTTTTCTGTTGTTTTGTATTGTTAATGCAATAGATGTTAGTATTTCAAATATGGATAGTGCTATAATAGATATTGTCTGGTGTGGTGCTCATAATTAGTCTAATGATAATGTATTCAATCAATCTCTAACATTTTTTAGATCTTAGTTATGAGTTCAAAAGGAACAATCTATTTAAGTTAGAATAATGGTGATGATTGGTAGAAATTGGCAGAAGTATTTCATAGAAAAGGATTACTTGTATTATAAGATGAAAATGAAAAAGTAGGAGTAGTAAATAAAATATAAAAAAGTCCAATAGACCCATAATTAATTATATTCTTAGGAACAGAATTTGTTAATTGGATATCTCCTGATTGTGGATAAACAATAAATGCAATTTATACAGGCAGATAAATGAGGGAATTTCAATTTCATCCTAAGCGTAAAGATTGGATATTAGCATCTTCATGGTCAAAATGTCAGATGAAATAAAAGGATTGCTTTGTAACTAAGGATCTGATGGTTAGTTAAGATATGGGTTTGAATTGGGAAGTTATTGCTAAATATGTGAATTAATATTCATGGGGTTTTAAAAGTCCTAATAATGATGTAATCCCAGAGCAAAGAATAATGATTACTTATGAGCCAAATGGAAAAGGTCATTAATAATTGTCAGGTTGGAATATGAAGACACATTTATTTTATAGTGATGATTTTATGAAAACAAAAACGATGTTAGTTAATTAAGGCAATAAATTTCAATTAACTCCTAATCATATATTTGTAGCTTAAGTTATGAATTCTTCTAATTAAGAAGTAACATTATTAGTATCAGAATCAGATGAATATGAATACAACTTCAGATATGTATAAATGCCAGACATACTTAAAGATCATAGTTACACAATAGTTGATTCTTAATATGGAGCCTTTATTAATATTAATCATCTAAAACCCAGTTCGATAATGGGTACAACTTATATATCAGATTCAACTGCTTCAAGATATAGAATCTCATTAAATTATACAGTGAGAACTGAAGAAGGATAATGTGATTTCGAGAGAGTATTGGGTTTGGAGGGAATATATATAGCAAATGTTTATGCATCAGAATAAGCAGAATTATATTAATCTGAAATTGATGAAGATTCTCCAAGAATAAAAGAGAGTGATTTAAGTAAATTTAAATAAACTAAAATTACTTTTGATAAGGGAAGTAGATGGTAACCATTGACACCACCTGTTGTTGATTCTGAAGGTAAAAAATTATAATGTGATTCTAAAACATGTTCTTTACATTTGCATTCAGTTTCTACAAAAATGTAATTTGGTCCATTTTATTCTACAAAGAATTCGATTGGATTAATTTTAGGGACAGGGAATATTGGAAAATATTTAAGTTATAGACCTGATTAAGTTAATACATATATGTCAAGAGATGGAGGTTTAACATGGTTTGAAATAGCAAAAGGATCTCATATTTATGAAATAGGGGATCATGGAGGTGTTATAGTATTAGCAAGTGATCAATAAGCTACAAAAGTATTGAAATATTCATGGAATGAAGGATTAACATGGGAAGTATTCTAATTTAGTGAATAAGCTATTGAGATTACTAATATCATTACTGAACCTTCTAATATTGGTACTAGATTTATTATTTATGGTACATCTGATATGTACATAAATGATGAAAATATTGAATAAGGTAATATTGTTAAAATTGATTTTTCTTAAATTCATGGAAGAGAATGTATTGGAGAAGATTAGCCATCAAGTGAGAATAGTGATTATGAGTTATGGTCACCTACAGGTAAGATTAATCCAGATTGTTTAATGGGAATGAAAGTAGAATATGTGAGAAAAAAGAGAGATGCTAAATGTTTTAATGGTGAAGATTTATAAAGATAACATTCAGTTTAATATTGTTAATGCACTGAAGAAGATTGGGAATGTGATCTTAATTTCCATAGAGAAAATTAAGATCCAAATGCAAAATGTATTCCATATGAACTTTATGAATAAAATTTCGAGGCTCCTGAAAATTGTGAAGATTATTATGAAGTTACTAGAGGTTATCGTAGAGTGGCAGGTAATAAATGTTAAGGTGGAGTTGAATATAATCCAGTTAAATTATTATGTCCTGGATTCAAATTTTGGAAATTTAGAAATGTAAATGTCATTTCATAATCTAGATTTGGGATTTTATGTTAATTTGTATATTTGTTGCCATTATCTATTTTATATATAAGAATAAACATCATTTCTCTAAAAGAAAAGATCATACAAAGGAATAATAATAATCAGCTAGAACATATGGATAAAAAATGGTTGAAAGGGGATTGGGATATAGAGAATTTGATGAAGATTTAATTGAAGAGAATCAAAATGTGTGAATATATATAATAAATATTGTTATTATAAAATTTAAACATGAAACTATATTTAAATTAATATGTTATTTTTATATATAATTCAACTCAAATATTAATAATTAATTGTTAAATATAAAATTATAATTCAAAATTCAAAGGACAATATGAACGAAAATGAAAATATCCTAGTTTCTGATAATAGTTTCAATTAATAAAAGTTTTGTATCACTCCAGCAAAACCTGAAAGGAAAATAAAAGAAAACTATATTTTACAAACTCCAATAACACCTAATGTATAAAGAACTTTATTCACTAATCATAAAAATCTGTCTGCTTCTAAGTTTATTATTGATGAATAATTGGTTGATTAATAAATTTCTTAAATTGAAGTTGATTAAGCGGTTGAATTGATCTAAGAAATTTGCTTAAGATTTAATCTCACTTTTTCAAAATTTTCTATTGTTTCTTAAGATGTAATTAGACTCATCTATTTATTTAAAGAAATTAAAATGATTTGTACATATCCAATAGAAAAATTATACGATTTTTTAAATGTAGTTTAAATGAGATACCCTAACTCTATAAGTTTAGTAGTTTCATCATAGAAATTACCAAGCATGTTATAAATCAATGATATATTAGAATTGAGATAGATAAAATAAGGTTTAGTGAATATTACATATTTATAATTATATCGTCGAGATTCAGATACAATAATGTAAATTTTAAGAAGTCTTAATGTGAAATAGGCATTCTATTTTGATGATGTTGAATAATGTCGATATTTACTTTCTGATAATATTAAATAACATATAGTTTGTAATAGAGGTGTCTTACCTGCCACAAATATTCAAGAATTAAGGAATTATCTCTCTATATAGACATCGTATATAGGACCAACTTTAGATATTGGCCATATTTAAAGTGAGTATAAACCAAATTATTAATTAAATAAAGTTATTTTTATGGATTCAGAAAGTTTTTCAAGAATGCTTACAAGATTAGAAGAATAAAATTTAGAAAGTGTTGCTTTGAAATTTTAAAATAATAAAAACATCACTAATTTTGAAGATTTTTGTATTAATAATTAAATCACTTGTAAATATGAAGCTATTTCATCTTCTGCAGAATTGAAAACATAATATGAAGTATTAGTTCACATAGATTAAGTTAACAGTTTGTAAGCTTATTTGAATGATTGTGCATTTTTAAATAAAGATTGCATAAGTATAGTTTATTTGTCAAAAGAATAATATTTATTAAAAAGAAAATCATTATTTTTTTAATAAACAAGTTTAGAATTATTGGAAGCAATTTATAATTAATTATGTACAAATTAAAATAAAGTTAATTTAAATCATATTAAATAATCTTTTATGATTGATAATCCAATGAAATTAATGAATATGTTAGAAAAACATTAATTAATTTAAATTGATACAGTAATACCATTGAAATGTTCGGTATCCATAGACACAATGGCAGATACAAATTCTGAATAAATCAATTAATTAATAAAATACATAAAATTACATAGTAGAAGAATTATATCTTTGAGAAAAGATGTAAGTACTATAAAACATTTTGAAATAGATCTTGAAGATGTATCAAAATTTATGAATAAACCAATAATTGAATTGTGTATATAAATTGAATCAAAAAATAAGGTATTTTTAGAACCTGAATTTTATGATTTTTTGATTAATTATTAGATTACTGATCATTAATTAAATTATGCAAATAATAAAATGAAGAATTAATTGTTATAATGTTCATAAGACATAACAAAAATTAAATAATAATAAATATAAGAATTAGATATATGGTTTTGTCTTGGTTAAATGTTAAAAATATCATCATTATCTAAATGTATAAATTACTATTCAAATTAATAAAAATTTGCTGAAATTGTTGATAAATATTTTACAGCTGAAAATAAATTAACAGTAGGTGAATTATTTTAACATAATCATATTAAATATATGCCAATCAAAACAATTGAAGGTTTGAGAGAAAAAACTAAAATAATTACAGACATAAGAAAGATATATTAAAACATTGAAAAAGAGAAAGATCGAAATATTTTACATAAAATACCTATAAATAGAAGAGTACATTATGAATTAATGAAATAATATCTATCATATGATTTAGATTAACTCTCAGATTTAGTTAATTATTATATTGATTAATAAAATAAGCAAACATAAAGATATAGAGTAAAGGGATGGTTATTAGATTTGCCAATTAAAAAAGTAAAGTTTTCATGATATAATCATTATTTCTTTTATATATATATATATTTATTTTTAATAATGTCAAAGAATGTTAAACAGTTACTTTAAGATCCAAATTATACAGTACCATTAGAGGTAATCAAAAGAGAACTAAGTAAAGTACCTGGAGGAGATGATGTAAAATATTAGATTTTAATTTTAGAAATATAAAGAGATTCAATAAACATTATTGCCTTTATTAATGGATGGAATAGAAGAATTATCAAAAGAATTAGAGACTATGATATAGAATCCTGAAAAGATTGATCCTGAAGAAAGAGAACGTTTTAATCCTTGCATTTATTTAGGGTATATCAAATGAACTATGTTTTTATAGATAATATTTAATGAGAAACAATCCAAAGTAGTATTGATTAAAATAATAATATATTAATTAAAATATTTAATTTTATATGATTAGAAGAATCTTTTGGAATGTAAAGAATTCATTTTTTGGAGCAGGAATGCTTATTTTGATTCCAGTTCAATTCATGTATTTCCCAGTTTTACTTGGAGTCCCAACATATGCAGCAACTGTATTATAATCTGGTAATAATTAATCTTAAAATAGGTCTAACATATTATGATGAATATGATGGAGATGTCAATGAAGGAAATTATTATAAAACCAAGAGTGCATGATCATTATAAATCATATATTAAGCATAATTTATATCATTTTATATAATTAATCTCATTAAATATATATTTAATAAATAAGTCTATTTTGTAAGTAATCATTTCACAATTCATTAGGATTAATCAAATTTAATTATATTTTATAAATACTTATTCATAAATGAATGATATAAAATTATACTTCAAATATATAAAAATAACATTTATTTAATATATATATATAATATATAATTTTAGATTGTTAAATTCATTTGTAAACCTTATTAGATGTGTTTTTAAGTACTTTCCCTATATTCTATTATAAAGTTATAAGTTCTTATAAATATGCACTACTTAATTAAGTGGCTTCTGCTTATTAAACATCTTGAAGATGGTTTGAAATTCTTATAATTTCTGCAAGTGTTGCTCTTTCTGTTACTACCTTATTCCTTTTTATATCAAGTATATCTGTTATAGGTTTAGATGAAGAATATTATTCTTTTTTTGATGATTAAACTTTGACCTTATCCTTATTTATTGCAGAACCAAATGCACTTTAATAATTATTCTTTATTTAAATATCATCTAATGGATGATATTATTTCTGACTCGGAGAGTAAATTGCACGAGTCAAACCCATTTTAATTGGAGATTCTTATTTTGGAAATTTATTATCCATTAGATTTTTTAAATGTGTAGCAGATTATCTATGTGATAAAGGTTAATTAGAATTCTTTTCTTCTTGATTCTTAAAATTATAAAGTAATTCGCTTTTTTATATAAACTTTTAATTCTCAAATCCTTAGACTTTTGAATAAACCTTATCTCTTATTCCCTTTTTAACATCATTCCAATTTTAGGAATCACTACTGCTAATTGGAATAGTAAATTAGGATGGTGAGTTTTATAGCTAATGTTTATGAATACATTTACAGTTGTTTAAGAATATTTCATTAACAGTTAAAAAATATTTTTTATTATATTTAATAATTTTAAATTATTCATCGTTTTTCAAAATTATCTAAATATAATAAATCTAATACAATTAACTTAATATATGTATTATCACTTTTGATTAAGTAACAATTGTATTGATTAAACATTAAATGATAAATAATATAAATTATAATAAACAGTAGATTTTTAATAATTTTATATTAATCAATTTAAGAATCAGAAATTATGTTAGTACTTCTATGATTATATAATTAATTGTTGATCATATTTTTTAATTTAATGGATTTTAATTAGAATTCTATTAAGTTTGGTGATGTTTAAAGAGATTTGAGAAATTGGTTGAAAATATTTAATTAGTTTTTATAAAATTGTTATCTAATATTTTGGATAGTTAATCTTTTTTACTTTTGGATAGTGATATTTTGAATATAAAAACTTTTAAGATAATTAATGTAAGAGGAATAATCTAAAAAAGTAGATCCTATGGATGCTTTTAGAAAAAAAGAAGATTATAGAGAGGCATGTCAAAAATTAGATGGTTTGCATTCTTAAAATAAAGAAAATGATGAAACAAAATATTTGATGCTATTTAAGAAATAAGAAACATCCAAAAAAGATTTGTGTGTAATAATTAGAGTATATAATGGAAATATGTTATGGATGTAAAAAATAGATAGAGCAGCATTAGATGAAATGATTTAAAAAACAGATATCAAAGGAACCTATTCATCTTTTTGTGAATTAATCAGATTTGCAATTAGTGAAAATTCTTATGATTTTGTTCAATTTGAAAGTCAATTAGATATAGTTCTATACTTCTCTCTCCAAAGACATGTTTAACTAAAAGGATAAATACCTTTAGATTAAGGACTCCCAATAACAAATGATGAAGATACAAGAAAAATATAATTTTAATTTGTTTGTGATTTAGTAGATGTTTTAAAAGCAACTTAATTATAATTTACAAAAGAAATTGAAGTTAATACAACTAGAAAGAAAAAAAATGAATAAATGATAGATGTTGAATAACCACCTCTTCAAAAGCCTCCTCCTCCGCCTAAGAAAAACTTACTTGCTATTGGCTAAGAGATTTTGACTACACCAGAAGTATTGTTACCAAGAAAAGGTCCTTATGGAATACCCTTTTATGGTAATCAATACGTATAATTTCCTTCAAATGCTGACTTAATCAATCCAAACAAAAAAAAGAGAAAACCTAATGGGGGAAAAATTGATTGAAATTTTATATATATTTATACAAATTATTAATAAATTATATCATTTCCTAATTATTTCTATGTTATATTTATTATTATAAGTATGACAATATAATGATTTCAATATTAAAGATATATTTACAATATAAACATTTAATTAACATGAATGATCAATCCTTATAAACTTGAAGATTTATTAGTTAAAGAATTAAAAAATAGAAATACTAACAAAAGATACAAATTATATAGATATAAATAATTTAAATTTTACAAAATCATAAATATATTGATATACAGAAAAGAAATAATATTCAATATTAATAATAGTCTTTAGGATCCATACAAACTATATTCATAGATAAATTATATCTAAATATTCTTTACAATAAATTGAAAATTGATATTAACTCTGATTAATTTTATTATTTTTAATTAACAATCGTAAGGCTTTTCTATCTAATTCAATATTAAATAAGGTATTTTTGAGGTTCTTTCTAGATATAGAGTAATAAATAATGAATACTTGTCACATTTATATATATACAATGGCATAATTTATAAATTTTAAACCAACAATCATCTATTATATTGTTATCAAAGTTTTTTATAGTAGGTATCCATATATATTTCATAATAAGATTGTTTAAATCATAGAAAATGGTGATATTATATTATTTTCTAATTAATAATGAATATTGTATTTAAATATTGATACAAATATAGAAGTTTCAATGAGTCAAATTCAATAAAACAACGATTAAGATCAAGATAAATTGAATTGTAATCATTGCTATTACATATGGTTTAGTTGTAGCTAAAAGAGGATAATGATCATCATCTGTCATAGAGATTTTTATTTATATTAATTTATTATTAAGCCCTTTACCCGTTTTTATGGAAATATTATTAATTTTATTGACATGAATAAGTTCATTACCATTGCTTTGATTGCCTTAGTAAGTGTATAAGCCTTGGATATTGATTTCGCACTCCTCTTATAGGTATGAATTATGAATAAATTAAAAGACAGGATCACAATCTAATGATGCTGTTTAAGCTGTCTATGATTTATTGAACGATTTGAAAACCAGCAACATTGAAGCTTAAGGTGTTGCAGACGAAAAGAACATTTCTGATGAAGAAATCGGATAAGGAAGAATTGCTGCTCTTTCTAAAGTTAATGAATTAAATCAAAAAGCTTGGGCAAGTGCTAAGGCTAGAAGAGAATAAATTGGTGTTGAATATAGAGTATTTTGATTTAATAAATTTCAGGAAGCAACAGACTACATTGCATGGGCAACATAAAGATTAGCTGATATTGATAGAAGAGAAGTTGAACTTGAAGAATTGAGATGTTTCTCAAATGGATTGTTTGTAAGAGCTATTAAATAACATAATGATGCTATAGGAGTCATCAAAATATTGAAGAATGATTTAAGGTATGGTTTAACTATTAATATCTAGCGGTTATTTAACAGGAGCTCCATCTTCAATGGTTGAATTGAAGGTTGAAAATGTAGCTGATAAATTGAAATAATACAGTCAATTATTCAATCAAGATGCCATGTCCAAATTTGCTTAATTGGCTGCTGAATAAGCTTCTGGAAATGCTGAATTACATGCATTAGGAGAATCTGATGCTTCTACAGGTGGAGATAGATAACCAGGAGTTAACGTTGGATAATTAGTTTATAACGCTTTGAGTGACTTAGAAGATCAATTAAAATCAGCACTTGCTGCCTTAGAATAAAATGAAATAGCTGGATATTATCAATTAGCTGATTGGTTGGCTGACTCAGAAGCTGAAAAAGCTCACCTTTAAGATGAAATTCAAAGAAAAACTTAACTCTAAGATAAGTTAGTAGTGGTAATATTTTTCCTTTATTTTTTTAGTAAGAATAAGCTGCTCTTGCTGTCTAAGCCAAGGCCAATTCAGTCTTAAAAGATTCATAGAATGCCATTAATGCTGCAACTGCAACTCTATAAGAATTGAGAGATCTTTATGAAACTGAACTTAATAGAAGAAATGGTAATTCATAATTTTATTATTTTAGAGGAAAATGCTATTATTGATGAGGTCATTCACATCTTTAAATAGTAAGTCTTAGAAATGGCTAACTAAACCTCCTTTGGCAAAAAGTGATTATGACATATAAAAATTATCAATTTAAACTGAAACAATTAGTCTCATTTATTTTTTATTTATTTATTAAATAATTTATTATAGAAAACAAACTTAAAAAATGGTTTGTAAATATTTTTAATAATTTTTCACTTAGGTGATCCCCAAGAAATTGGTTGAGCCTATTCAGTTGTAGCTTCAACCTTCCATTCATTATTATTTGCTCCTGATTTCCAATCATTATTATTTCCACTTGATTTCCATTCATTATTATTTCCACTTGTTTTCCAATCATTATTATTATTTCCATTTGTTTTCCAATCATTATTATTTCCACCTGATTTCCAATCATTATTATTATTTCCATTTCCTTGTTTATTATTCCAGTCTCCATTAGGATTATTTCCTCCATTCTTTCTGCCTTCCTAATTATATTTCCAATTATCTCCTCTCTAGAAGTTTCCTTTTCTACCATCTTTATTTTCCCAAGGTTTAGTCCTATCATTGCCTCCATTTTTATCGAAGCCTCCTCTTCCATTTTCTTTATTGCCATAATCATTTTTTTGATTGTCATTCCAACCCCCTTCTGTATTTCTCTTTTTAAATTTATTATTTTAAAAATTATTATTTGACTCAAATTTTTAGTAATAATTATTGTTTGGTTTATCATACTTTCCTGTATTCCAGTCAACTTTACTCTCAGGTTCCTTTTGTTTATTCTCTACATTGTTAAGAATGGCCTTTAAGATTTCAGTTATACTCTTATTCTCTGATTCTTTGGCAAACTCATCTAAAATATCCAGCAAGGTTATTTTCTATAAGCTTGCAAATAGCTTATCAGTTTAGATCTTTTAGCTTCCAGATTTGTTCTTATCTTCTTGCTATGACTCTGAATGATATGTTTTCTTTTTTATTGGCAACTAGTTTTCCATTTAAAAATAAATACTTTAAATTTAGTTAAATTAAATAATAATCATTTTTTAGATTTTGATTTGCTCTTCTTCTCTTTGGATTTAGATTTTGATTTGGATTTCTTTGGTTTTTTTTCTTTAGTTTCAGCACCAGAATCTTTTGTTTTATTAACAGAAGTATCAGCAGTATTTGATTTTTTGGCTTTTGATAATTAAGCCAATTCTTCTTTAGTGAATTACTTCTACCCATTAATCCAAATCCCTTTCTGTAATCTTTGATCAGGCCAAATCATTAAACCTTTTCCATGCATAATTCCATTCTTCCATCCACCTTTATAAGTTCTACCATCTGGCCAACTGTATTCTCCATACCCTTACCTAACATTATTGACATACTCTCCCTTATAGGATTTTCCTTCCCCCCAAATAAATTCTCCTTAGCCATGCATTTTTCCATCTTTCCATTCGCCTTCATATCTTCTTCCATCTGGCCAAGTTTATATACCTTTTCCACAAATCTACCCTTCTTTAAACATTCCTTCAAAAATACTACCATCCACATATTCTAATCTACCCTTACCTTCTTTTTTACCAGCTTTGAATGTTCCTACATATACATTACCATCCCCAGTCTATTCTCTCCCTTCACCACTCTATTTATATAATAATTAAATTTACCTTTTAATTTTTTAGCCATTTGCCTTCATAAGATGAACCATCCTAATAAACCAATACTCCAACTCCTTCTCTTTCTCCATGAACAAATTCCCCTGCATAGTAATCACCATTTTAAAATATGTATCTACCATATCCTTACAGAAAATCATTAAGCCATTATCCTTCATAAAAAGCTCCATTAGAAAATATTTGCTTTCCAAATCCATGTCTTTTACCCATTTACCATGTACCTACATAAACATCTCCAGTATCAAGAATGATATATGGTCCTAACATTTCACAATTGTTCATATCAACATTGATATTAATCGGCTCCAATTAAGCAGATAATGCAACTACATGTTCATTTTCAATTTTTAGGATATCAGTATTTGATGGTACTGCCTTTTCTAGACTTGGTTTATGATTAAGCACTTCTACTATATTTTCTGGTACATTTTATTATTAAGATTTGATGAATAATTATTATTAATTTGGTGCAAATGACATAATCATCTACTCTCCTCTTGAAGATTAAAGAATAATTTATCTTTCTTAAGGAGGAGGATTTGGTTAAACTTCTTCAGGATTATCATCTTCTAAAGAGATTGTATCTTCTTGATGTTATTAAAAGAGTGGATTATCAAGAATTACCTATGATTTTGGTTATTCTATCTGAGGAGATTGTTATACAGGTTCTGGATTTTCTTATTTTTCAACTTAAACTATTTCTTATTCTAATTATAATGGTTCTTCTTCTAATTCTTCACATTCACTTTCAGCTTCTTATTTAGGAGTTGCTAATGGAGTGATTTCTGCACTATCAAATGCTTCATATACTAATTCGATATTTCCTTACAAATTTGTAAGTGAAGGAAGAGGTTACATTAAAACATCTTTTTCCCCTTTAGATAAGTAATCTATCAATTGTTTTTTTGTTTCTGGTTATTGAATTTGATTTTTGTTTTTATCTTTTGATGATTACCCTTAAGTAAAAGATCTATCTTATTTATTTTCAGCATCAAAAAGAGGAGGACTTCTTTATTATATTTTATCAGAAGGTTGTAGGTTTAATGATCTTAACTCTAAATCAAGATGTAAGTTAGATGACTCATTTTAAGAATCATATAAGTTTAACTAAGAATGATAATATAAAATATCTACCATTTATTGATGTATTTTCTGATTTTCTAATAGTTATTGTTTTTATTGTTCTTCAGCCTCTAATTATCTTTTTAGCATACTTTCCTGCATAATTTATATATTTACCTCTCCATTGTTTTATCTTTTCCATTCTAATTCTTATTCTGGATCCATGTAAACATGTCTATTTTCATAGAGTCTAATCTAATCAATAGTATTGAATTCAAATTAATGTTATTGTCCATTTTAAACACAAGTTCCCATAATTATTATATAAATATTTTATAAACAGATATAGTTTCAAAATTCAGTCATCTGAATATTAATATTCTAATTTTTTTATTCCTTAATCAATAAATTAATATGCAATTCTATTACTCATATTTGTTTTATTGGCATCATCTGTATTTAATAATTAATGTTTTGAAGCTAATTTTTTTAATAGTTAATTCTTCTGGTCTTCTTAATTCTTTTTTTCTGTTTCTTTAAGATATTCAAATTTATTCAATTAGTCAATCATTTCTTATTTCATTTATTTAATGTCAGAATATTTAGCAGTTCTATGAATTAATTCTAAAACTTCTTATTCATATCTTATAAACTACAATAAATCTCTACTCTAAAAATTAATATTTAATTCTCCATTATCATAAAATTCATCTATATCCTTATTGTCTTAATTCTATTCTAAAGATTTCAAGAATTAAAGGTTTATTTTTTCATCTTCATTATCAGTAGCACTTTATTTTCTTGGATGAGTTATTAATGGTAAACTAAGCCTATTATTTATAGGTGATTAAGTGCGTTTGAATGGAGATGCTTAATTTGTATTCATATTTGTAAGTTTTGCAAGAGTTTCTTTTGCTTATTGGAATTATTGATTCATTTCTTCATCAAATGAAGATTCTATTGAACTATCATTTGAAATTGAGACTTCTAATTTGAAAGGAGATTCTTTTCTCTTTTTTAACTCAGATATTCCTATTTCTTTATTTGACTATGCTTAATTACTCCTAATTGAAGGTTATGGAGATGTTGTTCTTGATAGAGCATCATTTAACTTTACTTTCAACTGATTAAATTGATATTAGATTCTTTCTTTTGGACTCTAATCCTATCTAATTCTTAATTCTGATCCTTTTCTTTGGCTATCTCTAATTGGAATAGATAGACTTCCAGAGTTTTTTTATTATTGATGTATGATTAAAGATCTAGAGATAGAAGGACGAGTATATTCAGATGGTTTAATTTAGATCATTTTAATTATAAAAATGAAAGTCCAAATACAGATTTATATATCAAACTTAAGTACTTAGAAAAGTTTAAAATTTTGGATTAGAAAGTCTACGAGCACCTATTTCCCAACATGATTTCTTTTATTATTAAACTTATTCTTCTACTTTTTTCATTTACATTTAAAGCTATAATAATTGTGGATTGATTTCTTGAGAATGAACAGTTTATTTTCTACTAAAAGATTTCTTGAATCTTTAAAATGATAAGAAATTTCTAGGCAAAGTTTATTTAGGAAAATCAGCAGTATTTCTATTCATCAAAAATTCTTTTGACAGTTTAAAGTCACAATATTATTTTACAGGAGTTGCTATTAAAAACTATTTCTATGTTTAATTTATGCTTTTAACTCTGTTTCTTAAACATCTTATAGGAAAATCTGTTATTGTAGTTGCAGCTGTTTATTTAGTTAAATTAGAATAACTGGTTTTAGCATTTGTTACTTTTTACTTTTCATCCTTGCCAGAATAAATTGTTGAACTTCTATACTATTGATTGGATTTAAAAAGGGTTTATTGAGGAGATAAATTAATTTCTTGCCAAGGACTTACATCTTCGACATCAAATTCATCTTCTATATAACATTATTACATATAATTATAAATATTAAAAAATTCAAGTTTTTCGATATTAACTGTTTATAGACTATACTTCAATTTCTTATTTCTCTTCAGATTGAATCTATTATAAAAGCATTAATATATTTTCAATAATTAGATAACAAAAAAAGGATATTTTATTATATTATCAAATTTTCATTAAATTTTTTGTTAAATCATTAGTACATAATAATAACTGTAAATTAATTTTCATCTTAAAAAAATCTTAAAGATCTGAAGGATAAATGAATTTTATATTATCGAATTCTATTATATATTATTAATTAACCTTATATATAGATATAAATTGTTTAATATATATATATTATTGATTCAAATATTCAAATATATCAAAATATCTGACAGCCTGCATTAAATTCATGCTCATTAGCTTCATTTTCAATAATTACTATTTCCTCAACGAATTTCTTAGGTAATTCAACTAACTTAAAATAATAATTTTTACATCTATAACTTGGCTTATTTAAAATATCAGTTGTTTCTTACTTGTATTATGATTCAGGTTATTTATAACTTGATAATTGGTATTGTTATTATGTATATACTGGAGTTGTTGGCCTATATATTTATTCATTTTTAATTGATTCTGCATGAATTGAAGGAGGATTTTATAATTTAATAGGGTCTTATGGTTTTTGAGTTTTAATTTAAATTTCAGAAGGCCTCATTGGTTCTTCTGTTTTTCTAGGTCCAACACTTAATTATTAATTTTGAATTGGATAGTTTAAAGTAGTTCTATTTAGTTGTGTATCCAAAGTAATTCTATCAGGATTGTAAGGAGTGTATTAAGTTTGTCTAAGTTAAACAAATAGAATTACACAACTGATTAATTTGGTTGTACTTATGGAATGGATTTATAAGATTATTGTAATTCCTTTGGTTATTCAGGTATATTAAAATCATACTTCATAGGTTCAAAATTGTATTGTTCAAACTTATCATAAGTTTTAGGTTACTCAAATGTAGTTTTATATTTATCGAATGAATTCATTTCATATTTTGTAAAAGTATGATCTTATTTTGGTGGTTCATACAGAGATTTATTCTGAAAGTTAAGTGAATTGCCTATTGGTTCTTGAACTTGAGTAATAAATATATTAAATACATGTTGTATTATAAGCTATGATAAATAGTTCAAGTACCTGACTAAATGTATGATCCTGTACGACCAGCATCTGGTTTTTTGTATTCAAAACTTTAGTAATTAAATTAAGTAGTTGGCTATGCACTTACTTCTTAAGGTTTATAAGTTTAAACAGTTCTAAAATTGATATTGTCCGTTTCTGGTTTCCGATACTCAAAATTCTCTTAAGTAAATTAACGTGAATTTGAAGCTGTATAATTTAATAAATAACTTACAATTCATTTCATAAGAACCTTAAATACCTAAGGTAAGTTAATTTTGATATTATTTTTAGTCTGTTTATTATGGATCTGTGCTAGTATTTCTTATTGATCTTGTTAATCGTTTAGTAGGTTCTTATTCTGTGCCTGTATCAAAGATAGCTCTTGCAGTTCCCATTCTTGAACTTGTAGCCATAGGACTCATACTCCTTCGATCTATCATATTGTTAATAATTAAAATATTATAATAATGTTAAGATTCATGTCCTTCTATAGATTTTCAAATATTTCAATGGCTAGAGGAGCTCTTTTTAAAACAGTATCTAAAGAGTATAAATATGAATATCATCAATACGAACAAGAACCTACATTAATGAAATAAATTAAACATCTAGGATTTTAATTGATAGATGATCCTAAAACTAATAAAGTTACTCTTAAAAAAGAATTTCCATCTGCAAAGATATCAATTGAATTCAGAGGTACACCTCCTCCTCTGGAAGGCAAAATGTAATAATATTAAAAATCCTTTTATAATTAGAAAAGTACCAAAGGAAGATTAATCAATCTCTTAAAATCCAAAATACCAAGATTAAATACAATCAAAAATTCAAGAGAGAAAAGAAGTATATGAATTAGGAACACTTTCTGTTGATTATATAGTCCTAGTTGAATCTGAAAAAGGAGAAGCTATAGCATTTGAATGCAATACAAGTATAACTTGAAAGGAATGAACTACAGGTAACCAGACTACTTTCATAAATTACGTACAACCAGTCTATGATATCCAAGAGTACAAAACAAGATCAAAATATCAGAAATTTTTAACCGATTATCCAGGACCAGAAATTAATAAATTAGATGAAGTTAAAATAATCTTAAATTTTATAGCAATTAAAACAATCATTTTATACTTACCTAGAAAGTTTTGGTATTAATTAATCATTGAATGCATTGATTGAAGCCTATTCTATAGACAAAGAGTAAAGATCATATATGGAATTCTTGAAATCAATGGAAAAATTTTTATCAGTTTGATTAATTTTATGATATTTAATTATTTATTTTTAGTGATCATTCTTAATAATTAATATTAATAAAATAATACGCATGTTGTTACCATATGAGCACACAGGAAATAAAAACTCAAACATTCTACTGATTTTCTTACATGGATTTCCAGATACTATGCGATTATGGGATTGTATATATTAAATACTAAATTAGAAACTATCACAGGAATTTAGAAGTCAGATGTTCAAATTCTTAATATCTCATATCCAAATTATCATCAATCCTAAAATCTAAAATTTGGATTAGATTTTCCAGAAGTAGTTAAGAGAATTAGATCAACTATAGAACATGTGGATAATGGATAGAATCTAAAAAAATTGTTGATCACTCATGATTGGGGAGCTTTTTATGGTTATCTTTATGATTAGAAATATCCATAAACAGTTGATGATATTATAGCTCTGGATGTAGGAGCATAAGTAGATTTGTCTCTTAAATCAGGATTGCTTATAGAATCTTACTAAATAACATTTGCCATAGCATTCTTATTAACATTGATACCTATTATAGGAGAATTTTTTGGAACTTTATTAGCTAGATTATATATGAAATTTATTTTAAGAATTCCAATTCCACAAAATTATACAGCAAAAATCAATTATCCATATTTCTATTTCTAAAAGAATTTACTATTTGATTCTATTCTCAACAAGTCTAAGAAATTCTTATATAGATATAAGCCTTCTGTTCCAGTAGTATTTATATATGGAGAGAAGAAACCTTTTCAATTTCATAGTGCTAGATGGCAATTGACTTTATCTTAAAATGCAGATTCAGAATTTATTGCAGCTAAAACTGGTCATTGGATCTAAGTCGAATAATCTGATCTTGTTATCAATAAGATAATTAGTAGAATAGCAAGATTAAAGAAATGAGTTAAAAAATATTAAAATATATAATTATTATTTTTTTTAAATTAATTATAAAATTGTAATATTTAATAGATTATAGAAAAGATGATCGACTTTCAAGAATTTACAATTCTTAATCCCATAATTTATGGTTCAGGTTTAGGATCATAAAAATCAGAACCAATCTTTGCTAATTCCTTAATATCTTTTTTAAAATCTCTTTTCTATTCCATCATATCAGCTTCTTCCAAACATATATCAGTTATAATATTTTTAATAACAGGAGCAAGATAAGGTAATACTACTTTTTTAGTGACTGCTGGTCTTCTTATTTATTTTGCTTTCTCTAACAATCCTCTTTTATCTTATGCTTCTTTCATTTTCATTTTTACAACAGAATTCCCCCATTTTTAATTAAAGAAATTCATTTATTATTATCTAAGACGATTTCTTAATTATTCAGCTTAATTATGATAATTCTTATAGTATGTATCATATGAAACAATTGGTTTTTATTCAGGTTATTCTAATTTTAATGAAAGTCTATCTTTAAGATAACTATCTCTGAGAGTTTCATTAAATTCTGTTTTTACTCTTAATTCTTCAAATTGACTTATTTCTTAAAATAATTAAAGTTATGGATATTCCTTCAAATCAACATTTTTAAATTTATCTTTTAATAATGATGATAAATTTTCAACTTCTTTATAGAGTTTAGGTTCATATTTTTCAAGATTTAAATGAGTATGTGCTTTTTATAATAGAGCGATCTTATTTTTATATAATATTTAAGGAGGTTTCTCTTCAAACTTTAAATATTCTGGGTATTCTGATTTCCATTTTTTAAGTTTTAGTTTTGTTTTAATTAAGGTTTATTAACTTTCAAATAATGCCTATCTCTCTGGTGTTGGTTATTCTTTATTCATGTCTTTCAGTAAATCAGTGACTGTGAAAAATGTATCTAAATTTTAAAAGTCTTTCATTCCTTCATCAAATCTTTCTTCTTTATTTAGAGATTAGATTCCAAGTTTTTAAGTTATCTTTTTAAATCTTTTTGATGTTGCTTTAGGTTATTCTTTCTTAAATTCCATATTAAAAATTGTAATAAAATTATGATAATAAAATTTAATATTCAATTATTTCACTCAACATTTCTATGTTCATTGGATGTTTAAATACTTTCATATTATTGAATAATTTATTAAATTTTCTATTTATTGGCACTTATATTTTGTTTACGTTATGTTTTTTATTATTATGAAGAATCTTTCATTCCAGGAAGAAAGTCTAAATAAGGAGATTAAAATCTAGCACTATCAAAATTTAATGTTGGTATATCTTCTTTTCTATTTCCTCTAACTTTCATTGATTCTCCTCTAAGTTTTCCATTTTTTTTATTCTTTCTATCTGGAGATTCTTTACCATTTCTTGTATTTACTCTAATTCTTTTAGATTCCTTATATGATTTTTCTTCTTCCTCTTTAGATGTCTTCTAACTATTGTTTCTTCTTGCTACAGTTCCTACTTTACTTCCAGTTCCAAATTTACTTCCTACACCACTTCCTAATGATTAATTAACAGGAGATCTATTATTAATATTACTATTAGGTTATAATGGTAGAATTTTAGGAGTAATTCCTCTATCAAATTCTGCTTCTTATAAATCTTAATTAAATGAAGATTTAAAATTGCATGCTTCTTCTTCATCAGGTTCTTCCCATTAATGTGGAATTTCATTTCTTTATGATAATTCTGATCCAATTGGACTTATATTTTTTAAGAAATCAATAGGATTAAATTAAGGAGGTGGACTATTAATATCTTCTTTAAATTAAATAAATTCATAATTAATATTTTCTTTTTGATTTTCATCAAAATCTTAATTCTATATAAAGATCTCTTATTCTTATTATTTATTTTATTCTTCTTAATTTTATTTATTTTTTTAACTTGAATAGAATTGAGGTTTAGGTAAATTTGGTTTAGGAGATCTGTTTGTTACTTTAGAATGATATAATGCTTCTAATTTAACTCTTTAAACCTTCTTTTTTTTAAATTGAATATCTTCTGGTTATGTATCCATTTCAGTTTATTAATTTAAATTTTATTTATTATTATTTTATTCTGTATCAAGTGCTTAATCTGAATCTAAAATTGGTAATTCTTTTACATTTTCAGTTATATCTAATTTAGTATCTTCTATAGTTCCAAGATTAGCAGATGTAATTCTAAGAATTTAATGTTTATTTTAAATTAAATCATGAGTAGAATTATGATTAAGAATATTTAAATTTGATTGATCTTTACTCATTCCACTAATATTAACATGAGTATCATTCATAATATATTTCTATGGACTTTTAGATATCAACATTAAAGGTTTATAAAATTCTGCTAAAATTTACATTTCTGTATAAACTTAATCAGGTCCTTATAAAATCCATTTCTATGTTAATTTTTTAGAATAAATAAAACAGAATGAAAATCTTATCAATTATTCTAATAATAATCCATATAACCAACTGAATGTAAATTCCCAATAAATATCATAAATTTAAAATGACAATAAAAAACTTAGACCAAAAAATGTTAAACACCATTTTGGTTAAATATTATGTAATAATAAATTATTATATGATATGAGATTAGGATAATAATTTTAAGTAGTTTTAATTATATTACCTATAAATTCTTATTATTATTCTTCTCTTTATTTATCTATTTCTTCATTTACTTCTTAATTAGTTTATTTATTTAATTTAAATAATTCTCTTATTTTTTCAAGTTTTAGACAGGTTTCATGCATATGTTAATCAAGATTTTATTTAGGTCTATAATATATACTAATCATTAAATTTAAACTACTAAAAATCACTAATCCTATAATAAATAATCCCATATTTTATATCTTAAATGAAACATAAGCTGATAATTAATAAAATATAAGTGGTAACAATAATAAATTCCAATGAAATTATTAGTTTCTACAAGGAAATAATTGCCATTCTTTTTTGAAAAAAGTCACAAAATGAAATAAATGAGTATAATTTAAAAGAGTATACTAAAGAAAGAACTTTTAAAGAAACCAAAATTATTAAATGATGTGTTCATTTCTTGGTGTGGAAATTGATTATTATTCATTATCCTATTCATTAAACTATGGCAAATCAGTAATCTGTTAATCTTTTAAGACTTATTCCCAAAATTGTTTTTTGTCTAATCAATCACAACATATTGTACTTTAACTATAATTGATTGGTGTTTATTTTATAGGCATTTTTTTCTTAATCATCATATAACATACAAATATTAGGATATTCTCTACCATCATAAAAATAGCTGAATTCGAATACATTTCTAATTTTTATTCAAATTTAAATTGCTTATTAAAAATATATATATTTATATCACTTTATTAACGATAATAAATCAAGAAATTAGAAAATAATAATAATTTATTAATATTAAATTTCAAATACATAAAATTCTTTATATTCATTTATCATTCTGTTTTTGATTTATGGAATTATAAAAATGAATATATTAATTATTAAATTGTAGTATATATTTTTATATATAATAATTATCTTAAATTTTCTATTTAATATTAAAGATTAATACTTAATTTAATTAGAATACAATAATAAAAAATCATTAATTCTTTCTTAAAGATTTACTAAATACATTTTCTATTATTTCATCATCATCTAAATATTCTCTAATTTTAATAGCCATCACTTTCACATAATAATTAAAGGTATATTTTTATAATTTTAATAACTTTCGAATATATTTAGGTTTTTAATTTAATTCTTTAATCACCTATTTAAAATTATTATGTTTCATATATATTTCATATTCTTAAATAGAATCTATATCAAAATAATGAAATTATAATTAGTCAATAAAACTATCTAACATATTCCATTTCATTATACTTTTGGATTCATTGATATTTTTTGGTGGACTATTATGATTAGATATAGTTAATTGATTTTAATTTATTTTTATATTATATTTGTCCTTTGAAGTTTAAGCAATAGATTACCTACAAAATCCAAAATGATTTTGATTAATTGATAATCTTGAAGTTCTTGTCATCATCTATGAATTTTTGGGTATCAAATTTATATTTTTCATACTTTATTAATTTTCATTAATAGGATAGAATTATTCTTCATTAAGTGAATTAGTTTACATTTCACTTTATAAATTATCTTCTATTTAATCTATTCCATTAATTTCTTAATATTCCTTAATATTATCAAATGTCTCTTTTTGCAATAACAATGAATTCTTTTTTCTAAGAATTCCTCTTTTGAATGGTTATCTATCTTATTATTAGGGATACAATTCTTCTTTCTTTAATCTAGATTCCATATCTGGTTGATATGATAACATAGGACATAGATAAAAAATATGTGAAATCTTTTTACAAAATTTACAACTGATCATAAGATCACTATAATCATTGTATAATAATATTTTATCTTTGATTTAATGAAATTTTTCCTAATCTTTTTTTACATCTTATAATATCTTAATAAAAGTTTCTCTCTTAATCTTAGCAATAATTGAAAAACCATTACTTATAGCTGATGTTTTAGGATTGAAACCAGTAAAAAATTGAAACTCACCAAACACTTCTCCTTATTTCAACTATTAAATATTCTATTAACTTTATTCTTCTACAATATCTACAGAACCTTAATAAACATAATATCTATTAATAAAATAATATATAAATTATTACATTTCAATATTTTGATTAGTATCTTAATGATAAATATATTCTCCAGGAGTATAACTAGCTAATTCAATTTTATCAATTAATTCTGATTTAGTCCATTTAGTAAATTAATCAAACACTTTAATTTTCTACAATATTCTATTGTTAATATTTTAAGAGATTTCTTATTCAATTCCTTTTGGTAATTATTTTAATATTTTGATAGCATCTTTTTAAATTTCATTATATTCATTCTCAATTTGATATTTTAAATAATTTCTAACTTTGTCTTAGATATGATTCGATATATCATTCTTTTTCATATACTAATTAAGAATGATGGCTCTCTTTCTAATTATATTATAATAATAATATACTTATAATTAACCTTTTTATCATTAATATTTTTGAGTATAATACCAATTGAATTCATAGAATATGCAAAAACACAACTTGATAAAAACATAGCAATATCACAAAAAATCATTTCTGTCTAATTTTTTGGTGTTATATCACCATATCCAACAGTAACCATTGTCATAGTTGCCCAATAAAATGATGTACTATATTTAATCCATATATTTTGATTTGATAATTCATAATAAGTTATCCAAGATCCATTATCTTCTTAAAGCAATCCACAATATAACCAACAACATGCTATAAAATGAGCAAAATAATATATTGAAATAATTAAAGTAATTAGATCCAATAAATCACTTGGTATTGATAATTAATATAATGTATCTATTAGATTATCATATTATTATAATATTCTTCCTATTATTACAGCCAACAATATAACTAATAAGAAAGCCCCTTATTATTATAAAAAGTTCTTATTGAATTATATGTAAACACATATTATGATTTCTAATGAATATAAAAAAGATGATTGTTTAACAAAATTTTAAAATATAATTGATCGATCTTCTATTATTAGACCTTAAATTATGATTGCTCTATTGAGTAAGAAAATAAGTTCAAAAACAAGAAAAACTATTATAAATAGAATAATTTGAGCTTGATTATCATCTACATTAGTAAATACAGCCATAATGGATATAATCCATAAAGCAATTAATTGAACAATGATGCTAAGCATGTCAAAGATTTATGATATTGGACTTGATGGTGAAATAAGAGGGATTTATTTACTTTGTAGGTTTCTTTCTATAAAATTGAAAAACGATTATACTTTTTGAATCATTCTAAACAACAGTGTTTGTATACTTTTCTTGTTTTTAAAATTATTCCTATAATCTCTTTGGAAGTATATAAGCATTTAAGAATAGATTGGACTTAAATCTTTACACAATTCCCATAGTTTTTGTCACTTTTAAAAATTTAACAATTTAAGAAGTTTGAGCTTTTGGTCTTAATGTTTATTGCAATTATAAAATATGTTATTTATCTAATGTATTGAAAGAATTTTAGTATGTAATCTTCTTTCTTTACCAATTTTAAGGAGAGTTTTCTCTAAAGGGAGATAACAATTCTTCTGATTATAGTGAAATGTTAGATTCAGGTGTTTCTTTATAACAAACTTTAGCATTCGATGTTTATTATTTAGGTCCAAAAGATAAATTGAAGTTATGAATCACATTATCTTGCAACATTTAATTTTATTATTTATTATATTTTATAAAGAATACCTATAGGCTCGAGTAATTTAGAAATTACTATTGGATTTGTTCATATATTATGTATAATACAACAAATACATATTATTAAAAATGTTTTAATAAAAATTGGAGTAGATTCAAAATCACTTCCAGAATGATAAACTCATTGAAAAATTGTTTGAGAAAAAGGAAATAACAAAAAAGTATAATTTCTATTACATATAGACTAGATATAAAAAAAGACTTAAAAGATAATCATGGAGCATTTGAAGGTGAATTCAAGGCTAGTTTCAAAAATATTGTTGATTCAAAATAATGATGGCTTATTATAGGATTATTGGATAAGGAAAATATTAACTTATATTTTTATCAAAAAATAAATTAAAAAAAGAGATAAATAAATGACATTTAGGAATATTATAGAAAAAAATTAAAAAGAATAAAAACTAATTGAACAACTAAAGAAATCAAATAGTTAAATAATGAGTATAGGTTTAAGAAGACTTATTTTGTAATTATTTTGGGAGTTCTTAACCATAATATGATGATGAAAAAGTTATGACTAATAAAATTAATGAAAGAAATCATGATAAATCCAATATGGCATTCAATAATATTTAGTTTCTATTTATGGATTGCAATGTGTTTATGGTGATTTTTCTAACTCTAAATTCTAGTTTGTAGGTTTGATGCAACCTTAAGAATTTTCTTAATATTGAGTATATTTTTATCTAATTACTTAATTTTTCTATTGTCATTACAAATCACACTCTTATGATAGAAATCAACAAGAAAGATGATAATAACTAGATTATATTAAAAATTCTTAAACATATATAATGAGTAAATAGGAGAAAGCTATATAAAATTATATAAAGATATGCAACTGTATTCTATCTAATAAAATTTAAGATAAAAATAAATTTGAATTGATTTTTAGAGATATTAAGAGAGAAGATTAGTAGTGATCATTAATATTATAAATATTAATAAATAAATAATATCATAATTCCCCAAATATTCTTGTTACTATTTTTTATTGAGGTCTACTCTTTAAAAATGATTTTTAACATTGCTTCTATTTATTGAAACTTATTTAACTAGACATTTTTTAAGGACTAGATTCATTTGATTTATTTATGTTAGTATAAGGAAATCTTTCTGCTCTACTTGCATTTGGAGTATACAATTAATCTTTCATAAAATTGCCTCTTAATTTTTTATGATTATCAGGAGATTCAACTTCAGTGTATAATTACAATTTAGGGAGTTCTATTTAACTATTTGTTCTTTTTATTTTGATATTACTATTAAATCCTTTTTTATAAGGATTGATGCAAATAATTTAGAGAGATTTTTGTTATTATTTCTAAGAAGAATAAGGAGTATTTGATTAAACTGGAAAGAAAAATTATGCTGTTTTATCAAAATCAGTGGTTGAGCAAGTGTTCATAAATTATTATTTATTTCTTATATATTATATATGAGTTATGTATTGTAAAAGAATATAGAAGAGAAACATCTATAATATAAATGGTGGATTTGATAATTTTAATATAATATTACTACTCCATTCAATGGTATTTTGGAAGTTCATTATTATTAATGAATTTATCAAACATTTCAAAACCATTTTGTCTTTGATCTTCAGGGACCATCTAATTAAAATAAATATTAATAAGTTACATGTCCAGCTCCTCTTACAACAACAAACTTTAAGTAATTATATTAAGTGACCCAACCTGCCAAATCTAAATCTGTATTTCCCCATGGAGACCAAGAATCTAATTCTTTTATACCTGGTATCATATTAATAGATTATTCAGTATCTACAACACTAACAATAGCATCCTAATCACCAGAGTATATTAAAATTCTGACTCCTGAATCGCTTAAGAAAGGTAATATTTAATAACTTCCATTTTTATTAATTGAGTAAGCTTCATTGATTTCCATATTGCAAGCAGACCAAAATTAAGGTCTTTCTAAGATGTGCAATGCTTCTTAAACTTCGGCATTATTATAGTATTCTGTAATTGGTCCAAAATCAGAACAAGGAGCACCACTATTACCTACCTTTTAGAAATTGTTTCCTTCATACCAGGATACATATGGATATCTGATCTATTTTCCTGATTTAGTTTTTTATTTCAAAAAGTCAGGTGTTGTATCATCTTTGCAATATCCATATACATTATAAATATTAATGTTTGATCCCAAGCAGATTTCTTCAAATTGAGTTTAAGCTAATAAACACTTAATTGAATCTGGTTTAACACTACATATTTTTCTTATTGTGTTTGTAGCAGTGGGAGGCATGAAATTTCTTCTAAGGAAATACTCTTGTAATGCTGACCATCTTTTCTATGGGTCAGATACCAACAAACCATTACCAATCAAGATACCTTCTAAAGGTATTTTTAATGAGGCTTATTTATTTCCATTCACAATAGCTTTAGCTGTATATGGAATATACATTCCTATAGATTATTATATTTAGAATACCTGCATAAGATTCTCCTGCAATAAAGAATCTATTTCTTTAAAATTATTAGAATGCTTAAAACCAAGCCAATATAGCTTAGTAGTTGTCTTGACCAGAATTCTCATCATTATATTCATATGAAGTATCCTTATTAATTGAGAATCCAACTCCTGCTGGTGATTCTATGAATAACATATTGGCTCTAGCATTCCATGGATAAGGATTCTTCTTGAATTTCCTATCTTCATCAACCATCACAAATGGGCCTATTTCTTCATTTAATCCTAACAATGAAGAACATCCAGGACCACCATTCAACCATAATACAACAGGATCAGTTGAGGGATTACTTTGACTTTCAAGAAAAACATAGTGCAATTATCTACATCATTATTCATCATACCTTAATCCTGTTCCAACTGGTAGATATCCTGAATAAGAACTAAAATTATAATCTCCCCATCCTGGAAATACAACTTTATCAGTATTAGGGTTAACAGCATAAACTGTTCCTATGACAAATCCTGCGATTAATAATGACATCATTATTATTATTATTATTTTATCAAAATACTATCGATTCAAATAAATCACTATTTCATTACAATAATCATTATGTATGTAAACTTATGTCATATATTATTTACTAATTTTATCTTCTTTGATTATATTTCCTAATCATATTCTCTTAATTCCGCTTAATTATTTTGTAATTATATGTTATATATAGAATTTTTAAAATATCTCAATTAGTTTTAATTTTTAAACTCCCAAACACCCTAATACACAAGAGTAATTTGAATAATTAATTAAATCTTAATACTAATTAATTATTAATTGGTAAATGAAGAGAAAAATATACAAGAAAGAATATGAGGTTGAATCTATTGTAGATAAGAGATATGATGAACATACTAAATCCTATCTGTATTAAATTAAATGGAAGGGCTATCCACATTCATAAAACACATGGGAACCTATAGAACATTTATAAAATCCGCATGTGAAAAAAATGGTGAAAGAATTTGATTAAGCACAGGAGACACCTTCATCTAAAAAATAAATTAATTTAGAACTCCTTAAACAATGTTTACTAAAGAAACTAACAGAGTTTTTAATGAAAAATGTTCCTTAAGAAAATGATATTCAGGAAATTATTTTAAGTGATTTCAGCATATCATCAAATGAAAAGAGATCAAATTTAAAAATTCCTAAATTAAGATAGGATACTAAAAAGTCTACTAAGAAACCTAATTAATAGTTCTAAAATACTCTAAATTCTCTAAATTCAAATTCTTGAGTACAATTTTTTTAACTTAATCAATATTTATAATATATTTTAATAAAGAGAAAATTTATAAATTGTATAAGCAACAATTTCTATTTCTTGTTTGGTTGATTTCTTTTTTAATTAGTCAATTAATATGATATATAGGAATCTATAATCACTAATCATAAATTGAGAAATTATTTGTTATAATCAATTTATTTCTTAATTAAGAAATAAAATATTTTATAATATATGTAAGGGAAATCTCAGAGAGATGTTGCTAGTTCATTGGATCTTAATTCATCAAATATCACTTAATCTCCTAATCAAGTTATATTTAATGGATTGATTCTAAAACCAAATTCTCCAAGAACAGTTTTAGCATGTTAGAGGTTAGGAATTGATATGGGCATTTTCTAAATAAAGTAATATGATGCCCATATAATTTTTATAGAGATCTTAACCATTTCCGTACTAATGATTGTTATAATGATGAAATTATTCAATTACGATATGAGCATTACATTAATAAAACTAATTGTAAAGTTCAATAATATTTTAGAACTATTGAATGAAATATTTTAGAAAAGAAAAGAAATCATATAAAAAAATAGATAACGTTAATTATAATGTGCTTCAATTGAGTCTCTCGAAAGATCAGTTTCTCTAAAGTAAGGTTCTACTATAGATTAATTAGAGTATGTTTTTATAGTTTATATATTTCTATAGACTAAAAAAACAAATGGATTATGCTTACAATAAGACTTTATAATATTTACAATAAAAGGATTTAGTTGAGGGATAGATTCCATAGGCTTTAGGGGAATGTCAAGATGTTGCAGAATTAGAAGGTGGTCTTAATAAAGAATTATAAAGATATAATAAACATAAAATTGTGAAAATAGTATTTAAATTAATTATTTAAGAGAGAAGCATAAATTAAATTAGAAGAAGACAAAAAGAGAGTTGAATTAATAGAAAAAATTCAGGAAAGAGATTAAAGAATAGTTTAAATTATGATGAAAAAATAATAAGAAATGAAAGAGAAATATGGATCATCTAAGAAAGTTGAAAATAAAAGAATTGATACTTAGGAAATAGAAAGTAAATCTTAACCTAGAGATAATGAAACATAAAAAAATATATAATCATAATTATCGTAAAAGTATATTAAAATTAAGTACTTATGATATCAGAAGTAAAATGTTAATGAAAGGGGATGATTAAAAAGAAAAGAAAAAAAGGGAATAAGTTTTATTGAGAAAAGAAGAATTTGAAAAATAAATTGATTTAGATTGCCAAATATAAATGGCTAAAATATAATAGAAATTAGAGAATAGTGAGAAATTATAAAAAGAATTAATTTAAAATAAAATAGAAAAAATAAAAGAATAAAATCTAAAGGAACAATAAATTATGAAATAACAAAAGTAACTTAAAGACAAGATATCACAAGATCATATTAATTAACTTTTAGAAAAAATGGTATAAAAGGAAAAAGATTTTTAAATTAATTAAAAATCAATTTAGAATGTAGAATAAGAAAAAAAATTAGAAATTAAATAAAAATAAAAGTAAATTAAATCTAATTAAGGCGATATTTTTAAAGACAGAGAGTAAATATTTATTTATTAAATTCTTAGTGAGAAATTAAAATAATTAAATGAAAAGTTTTTGAAGATAGAATAATTTAATAAAATAAAAAAAGTAATTCAATTAATCAATTTAGGAAGAATAAAATAATAAAATCTTATTAAAATAAGAATTAAGAAAATTGAAAGAATAAGACAAATAAGATATTTTAGAAAGACAAAAAAGATAGAATGAATATAGAATGTTAGAAATTACAGAAAAATATAGATAAGTTGATGAAAAAAACTAATTAAAATAATATTAAAATGTAAAAAATATATTTATTATAATATAGACTCTCTTATAATAGACTTCTATGTAAATCAGCAAATAAGAAATAGTAGAAAGAAATAGAATATACTCTCATTTATAATAAATGAGTGATAATCTCTTCAATAAAAAAGTTAGAAAGCGAAAGTAATCTAATCAAATAATAAATTAGTTTGAGTCAATTAGATAAAAATATTCTCACTATAAAACCTAAAGTCATTAATCAAAAAGAGGACACAGAGTTTGAAGATCACACAAGATTATTAATAACAATGCTATAAATATCAGATGCAGATGAAACATTAAAAAATAAATTAAGTAGAAGACATAATTGATGAGTTTTTATTTTTCTTTTATTTATGTTATTATCATAATAAATATAAGAATTCTATAAATTTTAATAATTTAGGATTATTATTTGCAAATATATGATGTTATACTTCTACATGGAATCTCCTCAAGATTAAGAATTCTTTATCAAAGTGTTCAAAAAATTAAGTATGATTTTTAATTTTTAAACAAAAAAAGTATGATAATTTCTTTTTCTTTATTGATTTCATCTCAAATTTCTTAAATATTAAAAATAAATCATTTATTAAATATATGAAAATTAAAAAATACTTAAAATCATACATAACATTTGTTTGTGGTTGGATCAAAATAACAGTTTAATATTGGATCATATATTATTTTTACAAAGTTTTCTTATTCCTTCCTATTCTCTAATATTAATGTGGTATTTCCTTATTTTGTAATCGTAGTACATCCAATTGGATTTTTTATAGTAATTTCCTATTTAGAGCTTCCTTAGTTTTCAATAGCATTAATTGCATTCATGATATTAAGTAAATCTCCTTCTTCATTTTATTCTTTATTTTTTTCAATTTCTTTTGTTTTTTATTAATTGTTATCTTGTTCTATAATTTTAATTAATTCATCAATGTTTTTTAAATCAATTTCATCATTCTCCAAAATCTTTTATTTTTTATCAACATTTAAAGATAAATCTAAAAATTCATTTTCTTTATTTTATTTTTCTTATTTCTATAATTTACTCTTTATTTTTGTTTCACATTCAGTTGAGCTATTCTTTTGTTAATGTTCTTGAATTTTTTATGGGTTTAAAGTTAACTTTTATACTTTAGGAATATCATATTATATCTATTTAAGTTTAGCTTATTTAAGTGCATTAGCATTCAATTATTATTCTTGATTATTATCTACAAACAATTCTTATTCATTTTAAAATGAAATCAAAAAACTTTTAGGATTAGATTCAATTGGATATTAAAACTATGACAATAATTATTCATTATAATTTTGCATAGTAAAAATTCTTCTTATATAACAAGAACTCTAAATTAATATTGATTCCAAACTTCTATAACTAGATCCTTTGAATTAGGATATAAATGAAGGCATATGAATTAATATGGTCACCCAATTATTATAGATTGACTATGATTATAAGGGATAAGAGATAAAAAATGGTTTACATTCACTTTTTTTTAAAGAATTCAAAATTATTCTTCTTCTTGTAGATTTAGTATCAACTACAAATAATTCAAGATGTATAGAATCTTTAAATTATCCTTGAATTCCTATTATAGGATGAACCAAAGATAATTCAGAATCTTTTCCATGCGGCAATTTAACTTATTTTGTCATTAATAGGTATGCTGTAATGAATTTAATCTTTACTTTTTAAGACTGAGTTATATTCATAAACAGAAGATTAAAGATCTATCAATTTAGAGTAATGTTTAAGTTTTTCTTTATTTCCATTAGAATTCTTAGCATCTTTTGAATTATAGACTTCAAAAATTGGGGATTGATAACAATTTAAAAACATAAATAATAATTAACTGTCATTCTTCTTTAATTTAAGAAAGAATATAATGTTTGTAGCCTAATTTACGACTATATTCAATAGTTTTATGAATTGGAATGACTAAAAGAGCTGTACCCAATCCTATGCCTTTTTTATAAGCCATGGCTCTTAAGAATTTGATCCATAATGTTGGTTTGAGCTTTGAAAATTCAACATTAGCATTAAGATATTCACTAACTAATCTTGCACTTAAAACCAAGGGTACTGATAACAATATTTAATATTAAAGTTTGTTCCATTGTTTTTTATCATATTCATCTTATTGGAATTGGAATAATAACACTTTCCCCATCATTTTTTTAAAGTCTGATCTTTAATGATCTGTAAGAAATTATAATCTTTCAGCAATATCCCTTTATGATAGATTATTTAATTATTCTCTTATCTCTCCCATAATTAAATTTATTAATAAAATATTACTTATATTTTATACTTTCACAGAAACCTAGATATTTTCAATAAATAAAATATATATCATATTAAAATACTATCAAATTCTTCATTTAGCAATTATTTATTTACAAAAAAACAAGGAAATATAAGATCTCCATCAAAAATTATAGCTGCAAAATACCAAATATTATCATTTTTATATAATTATTTTCGAAATTCAATTAATTAAATTTCCAACAACATCCATAAATAAATACAAATGATTATCAATAACCTAATTATTTAATATATTACCAAAGAATTCCAGTTTCAAAATTATCAAATAATAAGACTGAATATACTCCTCCAAATTCTATTATAATTACAATACTTATCCTAATATAATTATTTATAAGAATTACCTTAATAATTAATTTTTAATTAAAAAACAGTTTTTAGTGTTTGATTTCCTATCAACATGAAAAAAGATTATCATCAAAAGTAAATTTATGAATATTAATAATTAAATTAATTCAAATCTTATGAAATCAATCAAAACTACTAAATATGCTATCCAAAATATTCTAGATAATGAATTTATCATCTATACAATAATATTAATAACTATTTCATACAAATAAAATAATATTTTTAGGAAATGTTTATGTAATATCCTATTCGAATTATCCAACCACCAAAGTTATTACATAAATCATCAATAATACTAATAAAACTATAATCGATATTTCCTCATAAATAGTAAACAATTCTATGACCAAAAATATTCCTATAACTAATAAAGTAAAAAACTATAGAGTTGCCAGCATTATTAAAAATCTCATTTGATTTTCTTAAATAGTAAGAATTTCATCAGGCAGAGAAGGATTTTTATGACCTCCTTCAACTACTGCATTCGCACTTATCATGGCTTTTTTTACTGTATATTCAGTATTTTTGGCAATTTTATGGATTAAGGGGTTATGAGATGGAGCATTCACCTTAAAATAAAATTAAAATTTACATCAATAAGGATATCTCTTTCATTCATTATTATAAATATAAAAAAATCATCATTCAAACAACCAATTAGATTATTTTTTTAAAAACTTCTGATAACTATTACAAATTTATTTCAAATTAATCCTGATTTGAAGTGATACTATTCAACATAGTTTTAATTTCTGTATAATAATTTTTATTATCCTCAATATTCTATAAAATATACTTATTGATTTTTGTAATTTACAAAATGAATGCTTTTAATTTAATTAATTGTTTATCATTAAAACAGAATCATTTATAAATAATTGAATGCTAATTGTAAACGTTTCAATTCTTTTTTATTTATATTAGATTGATAGTAATTATATTTATTTATACTAATTTACAATTAAAATTTACTCTAAATCACATTCATATTTATGTTTTATTTAGATCACCACATCTTTTAAATATTATTCCAATGTATTATATTCATTATTTTAAATCACAATATTTTGTTGTTTTTAAATTTACTCAATTTATTTCCTTATTTAATTAATTTAACATTTTTATGAAAGAATAAACTCTTCAATAATATTTTCAATATTTGACTCATAATCATTAAGGTATTCATCGTTTTCATCATAGATTTGATGCTTCAAAAATTTTTGAAGTATTTGATATGTCGATTTTTTAATTCTATTTATTTCTTTTAAGTATATATTTCTTTTATTTTTTTGAGCTTCATTTATTAATTCTCTAAATAGTTCAATCATTTTACATCTTAGTATTTAATTATTTGATTTTGCTTACTTGTTCTTGCTCTAGCATTTCAAGTTTGTTAATTCTCTAATTAAGCTCTAAATTTGTAAGACTATTTTCAAATAACTTATCATTAAGCATTTCAATCTAATTTTACAACCCTATTATAATCATTTCATATTCTGTGGAATCTGTTTAATTTTAAATAGATTATTTGCTATCTTCGTTATATCTATCATTTTCTTTTATCATTTATTTTATTAATTATCTAAATAAATGAATATTGAAAATTACTAATAGCACTAATTGTAAAAGAGAATAAAAGAAAGGTTTGTGTATGAAGCCAAATTTTTGGTTGATTAATGGAGGTATTTTGTTTTATTGTATCAATAGATCTATTTTTGAATAAAGACACTTTTAAGATGGAAAAATGATCAAATATACTCTCGACCAAGCTGCTGATATTGTAGGTGTTTCAAGAAAAACTCTAGAAGATTATTATTATTGCTTAAAAAAAGCAGAGAAAATAAGTAAACAATTTAACATATAGAGTAGTTGATATTAATTAATTTATGAATTGTAAAATGGGAGTAATCCGAAGAATCATCAAAGAACATAAAAAATAGTCGGATGAATAGAATTTAATGGATACAAATTAATTCTTCGACTTAGAGAATGAAAATAAAGAGCCAAGAAAAAATAGTTTTGAATATGATGATTGAGTAGAAATGATAATATATATTTGTGTAAACACTATACAATATTTCTTATGAAAATAACTACTCATAACTATACTTATTATTTCAATGACAATATATCTGTTCCTCATTCTAAGTGTCACTTCAAAATATATTATTAACTTATATCGAATTCCTATTGCCTTAAAGAAAGACTCAAATGCATTTTAAATCAAAGTTTTTTAGCTTTAATTTGAATAACGGATTGTATTTGATAAGAAATTTCATTATGATTTTTAGATAATTATCTATAAAATTATTTTTATACAAAGAAAAATAAAATAAGTGGAACAATTTTACTATTAATATCTACTATCTTAACTTTGATACTCAAATTATATATCTTAATATATGATTAGAGATTTCGAATTCATTAGAGAGAATGATTAGTTGATTATTATTAAAAATAATTGAATAAAATATATAGTATTGTTTATATTTTTATATTCCATAATATTTAGTATTAATTCATAATTAGTAAAATAGACTAATAAAATCAAAACATATTTAATTAATTTATCTAAATTGCTCTCTGTTAAGCTTATAATTGATGCTTATTACTTATTATAATTCTAAAATAATAAATAATTTAATAAAGGAACATAAATTACAAATCATCTCATTCAATGTTAATTTACATATATTCTAAACCTTATCATCATAATAATACTATATTTAAATAAAATAATGAGATTTCACTCTATAAACGTTATATATATATAATCTATGTAATTTAAATTGAAACTATATCCAGCATTTTATATAAAGTCATATCATTGTTTGATTACAAATAATTAGATTGAATAGTTAATATCATATTAATATTCATAAGTAATCATTAAATGAGACTAAATCTATATTTAGAACATTTTTTCTAAATCAACTGTATAAAATTATGATTCTCATACTTAAGTTTAAAAAAAACTATACTAATTCATGTTTAGTGAAATAGAGATATATGTACAAAGATCATTTAGAGATATTAGATTCGTTATAAAAGTGATATATAATTATTTTGATGATAAAAAAATCCGTTTTTAAATAATTCCTTGTTATAAAAGGAGGACAATTGCAAATTCATTTTCATTATTAAAATGAAATCAATCGTCATTTTGGTTTTGGTTGCCACAGCCTTCGCTACAAACTTAGCTGCCTTTGAAAAACTCGAAAAGAGCAAGCTTGGAAAGACATTGTTGAACACAATTGCTATCCAAATGCAAACAGGTGAACCACTTGAAAGAATCTTCTAAACACTCTATGATTTGGAAGAAAGATACTAAAACGATTAAAGAGAAGATGATGCTGAAAACAAGGCATTCTAAGGTGTTTGTGATGCTGATCTTGCTGGACTCAACTAAGAACTCGCTAATCTTGAATAAAGAGACACAGAATTATAAGCTAAACTTGACGAACTCCAACCAGTCCATGACTAAAAGGTCGGATAAAGAGTTGCCAAATTAGCTGAAAAGGCCCTCCTTTAATAAGTTATTGATGAAGCCACAGCCAAGAGATAAGAAGAAAACTAAGATTTTGAAGATTAAAGAGAAGAATTCACATTCGTCTCAAGCGTCCTCGCTGAAGCAAGAAGACTCTTCACAGATAACTTATAAGCTCCAGCTTTCTTATAAAAGGGATCTAGCGAAGCTGTTCACTATACCCCATAAGTCTTTGCTTAAGTCGCTTCACATTTGAACGCTGCTGCTCACAAGGCCGGATAAATGAAACACATCAGAACCTTCGGAAAAGCCATCAAACTTATGGCTTAATTGGCTGTCAAAGCTTAATAATATGCCAACTAAGAATTAACAGGAAGAATCATCTAATTGATCGATGACTTATAAAACTAATTATAATAAGCTTTCGATTTGGCCAGAAAGACTGAAGATTCAAGAAGATAAGCCTTTGATGCTTACAGCTCACTCTTAAACAGAGACATGAACAAACTCAACTCAGCTATTGCTAACTTAGAAGCTGAAATCTAATCATTGGCTGACTAACTTGCTGCCACCCACAGCTCATAAGATGACAACTCTGCTAGACATGAAGCCAAGACCTAATAAAGAGATGACAGAAGAGCTGAATGCTAATAAGCTGCTTATGAATATTAATAAAGAAGATCCGCCAGAGATGGAGACAGATAAACTGTTTCTGACTTGATTGGTCATTTGAACACCAACATGAGAGACTTGAAAGAATACATCGCCATGAGAGTTGCTGCTGGTGATACTGATTTGGGCTAATGAGTATATAACAATATACCTATTATTACATAACAGCTTCATATATTTTATCTTTCTAATTTTCAATTATAAAAAATAAATAATTAAATTTAATAAATCACTATATAATATTGGACTATATGTATAATATTCAACAACAGAAACGCTTATTTTATTATTGCTTATTGTTTTGATTCTATGATCCAATTTTCAAAGTAGAATTCGCATTTTCAGTATTTGATTTTCTGCTCTCCTCAACAAGCTGTTCTTTAAAAACCTTTTCTCCTACTTATACAAAAGTTTCCTAATAAAATTGATTAAATACTTGAACTCCAATATTGTCTTTACAACTAGTTTTAAAATATATGGCATTATATTATTTAGCTAATTCCTTTCCATTTTCATCTGAAACATTCTATTCTAAATCACATTTATTGCCTATTATCACTCTAACTTCACAATTAAATTATAATTACTTTAATCTAAAGGTCCTTACTCTTACAATTACTTAAACCATTCTTTCACACCTTCAAAACTTTATTTATCATTTACATCATAAACTAAAAGTGCTACTTTTGCATCTCAAATATTACTAAATACATACCTCTATAATATAAGGGTAATATTGCTTTATATTTCTCTTACCCTGCAGTATCCCAAATTTAAAATTTCAATGCTTTTCCATCTATTAATATTGTCTTGCTTTAAAATGCTGCTCCTAAAGTAGGTTAACCCTTCTCTTAAAAATCATTCTCAACAAACCTATACAGAAGGCTACTTTTTCCAACTCCCGAATCCCCTAATAGTACTACTTTTATTTCTTTTGTTAAACTCATATATATAAATTAATAATAATAATTTCTATATTCACAGAAAATATAAGTATTTAACAAATTGAATTTCTTCATCTTTCAATAGTAGAAATTTAAATTATTACAAAAATTATTATTCATTGAAATATTAAAATCCCTTTATTTAAGATAGCACAAAAATATTAAAACATGAAAATGAATAAAAGAACTCTCTGTTTTGACAACATCATTAAAACTGCATAAATCTTAGTCATTAGCTCAAAAAACAATACTTGTGTTATTGACTGTAACTAAAGAATCTATATTGTTTATGAGTTTCCTAACATTATCCTTAATTGTAATTGCTTATATTATGAAAAAATAAAATATTATCTTTGATAAATGACTTTCAATTTTCAAAAAAAAAAGGCAATAATTTGGCCTTATCATAGTTTTATAGAGTAATTAAAAAATTTGAAATATAATTAATTGAGAATAAATGAAAATAATTTCTTTAAAAAAATAGAATTAAATAGAGTAAGATAAAATAATGAATTTAATTATTTATATTTAGCAACTATATGATTATCTAATATAATTAATTATATATTTTATTTGATTATTTTTTTAAATCAAATTTTGATCTTTTAATATCCTCTTTTTTATTATGCAGGTAATAATTCAAATTTTTAGATTTATTTATAAATATAATAAAATTTTCTTTCTACTAGATTTTCAGATGATTCTTAAACCTATAAATCATTTTAACACAATATGGTAATATATTGAAATAAAAAAAATATTAATAAATTATATTTATAAATCATTTTTTTAACTACTTAAACAAGACCATCAAGTTTATTTTTAAAAGTTTTAATTTAAACAATAGTTTTATTATTAAGATTTACCTTAAAATGCATTTTCTTTAATTTTTTATATCTAATTTTGACACTAATTATTCACATTTTGAATTTATATTTATTTAAATTAAGGATTTTATTAAGAATTTTGAGATTTTTATTCAAAAAAATAATTATTTTACAGTTTCTAATTTTATTATTGAAATTAATTCTAATTAAAAGATGATTATTTGTTTTAGGATTATTGTAAATTTATAAATGGGCAGAGTTATCTTGGAACTGAATGGGCTTGTTATTTGAGAGGATATAATTATTATGGAACACAGAAATTTTTATTTTATTATATTTCCATACTTGTATTTAATGCGAATTATTTGATTTCTTAAGATTTTCCTATTACTTCTTGTACATTATTTACAGGTTGGGCTTAGAACTAATTATTTCTTGAATTAAGACTATAATTATTTCTGGAACTAGTTGATTAATTATTTATTTGCCTTGATCTTGCAAATGGAATTTGGTTATTGAAATTTGGCACTTACTATTAATTTAATAATTATTCATTTTTTTTTTTGAAGTGATGCTGGATTAGGTAAATTAGAAATGCAGGTGGACCTTTATGGATTTTTTTATTTTTAGTAGTCTTTAGGGATTGGAAGATCAGATATAAAATTATTTACTTAATTTTGATTAGGTTGAGTAATTCTTTAAATTTGATTTCTGGTGACATTTTGGGATTATCCTTTCATATCTTCAACAAATTTGTTAATATCATGTCGTTTATTTGGATCTATTTGAAGCATATTTAAGAGAAGAGTTTTGTATTTTCTATCTAAATTTACTTGATTATTAATGGTTTAGTCAATTTCTGACTAAGTTATGTTCAAAATTTTTTATTTGACTTCATCCTCAGTAGATCCTAAATTAAAAATAGAAATACCATTAAATAATGTAGTTTAAGTCAATAATTCATAAATCACAGCTCCAAAAGCCCATATATCAACTTTTTAAGAGTATTGATTTGAATTATTTAATTATTCTGGAGCTTGATAATAAGCAGTACCAACGTATTAAGTTTTAAGAAGATCAATATTTTTGATTGTACCAAAATCACAAATTTTATATATTTCTTAAATATTATTAGCATCTTCTTTCTAAAATATCAATATATTTTCAGGCTTAATATCTCTATGGGCATAGCCTAAATCATGAATTTCTTTTATTCCATTTCCTATTGCTTTCATTATAAACCTTACATCATCTGGTTTAACTTTACCTTAAGATAAAATTCTATCATATAAAGATTCTTTGCAATACTCCATTACTATATAATACATATCATCTTTTTAGTATAATTCGTAAGTTTTAATTAAATTTTTAAAGTTTCTTCCTTGCATTTTGTTTAACATTTCTAATTCATTGTTATTTATGCTTTTTTATAGTTTGATTGCCACAATTTCATTTGTTTATTCATTTTCACATTTTAATACTACTCCAAAAGAACCTTCACCAAGTTTATTTAAAATTGTGTAAGTGAATTGGTTTGTTGTTATTTTGGGATTATCACTATTCATTTATTTTTCTATTAGGTAATTAAAATATTAATATTATTTTTCAAGAAATCAGTAAAATTTTACTCTTAAATAATTCATATAGGTATCTTTGAAATCTATAGTATATTTTAAAAATCTAAATCATAAATTTTATATTGATTAATATATTCTAAAATAGTATATATTTAAATTAAATATCGTTAAAATAAGACTTGAATAATGCATTCACATTAAAAACAATTAATCGATATCAGTAAAAATAAAAAATTAATAGATAGATTCATTAATAGAAACAATAGAGAATTAATTTAGAAAGAATGAAGAAATGCATTAAACAATATCATAATAAATTCACTGTGATATTGAGAGAATTGATGCATAATTATTCATCTAAGAAATGAGAATATCATTAAAATAGCCAAAAGCAAGTATTGAAACATTATTAAAAAAATGTTAATCAATGATTGATAAATTATTGGATGAAGAATTCAATTTGGATAGATTGATGTCTAAATTGAGATCAAAAAAAAGAAGAAATAATAAAGCATCTACAGGTAATGTGCTATAATAAATTGATGAAAACACCCTTAAGGAAATTAATACATTTAGTAAATGTTAAGATGTAGTTAAAAAAGATGAAAAATAATTTACTGAAAAATTAAATATAGAAAAAACAAACAGACATACAGAAATAGATCCTTTTGAAAAATTAATTAATATCAATATGCAAATTGAATAATGTTTAGGTATTATATATTACTTAAAATAGAGTTGTTATCAAATTAAAATAATTTAGATAATGAGAGTGATATGGAAGTTAAAATCAATAATTTAGAAGAGTAGATTTATAAGTTGACTGAAAATAGAGTATATAATGATGAAAATGTTGAGGTGTACATAGTGTAGAAAAACAATAAGAAAAGAATGCCTAATTTACAAATTAATTATTGATTTTATTTAATATATTCTTTTTTGTTTTTATTTAAATATTGGATATGCAACTCTACAGTCTAACTTTACAAAAAAGCACAGGAATACAAAAGGCTATATATGGAAATTTCTCAGGACCAAAAGCCTAAGAGATTGTTGTATCAAAAGTGAAGCATATTGAGCTTCTTAAGATAAATGAGAGCAAGTATAAATAATGTTATATAATGTTTAGTGGTAAATTAGAGACTATAGCATCATAAGAAGTATTTGGTATAATACGTTCAATCCATTCATTTAGATTTCCTGGAGTAAATATTTTAATAAAATTGTAGAATAATAGAGATAATTTGGTTATTGGTAGTGATTCTGGTCGAGTAGTAGTGTTAGGTTTTGATGGTTTAAAAAACATGTTTGTAAAAGTGCATTAAGAAACTTATGGGAAAACTGGATGTAGAAGGATTGTTCCTGGCTAATACCTGGCATGTGATCCTAAAGGAAGAGCCTTTATGATTAGTGCAGTAGAAAAACATAAATTTGTATATATATTAACTAGAGAAAATGAAAAAATTACAATTTCTTCCCCTTTGGAGGCGCCAAAATCTCATACTATTGTGTTTGATATTGTAGGGTTAGATGCTGGTTATGATAATGCTTAATTTGCAGCAATAGAATCAGATTATGGTGATTGGTAAGACAAGGACAGTGCAGTTTGCACAGGTATTTAAACAAAATTCTTAACTATATATGAAATGGATTTTGGATTGAATACTGTGAGAAGATAAAGATCAGATCCTATTCATATTTCATCTCATTCTTTATTAATGGTTCCTAATGCACCAGATGGACCAGGAGGTGTTATAGTGTTATGTGAAGATTTCTTGCATTATCGAGGTCCAAAGAATTAGGAAATGAAAGTTCCATATCCAAAAAATTAGGGAATGCCTGCTGATAGAGGAGCAATGATAAGTTCATTTGGATTTTATAAATAAAAAGTAATTATTATTTGAATATATATTAGTCATCCTTTTTATATTTATTATAATCAGAGTATGGTGATTTATTTGAATTATCATTACAATTTACTAAAGATGAAGTTCATTCAATAAGAATGATCTATTTTGATACTATTCCTGTGGCTAATAGTTTGTGTTTGATGAGAAGTAAACATCTATTTGCAGCTTGTGAAAAGGGAAATCATTGTTTCTATAAATACTAGAGAGAGGAAATAAACACTAATATTATCTGTACTGATTCTAGTATGGCTCTTGAAGAATAAATATTCTTTAAGCCTTAAAAACTTAAGCATTTATCACTCTTATAGGAACTTAATAATTTTAGTTGTATTAGTGATTTAAAAGTGGCAGATTTAGCAAAGGAAGGCAATCCATAAATTTATATATGTTGTGCAGCTGGTAATAGATCTACTTTGAGAGTTTTGAGACATGGTTTAGAAATAACATAATTAGCTAATACTAATTTATAAGCAAAACCATTAGGTATATGGACTTTAAAAGAGAGATATGAGGATCCAGTTCATAAATACATAGTGATTTCATACATTAATAAAACCTTAGTATTAAAAATTGGTGAGAAAGTAGAGTAGGTTCATGATACAGGATTAGAAGGAACTAAATAAACAATTCATGTTGGAACTTTAATTGATGATTCCTAAATTCAAATCTTAACAAATGGATATAGACACATTAGAAAAAACAAACCACCTACTGATTATATTATTGATGGTAAAGTCATTAAAGGAGTTTCAAATGAAAAATAAGTAGCATTTGCTTTAGCAGGTGGTGATGTTTACTATTTTGAATTGGATACTACAACAGTTTCAGGAAATTTGATTGAAATAACAAAAGATTAAATGGATAATGAAATAAAAGCTTTAGAATTAGGCCCTATTGAAGAGGGAAGATAAAGATGCAAATTTTTATGTGTGGCTTTGAGTGATTAAACAATTAGATTATTGAGTTTAGAACCTGAATCTTGTTTTGAAAGAGGAGCCATGTAAGCATTGCCTAGTGAAGCTGAAAGCTTATGCATGATGGAAATGGCCTCTGAATAAGAAGGTTAATAAAGTTTTACAAAATAGTTATTTTTATTTATAGGTTTGAATAATGGTCTCTTAATGAGAACTTCAGTTGATTAATTATCAGGAGGTTTATCTGATACAAGAACAAGATATTTAGGAACAAAGGCTGTAAAATGTCTAAGGATTACAGCTAATTAATAATAGGCTATGTTAGCATTATCATCTCGATCATGGTTATGTTATAATAATAGTGGTCGTATATTCATGTAACCATTATCTTATGATTATTTGGATTATGCTTCTGCTTTTCTTGCTAAGGAATTTTAAGGTATTGTTGGTACTAATTAAAGTACTTTACGAATCATAATGCCAGAGAGATTTGGTGAAATATTTAATTAGTAGTCATTAGATTTGACATATTCACCTAGAAAAATGATTTTTCATGAACCTAGCAAGGCAATATTTATTATTGAATCAGATAATCGATCATATAACAATATTTAATAAAAGGTTGAGGAAGTTTATTAGACTGAAGAATTACCAGAATAATGGAATCAAATTTAAGCTGAACAATATAAATGGGCATCTTTAATTCGAATAGTAGATGCCACTAAATTAGAAACACTTAATGTTCATCAATTCTATGAGAATTAACATGCATGTTCAATCTGTTATATTTAATTTGCTGGTTATCAAGAATAATACATATGTGTTGGAACAGTAAAAGATCTTGTAAATGAACCATCAAGAAAATTCAGTTAAGGATTTATACATACATTTATTTATGATAATAAAACTTTGAAATTAAAACATTCAACTCCTATAGATGAAATTCCATATGCATTAGCAGCTTGGAGAGGAAGATTATTAGTTGGAGCTGGATGTAATTTAAGAGTATATGAAATGGGAAATCAAAGAATTTTAAAGAAAGCAGAAATCAAAAATTTGAATTCTTTTATTACTTCAATTATGGTTAAAGAAGATAGAATTTATGTAGCAGAAGTGGCTGATTCTATACATCTCCTTAGATATAATATAAGAGATTAAACATTTATGGAATTGGCAGATGATATTCTACCAAGATATGTAACAGCAAGTACTGTTCTAGATTATCATACTGTTATTGCTGGCGATAAATTTGAAAATATATTTGTTAGTAGAGTACCATTAGACATAGATGAAGAATAAGAGGAACATCCATATGAATATAAAATGAAGATGGATCAAGGTTGTATGAATGGAGCTCCATTTAAAATGGATTAAATATGCAATTTTTATGTAGGTGAAGTCATTACTAGTCTCTAAAAAATTGCCTTAGTGTCCACCAGTTCAGAAGTTGTTGTCTATGGAACATCCATGGGATCAATTGCTGCACTTTATCCATTTGATAATAAAGAGGATATTGATTTCTTCCTCCATCTTGAAATGTATCTTAGAGTTGAACATCAACCTCTTTCTGGAAGAGATCATATGTAATTTAGATCTGCCTATGGGCCTTGCAAAGTAAATATATCTTATATTATTTCTATAGTCTATCATAGATGGAGATTTATGTGATTAATTTGGAAATATGTAATATAATAAATAAAGAGCTGTGGCTGAAGAATTTGATAGGACTCCTGCTGATATAATAAAAAAACTTGAAGACATTAGAAATAAAATTTTATGAATATTTTTAATTATACAATAAAATATAACAATAATCATTACTTATTTTTTATTATTCTTTATATTTTCTATTTATGTCAGAGTTATCCTTTAGATTAATAAAATAATATATATATTTAAATATATTGATTAATACTTCTTTATCAAACAAAAAGGGGTCAATTTAAGATATATCTTATTTATATAAATATGTGACAATTATCTTATTAATATTTTCATTCATTAAATAATTTAGATTCTAAGTGTATCATTCTATATTTTATACTAATCATATATGAGTATTAATTTTTATTTATAATTAATTTTAAATAATTGCTTGTAACTAAATTTTCATATTACTAATTATTCTAAATAATTGTATCTTTTAAATTACTTTTAATTTGAATAACTTAAATTTCTTAATTTATTAAAATATATAATTAATTCTCAGTCAGTTTTTAATAATGATAGTATAAATTTGAAGTGTCTTAAAAGTAATAAATTTCATAATATTTTTAAATAAGTGCTTTTCTTCTAAATTTTTTACAAAAAAAGGGAATAACTTTTAAATACTCTTATCAAAAATGTTTATTTATAAATTCTGAATATATTAAAGAAATTTAGATTTTAAATATTAGAGAGAGAAATTGAAACAAAGTTATGACTTAATGTATAGATGAGTAGAATGTTTTAATAAATATTTGCAAAGGATATAATTTAATTGAATAGTAAATATAATAAAATTGATATAGTTTTTTTATATTATTTAATATATTTTCATACACATTTATTTAATGATAAATATTGTAAAAACTTCTCATGATTATTCTAGTTCCCTTTAAGTCTATTATTAACAGCCAAAGGATCAGATGCGGTATATTTTAAAGAATAATAAGAATAGGTAATTGAAGTTAAAGCAGGAGATACATATGATGGTAAATTAGAATAATTAGATAAATTTATGAATGTTAAATTAACTAATGTTAAACATACATCAAAAGTAAATGGTTCATTTATTATATTATCAGGATGGAAATTAATTTCATGGAATAAAAGAATTGCTCATTAAAGGAAATTCGATTAAGTATTTTAGATTGGTATGAATAGTAATATTGATATTTAAGAATCCTGATGCTGAGAAAAAAGCTTAAGAAGAAGCTGAGATATGTAATTTTACAATTAAAAAATAGACGAATAACAATAATAGCAAAAATAATAAAAGCAAAATGAATAAAAATAATAAAGAAAAACTTAAAATTAAAAATCACGTGGAAAGTCTTATCCTTAAAAGTAACCTTAATAGAGAAGATGAGTTATATATTATATTATTATCGCATACAAATAAAAAATAAGAATATAATTTTTCAATCGAATTCTCCATTATTATCAATGAATGCTTATTCCACTTATACTTAATCATCATCTCCTATTGCACTTCCTATTAAATTATTATTGTCTTCTTATTATTGCATTTATTCATCTGATACAGAACCCCTAATTAAAAAATCAAATGATTATTCTTACATACAACAAGTTTAAACATTCCAATCTTTTGATACTTAGAAATTGAGAACACTTCTACCTATTTATATAGCAAGGTTTTTATTGAGATCAACTGATACTTAGGTTGGATTTTTCATTAATACCAATGTTCCAAATTTAGATTATTGATCTTCAATAATAAATTATGCTAGTTTCAATAAATATAGAATTTTACAATTAGAATATTTAATTATAGCATGTAATCTTGAAACTGATATATCAGTAATACGAACATCAGAATCATGGCCTCTTCCTAATTTTATAAATTGCTTTTATGAAAAACTAATTATATGTGTTCCTTTGCTTTAATTTCTATCTCTACTCAAAATTTCCAATGTTAAATAAGGAGGATCTGGTTTAGGAAGTACAATTGTTTCATAAATTCTATTTTAATATTTGATTCTATCTTTATCATAAATTTTAATATTTACTAGGAATAGGAGCTTTGCAAACTTCACATTCAAATTATTTCCATTAAAAAGAAACTGAGAATTTTGTAGTTTTTGGTTATAATTTATTAAGCAACCATGTTTACAAACATATTAAATGAATAAATTTAACTGATCCTTAACATTTACAACAATCTATCAAAGGATTATTTTAATCTGTTTAAGCATCATTATAACATATTCTACATTATGGTTCTTCTCCTTAAATCTATTCATCTTCTTATGTATGAATGTTCATAATATTTAAACTTTTATCAGATACAAATTTTTATAATTCAGGTTCTATAGACACTTCCTAATTATTAGTATTATTATTTAAACAACTAATCTCTCGAATTCGAAATCGAACTCTACCTAACTTTATATAATCATTTTATTTCAATGAATAGCCCTATCAAATATAGAGTAATAAATTAACTGATTAATCATTTTTTTGATTCTTTAATGATTTAACCACAACCCAAGGACTACAATCTGATAATCCTTCAGTTTCTTCTGATATTTATTATTAATATATAGATTCAATAAAATATTTAGTTATCTAACGATTTATTCTAATAAGTTCCTGCACATCTGATTAATTTTGATATTACTAAAAGTAATTCATTAAATTTTATATATTACTAACAACTCATCCTTTGTTTAAATAACTCTAATGGCTTCTTTTTATCTTATAAATATCACTTTTATTTATAATAATAAATACTTTTTGACGAATTAGTTTTTAATTACCCTTTTATCACATTTTTATTTTCATAATCAAACAAACCATGAGAATCTCGACTCCATGTGAAATGTTTTATTTCTCTAATGTTACTTTACTATTATTTACAATGATAATGCTATTTAATTAGCATTTCTAACATCATCTTAATTTGAAACACAAGTACCCATATTTTACTTTATAAAGTAATTATTTATATATATTAAATGAATTTCTATATTAAAATCATTCATCTGCATTTTCATCTTATCCTTCATCTCCTCCTTCTCCTACTAGTTTTTTATACTATTTCTAATAAGAATTAAGTTTCTTCTCTAATGTTGCTCTTTCATCATATAATCGATCTAATTCATTAGTTCCAACAGCTGCTCCTGATGGACTAGCATTTTCTCTTAAAGCATTCATTCTTTCTTTATATCTTCCTTATCTAACAAAAACTATAAAACAGTTAATAATAAAATTACCATAATTATCTTCCCAACCTCTTTCTGAATTTTTATTATTTGGTTCTTCTGCTTTAGTATCTTTTCTTTTTTTAGTATTTACTGTTTTTAAAACAATCAATTCTCGTTTTGGACATTTAGCAGCTCCATCACCAATTAAATAATTTTATGGACATTATATACCATCTCCATCAAGTTAAACACAACTAATTATTATCTGTGGTTAATCTTCACACCATCCACAAGCAGTATCTTTTACACATGACTTTCCTTAAAAATATAAATACATCACAATCAACATATCTAGCACATTCTCCAGCACAATATAAATAATTATAAAAATTGCACATTGTATAGAATGGTGCTATATTATCACCTGCTACACATTTTTCTTCCATACTACACCAACCACATTTTGCATTTTTTGTACAAGCTGCACAATCTTTAAATTCTAAACATTCATCAGATTTTTCATTAGTTGGCATATTATATTTCAAAGATTCTATTTAAACATTAATATCTGAAAGTCTTTTAGTAATTTTTTCTATTTATTCTTCTAAAACTACTTTTGATAATTATTTAGCCATATAGATTTATTCATCTTATTTAGTTGCTTCACATTCTTTATCTTCTTATTCTTAATTATCTTCAGTTGCATTTTCTTCTAATTCTATCTCACCATGTAATTCTTAATATAACTTTTTTGCTTCATCCATTCCATCACCATCTTAACATTTAATTTGTATTAAAACGAATAAGCAAATTATTATTAATTTTATCATTATTTATAGTATAATCAAAGATAATTATATATATTATTCCATTTTTTTTATTTTTGACTGATACTATTAATTTTTATAGTATTGCTTAGATAAAATAATTTAATTTATTATTTTTTATGGCTCAACAATTATCAATTCAAAGATTACTAAGAGAATATGACAAATTGTAAAAGTTGAACAATAATTAATTCATATGTGAACCAAATCCTACAAATATTTTTGAATGGCATTTTGTCATTTATAATCTGACTGATTCCTTTGCAGGAGGATATTATCATGGAATCTTATAGATGCCTCCAGATTATCCATTAAAACCTCCAACATTAAAATTTATTACTCCATCAGGAAGATTTGAAGTTGGAAAACCTGTATGTTTGTAAATTGTTTATATTAATTATAAGATCATTTACCAATTTTCATCCAGAAAGTTGGAGTTCTGCATAAACAATTGAATCTATGATGATCTCAATTATTTCATTTATGTATACCAATGAAAATACAACTGGAGGAATTATAAGTAGTCATTTAGAAAAATAGAAATAAGCTTTAAATTCCAAAAAATTTAATTTATAAAATGAATAATTTACTAAGATCTTTAAAAAGCACTTCGATAAGTTAAAATTGACTGATAATTATTAAAACAATTAGATTAAAGATAATTGTAATAATGTAAGTGCTAATATTATTGTGGAAGAAGAAAGTTCAATAACAGCCAAATAATTTTTTATCGGAGGTCCTATTATCTTATTATTGATCTATTTTTTATTATAAAGTATAGTTGAATGATATATAAAACAATAAATTACTCTCAATCATTCATTATTAAATTTATTACATTATCTTATCATGATCTTCACATCCTTTTCTTAATGAATTTATCCAACTAATAGGAGCTCTGGAAGCTACATAATTAACTAAGCTCTATTAATAGAATATTTTTATTTTACTTTTGGAATATCACCTTTAACATCATTATTTGAACAAAAATATAATCTACTTCCTCCTGGTATAGATTCTAAAATATAACCTGAAATTAAGGTTTCAGCTCTTATATGTCCTTTGAATTTAGGAGCCTTATTATGATCTACACTAAAATATAGAAGACAAGTTTTTCCTGGCTTTGGAAAATCATATTTCAATATTCTTTTCTAACAAAACTCTCTATTATCTACACATGGTGGACTTTTAACATAGTAATATATAATATCTACAATAGCAGATTCCCTCTCCAAAACTTAAAAACTCAATAAAATTTTATCCCATTTTTATCTATATTTTTCATTATGTATAGCTTTTAATAAGATATCAATTGAAATTCCTTACAAATCACTATGACCTTTAACAAATACTGCAGGATTTCCAGGTTTAAAAGTTTTGTAAATGATTAAATTTTCTTTTTTTAATATAATTTCCCATCCTTCAATAGGTTCTTCTATAAGACCAACTAATAATTTAAACTTTTCTTCCAGTTCAGCTGATAATTAATATATTCTATCAGAATTGATTTAATTCTCTTCTGCTTAAAATGATCCTCTATTTATTTATTAATTTTGTTTGGAATGTTCCAATTATAGACATAGAATTTATTATAACTGACTCTATTGTATCAAATTTTCTTGAATACATTGAGATCCTCTTTTTTCTATTTTTTCAAAATTATTTTATTATTATTAAAGAGGTTATTATGGTTATTATTATTAATTTTATTGATTAATTAATTGAGATTATTATTTTGAGATATTTTATTGGTCATTTTTATCATCATATGATTTTGCCCTTGCTCTAACTTAATTTTTCATAATTAACGGCACTTAAGCTTAAAATTCTTAATCTATATCTTCATTCATTGATATCATATCTCCTTAACTTTTTCTTCTTTAATGACTTTTTGATTGTGATATTTATTCTCTATTTTATAATTATTATCTATAATTTTGTATTTATAAAAATTTTTCTAAATCTTCAATTTTAACTTTTTAATTGAGTTTAGCAGCAAACATTTTAATAAATTCAATTGATAATTATTAATCAAAATAACCTTATTAACACTTTAATACTATTTTGTTAATTTATAATTTTTTGATTTTTTTAATTAATAATTAGATTACATCATTTTTTTAACAATCTCTTACATCTTAAAATAATGTTAAAAATGGTATTAAAACATCTGAAACTGTTTCATTTAAAACATATGATATCTAAATATTTAACTAAATATTTACTTCATAATTACTAAATTTTGAATATATTATTTTTTAATCAATTATTTAAATATATTCTTTAGTCAATTTATAACTGAGACATAAAGCATAAATTGATTATTCTTTAGACAATTATTCTCTTATTTTTACTAATAAAGTCTAAGATTCTTTTTGAAATTTTTTATCAAAATACTTATAATGCAAAAGAGGTTTGATCTCAGTTAAAATTCTTTAAACACAAAATCTCTGTAAGTTGATATCATTTATATATTTAACCATAATCAATTTACCCTAAATCATCAAACTGAAATTTACCCATCTTAGTAAGCATTTTACTCTAATAACAAAGATATCAAATTCAGTTAAATTTATCCCTTTTGTAGCTATTTTTTTTGAGATCTTTCTTCCCAAATACCTTCCCAAAATTATACCTATAGCTCCTCCACCTATTGCTCCTAAAAAGGTAAATCCAAGTGCCAAAAAGCCAATCACTCCTAAAACTGCCATTCCTATTATTGTGCTAATTTAGTTTCATAAATTACCCTAAGTTCTAATTATTCCCAAGTGTAATATTAGTAAAAATGGTTCTATGTTCTAGTTTTTATTAATCGGTTAGTCCATAAATAGGCAAAAACGTAGCATCACTTAATAATTTATTAATTAATTCTTTAAGCTCCATGGGATTATTGATTTTTTTTAAATACAAATTTACTAGTGAGGATAAGGATTTTGGATTTTTTAATTTCATGTTAATCATAATAATTTATATTATATATTTAATAAAAATTAAGTATGAAATATGAATAAATAAATAATTGTTAAATTCAAATTTTATTTTCAATTTCGATTAACCTATTATAAACATGGATTATATTAATTTTATTATGAATTTAAAAATTATAGAAAATTAACATAGGATATATGCTTAATAATACCATAAAAGAAATATTAAAGACAAATTAATGTGACAATATTTGACCAACTTAATTTAAAATGAAAATCAAAAAAAAACACTTCCAAGTTAAATATATATATTATTTAATTTATCATAAATTTTATGTCTAGATAAGTAATTAGATTGCCAGCCGAAGTAAATAGAATACTTTATGTAAGAAATTTACCATATAAAATTACATCCGAAGAAATGTATGATATCTTTGGGAAATTTGGAGCAATAAGATAAATTAGAAAGTAAATAATTTTGATTAGATTATTTTAGGGGTACTCATGGAGATAAGAAAGGAACAGCTTTTGTTGTTTATGAGGATATTTATGATGCAAAAAATGCTTTTGATAATTTGTCTGGTTTTAATGTTGCTGGAAGGTATATCCATTATTTTTTATTAATTCTTTTTTAGATATTTGATTGTGTTATATTATTAACCTTAAAAAATGTAAGAGAGGTAAGACCTTGAATTTTAGAGAAAGTAAATTGAAAAACTTCGCGAATAATAGAGATAATAATAGCAATGAATTTTATAATGAATTAATAATTTACAGATATTATTAATGATTAACTCGATCCTATTCTGGGAGAATTTACATCTTAAACATTAACTTCCTCTAGCATTATAAACTCTCCTCTCAAACTTATAAGACAATCTAATGTGATAGAGATTTAAAATGTTCATACAAAATATAAACGAGTAATTCAAGAAACTATATAAAAAATAATTATTGAAATTGAGAAATACTATCAATAACTTATAGAAAGAAATTAAGCTATCAATTTTAAACTTTATCAAAGAATTGCCGAATAAACATCAAATATGTAATAACTGTAGGACATAGTGAACTAACTGACTTTAGATAATCTACAGTTTAGGAATAAATAATATGAAGAAGAAATCACATAAGAATATTATGATCCACAATAATATACAATTAGACAATAGAAGAAAGAATTATTGGAATTATATGATTTAAGTGATCAATTATAAAATAAATTAAACAGACAAGAAAGTATAAATATTTAATAGCAGGATATAATTAGAAGATAACATTCATAATTAAATTTATATGAAAAATAAATTACAGAATAATAATAATTAATAGCATAACTGAAATTACAAATATTAGAACTACAAAAATAACAGACTGAATTACAATAATAAATCAATATCCTATAGAAATAATCCTAAAAAATTATAGATCATGATGAAAGAAATGGTATGCATTCAAGCAAAGCTAAATATTCTAGTTTGAACTAAAATGAATCAATAGAAACTTAATAATAATCAAATAAATTAACATGTTAATTAAAAAATTTAACTACAACAGATCAAGACACTGCAACTTAACCATCTTAGAAATGCATATTGTAAAAAAGATAGAAACTCATTTTACATTCTTTAGATTATTAAAATTGTAGTGACTTTGAAGTAAGTGTTAAAAACAGGTAGTATTACTAAAATACAATTAAAAAAACTGAATTATTTGATATTTCTGATATAATAAAGCCAAAGCCCAAAAAAAAACCTTAAATTTTAGATGATATATATTTATACTCTAATAGGTATAGAAATAGCAGTGTAGACTATTATTATGAACCACCAAAATAGTACAGGTTTAACATAAAGCAAACTTTAAAATCTCCATTAAGTTAAAGGAAAAGTCATTATTCAAAGAAAAATAGACTATATACTTTAGAATGATGTTTTATTGTACTTATTTTGTTTTAAGAATTAAATAAAATTTATTTAATCTTATTTTTATAATTTAATGAATTTCTATTTCTTTATTTAATGTGCAGTTGAGGCAGAAGCAAAGCTCGAGGAAATAAGAATACTTTTAGCAAGTTAGAATAATTTTGAACCTTTTACAAGTATAAAAATAAAAATAATAAATTAGCATACAAAAGATTAGATTAACCAAGAACTGGAGGATTAAGACCTGAGAACATTTTGGAATTTTTATATGATAATGAAATTTAGGTCACTTAAGATCAACTTGATTATATTTTCAGAGTTTTAGATGAAGATTCTGATGGTTTAGTAACTTATTAGGAGTATTATTTTCATGTAAATAATTAGCTTCAAGAGTGCAATATTGCCTAAGATGAATGATTAGATTAAAGATTAAGCTTTAAATCATAAGAGTTTTGATCTTCCTGTAGATATGTAATTACCAAAAGAAATAGAAACATAATTATCATAATTTTTTATTTAGATAAAATAAAATTATTTGTAAATTATATTATTATTTCTTAGATAATATTAGTAAATACAAGAAAAAATTGATTTGAATTAATTGGATATTTATGATAATGATAATTAAATTACAGTAGATTCATTGAAGAATTGGTTATAATAATAAGGGGAAGATATAAGTGAAGAAATTCTATAGAGTTTTGTTACTATTATTTAAGGATAATAATAATTATTATAAAATTTATTAGATCAAATTTATACTTAAAATTAGGATGATTAAGAATAATAAGGAGAAGAAAATGTTGATTAAGAATAATAAAAAGAAGATTTAGAATAAGAATTATAAGAAGAAAATTTAGAATAAATTTAATAAAAAGATGAAGATTAAGATTAAGATTAAGATGTAAATAATACTTAGTAAAATAATCAATAAGAACCATTATCATCATAAGAAATAGAAGAATAATCTAAGGATTACAAATATCTAAATCATGACTCTTATAATGATATAGATTTATAAATTCAATAATTAAAGAATAAAATAAACAAATTAGAAGTTGTTTTAGGATAAAAGAATACATCACATATAGGATCACTATTGAATAATGAATACAATAGAGAGTTATTAAACTTCTCAAGAATTAGTTACCTTAGAAAATTCAATCCATCTCCTCCATAACAAAGAAATGATTTAATAAGATAATAATTAAAGATAGAGGAAGAAATTAAAAGAGAAGAAATAAAATAAAAAATCATTTTAACATAATTAAATAATTCAGGCAATATTAATTATTCTGGTTATTATTCAAATAGATATTAAAAGTATATTACAATTATTATATTAGTTAAATATATCAAAGTCCCCTTAATTAATCAAATTCAAAGTATATATCTGAACTTTCTGGAAATAAAGTAAGATTATTTATATAGTTTATAGTTTAGTGGCAGTAATAGGAAACAATATCCAACTTCCTTTTAGAAATCAATTAATTTTAGCCATAGAAAATTTTGAAATATATAAATAATATTGTTTTTTTAATTTTATTAATCTCATTTTTCATCAGGTGTTGGAAAACTCTTTGGATCAAGAATGAATCCTTCACCTGATTAATCGTATTAATTTCCATTTGAATAATAATATTAATTCTAATGTATTTATTATGAATCCGTTTATCCAATCTAAAAGATAACTCTATTTTAATTATTTCTATTTCTTTATTATCCATATTAATTATTATAATTGTTATATTAATATCTAACATTTTTGTTATTTTAAACATAATGCTATTGATTAGGTTAAGCAGGCTTATAAGCTTTGGTTTAATCAACTACTGAAGGATCCATTGCTTTTAATTTATCTAAGGTTCCTTATAATATCAATTATAAATTGTTTTAGAATTATTCTAAATATATCCACTTTCCAGGAGAACCCCATGAAATCATGAGATGGGATTTTAAATAATTTTATGAATACCAAATATCCATATTTTTAGTTGGAAACCCTCCTTAAGTCTAAATAAAAAATCCAAATTACTTTGTTTTATTTATCAATATAAAACCATAATGATTCATTAATGTCTTTGTTATGTAATTGAGCTTGTATAGAAAATGGTGATGTTTTAATTTATTCACTCTTAAAAAGAACAGAAGGCTACTAATCTAAAGTTTTAGAATGTAAATTTTCATTATTGTTATTAAAACCCAAAAGTTAATTTAATTCATCATCACTAATACATGTTTCTTATTCTTTAGCTGTTTCTTCTTATTTATTATTATTAATTTAAGTTTAATGATATAATTGTCTTTTTTCTATTTCTTCAACTGTTAAAATATTTTGATTGATTGTAACAGGAGTTTATAATGGTTCAATATTTGAAGAAAAGAGTTCTAAGAGTTTTTATTTAGTTTCAATAGCAGCTTATGATTATTTTAATTCTTATTCTCTTTTTTCTCTATATTTCTATTTTTCGATTTCAATACTATTAATTTCTTCTTATTTAGTTTAAAATTCTTCTATCTTTTATCTTTTTTCTTCCTGTTTTTTTTCAAATGTACCATGATTTTTTTGATATTGTTCTCTTTTTTATTAAATTTCATTTTCTATATCATTTAATTAAAAAGGGGCATTGAACTATGACTCTTGCATCCATTGAGGTTCTTCTTCATCACTATGATTGCAATGTGCTGTCTAAGAAATAGGTTTGAATGGTTTAGTTGCAAATAATTATGGTATTTTTTTGGTCAATTAGATGATGTCTTCTGGTGGTTATATATATTCTTTATAAGCTGAAAGTAATAATTTTGCATCATAAACATTATTTGAAGGCTAACATAATTATTATTTTTCTAATAATATTAATATGATAAATACATTCATATTCCACTCTCTTATTATCATTTTAATAGTGTTATCGATTATTATAATATTTTTTATTTCTTGAAAATCCATCATAATTATTATTATTATTATGTGACTATTACTAATTAATTATTGAATTACTTTTCGATATGGTTAAGAATCTCTTTTTTATTCTTATTGATCTTTAGCAACATACTGAACTTGATGATGATATGATTTCGACATTCTTTATATTTATTCTTTTTTTTTTTAAATATAATTAGAATTGCTAATTAAAATTTTATTCATTTCATTCTCTTTTTTGTATATTAGTTAAAATTCAAAATATTCTCAATAAATATTTAATTTCTAAAATATTATCTTATCATTAATATAATATCTATTTCAAATAGTCTATTTAATTATCAGTCAATAAATTTATATAAAGAGAAAATCTAATAAATTTATTTCTAATTATTCCTAAATCTCTTATAACATATGTGTGTTTGATAATTCCGAATTTCTAATTCTAATTTTGGATTTAAACATGATTATAGCAAATTTAATTATTAAAAAGAGAAGTTAAAAAGTTATTTTTTAGTATATTTAACTGAAATAAAAGATTAAAAAGATATTTAAAGTGTATTATGTTATCTTAAATCTATTTCCTATATTTAAATTAATGTAGAATTTATAATAATATAAATTATTTTATCAAATTTATATATGTCTAAAAGTATACTGAAATAAGAATAAATAACTGAATAAAGGAAAATATTAATATCTGATAAATGAAATTAATATTTATAGGTAATTAATATAATACAATAATGACTATTAATTTATTATTTTTTAAAGAACATAATAAGTATATATAGTCTTTTCTTACAAATATATATTAGTTAAGTATTGCAAAATGTATGACTGAGTTTATTTATTAATAAAAATAATATAATATAAAATTTATCTCCAATGAATGTAGATGATTTAAGAAATAAATTGAATGAATTAAATAAGAAGCAGGTTGACATTCTGACTTAAAGAAAGACAATAATAAAGGAAATTAAGAATTTCTCATTTTAGTATATTAGTTATTTATATTAATTAGAAAATAAGATAACAAAAAAGTTAAATTAAATAATGGAAAGGAATAGGTAAATATTATTGTTTAGATTGTTTAGAAAGCATTTCAATTAAATCTTGTGGGTGCAAAGGAAGAACGTGCAGAAAAGTAAAAGTTGCTTGATGAACAAGTACCCACTACGTTGAAAGAGAAGGATAAACGTTTAGCAAAATTCTTATTAGGAAATCATCTCTAAAAAGCGAAATAAGATTTGATTGGAGAGAAATAAAAAGTAAATTTGCTTTAACTTATTATTTTAGTTGGATAAATAAATAGAAATAAATAAGAGATTAGATGATAAAGATAAATAGGATTTATAAACCCTTAAAGAAGATTAAAATGTATTTGTTCTTTGATAAATTTTTAGAAAAAGAAGAGTTAGTTAGTAAATGAAAGGAAGGAATTGGAGCGAGAATTAGCTGCTGATGAATATAAAAGATAGGTATTACAATAAAAATATTTAAGGTTCTATTGCTTGAACTATAAATTAAAATAATGAGAGATTTTTTTATAACAAAGTAATATAATTTGATGAACATTTTAGAACATATCCTCATATTTTATGGTAGCCAGCTAAAACCAATGAGGGTATGAATCCTCTAAAAGAATATAGTACTTAAAAATTCAATGTAAAATATTGATTTTTTAAGAAAATAGGAGATGGAGAAGGATTTGAAGGAATAACTGTTGAGAGCATATACTAATTTCACTGAGTCATAATATTCGAAGTTAAAGGAATAATAAGTTTAATAGGAGCATGAGAGTTCATAATCAGAAAGTGAGGAGTCATAAGAAAAACAGAAAGAAGAAGGGTAAGAATGATGAAAAATTATAGGTAATAATATATAAGATTTAGTTTAATAAATATTATAAACTTGTATAATTATTATAAATCATATATATATCAAAAAATGATATTCAACCCATTAATTAAAAAAATGTCCAGTTAATTTGTAAGTATTTTAAAATGTTTAATAATTAATTTTTTACATAACAAAAAGTCTATAATGATAAATAATCTTAGAAGTTAGGATAGTGTTCAAATGTCTATGATGCAATAGCCATTTTCTTTTTAAAATGTTTATCATAGTTTTGATGGTAATGATTAGAGAATAAAGGTAAATTGTTAAACAATAATAATGTAGATAAATCAGCTACAGATAATTTAACATAAATTCATAAAGTGTCTTAACAATCTAATTCGACATTAGAATAATAAAAAGAAATCCAATATAATTATTTTACCAAATCAAAATAATTAGCTATATGTATTATTGACTTCTTAAATAATAGGTTATTTTTGAGGACGATAAAATCTTGAGAAAAATTAAAGTATAGGAATCTAATGATAGTACTTTCATGTCTTTTCCAAGAAATCAATTTCCATTAATATAATGTAACAATTTAAATAATCATTAGATTAACCTTATCCTTAGTTTTATGCAAATTATCCTTAAGAATAATTTCAAACCTTTTAATACTAAATAACAAATCCAATCTTATAATCTTAAGATAGATTCTTAGTCTAACCAAAACAACTACAATCAAGTCAGCATTTTCGAACATCTGATTTTTAGTTTTTTGGTTCTCATGATGATTCTGAATCTATGGAACCTCAATAAGTTGAAAAGGATAGTAAAGAACATAAAAATACTTATTTTAAATTAAAAAGTAAGATCAAAAAAGGAAAAGTAAATGATACTAAAAACATTACTAAAAACTTTTCTAAAGCAATAATTAGCTATATTATATAAAATAAGGATATTGGATTAAAAATAATGAATTGTGAATAATTTGAAGAATTTGTAACTATTTTAAAAGATAAAAAAAATCAGATGACAAATATTAAATAACTTAGAGAACTTTGGGTTGAAACTAATTAAGAGAAAAGTTAATAATTTAATAAAGCATTTCGAATCTTTAGGTATTATTTTTTAATAGATTATTTATAGTGAGTATTTTTTAAAACAATAATCAGTGTCTTATATTTATAATTCAAGAATAGCAAACACTGGATGGCATTTAAAATATAGATATAATTTACTAAGAGCTCTTAAAGAACCAGAAAATTTTAAATATATCAAAGATATTTGAAATATTGAATTTTAATATATATTATTATATTTTATTTATTTATAATTTTCATACATGTTTACTTAATGCAGCTTTAACTGATTTAGCAATATTGGTTTAATCCTTTTTTTCATCTTCATTATTAGTTTATTGTTATTATTATGGTTTTTAAGTATATTTCAATAGAACATTTCCAGTAGGTGCTTATTATTAACTAAGTAGATAAATTAAAAATATTACTTTTATTATAGCTTTTTGAATTAAACACTTGGAGAGACAAATTAATTCATATTTGGAGATTCTTGTGTAATAATTCTTAATTACCTTCACAAGCTACAGTTCTTCCTGTAATAACTGGTGTTCTCATGATCATTTATTAGTCTTTATTTTAAACTTCTTTCATTTTATTAGTTGCCTACATAACTGGAGATTTAATGGGTGAATTGGTTAATTGATTTATTCTAAGCATATCGAATTTGGCTGCTCTAATTTAATATATTTGTTTAAATACTGTTCATTTATTTATTAGATTCTAACATTAAGACCTGGTTTATCATCTATATCTCCAATATTTCCATCATCTTCCTATGAAATATTTACAGTTTTCTCGCATAATGCAACAAATTCATATTTCAAAGCATCAACAGCTGTAATTCTTTTCTTAGGAGATGGTTCCAACATATGTTTTAGTAATTCAAAAGCTTATGGTGGTACAATATCAAAAACTGGACTTTTAAAATTGATTTTAGCTTCTTTATTTTATTAGACTATTGTATTATAACTTCTTCCAGGGAATCCAGGCTTTCCAGTTAATAATATATGAAAAACTAATCCAAGAGAATAAATATCACAAACACTATCATAAGTTGTTGTCATATCAGTTATATTGATAACTTCTGGAGCCACAAATCCAGGAGTACCACATCTGCAATAAAGATAAACTGGAAGATTTACAAAAGTAGCTAAACCAAAATCTGCTATCACCACTGAATTGATATCGCTATTATCATTTAATCAATAATAATATTATACTTTTATTCTTTAAATAAAATGTTTTCTAATTTTAGATCTCTATGCATAATATTCTTAGAATGCATATGTGCTAATCCTTCTAAAAGTCCTCTCATTATTGCTTGAATTTATTTGTTTGTTAAAATGACTTTCTTTTTCATTATTTCATATAATTATCCTCCTTATAATAATTCCAATCCCATATATAAAGAATTCTAAGTTTCATAAACTTCATATAATTTCATTATATTAGGATGATCAAGTTCTCTCATTATTGTTATTTCATTAATTAAACCTTCCTATAAATTTATAATTATATTTCAATACTTTTCCATTTTCTTCAGCATAAACTGCACTTTTTGAGAATGCTTTAATTGCCATTTATTATCCATCTTCAATTCTTTCTGCCAAATAAACACTTGCAAAATTTCCCTTTCCTATCTTTTTAAAGACTTTAAACATATGATGAAATCCCATCTAATTGATTTTCTATCCAAAATATTTTCTAAATGTTTTTAAAATCTCTTAATCACCAGTGAAGTCCCAATATTTTTCTGTATTCTCACTTTACAATCTTATATGCAAAATGTCACCTAGAGTTTATACATCTTCAGGTTTGACAATATCAACTCTATTAGAGTGAGGAGTATTAGGAGTAGATTTTTTTTATGATGCATTGGCTTTCAAAACAGGTGCATCTCTAAATATTTCAAATCTTGTAGTAAAATCCAAAGGGAGTAATTTATGAACATGCTTACTTTTGTCCTTTTCAATATAACTTCAATTACTTTGAATAATAATATATGTTTTTCAGTTATTACTAAATGTCTTTCATGTTACTTCTTTCCTAACTTTTTCACTGTGGCTTCAAATTTAGGTTTAGGGAATACAAAATCTTAAGGCACAGATTACCATAATGGTCCTTAACCAACTTATGCTTATTATTATTACATTTAATTAAATATAAAGCAATCTAAATTAGATTTCTCTAAAATTAAGTAAAATCAATTAAATTATATAAATCAAATTAAACTAACATGAATTAAATTGTATTATATCGATTTCTTTCATAATTACAGTCTTTTTTTATTTAAAATTATATTACTTAAACTATTTTCTTAATTTAAATTATATAATTTTTTATTATTTAAGTAATAATCAAAATTATTATTAATACTATTTCTAAGAATACAGATTTAAAAAAAAAGAATTAATATAAATCTAATAAATAAATAAATCTTATATAATATGAGAAAATGGTGAATTACACCAAAAAATGAATAATATTTACTCATCAAATTTGTTATATTGATACTAAATACTCTAATTTAGTGAAAGCTTCTCGAAAAACAGTTTTGTCATCATTTTTGGAAAAGAATTTAATTGTTTTTTAATATCCATCCTATAATTCATAGTATATTTCAAAATATTTTTCTTATTGCTATTTTAAATCTGTAATAGTATTTATTGGAATTCTTTTATATTTTTTTTTCTCTGTCTCTTGAACAAACAATGACCTGATTATATTTGATACCAACTTGGTAATTCTAAATTTTGTCGTTTATTTTTAATTAAATGTATAGTAGAGATCAAAGTAATCTATGCCTAAAATGACATCAATTAACTACCCTTTGTATTTTCTTATCAAATTAAATTCTTAATAACTATATAATAAAGGCAGCTTCTCTACAGTTGTCAATTACATAAAGTTCATAGATAAAAAGCCATATGAATTTGAGCCTCTCATATTTTCATGAATTGTATTATTAAATGTTCTTCCAATATTAGCCATTGATACTTCTTCGGATGATTCTAGAATAATATTTTTTACTCTTTAAATAATAATTAACCAATGAATAGGTAATTAATTAATAGGAAATTTTTCACTTAATTCTCCAGTGTCATAATTAACACATGGAAATTTCAAACTTAGATAATAATCATTTTTTAAATATTTTCTACTTACTTTTCTATTCAATTCTACTAAACAATCTGCCAAAATTCCTTTTTTATCTACTTTAATATGATAAAATATTAATAATTGAGGGTCTTCTATTAATAAAATAATTGATTCAGGATTTGATATAAAAGTTTGTTTAATGGTTTAAAAATCTAAGCCAAAATTAGTTGTAGCAGGTAATAAATCTACAATTTTATAAAATAATTGAGATTCAAGATCTACTTCAGGTCTTTCTAAAGATTCATCTTCTAATATAACACTTTCATTATTAAAATTATCATCATTATTATAAGTATATTTTGTAGGACTTATATCTTAACCAATCAATTTGTATGCTAATGTGAAATTTTAATATTCAAATTTAGTTTTATCACTTTTAGGATCAGAGGCAAATCTTTTTAATGCTAATACAATAAATTCAGCAGCTCTTATGGATTCATCAACTGAAATGATTTATTAATATTATGTTCCAAAGTATTTAACTAGAATTTAGATTGAGAAATTCTATTAATAGATATTTAATTATTTAGTAAATTCTGATTATTTTTAAACTTATGAAGATTTAATTTTCCTTAAGGTTTCCGAATCATTATTATTTGTATCATTCTCATCAATTGCAAAACCAGTTGTAGTAGTTTTGCTTTTTTTATAATTTTATTTTCTGGTTGTTGATGAATATTATTTTTTTGGTGTATAATTAATTTATTGAATTTCTTCTAATTTCTCAAGTTTTATCAATGAAAAATCAACAGGATCTCGTTTATGCTATTAAATAAATGGACTTTCTCCAACAGATTATTATAATACAAACTCTGAAATGTCTGTGTTGCTTGGTAAATTATAATTTTAGTAGTCAATTTATTGGACATTTTCCAATTATTTGGTAAGCCAATCATTATCAATAAATACACTCATTGTATTAGATTGAATTGAGTAAGGAGTTGCTAAAGAGTTATCAATATTGAATAAATTCATAATTGTTATTTATATTTTATATATAAATCCACTAAATATTCTAATTTATTGTATGCATTCATTATAGATTTCTATTGCAAATCTATTTTTGATTTCTCTTAATTTAAATCTATCCCAAAATGAAGCTATTTTCTATAGTTTTGGCTTTTCTCATAAACTATTATCAAATTAAAATCTTTTGTCAATTCAACTTTTTATATTTTATTTAAAGGCAATCTCCTATAATCTTTTTGTATTAATGGCTCTTCAAATAAAATTTAAGAAATTGATTTGCAAAGTTTTCCTAGAGTAAATTATCTTTGTCTCTCTTAGGTGTAAGTATAATACAAATCGAAATAATCAATTCCTAAAATCACATTATTTTTAAATTATTTATCAATTTTTAATAATTAATACTCTTAATACGAATATTAGTTTCGAACTTTATCTACGCTCTCAGACATTTTTCCTTCCTCTTACAAAAATCTATATGATTTATTAGCACTTTTTGAGAATATTGTATCTTTATTAATATTAACAGTAAAACTATCATTACATTATCTTAATGAACGAATGGTTTCATTTTGAAATTTTGAAGTGAGTACCAAATAATGAATCGGTAATTTACTGATAGGCATCTTTAAATTAATTTGTTCCTTACTCATGTGAATACAAGGATATTTTAAAATTAGATTATAATCAGTACTCCTATATTTCTTATTGGCTTTTCTACTTAATTCTATAAATAATTCTTCTACCAATTAATTAGGACGAATTTTGATATGAAATCTACCTTAACTTATAGGTTCCTCTATAAGAATAAGAATATGATTTGGAAGTTATTGATGCAAGATCTTAACCATCTACAAATCAATATCTAACTATTTTTAATCTAATATTGGTACAATATCAACAGATTTATAATAACGCATTGGAGATTCTAAATCAATTTAAATAATTTTATCATCAATATCATCAGCTAATAATGAAATTTCAGCCTATGAAACTGGTTTTTAATCATAATTTATTTCATCTAAACTTTCTCTTCTTGATTTCATCTTGTCTTCAAGAGATCCAAAACTTTTGTATCTTTAGAGTGGTCGACGATATGAAAATTCATCCAAATCCTACTAATCATCCTAACCTTCAATTTAATAGGCTAAACTGTAATTTGGAAATTCATACAAAGATTAATCTAATTTGCTATCATTTTGGAACTATGTTAAAGCTAAAACAATAAATTCTGCAGCCAACATGTCTTATTCAATCACCAGGACTTTTGTTATTGTAGATCGAAAATAACGAACCTGAATTGGTTTCTACTATTACCTTAAATTTGTAAGAAAAATTCCAGAAAAATTAGATCTCTTAACCTTTAATTTTTCAAATGATGTTTCTATAATTTAGTTATTTTTTTTCATAAAATATTTATCAGCCTTTTAAGCATTGTGTTTATGAATTGATTAACCAATCAAAATTGTTGTTTAACATCTCTTTACTAATCTCTTTTTATTTTATGATGCCTTAGTCTATTTTAATTAGGATCCACATATGCTATTAGATTTTTATTCTGAAGTCTAAGCTACTTTTTCTTAGCAATCCTTTTAGATAGAAACTTCAACTTATGATTAATTAGCAGAATCATTATTTTCTTTTTGATTATCTAAATCTAAAAAATTATTTTTCTCTGATTTTAAAGGACTGCTAAATTTAAATTATTAATCTGATTGTGATGATTAAGTATCTGTTTATATAGATATAGACAAAGCAGAGAAATTATAATTTTCCATTATTAAAAATATAATATTAATTTAAGAATGATAAACAAAAGAAATTCAATTTATATTTCAGAGAAATACTTCTCTTGCATTTTATGAAATGATGAAATTTAATAACCAAATTTTAATGAAAATCTAGTTAATAATATGAAATCTATATTCTTAATGATTAATTCTATTAATTATAATTCATATATAGATATTGGTTATTTTACATTCATTTGAAAGTATATTAAAAGATTAGAAAATAATATTTTTTCTTAACAGTATTTATAATTCATAATATAATTAAATTTTAAATTTAAACCAGATGGATAAATACAAAAAAATTAAAGTAGTTGGAAAAGGTATTATGATAAAATAAATCAGGTAGTTTTGGATATGCTCTTTTAGCCTAGGCATTGTCAAATAAGAAAAATTATATAATAAAAGTATCAAATGATTTAAATTAGATGATTGACATATCTAAGATGGACAGAAAATAAAGAGAGGAGGCTTTGAATGAAGTTCATGTATTGAAGGCAATGAGGCATCCCTATATTATTACTTATAGAGAATCATTTATGGAGAAGAAGTATTAATTTTCTTATGAAACTTTTTTCAGATGTTTATGTATTGTAATGGATTATGCGGATGGTGGGGATTTATATGGTAAAATAGCTAAACAAAAAGAAATTGGTATACTCTTTTCAGAAGAACAAATATTAGATTGGTTTGTTCAAATGGCATTGGCTATGAATCACATTCATGAAAGGAAGATTTTGCATCGAGATTTGAAAACTTAAAATATATTTCTTACAAGCAAAAATGATGTGAAAATTGGAGATTTTGGTATTGCTCGTATTTTACAACATACTTATGATTGTGCTAAAACAGCAATAGGAACTCCATATTATTTAAGTCCAGAAATATGCTAAGAAAAACCTTATAATCAAAAATCTGACATTTGGTCACTTGGTTGCATTTTGTATGAATTAACTACTTTAAATCATGCATTCGATGCATTATCTATGAAAGAATTAGTTTTAAAAATATTAAGAGGAACTTATCCTCCAATACCATCACAATATTCTTCTGAATTACAATCATTAATAGCTGATATGTTGATTAAGGATCCATCAAAGAGACCAAGTATAAAGAGAATTTTAGAGAGAGATTTCTTAAAATAAAGAATAGGAAGTTTGCTAGTTTCAACATTGAATAGACATGAATTATAAGAATTAACAGAATTAAAACCTACTGAAAATCTGTAAAATAATTATCTTATTATTAGTTTTATATAACCTTAATAAACTGCATAATAATTTATTTTATAATAAAAACAATTTGAATAAAATAAGATATCTCAAAATTAGAGTTAAAATAATTCACCTATTACTTCAAGATAGATTATTCAAACTGTGGCTAGTAAGAAACCTTCACCTAAAAAGGATAACAGTAAAGTAGAGTTAAAATAATTGTTTAACAGACAAAATTCACCTTTGTAATCAATAAATTAAAATTATTCTATTCAATAATAACAAATTTATTCTTAATAATAATAGTAATAACTATTAGATGAAAAATTTGAAAAACCTCAATCATTTGCTAGTGTAGTTAGTTAGAAAGAAAATTAATAATAATAATAATAATAATAATAATAATAATAATAATAATAATAATAATAATAATAATAATTATAATAATAACCTATTAAATATTAAAATTTAGAATTATTAAATAAATTTTATTTAAAAGACAACACAAATATAGTTAGACTTCAAAGTAAAAGTCCTATTTTGTAGGAATAAAAAAGAAAAGAATCAATAGTAAGTTTAATAAGAGAAGATGACAGTTTTGAGTAATAATAAGGTTATAAGTTCCTTATTAAAGATATGAGAAAGTGTTTGGATAAAAAATAATCAAAAGAAGAAGAAGAATCTATTATTGTTGACAATTTTAAAATAGTTCCTCAGTAATTTTTATTATTAATTATATTTATAGATTTCTTAATTAATAAAAATAATTTTAAGTACCTGGAACCTCTGAAAGAGATACTATTGGCTATAAGATAGAAGCTCTCAGATATTATTTAGAATTGTAAATGGGTTTAGACTCTTTCATAAGAGCCTATCAGACTTTAGAGAATAGTTAAGAAAGCGAATAATTGAAATAAGCAAATTAATTACTAAATTAAGAATAAAGGAAATACATACCATTAATAATCTAATTAATAGTTTGTGAAGATTCATATTATTGATCTATAGTATTCAAATTCAAAAATTATAAGGATTTCTCATTTCAATGATTGTGTACAATTGAAAATATTGTCCTCTTCTTGAATAATAGCTTGTGAGATGTAAAGATTAAGCATTTTCTAAATGGAAATTGAATAAATTATTTACAATTTTCAGTTTTGGATTTATTAACAATCTTTGTCCTTACTTTGAAACTGATACATGTTATTTCAAGGGAATGGGTTTAATGATTTGATTATATAAAGATGATTCTTGAGTTTCTAAAGAAGTGTTTTCAAAATCTTCTATCTAAATTTTGATTAATTTAAAATACCTTAATATATTTTTTGGGTGATGGTTCTAATGATTCATTTGATTTAGCTATATCTGTTAATCTCAATGAATCATATAATTCATCTCTTGTAGGTGTTAAGAATTAAGACATTGTTACTGGTAAAAGGATGATATTATATTAAATAAAAATATAAATAATTTATATGAAACAAACAATATTATAGTATAAGAGAAACAAAAACAATATCCATTAATAATTATGTATAAATAATTAAAGTCACTTCTCAAATGTGAATGTTTCAAATCATAAAGAGCTATTTTAATTTAAATAGATCTATTCAAATATCTAATAATTAGAAGCCAATTAAAAATATAAATAATCTCTTAAGATCCTAAAGTTATTTTTCAGTTTCTAAAGTAAAAATTGTTCAATATTGAAATGAGTTTTTGTGAAAGATTTATCAAAATCGTAAAGATATTTTAATAATATCATATAAATTGGCAGATGTAGAATATTTGAAAAAAAATATAGAATCAGAGAAGATCAAATATAGATCGTCATATATTTATGATAGGAATAGAAATGAATCTTATCGTGAATAGAATAATTATAATAAATTAGGAAATAGATGTTATAAATGAGACTAATTATTAATCCAAAGATGACTAAATTACATTTATAGAGTATAAAATAATTAAAATTATAGACTTACTTTTCAATTGATTATGATTATAAAGCAAATGATATTAGATATATAATGAATAGGGAATAAATTCACCAAATTTAAACAAATAAAATTTTAATGAATCGGATTAAAGTAATTAAAATTTATGATTAATATAAATTTTAATATATTCTAAATAATTATATATATAAATAAAAAATAGAAAATAGTAGAAAATGTCCTTGAAAGACTTTTAGATTTTGTAAGAACTAGGTAAAATTTATAATGAAGTTAGGTGAGGGAGCATATTCAAAAGTGTATAAAGTAAGAAGAATAGCAGATGGTTTTGAATATGCTTTAAAGAAAGTGAAACTACAATCATTATCAGACAAAGAAAAATAAAATGCATTGAATGAAGTTAGAATATTAGCAAGTGTCAGACATGCCAATGTAATTTAATATAAAGAGGCATTTTTAGAAGAATCTACTTAAAGTTTGTGGTATAAATTAATGTTTCTAAATAGTATTGTAATGGAGTATGCAGATGATGGAGATTTATTCTAAAAGATTGTTGAATGTTAGAAAAAGGGAATGTTAATGGCTGAAAAGGATATTTGGAACTACTTTACATAAGTAATTCATCCATCTACTTTAAGATAGTTAAAGGATTGAAGGCATTGCATGACATGAAGATATATCATAGAGATTTGAAATCAGCTAATGTCTTCATGAATGGAGATGGAACTGTTAAATTAGGAGATATGAATGTATCTAAAGTGGCTAAAAAAATACTATTATACACATAAACTGGAACACCATATTATGCATCTCCAGAAGTATGGAAAGATCAACCATATGATTCTAAATCTGATATTTGGTCCTTAGGTTGTGTTCTTTATGAGATGACTACTTTAAAACCTCCATTCAGAGCTGAAGATATGAATGGTCTCTACAAGAAAGTAGTAAGAGGTTATTATCCAAAAATACCAACTATATATAGTTAAGATTTAAGCAATGTTATAAGAGCTTTGCTTTAAGTCTAACCTCATTTGAGACCATCTTGTGATAAAATCTTACAATTATAAGCAATTATCAATAGAATGGATGATAAAGTTCTTATTGAAGAAGAAGGGGCAAAATTCTTATTGTAAACTATTAGAGTTCCTAGAGTAATGCATTATCTCACTGATAGACTACCTAAACCTAATTATGCACCTATTAAAATGATGAGAATTGATAAAAATTAGTTTATACAAACTTTAGCTGTTTAAAAATCAAGCTAAGAAAATGTTGAAGATCCTTTAACTAATTCTAATATTGAACATTTACCAAGGATTGGTCGTAGATTAGATGATTCTTAAATATAATCTTATGATGCTTAATCTGTCATTAGCAAAAAATAAAATAAAGTTGATGAATCATATATGTTACCTAAACCATCACTTGAAATAGCATCTTAGGGTTCTAAAAATAGTGAAAAACTTAATCTTATTCACTAAATTTATGCTGGAAATCCAGTTAAAGCTGTAAAGAAAACGAAAAAACCTATCAAACCAGAAATTCAAATATTATAATAAAAATTAGTATAGAAGAAATTAGATATTGAAGGGGAACCAAAACCTTTACTCATTAAAAAGTATATTATATTTTATAAATTATTAAAGTGTTAAACATTAATAGGAGGAAAAATCTCCATCTCCATTTTTACCTGTTCTTCCTGCTATTTCTAAAGAGAAAAGAATCATGAAAGACAATAATGAAGATGAACAATTAAAAAGGATTAAATAGACTGAAGAATAGATATAATTGTTAAAAGAAAAATAATTAAAATAAAAAAGAAAATATTAACTTAGAAATTCAGAGAAATGATTATTCTTATATTAAAATATCAATTGTAATCATTTATATTATTTTTACTGTTATTTTTGTTTATTAAGAGGTGATAAATATTATCCAATATATTGCATATATGTATTTTTAAGTTATTCTTTTATAGTTGGAGATTAAGATCTTTAAGATTTATTAAATTCAGGAGGAGCTGTTATAGGTTTAGGAGATTAAGATCTTTATTTATTATTAAAATCTGCCTTAATCCCTGAAGGTCTTATATTTTCTAATTCCTCTAGAGCTCTCTTCACTGGACTCATCTCCATATCACAATTACGTTTATAGGTATATCCTTGAAAGTACTTCTTATTTAAATTAGTTCCATTCTTATCTTAATCTGATTCTTCTCTATTATGTATTACATGTTTCCAAGGTTCTTTCTCTTCAAACTTATCAAAATTAGATGTCAACTTTTTTTTATCAGGAATATATGGTGGTTTTTGATTTCTAATATTATTAAAATCAATTCCATTAAAAAAAGGATGCTTTTTAATCTTATTAGCATCACCTAAACGATCATTGACATCTGTCATTAATTTTGTGATTAAATCATAACATTAAGGAGATACTTTTGGATTATTTGGAAATTTGAAATGATTTTTCCATTTTAAAATCTTTTAACATGTTTTTTATGGAGTATCACTATAAAAAGGAGGATATCCAATAACCATTTCAAATAATATTACTCCAATACTCCACCAATCTACTAATTGATTATATCCATTTTATGAAAAAACTTCTGGTGCTATATAATCAGGTGTTCCAACTGTTGAATATGCTAATTATCTTCTTTATTCATTCCTTGATTTCTATTAATCTACAGTATTATTATTCATATTAAATGGAACTGCCATGTCATAATGTTAACCTAAATGTTTACAAAGACCAAAATCTGATAATTTTAAATGACCTTGTGAATCAATTAATATATTATCTGGTTTTAGATCTCTGTGAATATAATTCATATTATGGATTTCTTCTACAGCTAAAACTAATTCAGCTATATAGAATTTTGCATCTCTTTCTGGAATGATATCCTTTTTAATTAATAAAGTCATAAGATCTCCTCCACTTAAAAATTCCATTACCAAATACAAATTTTCATCATCTTGAAATGAAGATTTAAGTTCTACTATCCATTAACATTTTGATTAAACCAAAATATCTCTTTCAGCTCTAACATGTCCTAATTAATTTTTGAATAGCATTTCTTTTTTCTTCATTTTTTTAATTGCCACTATTTCATTTGTGTCTTTTTATTTACAAACCCTTACTTCTCCAAATGCTCCTCTTCCTATTATAGCAATAGATTCAAAATCTTCCACTGTTATTTTTTATCTCCTATAATATTATAAATTCATATTAACTTCTTTCTTAATTGCATTGCTTCCTTATGTTGAATTTCCTTTTTAATCAATTCTTTTTCTATAGGTGTAAAATTTAAATTTTGTAATATTTATTACAATTACTACCAATCTTCCATTTTTTCTTTCTCATTGGTTATTAAACTTTTATATTTTCTTTCAATATAAGATTTACAAGCTGCAACTCTATCTTTTGTTTGATTACTAATTTTGATTTCTGCCATATTAGTATTAATTATAGTATTTATCTGTAAATAAATAAAAATATGTAAATAATTCATAATCTAAACCAAAATGTTGTTTTTGGTTGTAATCCTTTTTATGAATTAGTTGTGAATGATTTAAATTATTTATTGGCATACTTTCTATCCTAAAACTAATATGCATATTATTATAAAGATATTCTATCTAATGATCTACTTGATTATGAATTATTTTTCCTATTATATGACCATCTTTACTCATAATCTCTTTATGATTTACGTTAAGGATATACTGTTTAATAATCAAATAAGATCTAAGGATTTGATGGTTATCTCCTTTGAGTATTTGGTTTTCCCAATTTTAATGTATTTAAATAGCTATCGAAATCCTTTCTTAATTTTGGACTAGAATTTTTAGTATTTAATTTTGTATTAAATAAATGAGTGATCTTCTATTATAAATTTCTTAATTTATCTTATTGAACATCCATTTTATTTTTTAAAAGAAATGATGTTTTAGGAGGTGATATTTTCTTATTTTGAATAAAAGTATCTAAATAATTCAATTAATGATATTATTATTTAGGAGGTGAATAATTTTATGTGAATTAATTAATTTGGAAATCCCCTTAAATATTGATATACTTTTTAGGTGAAGTACCTGAAGCATTAGATTTAAATAGTTCTGAAAATTATTAAGCTGATTTTTATCCAGAAGAATTGAAAACTTAATCTTCTATTTTTACATAACTTTTTTTCTCTTAAAATTTTTACTGATTTTAAGCCTGTTATATTTATTCATCAACTTAGTTCCAATTCCTTTCAAATTCTTCCAAATTAATAGCACCTGTTTTTGAAACATTCAAATATTCAAATAATTATTAGATTACTCTATTATCATACAAATTATATACTCTTCTGATTATATGCCATGATTTTATATTAACTCTAATTTAAGATCATCTAATTCAATTTTTTAAGAATCATTAAAATCCATATCAACAAAAGCAGCACTTATTTTTGCATACTTTTTTTGAAGATTACCTCTTATATTTTTCCAAAGGTTTTGTAATTCAATTTAATCCATAATAAAATTTTATTTCTATTTTAATTATTCAAGTAAATTAGAAAATTGTTTACTGATGAAATTGTATTGAACTTTTACATTGTTTATAATATTCAAACATAAGATTTTACATGAATCTCACTATATTTTAACAACAATAATGTTAACTATTTACAATAATATATAGATTCATAATCATTGGTTCTAACTTTTGATTATGGAAAAACAGATTTTAATTATGCTTTTATTTAATTATTATAAGATAAATAAAATTAAATAATTACCATCGTCTTTCTTTATTCAACAATGGAAATTATACCAGTCGAAACTAAAAAACGAATTCATGAGTTTTCTTATGCATAAAAAGTGTCTAATCAAATGTCTCCTGATAAATCACATATAAAACTTAATGAATCCTTATTTAAAGCATAAATACTGGAAAAATAATCTTGCACATTAATCAGAAATATTTAAAAAGACCTTATGATGAAAATCAAAAAATACGATTCTCTATTAAAGAAAAGCAATACATAAAAAAATATATCAAGCTCCTAACCAACCTCACCTCCAATTTGGAAAAAATAAGAAGAATTTTAAGAAGAATATTAAGAAGACACTTAACTGTAAAATCAAATTAAACCTAGAGGAGAAAAACTATTAACTGAAATTGTTCATTAAACTATTCCAAATGATATTCGAAAGGAATCTTTTCCTATTAAAAAATTAGATGTTAAATTATCTAATTTTTAAGAAGAAAAGGCTTTATTTTCTTCTTAAGATATTTCTCCTATCAAATAAGAATAAAATAATAATAAACTATACTTAAGAAGAAACACTACCTAAAATACAGCAACACCTAAATAAAAAAAATCATCTGTCACAGATTTTTTAGGTAGCTATGCTAAACTTCATGTAAGTAAATCAACTTCTACAAAGAAGCCTAATTTAATCGAATCTAAAAATTAAGTTTTAACTACAAAAGAAACAAAAGAGATAAAATAAAATGATAATAAGAAACTTTAATCAACTAATAAAAAATAAAGTGAAACTACAGATTATACATTTAGACAAAAAAAAATTGAAATCCCTGTTGATAAGTAAAATAGAATAAAGAAAAATTAAAAGTAGAAATAGAGTGTTGATCTTTGTGTCAATACAGATTTGAAGGAAATTATTCACATCATTAATGACTTAGATTTATTTAATAATAGATTAAAAAAGAAGTTATGATGAGAATTAATTTTTGAATATAGACTATGTATTTATTAAATGATAAATCTTTATTTAATTTACTTTAAAGCCTATTATAAATATCATTTATGAAGTAATAATTCTTTTTATTTGAGAATTGCATATTCTGAAACAATTTATTTCAACCATTTCCAAACCTATTTTAATTAAGGTTTTGTTGGGAATTAAACTTTTTGATGAAAGCTCATAAACATTTAAATTAGAGATTCAATGAATTTCTATTCAGAAGTTCTCTTTAAGCTAATAATTAATAATTAAGATTTACGGTTCTTAATTTTAGCATTCAACCTTGGATATATCCTATTCTAATTTTAAGATTTCCTTTCTTAATTCTATATTTTGTTTCTATAAAATTCCATTATTAATTAATTCTTAGTGATGCTTTTCACTAATTATTTGCAATTCTATGAGCAACTCCTCTTATTTTTATTTTTGCTTTTTATTTTATTAATTCTTCTCATCAATTTGTTTTTGAAAACTAATAAGTTATTCTTCTATATTTTAAATTTATTCTGCCATCTTTTTTAATTATACATCTTATAATTAGCAATTTGAACATTTAGTAACATGTTTTGACCTGGCAAAAGTAACTTTCTTTTAATGAAAGTTTTCACCTGTTTAACTTGCAGTTGGTTGAGAACATACACTTCCTTCAGGGTCTGCATCTTTATAATTCATGAGCAATCAATTAAAATTTAATAAAGATTAATATATTTATACTAAAGAAGTCTAAAAAATATCATTATTTTTTTGAGTTCTTAATTCAAGTACAAATATTATATATTAAAATTAAAATAGTAACAAAAAATCAAATGTAATTCATTTTAGATGCTAAATCATCTTTAGTCATAGCATCTTTACCCTTGCTTGCATCTTATATAAATTCAAGTATATCTGAATCACTAATTTAAAGATCAAGATATTAAGCAAAGACATTTTTAATTTCAGACAAACCAATTTTACGATCTCTACATAATAAATAGTTATTTTACTTTTTAACAAATAATTCATAGATTTCATCTATCTCTTCATCTCTGCCTTTATTTTCAAACCATCTTCTTTAAATTAAATTTATAACATCCTTCAATGAAAAACTATCTCTTTACCTATAATTCAAATAAAATAAAATTATACTCATCAACTACATCATGAATTTCCTCCTCTATATCCTTTACAGTTTTATTGATAAAAGCAAAATTCCCTAAAATTGATCTTAAGTTTTATCGATTAATATAACCTGATTTTTAAGGATCATAAAAATTAAAACAATCTCTAATTTCAGATTCCTAATTTCAAATTAGATTCATACCATATCATCTGGAAGTTTTTAAATAACTTATTATTTTGAACTTTTTGTATTGTTTTTAGGGTTTTACTGTGGCTATTACTTTTTTTTATCAAGTTTCATTTGGTGAAATAATTCAAAAAATTAACTAATTAATGAAAAATTTAATTTAAGTTGAGAAGGCAATATAAGTATTTAAAAAACATATAAGTTCTATTTTTAAATCAAATTGGTTTATCTATAAGAATTATAGAGTAAATTTAGTAAGAAATGTTGTAGTTGAATATTTAATTATAATTTATGAATATTAATATTAAAGTAGAAATTAATTATAGTAATGAATTAGTTGCTACAATTATAATACATATCATTATGCTCAAGAGTGCTATAAGAATTAGAGAATCATACAGGAATAAAGGATAAGGTGTTGGCTGAATATATTATTGATTTAGGTAGATAAAGTAAAGATGAAAAGGAATTTAAATAAAAATTGGATGCTGCAAAAGCTGATTTTACAGATCAATTTACAAATTCTTTATTTAATATCATTAAGAAGATGTCTCCTTAAGAAAAAAAGTAAGTTGAACAGCCACCATAAATAGAATAGGTAGTGAAAGAATAGAAATTTCCCGGATTGGCATTACCAAATCGTGAAGTAGTTTAATTAGAGGATATGGAAGAGTAATCACGATCAAGGTCATTATCAAAAAATAAGAAGAAAAAGAAGGATAAGAAAAACAAGAAGGATAAAAATAAGGATAAGGATAAAGATAAAGAAAAAGAGAGAGAAAAAGAAAAAGAGAAGGAGAAAAAAGATAAGAAAGAATCATCTCCATCACCTTAGAGAACTCATAGAGATATAGAGAAAGGACATATATATGAGGGTGTAGTAACAAAGGTGCAGGATTTTGGAGTTTTTGTTTAAATAGCAGGTTTTAAAGGTAGAAAGGAAGGATTAGTCCATATATCAAATATAAGAGAAAAAAGAGTGACGAATCCTTTTGATATTTTGAAAAGGAATTAGAAAGTGTTTGTGAAGGTGATTAGTATTGTGAATGAAAAGATTGCATTGTCGATGAGAGATGTGGATTAAAATACTGGTTAGGAGATAGAAAAGAAAGCTAAGGCAATGAATGAATATGATCAAGTGATAAAATAATAGGAGTAGAGTAAGGATAATAATAGATATGGAGCAATAACAGGTGTAAAATTAGATGTGGCATAAGATGCTTGTAAAAAGAAAGCAAAAAGAATAGCATCTCCAGATTTATGGGAAAAGACTAGATTGGAATATAATTCTAAATTGGTTCGTTAAATAGACAATAAAGCTATTGTAGAAGATTCAGAATCAGAAGGTTTCGTATCAGATTCAGAAGATTTAGAAATAGATATGAATGATTATGAACCTCCATTTTTAAAAGGATAAACAACTAAAGCAGGAATAAATTTATCACCAATAAGAGTTGTTAAAAATCCAGAAGGTACTTTATAAAGAGAAGCCTTACATGCTTAATAATTGGCAAGAGAAAGAAGAGAAATGAGAGAATAATAATAAAGAGCAATAAATGAATAGAATAGAGACAAATACAGAGAGGATCCTTTAGCTTAGATTTCAGGGAATATGAATTAAATGTAAGTAGAAATTCCTGAATGGAAAAAAGAAGCCATGTTCAAATCAAGTGTAAGAAATAGAACACATATGAGTATTAAAGAATGGAGAGAATCTTTACCAATTTATAATTTTAAGAATGAATTATTAGCTGCTATAAAAGAGAATCGAATTCTAATAGTAATTGGAGAAACAGGTAGTGGAAAAACAACTTAGATTACATAATATTTAATGGAGGCTGGATATGGTAGAAATGGAATGAAAATTGGTTGCACTTAACCTAGAAGAGTTGCAGCAATGTCTGTTGCAAAAAGAGTGGCTGAAGAAATGGGAATATAACTAGGAGATGAAGTTGGTTATGCTATTAGATTTGAAGATTGCACTGGTCCTAATACAATAATTAAATATATGACAGATGGAATGTTATTAAGAGAAGCATTAATAGATAAAGATATGAGTCAATATAGTGTTATAATGTTAGATGAGGCACATGAAAGAACTATTAATACTGATGTGTTATTTGGATTATTAAAATAAGTGGTTGCTAAAAGAAATGATTTCACATTAATTGTAACATCAGCCACTTTGGATGCTGAAAAGTTTTCATCTTATTTTTTTAATTGTAAAATATTTAGAATTCCAGGACGTAATTTTCCTGTTGAAGTGTTTTTCACAAATGAACCTGAAGAAGACTATTTAGAAGCTGCTTAATTATGTGTGATATAAATTCATTTAGAAGAACCAGCTGGTGATATCCTTTTATTTTTAACAGGATAAGAAGAAATAGATACAGCATGTTAAGTGCTTCATGAGAGAATGAAGAAATTAGGTCCAGATGCTCCTGAATTGATTATTTTACCAGTTTATTCTGCTTTACCTACAGAATTACAATAAAAGATTTTTGATCCTGCCCCTACAGGAGCTAGAAAAATTGTTATAGCTACAAATATTGCTGAAGCATCTATTACTATTGATGGAATTTATTATGTTGTTGATCCAGGATTCTCTAAAATCAAGGTATATAATCCTAAATTGGGTATGGATTCCTTAATTATTGCTCCAATAAGTTAGGCATCTGCTTAATAAAGAGCTGGTAGAGCAGGAAGAACTGGACCAGGAAAATGTTATAGATTGTATACTGAATAAGCTTTTAATACAGAAATGTTACCTACTTCAGTACCTGAAATATAGAGAACTAATTTGGCAAATACTATTTTATTATTAAAAGCTATGGGAATACATGATCTTTTGAATTTTGACTTTATGGATCCTCCACCTGTATAAACAATGATTGCAGCTATGGAATAATTGTATGCATTAGGAGCTTTAGATGATGAAGGATTGTTAACAAAGGTAGGTAGAAAGATGGCAGAATTTCCTTTAGAACCACCTTAAGCTAAAATGCTATTGACTGCAGTTGATTTGGGATGTGTAGATGAAATCATTACAATTATTGCAATGTTGTCAGAACCTAATATCTTCTATAGACCTAAAGATAGATAATAATTAGCAGATTAGAAAAAGGCCAGATTTCATAGACCAGAAGGTGATCATTTAACATTGTTAACAGTTTATGAGCATTGGAAGAAAAACAATTTTAGTAATGTTTGGTGTCATGAGAATTATATCTAAGCAAGATCTATGAGGAGAGCTTAAGATGTTAGAAAATAATTATTATAAATTATGGAAAGATACAAATTCTAAATTACTTCTTGTGGTAAAGACTTTTGGAAAATTAGGAAAGCTATAACAGCAGGTTATTTCTTTCATGTTGCTAAAAAAGTATTATATATTCTTAATTTTAGGATTAAGCTGAAGGTTATAAGACTCTATCTGATAATTAATAAGTTTATATCCATCCTAGTAGTGCATTGTTCAATAAAGGACCTTTATGGTGTGTTTATCATGAGTTAGTCATGACATCAAAAGAATATATGAGGGAAGTATGTGAAATAGGTATATTATAATAATAATAACATTCTTTTAGAACCTAGATGGCTTATTGAGGTGGCTGAAAATTATTTCAAGGCTCACAATCAAATGGGATAACTTTCAAAAACAAAGAAATCAGAGAAACTCGATCCATTAAGTTGCAAATTTGGAGATGCAAATGCATGGAGACTAAGTAAGCGTAAAGGTTGATATTAAATTATTATAATTAATATTATTTATTTCATGCTCAATATCCCATGTATAAATTCTTAAATAAATAGAACAAAGTGACTATCCTTAATTCCCTTATAATGGCAGAAGAGTGAGTCATTTGGTTTTGTAATAGAGTACAACTGCAAAATATAAAAAACGCTAAGTATTAGAATTAAAGAGAAAAAAAGAGAAGAAAAATTCATTAATACATTGTTTTCGCTTATTAAAGAGTTAAACAGATGACTATAATTTCAATTAAATCCCAACAGAAAAGTAAATCTAAAGCAAGAAAATTATAAATTTAAAACCATTGAAGAATGTAATTGAAAAAATAGCTTTGATGAGATAATAAGATTAACCAAGAAGAAAATCAGCATATGGAGATATATTTGGTGAAATGACAGCAAAATAATTTTCAAATCAACCAATTGTAATTTAACAACATCGTTAAATTGATGGTTAAAGGTTTGCTTTGACAAGTTTTGCTGGTATCTTAGAAAGAAAAAAATAAAAAAGAACTACAAGAAAGCCTAGTTTACTAAGGAGACTAACTAAATAGGATACAATTGTTGGTAGTTATCCCTATTAACTTTAGAATATGATAACATGGAAAGACCTCCTTCATGTAAAACTCCTCCTCCTAAATAAATTATAATTAAATCAATTCATAAAACTTAATTAGAACTAGAAAAAGAAAAATACTTAAAAATTTAAGATTTTAAGATGATTTAATTTTTAAATGGAAAATCTGAATAATTAAAAGTGTTAACAAATGGTATTAAAACTCTCCCTCATAATCTCTAAACAACAACTCAACAATCTTCTTCCATTATTGCCAATCATAGAATTTCAGGATTAATTCCAACACTCCCTATCAATAAAATTAGCAGATGTATAACAAATCCTTTTGAAAATAAAATCGGTCTTCAATTAAGTAGTCGATCAATGAATCATTAAAATACCCCTTATCTCAAATAAAATTTAATACTCACAAAATAAATACAAATAGAACTCAAAAATTTATCTCAACCTTTATAACGATTAAGTTATCATTTATGATTATATGATGTTAATTAATTTTTATAGTATATTATTTATACATTTAAAATTCAATTATTCTTTCATTCAATAAATGATTATTGAATAAACATTTATTTTTTTCTCTGTTATAGAATTTAGTAAATAGATTAAATCATTTATTTTCTCTGTCTAAATATAAATAATTTAAAATTTTTAAAGTAGTTTGACTTTTATTTTTATTATAAGCAATCTAATTTTTGATTTGTTATTCTTTATAGATTATATATTCTTCATAAGATTCCTTTAATTATAATTGTACTATTTTAGTAATTTAGTTTTCTTTAAAGTTTATAAGAAGTATCTTTATTTTTTTATTATAATTTATTATTTTATGATTTAGAATTGTAAGATTGTTAATGAAATTTTGGAATTAAAAATTAAGTATCTCAATTAAGATAAGAATGAATTGAAATGACATTATCTAAAAATAATTCAATTTTATTTCTTCATAGTTGATATATCTTTTTTTTTAAATTTTTATTATTATAATCAGAAAAATGATCATTTACGATCAGAAATTATTAGTTATTTTTAATATATCCAACCAACTTTTTAATAATTTATTAATTAAAATGATATCAAAAGATAATTACACATGTCCAATTTGTTTAGGTATTTTTGTAGATCCTTGCAAATTACCATGTAACCACACTTTTTGTTTACCTTGCCTACTTGAATTAGTTGATTTCAATTTTATTCAATATAAGTGTCCAATGTGTCGAAATGAATTTATGAATAATAATGGTCCTTTTAAAATTGATTAAGAAATTTAAACCTTTATTTAAACTCATTTCAAAGAAGAATTTGAAAAAAGATAATAGGAAATTATGATAAGTTAAAAGGAAAAATAAAAAGAAATGAAAATAAGAGTCAATTATGGCAATACTTATGATTATATTGAAGAAGAAAAAAATAATAAACACTTATGGTCAGTTTATGTAACCCTGGATTATATTAATTAATATGATTAAACTACTTTAAACTAAATAAAATTAATAGATTTAATTGACAGCGTTACATTTTATTTGGATGAAACATTTTATCCAGATTTTGTTGTTGTTAGACATCCACCATTTAAAATTACACGAAAAGGTTGGGATGTTTTTAGTATACCAATAGAAATCACTTTTAAAAAATAATATGAACTTAATCCTATTAAGTTAGAACATCATCTTGTTTTTCAATAAAATGGGATTCTTAAATGTTAAATAAGCAAAATTAATGCAGAAAATATTAAAAAATAATTAGATTTTTAAAATCAATAAAAATAGAATGCAGTATAAAATAAAAAAGTTTGGAAAATATGATTTTCATATTGAATCTTTATATAATATTAATAATATTATAAAAATTTATTAATTTAAAATAAGAATGATCCATAACTATTATCAAAATAATCAATATGCTTTTTTCAAGAAACATGTTTTTTAAACAATTTCTATTTTTATTATTCTTTAAATTCTTTGATTTTTTTATCAAAAATACTTAATTATCTCATTTACTTTTCCTTTTCTTCTTCATCTTCAAGTTTTTGTTAATATTAAAAATTGAAGTTATATATATAATCTGCTGATTGTTCAGTCATTTTGTGGCTTTTAACTTTTTCAATATCAACTTAGATACCCTTGTCTTCAGTTATTAATTTATGTGAAATTCTTTGTTTTTTTGAACTGATATTTTTGTTTCCATTTTACTTAACTTTAATTTAAGGTTGATCAATGGATAGGTTACTCTTGAAATAATTTATATCCATTTTTTAAATATCTTAGCTGCGAGTTGAAAATTGGGCAGGTACATTTAATATAGATTATTCTTTTTAATGTTCTTTGATGGCTGGTAAAGATAATGGTTTTTTATCTGTGTGTATGCCTTATATTAATGACTTATTCTGAGCCAATAAATGTTAGTATGACTCAAATATTCCTTATTTCTTCTTAAATCCTTTTGTCTTATATTCATTCAGGTATCTTGGAATATAGATGTCCTTTTATTTAACAATATATTCAGGTCTTTCAACTGAATCAATAGTTTAGATTAAAGGATTATATATTTGTATAGGAGGTAATTTTTTAGTTATGTAATATGTTGGTTTATCATTTTGGATTAATACATCTTAATGTAAGGGACTATTAAATTATCGATTGTTTGGGAGATGACTTTAACTCTCATACCTCATTATATCCTTTCCTCTCTTAGTAGGTTAAGGATCTCTATTCTCAAGAAATTTAAGCATTTATTATTTTAAATTATGAAATTGTACATTGAAATTAAAAGGAGTAGGCAAGATTGGATTATAAAGTAGAAGAGACAGTATTTCAAAATTATATAGAGATTATCTGTTTGATTGAAAGTATATTATTAATTATAATATTAATTAATTGAATGAGTTAAAAGAGATTGCCTTCGGTATTTGAAATATTTTATATTAAGGGCAAATAAGATAGACACATTTAGGCAATAAAGAAATATTAAGAATATGAAAATAGTAAGACAAGTTAAGCTAAATTGAATGACATGATAAAAGTGAATTGAAATTTAATTATTAGGGGACAAAAACAATTTAATTATTACCAAAGCCAGGAGAGTTTGTAACAGTAGCATCAGACAAATAATCAAATTAATAGCCATATATGGATATTCCAATAAAGGATTTATTAGATGGCACTAAAACATTTACAGAATTGAAACTGCAAAGCATAGAAAGATAGGCTTAGAGATAGATGAAGAAACCTAGGGAAAAGGATAGATTTGATGAAGGAGTTTTGAGAAGAGATGATTTGAAACCACCATAAAGTGAATTAGATGAAGTATTGATATATGTAATAAAATTAAGTTTGGAGTGGAAAGAGGAGTCTAACCAAAATTCACTTAAAACATAAGAGAAATTATGAAAAATTAGCATAAAGAGATGTTGGCTCCTGCTGAATAATTGATTAAAGATTTATAAGAGAAAAGATTACCTTAAATATAACATTCCCATTCTTAAAAGATTGTTCGTCCAATATCAGCAAATTTTGTAATTAAGGCATTGAACATTGGAGAAGAGAAGTTAGAAAATTCTAAAGGAATATAATAATAGTTATTTAGGACTAAAAGAAGTTAATTATAATCTGCAAAGCCTAGAAATTTGTATATGCCCTATTTTCCAGAAGAAATTAAACATTTGACTGGATATCAAACTATTAAATTGAAAGCTGATGATTTTATATAAACATACACAGAGGAATATATGAAAGAAAAAGAAGAAAAGATGTTGAAGAAACACTTTTAAGTTTCTGCTGTTGATCCAAGATTACAATCACCTTATATGAGAGTAATAATATTATTAATAATAATAGGTTAATCCTAATACAGAATAAATCATTAGAGAAAAGCAGGATGAATTAGGAGAATTAGAATTAACTAAATATAGGGAAAGATTATTTATGGCATAACCTTATGAAATGAAATAAATATTTTTACCTTTAGATTACTATTATATGGAGGATGAGACAGGTGATGAGTTAATTGAATAATATAAGGAGAAAGATGGTAAATGTTTTGGATTTTCAAAATGGTTTGATACAAGTGGAAATTTTACTTGGGAGGAATGTTTAATTGAAAAATATATATATGATACTGATATGTATGAGATAAGATTTATAAAATACAATAAGACTAAATAGGTAACAAGAGTTAATCTTAGATTTAAAAGAGAATGTGAAGCTTATTTTAATCAATAATTGGAGATAGCAGATTATTATAGAAAAAGAAGTGAAGTGTTTATTAAGTATAATTATATGATAGATAAAATGGATGATCCAACTTCATAGATCTAAGAAGATTAATTAATGAGAATACAATTATTTGCAATGGGAATTTATTTTAAATTGGGATCTATTAGAGATCCTATTGCATTTTATAAATTAGATCCATCAATTAAATTTAATTTTAAAAGATATTTAATTCCAAAATAATTAAGTAGAATAGATTTATGTCCAAAAGAATTATGTAAGATGAAGAAATATAGATATGATTTATTGATTGAACTTTCAGAAGAAGTTAAAAAACAATTTATTAGAGCAAATCATGAAATTTAATTTAAAAGAATGTTGCCTTATCATGAAGAAAAGAAAGCCATCTTTAAAGGCTATTTACCTGAAGAATTTTTTGAACCAAAATATGTAGAAGCTAGATTTCCATCCTATGGTATAGGGTAACAAAAGTTCATTGAATTGTTTACATAAATGAAAAAGAATCTCCATTAAGCTGTTTAAGAGAAAAATAAGGCTTTATAAGATGCTAACATTAATTTAATTAAGTTGGAAGAATAACACCTATTTTGTCAAAACTATCTTGAACCTTAAGATCTTCATGAATTAGATAAGGATATGAAATTTAAAATTGGTGATGCTATCAGAGATTTAAAAACTAGAATGTATGATGTACATTATTTAATTATGGAAATGATCGAGGTTGAAGTTAAACAACTTAAAGTAATAGAAGAGGAAAGATTAAGATTAATTGTTCTTGAAGCTGAAAGACTTAAAATTTAAGAACAGGGTTTAATGAGTGAGACACTAAAACTATTATAATAGTTTTAAAAATTGATTAATATTAAATTTGAACGATCTGGATTAGAAATGTGGTAAAGAAGCATAACAAGATTTATATCATATATTAAAATCGATGTTGATCCAAATGTACCTCCTTTACAATAAATTTATCAATATGCAAAAGATAGAGAATATAGAATCTTTAATGATAATTTACTAATCAATATAGAAATCAAAATATAAGGTCTTTAATTGATTCTTGAACCTAATCCTGAAGAAATTAAGAGATCATTAAATAATTATGTTTGGTTAGCAATCAAAGAATTGACTACTGTACCTTGTATGAGAAGTAGAGAAATAGAATCAGCAAGAGAAGATATGATTATGCATATTTTTACTGGCATAGATGATATTGAAATACTAAATAATAAATAAATTGTTCAATAATATTTAGATTTAAATTTTAATCTGTTTAATGTATACTTTGAGAAATTAAATGAATTTGAATCTATTTTGGATTATGATATTGAAAAGAGATTAAAGAAAGGATCTTTTGAAGAATATGCTAAGGAGTTAGAGAAATTAATTATGATTAGAGAAGATATGTAAAAATATATGTTTAAAAAAAAATTGAAATTAGGATTTTATTATTTGAATGTAGAACAATATTAATAATTATGTGAGGATAGATTAAAGAAAGCCTCTGATAGTTTGTATGAAAATTTAATTTAAAAGATTACTAAAGAAAATTTAAAGATTGAAGGTGAGATTAAATAAATGATATAAAAATTAACAGAGGAGCCTAAAAATCTAGAAGAAATGGATGCTTTGAGAACATATGCTAAAGATTAATTGAAAGAGGAACTAATGATAATGAGTAAGAAAATAAATAAAGTAATGGAAAAGATGACTTTAATGGAGAAGATGAATTATAAGATAAGTTATTAGAATTTTGAAAAGACTTGGAATATTTATGGTATGCCATTAAAATTGATGAGAAAACAAGAAAAATGTTTGAAAAGATTGTAAAACAATGAAAAGAAATTCTAAGAAGATTTGATGACATAATAGGGAGAGTTGATTGGGGAAATAAATTATATTAGTAAAGAATTAAATGAATTGATTAATGAAGAAGATATTCATTAAATAAATTAAATAGCGAATAGGTTTGCAGATTTAGGGGAGAAGATGGAAAGAGCAATAGAAGAGGCAGAGATAATTAATAGGAGAGAAGCTATATTGAAATGGAAATTGACTGATTATTAAGAAGTAGATAAAATTAAGAAACTATTCACTCCATATTATAAAGTATGGGCATTGGGTAGAGATTATTATTTTAAAATTCCACCAGCTTTGAGTGGACCATTAATAAATATAGACAGAGATTAATTAACTTAGGATGTAACAGAGGCATGGACTGAGTTATTTAAATTAGAGAAAACTATATTTAAAATAATCCCTCATATGTATTAAGTTACTATGGCTATAAGAAAATTGTATGAAGATTTCAAACCTTATTTACCATTAATTAATGATTTAAGAAATCCAGCTTTAAAGAAATAGCATTGGGCTAGTTTAACATCATTATTAAAATTAGATGATGATCCTAATTTCTCATTAAATACTCTATTAGAAAAAGGAGTGATGGATTTGAAGGAGGAGATAAGAGAAATAAGTGAAACTGCATCTAAATAGAGTTCATTTGAAAGATCAATAAATAAGATGAAGAGTGAATGGAAGAATATTAAATTTGAATTAATTTTATTTAGAGATACTGAGACATACATATTAAAAAGTGTTGAGCCTATTTTAGATAAATTAGATGAAGATATAACTAAGATGATAAGTATAGCAAGTTCTCCATTTGTGGCATTTTTATTACAGGAAGTAAATTCTTGGAAAGCCTAATTATTTAGAGCATAAGAGATGATTGAATTATGGTGTAAAACACAAAAATCATGGTAGTACTTATAACCAATCTTTTATTCTGAAGATATTATAAGAGAAATGCCTAAAGAAGGTAATAAATATTCAGTAGTTGATAAAATGTGGAGAGCATTAATGTTAGCTACATTCTAATAACCCTTAGTAATGGAAGCATGTTTCCAAAATAGAATGAAAGAGAACTTTGTATTTATGATTGAATAATTGGATTAAGTGATTAAAAGTTTAAATGATTTTTTAAATAAAAAGAGAACTGCTTTTCCTAGATTCTTCTTTTTATCTAATGAGGAACTTCTATAGATATTAGCATAAGCAAGAGAACCTAGAGCTGTACAAAGACATTTATAGAAATGCTTTGAAGGGATAAATGAAATTACTTTTTAAGAAAATATGTTGATAACTCATATGATTAGTAGCTCATAAGAAATAATAAAGTTGATAACTGATGTTAATCCATTAAATTCAGAGCAAGCAGTAAGAGGAGTTGAAGATTGGTTATATGAAGTGTAATAGTCTATGAAATTAACAATTAAAACTTTGATTCCTTAAAGTGTTTAAATAGTTTCTACTAATACATTAGATAAATCTATAGTGTAGATTCCTGCTTAATTATGTGTTTTAGCTCATGAGATAATATTTACTAATATGGTTACTTAATTTATTACTGATTATGAAAAGGATGCAACTTCTATTGATAAATGCATTTAATAAGCTAATAAAGTATTGATGAGTACAGTTTAATTATTGCATCATGAAATATCAAATGAAAATCATTTATAAGCATTGGGTGTTTTAATAGTTTTATAAGTTAAATAAAAGGATATAACATAGGAATTAAAAAGTAAGAATGTAAGAAGAGTGGATGATTTTGAATGGATGTCATAATTAAGATATTATTTGGAAAAAGATGTAATTGTTAAAATGCTTCATACTTAAAGGATTTATGGTTATGAATATTTGGGTAATTAATCAAGATTGGTTATTACACCATTGACTGATAGATGTTATAGGACATTGATGGCAGCATTACATATGAATTTAGGTGGTGCTCCTGAAGGTCCAGCAGGTACAGGAAAGACTGAAACAACAAAAGATTTAGCTAAAGCAATGGCCAAACATTGTGTTGTGTTTAATTGTTCAGATTCATTAGATTATTTAGCAATGGGAAAGTTCTTTAAAGGATTAGTGAGTTGTGGTTCATGGGCATGTTTTGATGAGTTCAATAGAATTGAATTAGAAGTTCTTTCAGTTATAGCATAATAGATCTTAGTAATATAAACAGCTATAGTAAGAGACAATTCATAGAAAGTTCCTTCTAGAGTGTTTTAATTTGAAGGACAATAATTAACATTGGATTCAACTTGTGCAATATTTATAACAATGAATCCTGGATATTAAGGAAGAAGTGAATTACCAGATAATTTAAAGGCTTTATTTAGAAGTGTTGCTATGATGATTCCAAATTATGCTATGATTACAGAAATATCTTTGTATTCTTATGGATTCACAGAAGCTAGAGAATTAAGTATTAAAATAACAACATCTTTGAAATTGGCATCTGAATAATTATCTACTTAATCTCATTATGATTTTGGAATGAGAGCAGTAAAATCAATTATTTTAGCTGCAGGTAAATTAAAAAGAGAAACAAATACAAGTGATGAAATCATAGTATTAAGAGCTATTGAAGATTGCAATTTGCCAAAATTTACATAAAAAGATGTACCATTATTCAAAGCAATAATTTCGGATTTATTCCCAGATATTTAACCAGAAGAGAGACAATATGGTGAATTGGGTAAATTGATAATGTAATAAATTGAATCTATGAGTCTTACTTATAATGATAGATTTTATACAAAGATTATTTAATTATATGAAACAGTGAATGTAAGACATGGTTTAATGGTTGTAGGTGGTACAATATCTGGAAAAACAACAATAATTAATATTTTATCAAAAAGTTTACAAACTCATATTTATGGATTGAATCCAAAATCAATAACATCAAAACTATTATATGGAGATGTTGATATGGCAACAAATGAATGGTAAGATGGAATTACTGCTGTGATTTTTAGAGAATGTATTGAGAAAGAAGGTAAGAACTGGGTATTGTTTGATGGTCCTGTTGATGCATTATGGATTGAAAATATGAATACTGTTTTAGATGATAATAAGAAGTTATGTTTGACAAATGGTGAAACTATAAAATTAACAGAGTAGATGAGAATTATTTTTGAAGTAGAGGATTTAGCTGAAGCATCTCCTGCCACAGTTAGTCGTTGTGGTATGGTTTATTTAGAACCTTAAGAGATTGGATGGTAATCATTAATATAAGTATGGAAAAGTCATTTGACTCCTAATTTTTAGGAACCATAATATGTAGAATTATTTCATTAATTATATTAATAATTAGAAGATGTCTTTGAAGAGATTAAATATAAATAATTAATTTATACAGCATCATAAGAATTATTAGCCTCTAGTTGTTTAAAATTATTTTTTGCTTTTCTTTTAAAGAATAAAACTAAAGATTAATTGCTATCTGATATTGAAATGGAAAATCTTAAGGAATAGTCAAGATTAAGAGCTTTGTAAATGGAAGGTAAAGAAATTAATAATGTAAAGAAGATTAAGTAATTAAATGATAAAGAGAAATTTGAAGTCATAAGTTTCTTTTTTATTTCAGTTGTATGGTCTATTGGAACTATGTTGGATGTAAATTATAGAAAATAATTCAATCAATTGATTCGATAAAAATTAGAATCTAATTTGGAGGCAAATTAATAACCACCAAAAGAATTATCTGTTTATGAAATATATTTTGATGTAGATAAAAAAAATTGGTTGATGTGGAATCAAAAATTAGATTTCCATATTCCAAAAGGAACAGCTTTTCATGAAATCTATGTACCAACTGCAGAATCTGCAAGTGTTTAAGGTTTATTAAGAGTATTTTTAAATAAATAGTTACCTGTTTTATTATATGGAAGAACAGGAACTGGGAAAACAATGTTAATAAAGAAAGTATTATTAGATGAATTAGATTAAAGTAAATTCATTCCAACAATAACAGCATTTTCTGCTACTACTAATAGTGGATAAGTGTAAGATATTTTAGAATCAAAATTGGAAAAATAGAAAAGAAGAAAAGGTATTTATGGACCTGAGATTGGTAAATGTAATATAATTTATATTGATGATTTGAATATGCCATAAAAAGAATAATTTGGAGCATAACCACCACTTGAATTAATTAGATAATGGTTTATTTAATAAGGATGGTATGATAAAAAGTCATTAGAATTTAAGACTATTATGGATATTTAGTTTTGTGCAGCTATGGGATTTGGAAGACCTAATATACCTTAAAGATTGGTTAGACATTTTAATATGATTTATGTATTATCTTCATCAGATGATGCAATGAAATATATTTTATCTAAATTTTTTGAATATGGATTTGATGAATATGTTGATAAAGTGAAATTTGTATCAAAATAATTACCAAGTTTATGTTTGAAAGTATATAAAGAAGTTAGTTAAAGATTTTTACCATTGCCATCAAGATCACATTATTTATTTAATTTAAGAGATTTAATTAAAGTAGTTAGAGGATTATTGATGGTACCTAGTAGTAAATATGATGCAACTGGAGATGCCAAATAAAAATTATTAAAATTATGGGCTCATGAAAATAAAAGAGTATTCTCAGATAGATTAGTAGATGAAAAAGATCATAAAGAATTTGAATAGATTTTAATAGAGATCTTAGATGAAGATTGTGCTCTTAAATACTCTGATATTATAGGATCATCATGTAGATATGGTAATTGGTTAGAACCTCATACTCTTTATAAAACATATGTTGAATTAGATGATAATAATAAAGTTATGGAAGTTTTAAATGAATACATTAGTGAATTCAATGATTTTTATCCTAAATTAAAATTAAATATTGTTTTATTTGAAGATGCTATAGAATTTATATGTAAAATTAATCGAATTATCAGTTAACCTTTTGGAAATGCATTGTTAATAGGTTTAGGAGGAACTGGATGTAGAACTTTATCAAGATTGAGTGCTTTTATGTAAGATTTCAAAATAGGAGAATTAGATTTTGATAAAGATTTATTGGAATGGTATGAATTTTGGAGAGAAATGTTCAAAAATTTATCAATTAAAAATGATAAAAGTATTTTCTTATTATCAGATCAATAAATAATTACTGAAGTAGTATTAGAAGATATCAACAACATTTTGAATATTGGAGAAATCATTAATCTTTATAATTATGATGATAAAGAGAATCTATTAAGTGATTTCAAAGAGAATTTATAAAAGGATAGAGAAACAAGAATTTAAGGAAATATTAGTATGTTATAATTATGGGAATTATTTGTAAAATAATGTAAAGCTAATTTACATTTAATTATTTACTTAAGTCCAGTTGGTGATAAATTAAAAACTAGACTTAGAAATTTCCCATCTCTTGTTTCTTGTACATCTATATTATGGATGGAAAGTTGGTCATAATAAGCATTGTAATAAGTTGCAGAACATTTATTACCTGAATCTAGTATTGCTTAAGCTTGTGTTGGAATACATCATGCTGTTGAATCCATTACTGAAGTATATTTATAAAGAACTGGATATCATTATTATGTAACACCATTATCTTATATATAATTATTGAATAGTTTCTAATCTATGTATAATTAATATTCAAACTCTATTCAATAAAAAAGAGATACTTATATTAATGGTGTGAAGATGTTAGATGAATGTGGTTTGGTTGTGGATAAAATGAAAGAAGAACTTGAAGCCTTATAACCTATTTTGGTTTAGAAAACTCATGAAACAGATTAAATAATGAAAAAAGTTGAATAAGAAACTGCTATTGCAGAAGATTAAAGAATGAAGGTCAAAGAAGATGAAATTGAAACAGCTAAAAAGGCAGAAATAGCATAAAATATATCTAATTAGTGTTAAGAGAGGTTGAGTGAAGCAGAACCACAATTAGAGGCTGCAATCAAAGCTCTTAAGACACTTAAAATATCAGATTTTGTTGAAATGAAAGCATTGAAAAATCCTCCTAAACCTATTAGATTAACTATGGATTCTGTTTGTATTATGTTAGAGAGGAAACCAAAAAAAGCACCTGATGGAGGTGAAGACTATTGGGAAGAGGCTGGTAAAGTATTAAGTGATCCTGGTAAATTTATTAAAATGCTTGAAAAATACAATAGAAATAATATTCCTGAAAAAGTTATTACCAAAATGACTTAATTTTTAGATAAAAATAAGTAATTCTAACCTGCTCTTATCTCTAAGGCAAGTTAAGCTGCTGAAGGATTATGTCTATGGGTTTTGGCTATTTATAAATTCCATTTTGTTTATAAAGAAATTACACCTTTGAGAGAAGAATTTGAAAAAGCTTAGTAATCTTTAAAAATTGCTTAAAATGAACTTGCTGCTAAATAATAATTATTATAAGAAGTTGAAGAAAAATGTTAAGAATTAAGAGAAACTTTTGAAAATGAAAATTTCTAAAAACAAAAACTTAAGGCATAAATTTAAGATTGTGAAATCAAATTAAAAAGAGCTTTAGAATTAACTAGCGGTTTGGCTGGAGAAAAAAATAGATGGAAAGAAGAATCAATTAAGTTATCAAATAATATCAAATCACTTTTAGGTGATATGTTATTATCTGTTGGATATTTATCATACATGGGAGCATTTACTATATCATTTAGAAAAACAATCTTAAATAAATGGTAACAAATTATCAAAGAGTAAAATGTACCCATTTCAGAATCATATTCTTTACTTGATTGTCTAAGTACACAATTTGAATTGCAAGAATGGATACTGTGTGGCTTACCTTTAGATGATTTCAGTAAAGAAAATGCTATCATAATGTAAAAGGCAGATAGTTACCCTTTAATCATAGATCCTCAAGGTTAAGCAAATAAATTCATACAAAGAAAAGAGAAAAAAATAAATGAATCTAACTTTAAAGTTGCAAAATAAGATAGATATTTAGGAAATATATTGGAAACAGCAGTTAGGGATGGCTAAATTTTACTTATCTAAGGTATTGAATAATAATTAGATCAAATATTGGATCCAGTTTTAAGTAAATAATATTAAATTGCAAATGGGAAACCTATGTTAAGTATAGGTGGTAATCAAGTTTATGTTCATCCTGGATTTAGATTATATTTAGTTACTTCATTATCTAATCCACATTATACTCCATCTATTTTGACTAAAGTGACTTTAATTAACTTTACTATTACTTAGGAAGCCTTAAAAGATTAAATGACATCAATATTAGTAAGAGAAGAAGATGCTTAATTGGAAGATGAAAAAATTAGAATAATGAATGATAACAATTATTACAAATAAAAAATGAAATAGATAGAATCTCAAATTCTAGAAATGTTATCTAAAACTGAAGGTTCATAAATGCTAGAAGATGAAGCATTAATATTATAATTACAATAATCAAAGATTTTATCAGAAGAAATCACATTAAGATTAAAAGAAGCAAAATAAACAGAAGATCGTATTAATCAAAATAGATTACATTATGATCTTTTATCTACATTTGCATCTCATTCATATTTCTCTATTTTGAAACTTAATTATTTAGATCCTATGTATGTATTCTCATTAGAATTCTATTAAAGAATATTTAAAAAGGCAATAAGAATTGCAGAAAAACCACACTAAAAAAATATTAAATAAAGAATTGTATTTATTACTGAATCATTAAAAAGAGTTGTATTTTAAGAGATTAGCAGATCTATATTTGTGAAACACAAGAATTTGTTTTCATTTATGTTATTGATAACTTGGTATAATAGTAATAATCTCATTAATAATAATGAATTATAATTTCTATTGACAGGATCTGTTTTGAATGGAGAAGAATTTAATATAGAAAATCCAGATCCAACAATTTTCACTTAGAATTAATGGGAAATGTTAAAGAATTTACATTCTATCATTCCTGGATTATAAATAACAAATAGCCAATCAATGATTTCATATTTAGATGATCCATAAAAAAATCCAATTCCTGAATAAATCAAACATTTATCAACCTTTTAAAGATTATTACTAATAAGAGCAGCTAGACCATAATTATTTGGTTATTATATGAGAGAATTAATAGCTGAAGATTTAGGGTAGTATTTCACTTAAAATCTACTATTTGGATTATAAGATAGTTTCGAAGATAGTGGAACAACTATTCCATTGATATTTGTATTGTAACCTGGAGATGATCCTTAAGAAGAAGTTAAGAAGTTTAGTTTTGAAAGAGGAAAAGTATTGACTTTTGTATCTTTGGGTAAAGGACAAGGTGAAAATGCAACTAATTTAATTATGGAATCTTTGGCTTTGGGTTAATGGGTCATATTATAAAATTGTCATTTAGCAATTAGTTGGTTACCATAATTAGATAATTTATTATAAAATATAAATAGTGAATTACATAAAAAAGAGAAAGATAAATTGATGAAAATCAATACAGAATTTCGATTATGGATGACTACAATGAGTACTCCTTCATTTCCATAACAATTATTGATGGATGCTGTAAAAATGACAAAGGATCCACCTAAAGGAGTCAAGGATAATATTTAATAAATTTATATGAATTAGAATAGTTCAAAGAATGAAAAGAAATTCTATGAAAGTTGTGGTGAGAAAACATAAGAATTTAAGTAATTTTATCTAGCATTATGTTATTTCCATGCAATTGTTAGAGAAAGAAGAAGATATGGACCTGTTGGATGGAATATTACTTATGATTTTAATGATTCTGATTTTAGAATATCTATTCGTCAATTGAAATAAATGCTTATGGATTATTAAGAAATTCCATTTACAGCATTAATTTATTTAACTGGTGAATGTTATTATGGTGGTAAAGTCACTGATGATTGGGATAGAAGATGTTTAAGAGTTCTATTAACAACATTCTATAGAATGGATATCTTTTATGAAAATTATAAATTCAGCCCTATCCAAGAATATTGTATACCAGAAGCTTAGCAATTAAATACCTTAGAATAAGCTATTGAATTTATTAATCAATTACCTGAGACCTCATCCCCAGAATTATTTGGGTTACATTCCAATGCATCTATAACTCAAGCTTAATTGGAAACTAAACATATTTTAAATTGTCTTTTAGATGTTGGTTTGGTAGAATAAGGAGCTGAAGAGAATATAGATAAAAATAAATTATTATTAGAGAAGGCTCAAAGTCTACTAATTCTTATTCCTAAACAATTTGACATTAATGTAGTTTAAGAGAAATTCAAAATTGAATATTATGAAAGCATGAATACTGTCTTATTGTAAGAAATATTGAGATACAATAATTTATTAAATATATTATAGAAATCATTGCAGGATTTGATTAAAGCTGCATAAGGTTTGATTGTCATGAGTCAATAATTAGAAAAAATGGGAGAATGCTTGCTTAATAATATTCTACCAGAATTATGGAAATAGAAATCATATCCATCATTAAAGAGTTTAAACAATTATCTTTAAGATTTATAATTACGTGTAGATATGTTCAATAAATGGATATAATAGGGAACTCCAACTATCTTTTGGTTACCTGGATTTTATTTCACTTAATCATTTTTTACAGGAGTATTGTAAAATCATGCTAGAAAACATAGAATACCTATAGATTAATTGAAATTTGATTTTAAGATTGATATTAAAGAAGAAGAAGGAATAATAATAGATGGATTATATTTAGAAAGTGGTAAATGGAATCAAGAAGAATAAGTGATAGATGAACCTGTTAATGGAGTCATTTATTAAAATTTCCCAAAGGTATTATTTTACAATATAATTTTAGATTTAATTATTACCAAAATAGAACTTCATTGAAAATCAAGAAGATTACATTTGTCCTGTTTATAAGACTCTTGATAGAAGAGGTACCTTATCAACAACAGGACATTCTACTAATTTCGTATTTTTTTTATTTATTATTTAAGATTATTTCCATTCCTATAAAAACTTAATTAAGTGTTAGCCATTGGGTTAAGAGAGGAACTGCTTTAGTAACATAATTAAATGAATGAATATTATTATAATATTTTTAAATGAATAAATTCTTAAAATTAATTGGAAAAGACACAGAAAAATACAAAAAGGTTTCTTACTTTTTTTTATAAGGTTAAATAACAAGTTCAATGTAAGATTTAAAGAAGATTGTTTAGGACTTATAAAGTTTATAAAGCATTGAAAAAATTTAAGCCAGAAAATTCAAAGGCAATGGCTTTGATTATCAATTCAACAGGAGGAAGTCTTGCTCATGCACATATAATATAAAGGAAATTTGATTTAGTAAGAAAAAGATACAATATTCCATTGTATACATTTGCAGAAGACTACGCTTTGTCTGGAGCATTTTATTTGTTGTGTATGGGAGATAAAATATTTTGTAATAAAACTTCAATAGTTGGAGCAGTGGGAATATAAATTTAAACCTTAAATATCCTTAAATTATTAGAGTATTACAAATTGGAAGTCCGTACTTATAATTCTGGTGTTAATGAGACATTTTTATAGTAAATAGATCCTTTAAATGAGAATACTTCAACACATATATTAGAAAATGTTAGTGCTTAATAAAATTAATAATTACAATTATAGATAAGATAAATGATTGGAAATAGAGAAAATAAAGAAATAATATTAAATGGGTCTATATATAATGGATAATAATTATTTGAAGATTTAAAGTATTGATTAATATAAAATTAATAGATTTAGTAATGGTATAGGGTAATATTTAAATATATTAGCCAAAGAATATCCATAAAATAAATTAGAAAATGCTACTTAAAAAACTTAGAGAGAAAAAATTATAGAGTTCTTTTAAAGTAAGTTAAATTGAGTGATATTATATATAAGTGTAATTATGATTCTATTATTATAATAAAGTTAGTAATTATTATATTATGAAATATCAAATTCCTATGGAATTAGCTGTTAACAAAGATTGTAGAAAAACATAAAGTGCCAATAAATGTAGAGGTGCAGAATCACCAAATAAATTGTACTAAAACTTTACTCATAAAAATTCAAGTTAACCAAAAGTTGTGAATCTCTTTCGAAGTTTTATTTTTGACAATTATATTTTATAGATCATCCTAATAGATATAACCAATATCTACAAACTTCAATAGATGTTCATGAAATAAACAAATCTAAAAAATCTGTAAGTTCTCATTAAAGAGTCAAGACTGAAATTGATAAACCAAATGACTTTAATAAAAGATTTTATCCAAATGAGATCTAAATGTTTTTAAGTATTAATTGAAATTCATAGGATAGATAAGGTTGAGATACAAAAGAACAAGTTGAATGTTTTAAATAAGACTATCACAAATAAAGGTAATCGATTATAGGCAGTTAAAGTTAATTAAGGAAGGTTTCTTTTCTATATTATATATAGTTTATAGAGAAATTTATGATTGCAATAATTCCAAGTAATCTAGTTAACCAGATCTTTAAGATTAAATACTTAGAAAGACCAATAATTATTTAAGTAAAAATTATCTCAAATATAAGGAAATAATCGTAATGGATAATCAACTCCAAATAATATTGATGAAAATCCTTAATTTAATTACTTTTAACATAAAATAGAGTATAGAAATAGAAGAAGTAATTATACACGATCAGATGATGTAACTCCATTAAGAAGATCTGTATTTTAATAGATTCAAGATTATAGTGATACAAAATTAGAGTATACAAACCATTATTAAATTATAGTTAAATAAATGTAACTAAGGAAGAGGATATAATGCAATTTTCATTTGGTTTATAATATAATAAATTGAGAGCTTTAAAAAGGTTTCCAAAAGATATATTTTATGGAGATGTTCGAAAAGCTAAGAAAAATTTACAAATGTAATGATAATTTATCCATATCTTTATATATGATTAGAATTATTAAATAAAACTTAGGTGAATATTTTTATAGTTAAAATTTTCCTTGATTTTAATGCAATAACCATAAATAGAACTGATTAATCTAGATAAACCAAAAATGTCAATAGCATCAGCACTCCTGTCAAAGAAGTCTGAGAAGAAGAATCAAAGAAAATCAAGATTTTCCAGATTCTCTAGAATTAGTAAATTATCAGTCCATGACTTGAAAACTGGTTTATTTTATATTCGAGAGAGTTGGAGAAGTGGAATGGCAACAACGTTTTTAATTATGCCATTTGCATTGAATGCAGGAAATAATTCAGGATTAAATGCGAGTATTGGTTTAACATCTGCATTTATTGGAAGTTTTGTAAATGGATTGTTTAGTGGAAGTAATCATTCAATTTATGTTCCAAATTAAATGGCAGCTCTATTCAATTACAACATAATCGAATAATATGGAGTTGAAGCTGTACCTTGGGTTACTTTAATGATTGGGATAATAATATATATTTGTGGTTTATTTAAATGGCATCATTTAATAGAATTCATGCCAAGTTATGTTATAGAAGGATATTTTTGGGGTTTAGGATTCTTAATCATTAATAATTATATAGATTATGGGTTTGGTCTTAGTGATTTATAATCAAATAGAGGTGTTTAAGTATATGAAGATCGTTTTGAAATGTATAAGAGTTATTTCTAAAGGGGAAATTTGTAACATTTATGTGCAACAATTGGAGTTTTTCTATTTTTATATATTGGTAATAAGGTTCATAAACCATTTCCTTGGGTAATAGTGAGTACTTTTATTGGTATATTTATTGGGTAATTTTATCCAAATGAAAGATGTTTGAGAAGTGTTTATGGAGATGTAACTTTGACTTTTAATTGGATTGAGACATATGGTGAAATATTTTAGATTGATTTCAAAATTTTGTATAAATTATTTTAAGAAGCTATACCAATGGCATTATATATAATGACATAGAATTTAATTTGTGCAAAGGGAGCTGAGATATTGATAAATGTAAAATGTGATTATGATTAAGAAATTGAATGTGTTTCAGTGTGTAATATTTTATCAGGATTACTTGGAGGAATTCCATGTAATGCATAATAAAGATTATATGTATTAAATATAAAAGTTAAAGAAGTAAATAGATGGTCATCAATTTTAAATTCATTTTCTATTTTAATTTTTTATGGATTATTAGGTAAATACTTTATGGAAATACCATTATTTATAATTGGTGGATAAGTATTATATTCAGGTTATTAATGTCCAACATGGAGTTTTTATGATAGAGTTCTAGCAACAAGAAGGTATAGAACAATTTTAAAGGTTGTTGCTCTTGCCACATTATCTGTTTATTATGGTCCTATTCCTGCTTCATTGATTGGAAGTCTTTATGCATTATTAAAATTTGCAGAAACTATGAGTGCAGCTGCTAGTGAAATAGTTCTTAAATAAGGAGTTCAAAGTGTTAAATTAAGACATTCAATGACTCGATAATAAGATGGAGAAGATGAATAAAGAGTTTAAGTAGATGTTGAAAATGATCTGTTGGATGATATTAATACTGAATATATTATATATAGATTTAATGGATCATTAAATTATATTAATGCAAAAGTATAATGATTTTAATATAGGAAGAATCATGTTGAATAGATTAAAAGATTACCTGAAATTGATACAATTGTGTTTAGTTTTAGATATGTTAGTGTTTTAGATGAATAAGCTTTGGATCGTTTAAGTGTCATTATGGATAATTTATTAAGTAATTGCTTGTGTTGATTTTAGAGAGTGGAAGAGAACTATATTTCACTGGTTTACATGAATAGATGATAGAGCAAATGAAATTTAATTAATTTTTTAAAGACTTTATTGAAATTAAGTCTCAAAATCTGAAATTCTTAGGAAAATGATGTATTTTTTTAATAAATTATCATATTATGTAATGTAGATTTATAATATGCAATATAATATATATAAATATGGCAGATGAATTATTACTAAAGTGACATCATTAATTTTAATACATGAGATTGCTATTATCTTTGTTTGTTATTGTTGCACTAATACATTGTAAAACTAAAGAAGAATGGAAGAGTAGATCAGTTTATTAATTGCTTACTGACAGATTTGCTACAAGTTAAGGCAAATCAACTTCATGTAATTTAGGCAACTATTGTGGTGGTGATTATAAAGGAATGATTCAATAACTTGATTATATTCAAAGTAAATATACAATTATATTTTTCAGATTTGGGATTTGATGCTATTTGGATTACACCTGTTGTAGATAATTATGATGGTGGATATCATGGATATTGGGCCAGGAATATGTATGACGTTAATCATAATTTTGGTTCTGCTGACGATTTGAAGGCTCTTGTCAATGCCTGTCATTCTAGAGATATATGGGTTATGGTTGATGTTGTAGCTAATCATGTAATTATTTGATCTTATTTTAGATGGGAAATACAAATACAGTATACAATTAAAATAATCCATTCAATCAATCTTCTCATTATCATGACTGGTGTGATATCACAGACAAAGATTTTAACTCACATAATCTTTATAATATTGAAAGATGTAGACTTGCTGGTCTAGCTGATCTTAATTAAGATAATTAATTTGTTACAGAATAATTAATCTAATGGATCAAATGGCTTGTCTAAGAATTTAAATTTGATGGTATTAGAATAGATACACTTATGATGGTTAAAACTGATTTTTGGTATAAATTCTCTAAAGCTGCTGGTGTCTATACAGTTGGAGAAGTATTTGATGGAGATATGAATTTCTTAAAATAATTTGTTGGTCCTGTTGATGCTTTATTAAATTATCCTCTCTTCTATACAGCCAGAGATGTATTTCTACATTGGAGAGATATGAATACATTTGAAAATTATTATAATAGTTTAATGAATTCATGGGGTAAGTAAAATATTTAATATGCTGGTAATTTCAATGATAATCATGATAATGCAAGATTCTTAAATGATTAAGTTTAAGGATATATTCCAGATGAAGTATTTTTAAGTGATAAACCTCATTTGACCTTCTCTGCTTTGAAGAAACTCTAATTTAAGGCTATCACAGCATTTTGTTTGACTTCTGTAGGAATTCCAATGATTTACTATGGTAGTGAATAACTATATGCTGGTGGTAATGATCCAAAAAACAGAGAGGTTTTATGGGGTAATTTAGATCAGTAAAAATTTAAATTTATTATTAGATAATCTGAAATGTATAAATACATCTAAGCTATAAATCATGCACGTAAAGCTACTAATGCAGGAAATCAAGAATAAATATAAAGATATTCTGATTCTGAAATCTATGCTTTCACTAGAGGTACTTTATTTGCTGCATTCTCAAGTAAATATGATAGATAGGTTGTCAAGACTATCACATATCATCCATATGCTGAAGGTAATTATTTATTATATATAAATTTAGGCACAACTCTTTGTAATATCTTTTATCCAACCACTGATTGCATTAAAATTACTAATGGGAAATTTACATTATATTTAAATTATGGTGAAGTTAAGATCTTTATTCCAAAATGATTTAGATTTATTCATTAATTATAAAAAAAATAATATTAATAAACCATTTTGTTAGTGAAATATAAATTATTAATAAATTTATTGTTAAAAATAGATGGACAATCCAATCAAACTAAGTTAATTGAATTCTTCTTCAGAGCATAAGGAAATAGTAGACAAGTTCTTTAAGAATCCAATCCAATAAATACAGAAACTTAATTAAAAGTCATCATCTAAATCTGACATAATAAATGAATTGCGCCAAGAGAATTATGATTTAAAAAATATAGTCAATGATTTAAAATAAAGAATTCAAGAACTAGAATAACAATTATAAAATCAATAAAATCAATAAATCGAAGAAGAAAATTAAGAATAAGTTTCTGTTGAGAAATAATAAAATGAAATATAAGAAGAAATGACTGAAGAAGAAAAATCAATTCATTTAGCATTTATGTTATAATAACAAGAAGAAATGGAATTTTAAAATCGTTTAACACAGTAAATATTTTTAATTTATTCTATATTAGAATGTAAAATAATGTAGATCTTGATTAAATGAGTTATGAATAATTATAAGAATTATAAGAAAAAATGGGATTTGTAAGTAGAGGTTTGCTCCAAAATTAAATTCAATCACTTTTAAAATAATGCAAAATTAAACAATAAATCAATGATTGGTATGAATTGTTATAGAATTTAGTTGTACAATTTGTTTAGAAGATAGTGGTAATCCTGTTGAAATTGAATTGGAATGTTGTCATGTATTTCATTAAGAATGTATTTCTGAATGGCTTTCAAGAGAAAAACATTGTCCTGTATGTAAAAGAGATATCAATCTTAGTAAATTCAAATGATATATGTTTTTACTTATTTACTGTAAATATTTGTTATTTTCAATTAACTATTTAAGATTTACAAATAGAATTTTCAATAAAATTCTAGAAATGGATTTTATAAAAAATGAACTAGAATTATATAGTATATTCAGATAAATTATATTTTACTAATATGGAAGTTTTGGATAAGATCTTCTTTTTAATTATTAGATTGAAATTAAAGTAGATTGAAAAGGAAAAAGGAATGAATGTTTGGAATATGAATAAATAATATATAATAAATATATTATTCACAAAAACGAATAATGTAAGATCGAGATGACTTCTAAGGATCCGAATCAGACATCGGAAGAAAATCGGAGGAGATTTTGTTTAAGTGTATACGCATATTCATAGCATTGTCGATTTATATAATTTTGCAATTAATAGCAATTCGGATTGAATATTAGATCAAATGGATTATTATTGGACTTATATTTTTTGTATGCGATTCAGTCATATGGATCTTAAGTATCAAATGGCTATGTATTTAATAAATATTTTACTAGATTAATAGTAATATCCAAGAATTGCCAAAGTATTTTTAGCAATTGCTTAAAATTCTACTCTAGGATTATTACCTATTTTTATAATACTCCTTTGTTTATAATTTGATGGTATTATAAATCAGAATCCCATTCTAATTGTTTTACCTTTGTTTGTTTGGAAAATTTTATTATTATCATTCCTAATTTTTATAATACCAGGATTATGTGATGATAATTATGGATCTAAAAAATGGGTAGCTGTCATTTTAATTTATTATATTTCCATCATTTATACTGAAATCATAGCATTAATTTAGTTACAATAACATTTTAATTGGTTTTGGGTTGTTTCATTATTGTTGTTTGCCATATTCTACAATATTGTCACACTCATTACAGATTGTTCTATTTCTATAATATGGCCATGCTTTATTTTAGTATGTTTCATTTATTGTTTAACACAATTAACAATTATCTTAAATGAGATAAACAATGACTAATAACCATCAAAATCTATTTAATATTTAACTATAATGCCAATTCTAATAATTAGTCTAATTAATTTAATCAAATAAATAATTGTGTGAATTAATAATATCAATTTATATTATAATATCAGATCTATTCTAATAGTTTAATAATATGTTTATTCACCTTACCATTTTCTAATATCTCAATTAATCAATTATATTTTTATAATGTACTTTATTTGAATTATCATCTTCTACAACTTCTTGAACTCAATAATAGCCAAGCATTCCTTTTCTTTATTATATCATATATTATTATAAATAAATAAGTAAGTATTATTTAAATTATAAATGTCAAATAGCTTAACTTATTTTTTTTATATTCATTCCATTTTATAGATATTAAAATTTGTAATTTAAGTGAAACCACAGATTCTTTTTGTTGTAGCACTTTCATCCACTTTTTCAAAACTTTTATAGACTTGTAGTTATTATTACATAGTTGTTATTGATAAAATTTTAACCATAATAATAAATATTTTCTGAAAGATATTATGTCTATGAATAGATGTTACGTATTGATAAATATAATAAAAATCAAATTTAAAATTTAGGTTTACAATTTAAGTATTTTGGAACATCAGCAAATTTAGATGGAACATTATAAGTACCAGGACCTGGACTATTATTAATATTATAAATGGGTTTTCTTTTGTTCGATTTACCAAATCCCCAACTAGGTCCCATTAAAGTATTTTTTAATTCATACGCTCCAGGTCCTGGCTATTTATCAGAAGATAAAGCCTTAATTTACTTCGCTAATTTAACTATCTTGACAGATCCATCATAAGAATAACATAACTTATCTTAAGGATTATAAGTTCCTAATGTAAATTTAATTAAAAACCTGGTCCTGGTATTCGTTAAGGTCGTATTTGAGTTCTTGCTCCTTTGATTGTGATATTACCTAATTTTTATGGTGGACAATCATAAGCTCCTGGTCCTGGCACAAATTATGAATCATAATCAGACATTGAAGTTCTATTTGCTTTACTTAAACTATAGCTAGGCTGCTTTTTTTTACTTCTGGCATCATAATTTCTATGTTAAGAATAATTATTCAACTTACTCAGAGTAATACCTTCCAGGTCCAGGATTTTGGGAAATTTTTTATTAAGGAATCCTTGATTCTTTACCCATTTTGAAGACAGGTTAAGCATATTTTATAAATGAAATATCAGGAGAGTATTTTCCTGGCCCTGGTATATATTTATCGCATTCTTAAGTCTTTAATTTTGGCTTTAATGTAAAACTCTGTTGTGTCAACGTACTTTTTAATTCATACATTCCAGGACCAGGCGAACTCATATCTAATGATGAATGCATTTTTAAATTATTCTTTGATCCAAATCCCCATGAGGGCTATGATTTATGTGGTGAAAATTTATCATAGTTTGTCATATTGTATTCTAGGATAATAATTAAAATATACATCCTGGTCCAGGTGAACTAGCTCCATCATCCATTGTTTTTAATCTTTTTTCTATAGGAAATTTACTAGAATTCATTGTTAGATGAGTCTAATTTAAATCATAAGTTCCAGGGCCTGGAACAAAATTTTTGATTATTTTATCAATTTTAACACCCATACTATATGATGGAATTCGTTTTTAAATGGTTAAGTATGAATCTTCTTTGTAATTGCCTGGTCCAGGAGATTAAGAAATAACTTTCTGTTTCAGTTTACCCTTAAAAGTACAACATGGAGCACCATTTATTTAAGATTTATAAGGATATTATCCTGGACCAGGAGAGTATGATTTTATTCTTATCTCCCTCCTTACTTTACCTCCTATTCTAAAAATATATAACGATTATACGTCCATTAAGGAGAGGTTGTTTGGTTATTTAAGGAGTAAGCATTAGGAGCAGGAACAAAATTTTTATTAGGGCTATCTCTTTTAGCAGTTCCTATTGAATAGGCAGAAACCATAAAACAAGTTATTAAAATTTATTGTATACATTTAAATAGAAAATATATTGTATTTTTATTGACATGAACAATTTATTTTTATAATTTTTATTTCAAGTCTTAACATTAATAATAATATCATAGATTAGCATAATTAAATAAGTTATATTATGAGTCTAAAAACAAAGTAACAGGCTTAGATTATATAATATCACTAAGAATTTTACTTTTGATTATTACTAAGAATCAACGCATTATTATTGAAGGATTTGAATTACAATTATAATCGTGATAATTAAACAACAATTTATAAATGTAATTACATTTTAATTATTTCCATTACTTAATATTCAAATTTAACTTAAATAATAAGAAAAAAACCAATATCAATAATAGAAACAATTTAAATTTAATTGATAAAAATTTATAACATATAAAAAGAGAATATGATTATAACAATGTGAATATGGCTCTGAAAAAATTTTTTATTATTAAAACTGGTATTTAATTACTTATTTTTAAATTTGTTCTGCATAACAAGTGAAAGGTAGTAGCTATTCTGATTGATGAGGAGATATCCTTATAAAGGTTTCAAATATTCAGGTGAAAATTGAAATAGTTTGCTCTATAAAATGATTAGAGGATGAAGTTAAGAACTTCTTTAAAATGTATGATTTTAAATTTAGATTAGAAATTTAATTTAATAATTACTTTACAAATGTGGAAATTTTTTGATGGTAATTTTAAAATATTCAAATTATATCAAAATATTACAAAAGATGTGATGAATGTTCAACTATTATGTTGAAACATTTTTTCTTAAATTAAAAATGAAAATATATTACTCAACTTATTGATAATAGAATAGTAAATAAATATTATATCTAAAAATAGTAATGGGTGGGTGTGGATCTCAAGAAAAAGAGTTAAGAGAAAAGGTAGGATTTTCTTAAAGTGGTTAAGATTATGCACTAAAAAATTTAGTAAAATGACAAAACAAAAACCAGAATATTTATAATTTTTATAAAATGAAAATAGAAGAATATTTTAGTTTTTAAGGTTTTAAATAATATTCTACAGAGAATCCTGTGTTAGCATAAAAGCTCTATATTTTTATCAGAAATTATGATGGATAAAATTATGTCGACACTCTTACATTTCTCACATTGATATTTAAAAAATAAAACTTTAGTTGATTTATTTACAAGAGTTTCAATGCAATTGTAAAACTAATTCAAGAATTTAGATATATATGCACTATTCACTTTAGTATCTTTATCATGTCCTGAAATTATTTAAAGAGATACATTCAATATAAATAATGTATACAAAATTATTGTGAATTATTCAAATGCAGTAAAACTATTTAAAGTAAATAATATAATTGATTATTAGGAACTCAGTGGATATGATCATCATAAAATTTGGATTGATGGTAAATAATTATAAGCAAGTAGACTTGTGGAAGAAGACAAAACATTTTAAAGTGGTTCAATATTATATTCAAATTATCTTTATATTTCATCGTATTATCAAAAATACAATTCATTTAAGTAAATTCCTTTTTTTATTTGAAGATCAAATTTCCCCCCTAATTTCTAGTAGACTCAAGGATAGCACTTATTTTTAAATCAAATTAACTCCAAAAATTGTTAATCTCATGATTAAGAATACATAATTTAAGTTCTTTTTAAATTGAGAACCTTTATAGTTATTAAGATTTAATTATGAAAGAACCCACATAATTAAAATGTGTTTTAATAGTACAACTACATAGTTGAGTCAGATGTCTTATAAAGAGAAGAGGGATAAATTTATAATTTAATTACACATAAAAGTAACCCTTATTTAATCAACTTTTTATGATTTTATATTCTACATATAGCTGATTATAAAACTGCTAAATTATTAAACAAACTGATCTTTTTGTTCCTTTGAAATCAAATTTTTACTTTATCTTACTTAGAAATATTAATAAAAATCATATTTTTCAAGTAATTAAATGAATTCTTAAGAATCCAACATGCCCAAGAACCAAATATAGAGTGCACTAAATCATGAGCATATTCAAAGATTTTAGTCCGACGAATCTAATTAAAAGTCAGATTTTCTTCTTCTAAGTTTGGATAGGAGCTTCTTTAATCTCACTCTCCTATATAAATCTTTAATCAAAGTAAATATTGAAAAGGAGAAAAGTCAAGATAGACCCTTAGTGGATTCCATTCTACAAGATTGTTTTTCTTAAATTAGGATAGGAGCTTCTTAACCAGAGAGCTTATATGCAAAGAGACACCATATTCGTATACAAAGCCAATAAGAAAAGAATTTATCTTGATTGAATAGATATCTTTAAATCTAGCCATATAATGAGTCTCTATCATCTTAATGTGATAACTGATCATCATAATAGGTCTAAATAATCTCTGAAGAGTGATAGTTGAAAGCATTTTATTAAGAGGCACTAATCTCATTAAGAAAAGATTAACCATTTCTATTATCATTTCAAAGTCAAGTCTCTATAAAAAGTCTTTGTTAAAATACTTTCAATTCAACCAGGTCTAGGTTAAGGTACTACTTATTTTAAATTTGCAATCGAAAAATAAATTTTAGTGTGGATGAAAAAAGAATTAATTAAACTCAATTAAGAGATATAATTATTAACCTAAATTAATAAGGGAGAAATGATTAAGTATAATACACATTTTTAGTTTTTAGAGAAGAGATAAAAAAGAATTTTAGTATAGCAATCCTTTACTTCCAATAAATGAAGAGGAAGAAGAAAAATAATAAGCAAAATGATATTTTTAAAATATATATAATTAAAATATAATTTATGGAATCACCAGTTTTATCAAAGCAATTAGAATTGTCAGAATTAAAATAGATAATCAAAAATAGGTTCTCCTTTGATAGAAGAAAAGTAATATTCTTTACTTTAAATTCTTGTTTATTGGGATTAGCTGTATTTAGTTTATTTTCTGCTATTACACTTGAAAGCAATTCATAAATCTTTAGAATTAGAACATATTTGACAGATTAAAACTTATAAAATAGAGAATAAGCAAGAAAATTAGAAACTATATTGATTCCATAAAATATTGCTTAATTATGTACAATTGTTTCTTCGATAATTGGTTATTATGGAATTTATCAAAAATCTTAAAAAGTAATTAGTATTTGAATACATTTTAGATCTTACATCTATTCCCTATTAGTTTAGGAATTAGTTTAGCATTCAGAACAATTGCTACTATTGTAATTATCTCTTACTTTAATACAATATAATCAGTATGAAATTATTCAAAATTTAGGTTTTTGAAGAAGAGGTAGGAACTTTTATAACTTTATAAATCTTATTTTTGGCTTTTAATTGGTTGTTTTGTGTTTTTGCTTATTAATAATTCAAGAAAGCTTAAGTAGAATATCATATAGTCACTAAAGATAGAGAAAGATTAATTATGGATAATAATATGGCTTATGAATTAATAAAGAAAATCATAAAAAATTGATTTATTGTAATACATATACGCATTAATATTTTACATAAATCACGATTTATTAAAATAGAAATAATCCTATGGATTTACTATTTTACTTAAAATATCACCTATTACTGATAGATATTTAATTTTATCTTGTAGATTCGATCTCAATATTTATGCATATGCATGTTTTTAAAAAAATTCAATTGACAAAGTTTAAAAAAGAGTTTTGAAAATATCTTAAATTCTTTTAGTATTTGATGGATTTGTATAACATAACATAAGCATTTCTTCTAAAGCTTTTATTTCGATTGAATTAATCCAAGCCCAGAAATGAGGTAATAGATTTTGATTATCTGCAAAATATAATTTTACTTTTTCTATAGATGATGTATCTTCAACAATAAATTTCATTTGACTCTTAATTAAATATAATTTAATTAAGGAGTCTTCATTACTATCTTATGATTTTGAGATTCCTTGTTTTTGATATTATATTTAATTAATGAGATTATTGACAGCTTCTGACTATTCTTGCTAAACAATTTTAGTTTCCCCAATCTGATTCAGAATCTTGTTTAACTAAGCTTATTAAATGAGCTATTATAAAAAACTTAAAGGTATTGTAACAGCTGGAGTATAACATTTTTAAAATTAGAATTATAAATTAAGTTATGGATATTTAGTTGTTTGATTCTAAGAGCCACTCTATTCATGCTAATTTTAAACAATCCTAATTGGAGCCACTTTCACTGTCTTTTTATTTTCTTAATATGGTTCAAAACTCATAAAACTAGATTTTTTAAATTTGTGTATTTACTTTTTTAAAAAATATTTTATATATAAAATATTTATATAATTAAATGTAAAGACAGATTCAAATATAGAAATTATTAAATAGTAACCATTTACTTTTGGATTATCTTTATTATATCCAATCTATGAATCCATAACTAAAAAATTGTCAACTAATACTAAAAAGGATGTATAAATACTTTAAATTCCATTACAAATATTTTATATGATAATGGCGGTATGGTCAATGTTTAATTATATTTTTAATTATAAAGAATATAATAATTTAAAGGTTTTTAAAGATATATTTAAAAATTTGAATATATTAAAGTTATATAGGTTATGAATATCTCCGAGTTTTTTATTTTGATTATATTATTTATAAATTTCTGATTGATATTTAGTATAGTAATCAAAAGTTTGTTAGTATATCCTATAATAATATATCTTGTGACAATGGCCTTTTCCAAAATTAGAAAAGAATGGATGATTGAAAGACAATAGAGTCAGATGGAAACTTAATCAAATTAAAGAAGTAAAATAAATTAATCTCATTAAAATGTCTGAAAAATAATTATGATATTTTTTCTATTTTATTATTGTAATATTTCTAAGATATTGGAAGACAGAGTTAACATAAAATTTAATAATATATTTCTGCAATTACTGATATTAGATTGTATTATTTATTCTATAATAAAAATAATTTACTATAGAATAAATGGAAAATTAATATGAAGTTAACCTTTAATCGATTCTGAAGGATGTTTCAAAAAAAGGCTGGTTGATCAATTTATACATGCTAGTTTTTTAATATTTTTCTACAATTTACTTGACATTACTCAACCCTTATTCTAGTGCATACATTTAAATGATAAAAATATTATGGATTCCATTACAAATAATTTACATAATGGTTGTTTGGTCATTGTTTAAATGTTTTGTTAGTGACCCTGGAAGAGTATATTTATATAAAATTCAGGTTCCAAAGCATTGGTAAATGTTTTTCGGTTAATAAGGAAGAAATAGATATTGTTTATTATGCCATAATTATAAACCTGATCGATGCAATCATTGTTTTGAGTAAAAAACTATTTTATAATATAAGATGTAAGAGATGTGTATTAAATATGGATCATCATTCATTTTGGATTAAAAATTGTGTAGGATATTATAATTCCAAATTTTATTTACTGTTTTGGTTCTACATAAATTTATCTGCAACATTTAGCCTAATAGTCGTAAGTTTATAAATATACCCTAAAATAATGAATCTATTTTATAGAGATGATAAATAAGAAATTCAGAATTAATCTAATCTACCTACTCTCTTATTGTAATAAATTTACATAACATAGATTATTATATTTATTTGTAATTGCTGTATTAACCTTAAAAAGTTTAATTGTTCGCATAAAATTAGCAATAACTAATCAAACTATAATTAGCCAATTAGATTAAAGAGGTCAATAAGATGGTTAGAGATTTTAGTATGATATTAGGTATAAATTTAATTAATCTTTTATTGTTAAAGAAAATTGGTTTTAAGTAATGGGTACAAATCCTTGGTTATGGCCATTTCCTATATATGGATAAAGTGGAAGACCAAAAGGGGATGGAATTAATTGGTAGCGTAATCAAAATTGAAAACAACTTAAAACTAATAAAATGATAATGATAAAAGTAATAATTATTAAAAATATTAATATTTCCCACCCTTTATTTTATATTTAATTAATAAAAATGGAGGCTAATTAAGTCAACGACTAAGTGATAAAATAGTTATTATAATCAAAAAAGGTATGTGTATAAAACAATTTATAGTATAAAGAATTAGTTGATGCAGCAACATAAATGGGTTTAGTGAAATTGTACTCGAAAATGAAATATGATGGAATAATTTATTCAATTGGTTAAATAGTTTAATTATCAATTGATGGAAATAGAGATAAGAAAATATATGGAAAATTAATAGGATTTTGTAATTTATAAGTGGATGAATATTAAATACCCATGATCAAAGTGTAAAAATATATTAATAAATTGGAATTACCCTAAAAATTAAAAGAATTATAAGAAGGGATAAGTGAATTTGAATTGTTTTAATCAGAAATAGAGGAGTGGTTATTTTGCACTTAAATTGATCATGAAATAAATTTGATATCAATTAAGGAATATGAAGAAATGACAATTTAAAATGAAAGAACATATTTTACTAGAGCTGATTATAATGTAGAAAAGGATAAATTTACTCCTCCTATTTCTAAATGGACAAGAATCTGTATTTGTAATTAAATATCAAATCCTGATAAATCTTATATTTAATGTGATAGATGTTCTAAATGGTTACATTATGAATGTGCTGGTGTTTAAGCATAATTAGCATAAGATATGAACTTTTATTGTGCAATGTGCAGAAAGAAATGACTTCAATGACTATATATCTATAAATAATTTTCTAAATTATTATCATCTAAATAAATATCATTTTTAATATAAATCCATAATATTGATAGGTCCATTCGATTGATTTTTTTATTAATATTATTATTATTATTATTATTATTAATAAAGATGTTGTTAATAATTTAATTATTAATTATAAAAACCACTATTTTATTATTATCCCATATTAGATAAATAAGCATAATTTGAGTTCTTATTTGGTATTATTTATTAAGACTATTATGTCTATTAAGATTCTGATTTGTAGAGTGTAAGTATGTCTAAAGAAGGTAATGAATGGATAGGTTGATTAATATTAGGAGTTGCTTATATATATTCTGTGAAATCTTTTTCAGGTGACAATGAACGTGTAGTACCTTAATGAGTATTTTATCCTTAGTTTTCCTCAACTTATACAATAGGTTTTTTGACTCCAAAAAAGTCATCTTCAAAATCAATCAAATCGCCCAATTTTACTTTAGGTTCCTCTACTTTTATTTCTTGCTAATTAAAATAATAAGGTTTAACTGCTCTAATTAAGTATATAAGATATATATTACGTTTTAGTCAGAATATATTATTATTTAGGATCAGGACATGATATTTAAGGTATGAATCTCTTTTTCACATACTTTTCCTATACAAATCTAATTAATGAATCTAGACCTTAATTAATAGTAGGTTTGCTATTTAATTGATATTTGTAATTATTTACATATAATCTTTAGGCATTTTATTTTCCCAATATGAATTTGCAGTTCCATTACCAATAGATTCCATAATATCAATATTTTCTTAATACCATCCATCTATATTAGTCGATCTTACTCTTGTAACACTAGGACCTAATGTTCTATGAGCTCCTAAAAAATGAAAATAAAGTTTAACCTGCACAATCCATACAAATGAATATACCATAATCTAAACTAACCCAACGAGGTCCTTTTGTTGCACAATCAGCACAATTTAAATTTTCTGGTCTCTTAAGAATTAAACCAAATATTTTTTCTTGTGCTTTCGCTGGTATGTATTATTTATTCATTTTATTTGAAATGATAAACTTCTATAAATATTTTAATGATTTTTTGAGCTTTAATGTTCTGAATTTTGATGATCTATTCAATGTCCAAATTATAATAATACCTATCTGATCTTAAAACTCATTAAGAAGAAGAAATAGAAATATAGATCGATTATCCTAATAAACCAGAAAATAGTGATGATTCAGATGATGAATAGAATGAAATTCTTAATGAGATACTTAAATGTATGTAAAAAGGATTGTCAGAAAAGGTATTTGACTTTGAGCTTGGCAATTCAATAAGATTGATAGATATTGATGATATGAATAAAAGTGCCCTTTATCTAGATGCTTTGGCTTGGCTTTATTCCAATAGAGTGGACAGAACTTATGTGGAAAGTCTAAAATTAAAGGTTAATTTGTTAAGAGTTTATGACACTACTACCATCCCTAATGCTCCTCCTTCAAAGAAAAACAAACAATAATTAAATCAATAAATAACATAAAAAACTATTCATCTTAATCGAAATATGGAACTAAAAGAGATAACAAAATATGGTGAATCAACTCTTGATTTCAAACCTTACACTCATCAATATGATACACTTCAGATAAATCCATTTTTTAATTAAACAAGTAAGTCTTTGGATATGCAAGACTTGACTACATTAATTATTTATAATCCTTAATTTGATGAGAATTTAGCAATTATTATAGATCCTGATTAATTATTAAAAGTAAATGAATAGAATAAGTAAATTTTAACAGGTTTTATTAAGTTAGAAATTGATACATCAGTTTTAGATTATTCTAATTTAGTATCCAAATAATTCAAAATGAGTTTCAATGAAATTAATGATTTTAGAGAGAGATATAAATATTTACTTAACAAAAAAGATACTTAAACTGTCAAAATTGAAAAAAGTTAATAAATTGCAATTGAGAAATTTGTTAATGATTTTAGAGTTTATGATGAAAAATTGAAGTAGGCTTAATAAACTATAGATTAATAATAATAATCCTTATCTTAATTAAGTGTTGAAGAACAATAATTCTTAAGTTTAAATTAGTAATACTAATAATAACTTAAGATTAATCCAACAGAAATAGATAATTATTAATAAGATATATAATTAAGAAAGAAAATTGAATAATTGAATTTCGATTAGGAAATTTCAATTGATAATCAAAATTAGATTATAATTCCATAATTTGATAATAAAATTTAATAAATCAATTAAATGGATGTTGAAGAGTTTAATAATTAATTACCTGAATTAATGCCAGATCCTTTTACTGATGATTAATAAAATGACAATAATATTAATAATCCATAATTAACTGAAGAACAGAGGCAATTGTAATAGGAATCATTTTAAATATATTAAGAAAAGAAAAAGAGATTATAGGAATAATTTTAAAAATAATAAAGAGAGGCAGCAGAAAAATAATCATAAATTCAAGAAGAATTGAAATAACTTAGTTATTAATAACAATTTTAGGATATATTTAATGATGTAAATGTTCCAGTTGATGAATGGGATTTAGAATAGGAAGAAGAATTTGATTAAGATTTAGCACCTTATGAAGAATAATAATAAATGTAGAAGAATAATAATCAATAATAACCAATTTAATAGCAATAAACAAATGTTAAAAAGAAATAAAAGAAAGTATATCCAGATACATTTAATTTTGATGATGCAGCAGAATTAAATAGATTTCTTATTTTAAATACTGTTGGAAATACATAAAGAGATTTTGGTTAAAGAGAATTAACATTAAAATGCTTAGCTGATAATTTTTAGGATTTTGATTATTATAGATATTTTGAATACTTTACAAGGGAATATACTGGATTTTTAGAAGAAGAGGAATAATAATTGCCTATTACTATTACAGAACCAGAAAGTTTTGGATTAGATGAAATACATATTTAAGTATAATTAGAAGAAACTAATTAAATGATAGAGACCTATTAGAATAATTTAGATTATTATGTATTACCTTTTAGAGTATAGGCTAACAATAATAATGAACCAATTACGATTAAATAATTATAAGTGATTTTGGAAAGAGTTATTGATGAAATCAAAGGTCAAGTTGAATTTATAAAAATTGAAAAAACATTACCTTTGATAATGAATGAAAAGATAAGTAAAAGTAAATTATTTGCTGCACTTTTATTTGTTGCTAAAAATAAAGGATATAAATTAGAATAAAAAAATAAATCATTTAAAGATATTTTAATTATAAAAAAAGAGAATATGTAAACAATTGAACTAGACAATGAAGATTAAAATCGAAATGAATCAAATATTGATGTAGCTATGTAAATTGAAAGATGATTATTATTAAATACTAAATTATATAATTAATTAATTATTCAATCAATATAAGAATGAAAATTCTTAAATTTCTTATGTTAATTTAATTAAGAGATTTATATTCCAAAATAATTGAAAATTGTATTTAAAAGTTAACAACTTTTAGAAGTCACTTTCATTTCTGAAGATTCCTCAATTTATTATACCATATTGATAATATCATCAACTTGTATGAATAATCCCTCTAATTATTATATTTAAAAATACCTTCAAGAATGTATTACAATTATTCCAAAATGTATTAAGATGTTGGATCAGTTTATTTAAATTCTTGAACCAAATTTTAATGCCATTCTCTTTATTCCTTATTTCGAAAAAAGAAATTCTGACGAGCCTTCTCAGCCACTTATCTTAATTTTTATATTTTCTCTTGTCTTTAATTCTAATTTGCAGTAAAAGACCTTGATCTAATACTGGAAGTTAAGGGACGATCTTTATGTAAGGTTGTAACTAATTCAGTAAATTTATCATTAAATTTCATTCTAGTTGTATAGAAATCTTATTATAAAAATGAATGATTACCTTAACATTATTTAACTAATTTAACTTCATTATTATTAATCTTCTAAATAAATTTTTCATTGTATTATTATTTTACAACTTTGTGTTATTATTTGTTTATATAACCTTATTATCTTGACAATTAAAGTTCAGGGAATTCTAATTTTGAATAAATTTCATCCTCTTCACAAGTGGTAACATCATTAATCTTTTACGATATTCTTTCAACATAAGATTAAGGGGAAGCATTTCTAATACTCAATTTTCTGGATTAGGTTTCATTTGCACGAGAATTTTGACATGTTTCTCTTGAATCCTCTTTTCTTAATCTTACTAATGGAGTATATGGTTTCAATAATTATCCATCAATCATTGATATTATATACTCTCTATGTCCCTTACTTGTATTTAATTTATTGATATCAAAACTCTAATTTAATTTTTAAATAGATCCTTAATTATTTCTTGCTATAAAAACCTCTCTCTAAGATTCTTTAATATTCTATTTATATTGTGCTTTGTCAATTCTACTTATTCTTTATTTTTCTCTATATTATTTAAATAATAATATTACTTTTAATATTGTTATAAATAATTATCTACTTCACTTTATTGTAACGTAGATTCTTCTTTTCTAGGAGAGGATTTGGTAGAATTCATTTAACTAATATTTGATTTAGATTTATTTTTAAGTTTTCTTTTCATTTCTTTTAATTGAGCTAAATTTAATTGATTCATTTCTTATAATTTTGGGATATGATAATTAAAATTATCAATTCTAATGATTAATAAATAATTAATTACATTTATTGAAATTCATCAAATTGATTTCTACTTCTTTTATATTAATCAAGATTCAACTTTTTTCTAAGATCCTAAATTAAATTTTAATATTTCAATGTTTTATCAGAACTAATAGTATCTGGTTCTTATGATAATTTCAATTTAAGATCATAAGATGCTGTAAGAACTTCATCTAGAATCTTTAAAGGTATTTATTTCCATTCAGAAATAGATGGTTACATTTTATCTAAAATTATATCATTTTTATTAATCTATTTTTTCCATTCATTGATGGTTTTTTATTTATCATCAAATTCTGAAGATTTAAGACGTTTTAGTTTATCTTTCTTATCATAAGTGTTATTTTCTACTTAATCTACATATGTCTCAAATATATTTAAAAGTATCTATAATTAATTCAATTCAAGTTATTGCTATTTATTCATTCCATGTTTATTATTCTGTACATAAATCACTAATTTTTTTAAATATTATAATTCTAATTTTATTTATGCTCTGCATTCATCCAATTTTGAAAATAAAATCCATTTAGTAGTAGTCTCTTTCTTAATAACTTTGTAAACTTTTTAGCAATCCTATAAATCTTACAATCTTAAATCTCTTGCGTCATAATGCTCAATTACTTTTTTCGTAATCTAATTTGCATCCTATATATTGTTTTCTTATTAATATCCATTTCTAAGCTTTGAAACAATTTTAACAGTTTATGTTTTGATACCACTCATAGTAACTGAAATATTAAAATATTTAATATTTATATATTAAATGGAGTATTTATATATTAAATGGAGACATCAAAATATACTTCTCCATACACTAAAATCTTATCAATTATTTTTAAATAATGATGGCAACAAAAAGATTGGAGAGAACTCCTCCTTATTTAGAAAATCAAATATTCTATAACTTCTATAGAAAAGGCAAACTTGAAATTATGAAAAAACATTTATCTCAATATTTGTTCTATTCATAACTTTGGAAGATATCTTATCTTTACAAGTATAAACAAACAATTCCATTTGAATTATTCAAATAAGAGATATCTAAATAATATCTAGTTGAATATATGAATATATATTTATGAACTATGTAAATTATGTGTATATTATCAATAATTAATCTTAAAGTACATTTGTTTTCATGAATAGATATACATTAATTATAAAGATAAGTTCAATTGTAATTGCTTTTAATATATTATTTATATTGAATTGATAATAATTATTGTAATTAAATTATATCATTAATTGACATAAGATGGTAATATAATGAATTCCACGTATTTTAGGCATCTCTTTTGAATATGGTTTAAGGATAACCAATAATTGAAGTCACATTAGATGGAATAGAGACTCGTAAACACACAAGATTTGTTGACAAATAATTAGGAGCTTTAAGATTACCAGTTTACACTGTAATTAGATTATTAATTCATTAGGGTGATGATGATATCTCAGGTGTAGTGGAAGTTAAGATGAATAAATAAAAAAAAATAGAACATCTAGGTATAAGAATTGAATTGGTGGGACGTATAGGTAAAAGTAAAATTCAATGATCAAGAAATTATTAATGATTAAAAACAGAGTTCAGATTTTATGTCTATGTCTAGAGAATTAGAACCTTAAGGAATCTTATTTGAAGACAAAGCATACAAATTTTAATTTTAGAAATTTGAAAAGTAGAATGAGAGTTATTATGGCAATACTGTGAGATTAAGATATTACTTAAAGATTTATATGACTAGAAGTTATGGTAAAGTATAAAAGGAAGTGGATTTTGCTGTTTTAATTCCATAACCAGAAATAGAAGAATAACCTTAAACATCATTAAAATTAGAAGTAAATATCAATTATTAAATAGGTTGGTATTGAAGAATGTTTGCATATTGATTTTGAATATTTCAAAAGTAAATATCATTTAAGAGATGTTGTAACAGGAAAAGTTAATTTCTATTTAGTCAAAATCAAAATAAAATATATGGAATTATCAGTGATTAGAAAAGAATAATTTGGTCAAGGTCAATAATAATAAACAGATAATGAGACACTTGTAAAATATGAATTAATGGATGGTTGTCCTTAAAAAGGAGAAGTCATTCCAATTAGATTATATTTAAGTGGAGTTGATGTGACACCATCTGTTAAGAATGTTAATGGTAAATTTAGTGTCAAATACATTCTAAATTTGATTTTAGTAGATGAAGATGATAGAAGATATTTTAAATAATAAGAGATAACAATTTATAGAAAAAAATGATTTATTAATATCATTATAACACACATCTATATAAATCATTATTATTATTATTTATTATACTATACTCTATTTTAATATTGAACTATGTCACTTAATGATCTAATTCTATTTTCATATTCTCTTATCTAATTACTCTAACCCTATATTATTTAATCTATTTTCTCTGATAATCCACTATATATCTATTCTGCTAATCCTAAAAGGAATCTCTATGCATCCTCAACATTATTAGGATAATAAAATTAATAGAAGTTTTAATGTTATAACAATTATTAATGATACTATTATTATTGCATCATTTAATATTAAATATTTTTGAATTCCTATTCATTTGATAAAATTGCTTCATTTGCATCTATAAATGAAGTATCTAATACTAATTCTTAAGATTATTCAGTAGGACTTTATGAGAATCTATGATTATGACTTTGTGTTGTTGTAACTTAATCTTTGTTGTTTAAGTAAAATTATTGTAAAAAATGATATTGTTTATTTATTTTCTACAATTTCTCTTAATATCTTAAATTAGAATTAATAAGTATTTAAATTTAATTCTAAATACATAAGAAATAAAAATTACTTCGAAATTATCACAACGTCTTTCAAGTTCATTATTGGTAGTTTCAAGTGCTTTATTTAATGTCATTTCTCTTTAATAATTCTTTTTCAGTTCTTCTAATGCTTTATCATATTATTTCAATTTATCTAATAAGTTTCCATCAGTTGCCTTTCTCATATCTTATGCTTAATAACTTTATCTTTTTGCATTTAATTCTTATATTATTATTGCTTAGCTAAGATTGAGTTTAGGAATTTCTTTAGAATTTTTAAACTTTTAATTTTCCTATTATGATTTAAAGTTCTCTTATTTAACTGGTAAAGGTGAAGCCAAAGGAGAATTATCAACAGAAGACATAGCTTCAGATTCAGATGAATATAAATTTTCATCCTTATTCATTGCATAAAGAATATTTTGTTGAACTAAAAAATATAATAAATATATGGTTACATTTAATTAATTGATGAGGTTATGGATCCATTTATTATTGTTATTATAAAATAACTTTATTTCCATTAGATGTTAAGGCTGCATTCTTTAATGAGATAAGATTAGTAATTAATTTCTAATTTAAAAATAAAATTTACTAGATTTAAGCCTTGTAATTGTTTTTTTTCAGCTTCAATTTTTTTATTCTTTTTAATTTATAATATTAAGAGTTCATTTAATATTTCAATCTTATCATGAAATTCTTTATTGATTTTGTTAATATCAGTAATTTATTTATATTTAATAAGAATACCAGACTATTCATCAAATTCTGGCTTTAAGAATTCCAATTTGCATAATTAAGATTCAGCCTTGCTTAAATTATTTTATAATGTTGTAATTTTGTTTTGAAGTGATACAATTAATTCTTTTTCATGTCTTTATGCTTCTTCAGTGATTTATTAATTGATTAATACTTAGTTTTATGCTTAATTTCTTTCAATTATAAGTTTCTCTATTTATGAGTTTAATTTGGCATTTTCTTCTTGAAGATTCTTGAGGACCATTAGTAATGCCTTATTTTACTCATCGTTATTTTAAGGAGTCATTATTTTTAAGGCTTTTTTGTTGAGTTGAAGGAGATTATTAAGCTCCTTGAGTTAATCATTCAATTGTTTGTTTTCTTATTTCAAATAATCAATAAGTTCTTAATGTGAATTGTTAGTAATGTATTAATAAGTATTGGTGGATTTCATAATAATAATTATATTAATGATAAAGACTTAATGTTGGATTAAGCAATAAAGTATATGATTGAACAAAAGAATTTGTATTTATAAAATATATGTATAATTCATATTACTTCTGCCTCTACCACAAACATATTAAATATAGCCAAAAACACACTATATTTAGCAACTTTTTCTTTAGATATAATTTACAATCCCTCTTCTTTAAGCATGATTTCGAAATCCTTTTCATAAGTAATACTCCCAAAATCTATTGTTGTGATGTATTTTAAGTGTGGCTTAATTTTTTCAAGAATCACTGTTTTATAGTTTCTATAAGGTTCCAAAGTCAATAAAAAAAAGATAGAACCTCCTTTGCTCAATCTTTGTTTTGCAATTCTCAATGCTCGTATTCTATCGGGCATTATCATGAAAGATGAAGAAAAAATCACAGCCTCATATTGTTCTTTTGAATTTTCTAAATCATAAAAGTTTTATTCTCTTATCTCTACATTCTCATTTTATTTGAATGTTTGTCTTGCATATCTAGGATTTTAATATTTAATCATACCTCAAATAATTTGTATCTATGTCTATTCCTACTACACGAATTCTTGAAGGAATCCTATTTATTATCTATTTCATGGGATGTCCAGTACCTACTCCAACATCTAAGATTCTTTTAACATTTGACATCTTTTTCTCCAATCTATCGCACATCATTACGTAAGTCCATCTAAATATTTATTACTTATTATACTTTGTGTAGAATCTACTGTACAATAAATTGTATATGTAGACAGGTAAGTAACTCAAAATGCTGATAAAAAATCCAATAATCTTTGCTAACATCTCTAATAAAATATATTATTAAGTTTAACAATTCACATGGACATTTAATTGTCAATTTTATTACATTTAGATAGTCATCAATGACACGTCATTTATATGCAAATATGTAATTAAATTAAGATTAATTTTGTTATTTATTTATTATTTATTTATTTAATAACTAAATATATAATTTTTTGCACACTATTCATATTAATTAATGAATATCCATTTACAATACTATTAAAACAATCATATTTTAATTAAATACTTTATTATCCTCCTTTTTTAAGGTTTACCTAAGTAATATAAACTTTTAGTTATTAATAATTTTAATTAATATATTTTACCCCCATGGCAATTTTTGAGAATAAAATATTTACTACCCAAGATTAATTTATAGACTATTCTATAAATATCAAAGTTAAATGAGTTTTATTCACATTATATTAAAATTATTATACAACAAATTAGTTATTCAATTAGATAATCAGTTTGTATAAAAGATGAAATAAAAATAAACTATCTTTAATAACTATATGTTAGAGTGAGTAAATAAAAACTATTGATTGAAATATAAAGTGAATTGCAATCTATCAGTATGGGGCTTATTAAAGATTAAATACCTTAAAAATCCTAATATATTATAATACTCTCCTTAATACTATACATGAACAATCAATATTGCTAACTTAAAGACTTAAATTCTATTTGAGTTTATGAATGATGATCAATATCCAATATTCCTATTTTCGTTTTTAGTAATACATTTAGGAAAACAATATATAACCTAAATTAAATATAATAGATGGATTGATATTTTTAATTATTATAAACATGAAATATATGATTTATTACATAAGTATAACAATAATATTTTAAAGATTTTATTGAGATATCAACAAATAAATATCAATAAAATTATTTATGAAATAAAGGAATTATTTATTCAAAAGGGTTTTAAGAATTTTAAAATCAACTTTTAGATTATTAAATGATAAATTTGTTATTAAGATGATCTAACATTCTTTAATTTTGAAAGAAATATATAGGAATATTTAAATGATGTACAATAATCTAACTGTCTATTTATGATTGAGTTAAGCAACCAAATTAGATGATAAAAGCAAAGAATAGATTAAAGATTTAATCAATTATTTAAGAAATATAATTTGACTCAATCTCAAATAACAAGAATATGTTATTTAATACATTAAAAATTATGTTTTATTATACTCATATAAATTAAATAGATGAGATATCAGAATTAATAATTTAAGTTAATTATTTTTATTGAATTGATTATAATATATTATTTTTATTATTTTATCAATTTTATTATTTATTTCTTTATACATCTAACTTTAAAATAGCACAATAATAACTAATTATTAATAGCTTAAAGTAATCCTATTCAATATTTTATTGGTGAATCTAAGGAAATGAAATAAGCACTTCATTTATCTTTTATAAAGCTAAAGGATCATTTATAATTTATGGATCATCTAATTATTATAGTAATTTTTATAACATTTTCTATAAGGATTATACAAATTATATAATACTTCTAAGAAAGTAATCATTTAAAGTTATGAATTAACTCTTAAGTCAAAATTTTTATTAGATTATGAATTTTGTTATGAAAACAATGATGTAATGCCTATCATCTCTTCTGATTGGGGTTCAATCTTACTTTAGGATATTTACATTTTATTATTTTCAAGTTCAAATAAATTTGTTTAAGTACTAAATGGATCAAAGCATAATAAATATTTAAAGAAAGATGTTTAATTTTCTGATATTTCTGCTTCAGCTAAATTTTATAATTATGTATGTAATTTTAAATAATTATTTGGATTATTATCTGTAATATACCATCCTATTATATCTATTATTAATTTAACCTACAATATCCAAATTTTTAAAGAGATTCCATTTATCTCCTTTTAAACGTAATTATTATCTTTCCTTTAAAAATTCAATTTCCACATGAGTTAATTCACCTTAACCTGAATAACTAATCTCAAAGGAATCCAAGATATCAGTCTTATTAATCTTGGCATTGTAAAAACCCAGTAATATACCAGCATGAATAGTTTTACTAGGGAAATTGACTTTGTTAGTCAATATTTATGAGGAAATGCTTAATAGCACTTATGGATGTACATTAGTTTATTACATTAAAATTTATATATTTTAATAATGTTTTCTGATAATTAAATCAGTCTCTTTAAACGAAACTCTAAATTTTAACCTCAATTAGCTTCAATTGAGAATACTAAACCAATTATTGATACAACAAAGTTAATTAAATATTCTGATCCTGTTCATAAGACATTGTTTGAATATCAACAATATAAAAAGAATTATAATTAAATGAAACAATCAAAAATAAAAAAAATACTATCAAAATCAGTAGATAAGACAGCCAAATAAATTATTAATAGCAATAGTATGATGTCATCATCTGTTGATTACAAAATGAAATCAAGTGGACGCAATTTAAAATATAATTAAAGCACTCAAAGTGTAATATCTGAAAGTAATATTACAAAAAAAGGAGTTCTCTATGATGGAATCAATACTTAAGTTTATCGAATTCTAATTGAAGGACATTTCAATTATTATGCTCTTAAAATAAGCAAAGTTAATATGAATAAATGCACAAAGGAAATATATTATCTTAAATAATTAAGACATCCAAATATTATTGAACTCAAACATCATTATGTAATTTATGATAAATCTAATGTATTTTATATTAAATTATCTAGGATAATAGGCCTATGTTATATGAAATTATGCCTTTAATGAGTTGCAATTTAAGATCTTTTCTATAGCAATTCTACAAACATTAGAATGTTTAGGAGAATACTAAAAATATAGATGCTAAATTGATTAATCAAATTAAATAGGAAAAGAAAGCTAAATAAATCTTATTTAAGTTATTTATCTATTAAATTGTGAGAGCAATATCTTATTTACATCATAAGAATATTACTCATAGAGATCTTAACCCTAGAAATGTATTGATTGATGTTGATACACTCAGTGTATAACTCTGTGATTTTAACAGTGCCAAATAATTGTTTTCTTCTATTCCTTCTCCTAATTATATTGGTGAACGTAATTACAGAGCACCTGAATTATTATTAGGATCTAAATTATATAATTAGTAAGTTGATATTTGGAGTTTAGGTTGTATCATTGCAGAATGTTTTTTAGGTAAATAATTATTTAATGGAACCAATACTGTAGAAACAATGGCAGATATTATTAGATTACTTGGAACACCTACACTTTAAGAAATGAAAAATCTAAAATCTTAAATATTAGATCTTAAAATGCCTGAAATTCCTAAATTTCCAATGGCTAAACGTTTTTAAGAAATTGAAAATGATTAATTGGTTGATTTATTAGAAAAAATCTTTGTTTATGATCCTAATTAAAGAATATCTGCATTTGATATTTTATTACATCCTTTTTTTTAAGAATTAAAATAACCAAATATTAAAATTAATTCGAAATCTTTGCCTAATTTATTTAATTTTACTAAAGGTATTATAATTATTTATTTAAAATTATAGAAGAGTTATCATCAAATGAATATGAAATGAATAAAAATAGATTAATTCCAATATGGTTTACAGAGAAATAAAAAAGATTTGAATATTTAACAACTAGTATGGATGATGCTAAATTATTATTAGATAAATGATAATAATATTATTATATTATATTATATTATCTCATTTAAACACAAAAATATTTTGATCAAACAAACTTATCTTTATCATCATTATTTGTGAATTGTTTAGCAAAATGCTTTATTAGTATAAACATTATCAAACAAATAGATATAATTGTAAATTAGTAATTATCAATATTCAATTAATAAATTATATCGTTCTATTAACAAGATGTCTAAAATTGATTCAATAATTCTTCAATTGCTGTTATATGTTAATCAAATAATAATTAAGCAAATTCTGTATTATTGCTAATAATCCAACTATCTATCCATGTTTAAATTTGATTAATTTATTAAAATTTGTCTTTAATTTATTTAAATTAATCATAATCTCTAATGTAAGATATATATGATTGTAAATTATCACATTAACTTTTATTATTAACTAATTTTAAGACTTCATTAGTAAAATTAAACTAATATTAAAATTCTATGAAATCCAAATTTTAAGAAAATTCTTTTATATACTTAACTGGGTTTGTTGAAAATAAAATGTTTTCTGTTAAATGTTTATCGATCTTATGATGTATGATAATGTAAAATTCATCAGTAAAATAATATTTTTTCAATTCATTATATTATTCCTTTAATTCATTATTACTCAATAAGTTTTAATATTGATAATAAACAACTATGGCTTAATTTTTAATATAGGTAATTTCTGGATTTAATTTTGTTTTTCCAAATGAAAATCTTGTGTTATTGAAATAATTTGAAAAATTAGAATTCAAAATATTTTTCTTGACATCTTAATTTTGTAAATTTGGGATATAATTATGACTAGTACTTATTAATTATCTATTCAAATAATTTGGCAATCCAATCTGTAAATGATAAATTAATTCTTACACTATTTTATTAATCTAATATTAAAAATGTGTGGGTATATATTTATGCTTTGATTAATGCAAAATACAATATTAATAACATATTTATTAAAATGTGTTTAATAATTTAATACATTTTATATAGTATCATTAAAGATTAATAAATCTGAGTTTCTTATTCTTTATTTTTAAAATGAAAGTTTGTTCATCCTTGCAAATAAAATAGATTAATTATTAATTCAACTTCCCTTAAATTGTAACTTCTTATTTATTAATTACTATGTCATTCTTTGAACTAGAAAGAATTTTCATCTTTCCATCAGAAATTAAGATGCAAAAATCACTAATAATATATAATTTCCATTTCTCTGATCGAATCTATTATTTAAATTATAAAATACTTATTTTTATTCTCTAAGTAGAATTGGAGTACTATAATGATTGAAAACATGATACAATGAAGTATCAATTTATTATTCATTTAATTTAACAATCTATTAAGATGATAATTATTCAATAATCTATTAAATATATTTTGAATTCAAATTATCTCCATTATTAATTGTTTGGATATTTTAAAAGAAACATTTGAAAGCATTTTCTTTATCATATTTATCACTTTCAATATCTAATATTACAAGGGCAAAAGTAAACATATGTAATGATTCTTCTGATTTAAATGGAAAAGTCTGAGGCTTTGAATTATAATAATTGAATTCATAAAATCTTCTACTAAATTCTTTTACTAAAATGTCTAGTATAAATGGATCATTCTAAACTAATAATTTACTAAATAATCTTTATAATGAATCAATAAGATTATCACTCATAACTATTTTATCAATAAATAATTTCAATATTTGTTATTATTCTTATAAATTAATGTTGCATAGTAATCTTATTTTAATATATTTTATTTATACTTTGATATTTATACTTTATTTTTTAATTCAATATCCTAGAACAACCAATTAATAATTGATTGTGGAGTAGGTTTAATCATTTAAGTGGCAATCATAAATGAAATACCAATTATTGAGGAATGATTGAATAAATCTAAAGCTAAGTTTTCAGAATTGTAATCATGCTTTATAAGTTTAACTTAATCAAGAAAGGTGACAAGTTCTTTAGATGAATTTTACAAAAGTACTAGCTGATTTAAAGAATACTAAATATATATAATGGTATTTATACCATTTCATCAAAAGACCTAGGAATTGAATTTTAGTGAAATATTAAATTACGACTAATTTTTGAAGACAATTCTTTAAAACAATCCTAAATGTCTTTCTGTTCATTTCCTTCAGAGATGTTTGATTTGCTTATAGAATCTTATAATCCTTAATTCTCTTTTTCTTTTGAAATTAATTTAGTAGGAGATAAATTAGGACTAATGAGTTTTCCTTAGGATACTTTCTCACATAAACTATTACATTCCTGACTTTTTCTAATAATTTAAGTAGAGTTTACAATCTTTATTATTTAAGAAACTGAAAATATTCTTCATGCTATCTTTAAGCAGGATCTATTCTCTTAACTTGTCTCTCAATACATGAATTCTATATATCTAAAGACGATTTAAATATTTCAGAGGTCATTTTATCCCTTACTAAATCTTAGGCCAGATTTCCTTCTCGATTTCTTATTTTTGGGTCTGCACCTGCTTTTAGTAAGACTGAACAAACTTAAGCTCTTTAGTAAAAAGCTGCTACATGTAATGCTTAAATTTAGACAATAATCTATACGAGTCCATCCTGCCATATCTGTAATATCTATATTAGCATTATTATTAATTAGTTCTTAAACTACTTAAATTGATCCATATCTTGATGCTATATGTCTAAGCAAATACTTATAAATTCAAGAATTACAATGGAGATGTTCTATCTTCATCCAAAATGTTAATGTTTATCCCATTATTTAAGTAAAATCTGATTAACCCTAAATTACGTCCTGATGCTGCCTTGAAAAAGTTCTTCTCATTTTCTGTTAAATAGGCAGTAGACTATTATGTGATTCGACCTTTAAAAATGTTTAGTTACATACCTCTTGCTTTATCTACTTCAAGTCCAATTTATAATTCATTTGGATCAAAAGTTTCATGATCTTAAGCCATGCATCCTAGACAATTTGCAGGATTTCTTCTTTTATGTTAAATTGTATTTCCCATTAGAGTAATTTATTAATTTATATAGCTATATATATAAAAAATCATTTAGGAAGTAAAGGGAAAAAATCCTACTCAGGCTAACATTTTCAATATTAGATATTATGTTTTTTGAGTTGTTTTTATTAATTTTCTATTATCTTTTTAAGGTTAACAATTTCTTACTTTAATTGTTATTCTGTTATTTATTATTTTTTTTAAGTGATTTCATATGAATTGATGATATCTTTAGTTTTGATTAATAATTTCTTTAACTAAGATTATAATTTTTGATTAACTGTGCATTCATCTTCTTAAAAAGGATTTACAGATTTCGGTAATATTTTTTCTATTATTTTATTACTACTGTTAGATTTTTAATTTTGTTTAGATAATCTCTAATTATAACTAGTGCTGTTTGTTAAACTGATTGTTGTTGATTAACTTGATATTTTATGAGCATGATTAGCTTTTAATTCAATTTATGTTGATTCAGTTTTGCATCTACTCTCATTTGTACCTTCACCTTTTTGTAAACTTCTAGATTGATTTTGAAAAAATTCATTGAAACTATTTAGATTACCATAATTAATCATTGTTGGTTAACTATTTTATGCACGATGTGTTGCCATTTTTATTTTTGGTGTTCTAACCTGTACTATTAACATTAATAAATATATAGAAATTAAAATATTTAACACTTTAACTAATAAATGCATTATTAAGTGTTTAAGGATTATCATAATGTATATATTTAAAGTAAATTGTAAAAAAGAATTTAGAATTTATGTATTAAATGCATTTTTAATGTTTTGCTGTGATTTATATTTCATAAATTAAAGATATAAATTTTTTTCAAATTCATTCATGGGAAGAGTTAGAAATAAGACAGTTAAGAAAGCAGCTAAAGTCCTTATTGAAAAATACTACATGAAACTCACTTCAGATTTTCATTTCAATAAAAAGATCCTTTCAGAAGTTGGATAAGTACCATCAAAAAAATTGAGAAATAAAATTGCTGGATTTGCAACACATCTTTTGAAGAGAATCTAAACAGGATCAGTTAAGGGTATCTCACTCAAAGTAATGGTCACATTTCAAACAATAGATTTAAGAAGAAGAAAGAGAGAGAAGATTGGATTATGTCCCTGAAAAATCATCTATTGATATTGACAATCTTAGAGGAGATCAAGATGTTAAAAGAATGCTTGAAAAAGCTGGTTTGGAAATTGACATTCCCATTGATGAACCTGTTGTCGAAGAAAAATAATAAAAATAACCAAGAAGAGGATAAAGAAGATAATAATGATTGTGAAAGTACATTTATTAAAGTAAAAAAGCATAAAAAAATACATCTAATATTTAATATTCATAATGCAGATTTTCTTTTTATTTCATTCTCCGTTTATAATCTTAATTAATTTAGTATGAAAACTTTTTAATCATTAACATAATTTGTATTTTCATCATCAAAAGTATTCAATCTCTTTGATTTTTGTCTCTATGTTCCCTATTATTATAAATCTTCTTGTAATTTTATATTCAAATTTGTACCACCAGTGCTCTCTGCAAAATTGTTTTCATTTTGATTATAATAAAAATTCTTAAGAAAGATTTCTTTTGGAAAATTTTCTAATAAATTTAATTGTAATGGTTTAATTTGCAAAAGAAATTCACTTTCTCCTTTTCCAAATTCTTCTTCATCAAAATTGAATTAAAAGTAATCTGGTTTGAATGGAGGATCAATCTTCTTCATTAAAAAATCTTTATATAAATTCTTATCACTCCATTAAGTCATCCATGGATGTTTTAAAAGAGAATCAATATTATCTATTCTTTTTTTTGGAGTTTTTGCTAATAAATTATTCAATAAATCTTTTAAGAGTTATGACATTTATAATTAAGGTGGAAAACTCAATTTTTAATTAAGTATTTTCTAATAGATTTCATCTGTATTTCTTGAATAAAAAGGTGGTAAACCAGTTGTTAATTCATATAACAAAGCTCCTAAACAATAAAGATCCAATTAGAATGTATGACCTTATTTTAATAACATTTCAGGAGCCATGTATTCAGGAGATCCACAAAATGAATAAGCAACCTCTTAATTTTCCATATGAGGTTTTGATAAACCAAAATCAGCTATTCTAACATGCCCATCAAAATCAATTAGAATATTTTCTGGTTTGATATCTCTATAAATAATATTATTATCATGTAAATTTTTCATTCCCAAACAAATCTCTGCAAAATAAAAAAAGGCTTCTTCTTCACTCATTCTTTTTACCTATCATTAAAATAATATTAATACTTTTCTTAAGAGATAAAATAATTCTCCTCCTGAACAATATTCTAATACAAAAACCAAGTATTTTCTAGATTCAAATGCATATTGCATTTTAACAATAAAAGGATGATTTAAATTAAACATAATATCTCTCTCATTTTGTATAATGTTTTATTTATTTTATTACATAATAGGCTTTTTCTCAATCAATTTCATTGCATAAAATTAGCCAGTCTTTTTTTCTCTTACCAAATAGACTTTAGAGAATCCTCCAACTCCTATACATCTTATAAATTCAAAATCTTTCAAACTGACTCGAGATTATTTAAGTTCCTATTCAACATTAATTAAAGGTTCAATAATTAATGGCTACATTGGACAATTTGATAATAAACACAAAGGTCTTTCAATTTTAGACAGAATATAATCAACAGGAATAGATATATTGGCTGTTTTAATTCCAATTATTGGTTAACATGAATTTCCAAAATGATTCATTATTTCTTATTTAATTGTTTCTAAAAGCTAAGATATTTTATTTGTTGAGATATCAATAGTTATTTTTTATTTAAATGATTTATACTAAATAATTATAGCCATTAAATCTTATTAGCATTTTCTATGTTAATTAAATTATTATTACCTAGTAGTCGTTGGTTTTTTTTTATCTGGAGTAAATTCAATAAGAGGTTAAGAACTAGCATGAGTTTAAAATTTTTATGTTTCTATGAATTATGCACTATTAGATTTCTAATGCATTTTTAATTAGCCTTCTAAAGGTCCTAAGGTAGGAATTTGTTATGATTAATTTTTGGCACTTTAAATTGCTAAGGTCTTTTAGATATTTAATCTAGATAATAAATCTAATGATTATTTCTATTTGATTTCCTATATTGCTTATTATGCCTTTTATTTCAAATTTTGATCTGCTTTAGTGGATGCAGAAAAAGGTAATGTTTTCAAAATGTCTTATTATAATAATTGTTTAGGAGCTTTGAGTAATAAAATATATCTAAGTACATGTAATTGTATATTCATCCAATACATTTTCTATTGATTTGATTTTTGTTTATGAATTTTGATGAGAATGTGGTTGTGTTTTCATGTGATTTCCATTACTTTTCACCTATGTTTTCTAATTAATCCTTTCTTAACTTATTATTTTAGGTGACATGAACCCTCTAGATTTAAGCACATTTTATTGTTATATTTTTCTTGAGTTTTACCTATATTATGTATTTAATTACTACTATTATGATATTTTTAAGTTTGGTTAAGAATTATTAGATTTCAGCAAAGGACTTTATTGTGGACCAATTGATTTCTTATTTGTGTACACAAATTTATACTTTTTACTCCAATTAAAATGTTGGAGAATTAGACTTTCGAGCATTAAGTGCTTCTCTAGTTGATAAATAATTCATTAATGCTTGACTTGACAACTCTGTTGATTATGTTTTTTAATGTTGCTTCTTTTGGAGCATTACTTTTTAGTTAGTTATTATTAAATAATAATAAATGGTAAATATATTGTAAATCATTCATTAGTAAATAATAAAATTATTTTTTTAATCGCTATGAAATACAATTAAATCAAAAATTAATTAGATTTCAATCTAAAATTTCAATTATTATTGACATCTTGAAAACAATTTAAAAGGAGATCTATTAAATAAAAGGTTTATTCTACCTTTAATTATTTCTAATTTATATCTAATGATCATAGAACTAATCATCATTACATATAATTCAGCTTTAGCTAACAGTATATGATATTTGTAATTATATTAGATATAATTATTGTAATTGATTTGTATTATTTATTATAAATCTTAATCTTTGAGAAGAATTATAATATTCATTAATTAAAATTAATTTAGATGTAAAAATGGTTAGAGAATTAATATTATTAAAGATTAAATACTTCTTGGATTTGAAAGTTAATATTAAATATAATTATAATACTTCATTTTTTACATTAAATAATAATTAATTTCAATCATTATTTTATCATCATTATTATATTTAAGTTGATATATACATTTGAAAAATTATTTAGGTTTTAATTTTTTTGTGATGACTTAAAAATTTGATAATGAAAAATTTAATAATTAAATTTTTAACAGAAACATCTAATAAATGTCGATATAGATAGCTAATTTACCAGAGTTTAGTTATAAATCAATTCCAAAGAGATCATTAGATCTTGAGAACTTCTTTAAGGAATTCGAAATGAAGTAATTCTTAGAAGAATGTAATTACTCACAATAAGAATTATATGTTGAATGCCGAAAAATGAGATAATTTCAATAGAAAAGAAAATTGAAACTAAACAAATATATAAATAGCTATCTAGAAGCACCTTCAATAATTAGTCCTGTATAATTATTGCTTTGAATTCAGAATTTATATGTTTCAATCAAATTCATAAACAGTTAGGCATAATATTATAATTGTCATTAAAATTATATGAGAATCATTCTTAACTGATACATTATTTCTATAAAGAATCGAAAACTAGTTCTAACTAATCATTTAAAGTCTCTTTTGCCATCTCTCCTAATCAGATATCTAAATTTAATCAAACACTATCTAAAATGACTTTTAATTTAGAAATATCCTTTTAAATCCTTTATTTATAGCTATATAGATATCTTAAAGCCTGAAAGTATTATAATTCTATTTAATAGTGCCATCTTTATTGATATTTCATTATTCACTCAATTATTTTAGTGGTAAAAACATTTCTAAATATAATTTAGGGTGCCTTTGTTTATTATTATTCATAGATGTTATATATCTCATTAAATCAATTATATAAATTAAAATATTATAAAATTATGATAACATTTGAAAACAATATCATGAGATTATTCAAACTGAAAGTTGAAGCTTAAGAATTAATTGATATAAAAGCTCAATGTTTTAATTTCATATTACTTTAGAGAAGTATAATCAATTAGATGCCATTTCTTAAGCACAAATTAATTAATATAGATAAGAAATCGATGCTTTGAAATAGTAATCTGTCGAATTGTAAGATCATTATGAAAAACAATCTCTTATATTTTAATAAAAGATTAACTCTTTGTCAGAAGAAATTAAAATTTTGAATTATGAAAATGATAAAACAGAGAATAATTATCAAAATGAAATGTATTCACCTTTATTATATTAAAGATAAGAACTTAATAGTGTTATCTAATAATTATAAGAAGGAATCTAAAGTCAATAATCAAAATTCTAAAAAGAAATTGATAACCTCAAATTAATGCACAACTAAGAACTTTATATTCTCAAGAAAAGAAAATGAAAAATATATTATACTATATAAATATTATTTAATTTAAATAAGATATTCAATGGTATTTAATCTATAATAATCTCTAGCCTAAAGCAGCTAAAACCAGCAAAGCTAAGAAAATATAGAAAAAAGTAGCTGATAGAAAAAAGAATCCACTCTTTGTTAAAGAAGCTAAGAACTTTAGAATTGGAAATGATGTTTAACCAAAAAGAGATTTATCTAGATATGTAAGATGGCCAAGATATATCTTACTTCATAGATAAAAAAAGATTTTATTACAAAGAATCAAAGTCCCAGCTGCTATTAATTAATTCAGCAAAACACTTGATAAAAATTAATGTAAATATTGTTTCTATATATTCAAGCATCTAAAGTATTGGCTCTATTAAAGAAATATTCACCAGAAACAAAAACTGAAAAGAAATAAAGATTAACTAAATTAGCTGAATAAAAAGCATAAGCTTAAAAACCAGAATCAAAGAAAGTATAAGTACTTAAATTTGGATTAAACCATGTGACTACATTGGTTGAGACTAAAAAAGCTAAGCTTGTTGTAATTGCTTATGATGTTGATCCTATTGAACTTGTTGTTTGGTTACCACAATTATGCAGAAGGCAAGAAGTTCCATTCTGTTTTATCAAAAGTTATATATATTTATTTATTATTAGATAAAGCAAGATTGGGAACTTTGGTTCATTAAAAAACAGCCACTTGTGTAGCTTTGACTGAAGTTAGAAAAGAAGATTAAGCTGAATTTGACAATTTAGTAATATTATATAATATCACAAGGCAAGAGATTTAAGATAACATTATAATGAAAACCATGAATTATTGAGAACTATTGGAGGAGGATAAGTTGGAATTAAATCAAGACATCAATAAGAAGCATTAAAGAAAGCATTAGAATTAGAAGAATTAAAAAAGACATCTTAATGAACATGTTTACATTAATAAAATAGTATATTAACAATTTAATCATTTATAATGTATTAGAAAAAATAATTGCCATTATTATATATATTTATAATTTTATAATTATAATTACAATTTAATTGTATTTAAATAAGAAACAATAGAAACGATTGAAAAGAGATACAAATTCAGTATAAAATGATTATGATGCTTGGAATATAGTTGATGTGGATATATTGTTAGAGGAACCTCAAGAACCAATAGAAATGGATAGTAAAAAAAAAAACCTTAAAAAACATAAATTAATAATAAAATAGTAGTTAAAGGTGGTAGAAATGTAGTTAAATCACAAGTAATTTTTAATAAAGAACAAGATAATGAATTATTTAAACAGCCAGAGTTTTAAAGTGCAATTAATAAATATATAGAGTGTATTAAAGAATTAAATTAGAAATAGTCTTTATATGAAGAATAAAAAGAATTACTTATAATAATTTATTCGAGTCGAGCCTACAAGAAATAGGTAAATAGAATGAAGCATTAAAAGATAGAATTGATCATTATGTATTTGAATTGGAATAAAACTAATCACTCTACTTAAAAAAAATATTGAACTTTTAATATTTCTAAGATATACTTGATGGGATAATATAAATTTAGTTGAGTTTTTTAAAAAGCACTATTATTAATTGTATTCGATATATACAAAATTATTTGAATTAGTTTAAGAATGATAATAAATTATTATAATATATTTATTTTTATATATTTATTTATTAATGAATGCAGATAAATTGAAAAATTTAAAGAATTTCTTTGATTCTGAATATTTTACTCCTGAAATGCTATTACAAAATATTTCAAAATACAGAGAGTAACCTGATATCCTGAATTTATTATACACTATTATGCTAAATCTAGAAGATAAAATAATTTCATTCTATTCTCCATAATTTTGTTAATTGTTAATCAAAACAGAAATTCCATAACTATTTGATTTTTTTAAGAAAAAATGCAGTTAATCAAGACCTTTATTTTTTAATGTATGAATTTTAATAAGAATAAGTTATATTGGTTACTTGGTGCTTATTTATAATTAGAAAAACAGAAAAAAAAGAAAGAAAAAATAGATTTGTTTTTAAGGGTATTAATTTTTTACTTAATTAAAAAGCAAATGGAAATGTCTATGGTGAATGGAGAGTTTAATGAAAAAACATTTGAAATTTAAGATTAAGAACAATTGAATCAAATTTTATTGAAAGATTTTTAATAAAAAGATCTGAGATAAGAATATTTTACAGAAATGTAGAAATTTATGGGAACTCTTATTAAGCATTCATTAGTATTGAAGGAATTTCCAAAAGATGATAGAAAACTTCATTTAAAATTATTGATATAAAAGCAAAACTAAAATTTATAAAAAATAGTGAAAAAATTCTAATTTGGAGTAGTATTACCATTTTATGATGAATAAGAAAAAGATAATAAATCATAATACATTGTAAATATATTAGAAAAACATTAAGTGTGTTTTCACACAAAGAAAAGAGTACCTTATTTGATATTAGTTGAAACTATTAAGTAATTTATTTATTTATAACAGTTAGTCCTTTAGATTTAGAATAGTATCAAGCTATTCCAGCTTAATCTTAACCAAACATTGAGGTTGCAGGATATGTGGAAGCATAATTAAATGATTAAGGATTTGAGAAACAATTGGCATAGATTGAATAGGAAGAACAGAAACTTTATCATGAAGCCTTAGAAAAGATAATGTAAATGGAAAAGAAGGGAAAAAGATAAAGTTAGATTATGCAAACTATAGATTTATACATGCAGAAACAAGTATTTAGTAATTAAATAAAGAAAAAATAAAACAATAAGGACGTTATGTAAGGTGAAACCTCGAAATTGGATAATGTGTAAAAAAGAAAAGCATCTTTAATTATAGATTCAAATCTATCATAAACTCAAAATAATAAGAAATCATATTCACAAGAAAAAAATGATTAAAAATCAGAAGAATGTTATAAAACATTACAAAAATTATTACCAATTGAGAAATTGCGTATTTTGAAAAAATTTAAAAAAAAAAAACTATAAGTTTGGGAACAAGTATAAAATCTTATGTAATTAGAGTTGGGAAGAAAGAATTGAGAGTTATAAAAAAGATTCTAGATATTCTCATTTCCCTTCATACAAAATACGACCAATTATTATAAAGGGAGGAGATGATTTAAGATAAGAAATGTTTGCAATTCAAATTATGAAATAATTTAATAAAATATTCAAGGAAGCTGAAGTTAATTTATATTTAAGACCCTACTAAATAATTGTCACTTCAGCCAACTCAGGTATTGTAGGTAATTCTTTTAAATATGATCTAGAATACATTCCAAATACTATATCAATTGATGCTCTTAAAAAGATGTTTGGTAATGGTACTAAGACGTTGTATTAAATTTATTAAGAAATTTTTGGAAGTGCTTTTGAGGAAGCTTAGAAAAACTTTATTGAAAGTTTAGCTAGTTATTCTGTATTTTCATATTTGATGTAGGTTAATTTTTAAATAATAAAATTATTAGGTAAAAGATAGACATAATGGAAATTTGTTAATTGATGATAGAGGTCATGTGATTCATATTGATTTTGGATTTCTATTACAAACATCACCTGGTGGTGTTAATTTTGAATCAGCACCATTTAAATTAACATAAGAATATTTAGAGTTGATGATGGGAAAAGAGAGTGATTACTTTGGTTATTTCAAATCATTAATGACAAAAGGATTTTTAGCTTTGAAGAAATATGTAATAGAGATAGAGAACTTTTTTAAAATAATGGTAGAAAAATCTGATTTGCCTTGTTTTGCAAATTTAGACTTAAAATTATTTACAAGTAGATTCTAATTAAATGCTACTGACAAAGAAGTAATTTAATATTTGTATCTTTTAGATTATGGATTTAGTAGATAGATTAATCAATTAGAGTTTATCAAGTTGGAGAACAGCTCAGTATGACAACTTTTAAAAAAGAACTAATGGGATATTGCCATGAAACAGTTAATAATAATTTTATTGTTTATTATTAATATTATAAGCAAATGATCAATAACAACCAACTGTTTTATGAATGTTTAAGAGGACCAACCTCTTAGAGAAGAAATTCAACACCAAACAAATAAAGGAGCAGAATCATTAGAGCCTCCATGTAGATCGAATTAAATTAAACATAAAATCAAGATAATAGTCTTGCTGATTCAGCCATTAGAAGTGTCTCAAGACAAAGAAATTCAATACAAATTGATTAAGTTGATGGAACTATTAAACAAATTACTTAAACAAAAAAGTAAGGTTTGATGAAAAAAAGTTCTAATATTCAGAATCGATATTTTTAGATAAATGATAACTATAAACAATTAATTTTAATGGATCATACAAAAGATCAATCAGATGTTATTTTGAAGTATTTACCAGAAGCTCAAATATTTCTTAATAAAGCAAATTAATAGATATTATAAAATTGGATTCCTACATTACCATAAGATGAACGCAAACAAATTGAGAAGAATAAAAAGTATTTTCCAATACCAAGAAATATACCATTCCATGAAATTATTGATGGATTGAAAATATTATATGGGCAAGGTAAAAATAGAAGATTATGGCCTGGAGAAGAAGCTTTATTGATGGAAACCATTCGATTATATATTGATAAGATTTTATCGAATCCAAAATTACTATTACATAGTGTGGCTTTTACATTATAATAAATAATTAAATTAGCTGGACTTGAAGAAATTTTAAACTATAAATTATGCATGTAATAGTTGGAATGCCATTGGAAAATGATGATCACTAGATTTAGATATAGTGGGTTATCAGAATTGAGTAAGAAATCCTGGCAATATTGGTTAGAATAAGCACAATTAAGAGGTCATTTTCTTAATTTACAAAATGATAATTTATTAACATAATACTTATTAAAACATTAATAAATTGACTGATAATGATGATTTATATAGATGTATATTTATTATTTCACTAAAGGTGCACTGTTTCCGCATAATTTATTAACAATTTTAAGTGTGTACTTGAGGATCCTGCATGAAAAACAGAACATTTTTCTAAGATCTTAATTTTTATTTGTACATAAACATTTTGATTCTATCTCATTTATGTCTCTTTTCAATTGCAATGCTCCACATCTCTTTGCACAATCTTTTGTTGCTCTTACCATTGCATATAAAGCTAAAGCACCAACTCCCCAATCTATTTCTTATTCCTCTGACATTTAATTTATATTTTATTCAATATTATTACTTATTCTCTAACATATATAGTGTAATTTACTTGAAACTAGACCCTCTTTTAACTTTTTAAATAATACACAACTGCTAAATAAAATATAAGTTTTTTTTATTAAATGAAAGGCTACTGTTTTTAACCAAGCTCCAGGGAGATTATAGAAAATCTACAAACAAATAACTAGAGTCCTCATATTGAGTTGGTCTCTACAACCCATAGATTGATGGCTATGTCAACATATTAAAGACCAAAGAAAATAAGGAGAAACACAACTATTTCCATCTTTACGTAATTTTATATAAATAAACAGATAATAAAATGAAAGTGAATCTCCTAAAAAATCTCAAAGATGGCTATTTATGTTGAAGAAATATATTACTATTGTAAGAATATCAATAAGTTTTATTAATTCCTTAAAAGAATATTAAAATAAATAGAAAATAGAAAGACTAGATTCAAAACAATGGAAAAAGGAATCCTTATTACCATTTTATCCTGATGATTTTTTCATTAAAAAATGGAGGATATTCATTGAAGTTTTAACATTTTCAAGTGTCATCTTGTATCCCATTTATATCAATTTCGAAGTTAATAAAGTAATTGAAACTGTAGTTATAGTATTTGACTTATTCTTTTTGATTGACATTTTAATTAACTTTCTAACTGGATATATTGATGAATGCAATAATTTAATAATTGATTTTAACTCCATTTTTAAACATTACTTTAAAACTTGGCTCTTTTTTGATGTTTTGTCTGTAATCCCAGCAATTAATTATGAAAAAGAATGGTTTAAAAAATTCAAAATGATTAGAGTACTGAAATATTTTTTAAATAACAAAGAAGTCACCTATAAAGGACAAGAGAACTATGTTTAACTTATTGAGTCATTAAATCCTGAACAAGAATTTACATTAAAAAGCGGAACTAAATATCTTTTAAATGTAATTATAACATCATGTTTATTAATACATATTTTTGGGTGTTGGTAGCATTACTTCGATTCAGGAGATTATATAACAAATATTTATTGGTCATCCTAAACTATTACTACTGTTGGTTATGGTGATATCAATGCTAAATATGAATTTGCTGTTCTTTGGATGGTCATAGGAGTAGCATTCTATTCTTTCACTATTGGTGATTTTGCTTTAATGATGCAAAAATCAAAAGTAAATGCAGAACAGGATCTTTTATTTTTGATAGAATAATTAGGTCATGCTAAAAATTTCTCTGAAAAATTGAAACATAAATTCTAGTTTTTTGTTAAAAGCAATCTATATCATAATTAATTTTGGTTAGAAGAATATAAGTCTATGGCAAAAGAGCTACCTCATAACTTAAAATTATATTTAACATTAAGTACAATGCTTGATATTTGTAAATAAATTCCATTGTTTTTATATGATATCAATTATACATCTTTATTGTTATTAAATATTAGATATTTGATTGTTGAAGAAGGATTCATTTTATACAGAGAAGGTCAAAGTTCAAGTGAAATATTCTTTTTGTTATAAGGAGACATTCGGATTATGACAAAAGACAAAACAATTCTATTGAATATTTTAGAAGGAACAATTTTTGGAGAGTTTGAAGCTATTGAAGAGAAATTAAGAGGAACGTATTGTGTTGCATAAAGAAAATCTATTTGTTTAGTCATTCCATATAGAATATTAAGAAGAGTTATGTCCCAGAGCTAAATATTGGATTTCGAAATCAGACAACTACATTTAAGAAGAAGAAGATTAATAATCAATAATTTTATAGAAGAAAGAAGTAAATTTTTTAATTTAAATAAGGAAGAAAGCATGCCTATAAAAGGTAAGAAGTGAGATTTTATACATAGTCATTTTTACAAATGACTAAAGAAGAATATGTTTTGAATAAAAAGGTAATCCAAATATTGAGTGTAGAAGAATATAATAAGTCATTATTAAGTAAGATTATAGGTAAAAAGTTACAAAGACTTTCTTAATTTTTGGTCAAATTCAAAAGATCTGTTTAAAGAGTAATTGAAATGAATCATCAATTAGATGAAACTATACCAGAATAATGGAGAGAGTTGAGTAATTACCAATTAATAAAGAGAGTCTTTCCTAAAGATTATTTGTCATAGAAATTTTAATAGATTTCCTTATCAAGAAAATCTTCATCGGTTCATTCTTCAATTAGCAAACTAAGCAAAATGAAATATTCAACTTATAGTTAACAATATTTTTTTCAAAAGCTCCCTGAGATTAGATTAAAACATATAGTTTTACAACATATTAGATTAACTAAAAACAAATTTGTGCCACTTTAATAAATAATAAACAAGTATTCAGAAGATCCTGAATAACTTAATTTAAAGAAAAAGGAAAGTGTTGAAAGGTCAGTATGGACCAAAAAGTTTACAAAGATTTCTCAAACAGTTATTCTACGAATCGATCAAATCTAAGACAGTGGCGATAAATATAATGAAATAATGCAGTCAATGAAAAGGATTGAAAAGTTGTGGCTAAAAGGATCTATGTACAAGTTTGAATGGTTCCAAGATTAACATTCATAATCGAAATAATTTTTAATTTGAAATTCTTACTCATAGAATGAGTAATTGTAAAAATTTATATTTGAAAATTAATCCAAATTAAATTATTATCAAAATACCCTAATATTTCTTTATTTTTATATATTAATGTACTTTAAAAACAATCATCTTGCACCTTTTCCTCTTCTTGCAGTGTGACTAACATATGGTTTAGCATGAGATCCTGGTAAACCAGCAGCTCTGCCGAAATGCTTTAATTCTTCTCTCACTCTTGGTCCTCTCAATAATATTGTTCCTGTGCCTTTGAAATAATTAATGTATAATCATACCTGTTGGATTTTATTATGCTAATTGATCGAATGTCAATGTTTTTCCACCAGCTGCAAGAATTCTCTTTCTAGCTGTCTCAGTGAATCTAAGAGCACAAACATTAATCTTAGGAACAGTGAGTAAACGTACACTAAATGCATGATATATTTTCTTACTCATCTGTAACAGTACCAACAACAACCAATGTTCTTGTCTTATCCTTAGCAGTATTAATTTATTTCACAAGTCTGCTTACACTAATTGGATATCTGGCAGTTCTAGTTTATTAAAGTCTTCTTAAAATTGTAGCATTGAAATTTGAATCTGTTCTTCTAGCTAAGAATTTATATAACTATGGTTAATTCCATAATTTTTACCTTGATTAATAATTTCAAATAGAGGTTTGTTGATGTTACTTTTCTTCCAACATTTCTTTATACTCTTGTCTTCTTATATGCGTCGACTCCCTACCATGATTAATTGTGATATTCATTACCATTTAAAAATAAATATATCTTTATTTAATTTATGTTATATAAATTAAATTTGTTATTATTCATCAATTCACTTCCATATAGTTTATTAACTTCCCTTCTCTCCATTCCCCTTTCTTATAACTACCATCTTATTCATATATTATGCCCTCTCCATGCTATTTTCCATCAAACCATTAACCTTCATATTTTCTTCCATCATTATATAAAAAAACCCCAAATCCATTTTTTTTATCATTTTCATAATTTCCACAATACTTCTTACCATCTGGCCATTAATACTCCCCCTAGCCTTGCATATTATTATCAAGCCACTCTCCCTTATAAATGCAACCATTATTCCATTTATAAATACCGAACCCATTCATCTTATTGTTAAACCAATCCCCATCATAAGAACTTCCATCTGCCCAAATGTATTTCCCTTTTCCATTTTTCTCTCCATTTACATAATATCCAATATAATAACTTCCATCTGGCCAAAATTCCTTCCCAAAACCTTCGAATTTATCATCCTTCCAATTTCCTTCATATCTGTGTCCATTAGAATATTGATATATGCCATATCCAGAACATAAATTATTTAGAAACTATCCTTCGTCTAATTGTTAATATATAGTATTATCACTTACAATAATCCCCATCTATATGCAAGAATCTTCCTTATCCATTCGCTTTATTATTTTTCCAATATCCTTCATATTTTGTTCCATCTATGGTTCTATGATACTTCATTACCCTTCCATTCCATTACTCCATATCCATCTCTTTTATTTCCTACCCACTCTCCTATATATTTACTTCCGTCGTCAAAATCGAAAGTAAATCTTTTTTCTCTTTCTTTTCTATTTTTAAGCTCATCAGCTCTTAAGATTCATTCAAATTATTACGTATTAAATAGAGCATATTGGGCTTCGCTTTTTGTAAAGTAACGATAAGATATTGGTTCCGTTACTTATCTACTCTCTAAAGTTATTTCATTTTCAACATTACTGCAATCGCTACAATGTTATCCCATAATAATAATATTATTGGTTATTTATATAAAATAAGAATTATAATTTCTATTTTTTGTCACAATGGCATTTTTATAAATTATTGCAAAAAAAAAAAGTAGAAAAATTAAACTCAATTTTACTATATATTTTATTTAAGTATATTTAAAATATACAATTATTAATACAATTATTATTATAAATCATTACTCCAATTATTCTAATTATACATCTTTTAATATATTCTTTATTTATTGTTCAAGACTTCTTTTCATTTCTTTATTCGTTTTGCTTTTAATGGCTTTTTCTAATATATTATAGAAGTTTATTCCATGATATTCAGATAAATGCAAAAGTCCACATCTCCAATTGATATGAATTATGCATTTGCTTAAATTCAATAGAAACAGATATTTAAGATTATTTGGTAAATTCATAAATCAGTAGGTTTCTTTGTTTATTTTTTTAAAAACCATAACTTTTTGTTCTTCTCCGTGTCTGAATTAAGACTTTATTGATGTTTCCCATTAATTTTCAATTGCTATGTCCAAAATGATCCTTAAATTATTTGTACTTAACTTCCAAATAGCATTAATTTTATTTTATATTTCTTTTGTTTAAGTGAATAAAATCGGAAGTATATATTAGATTTGAGGTTTAAGATATATATTCCAAAGTAAAATTCTGGTTCCTAGACTAAAGTCTTAGATAGTTTCTTTATTTACAATTCTAAATATTTTATTTTTGATTTGGTAGCATCGACATGATTATGAATATTACCCCTTCCATCAATATCTACTCCAAGGTACTTATAATTTCTTTGAAAAGGAATACCAAGCAATTTTTTTTGTTCTAATAGTTCTATTTTGAATAATCTTCTGGTTATTCTTATTATGGCACATTTTTTTTATTTATTTGGAGATTTAGATTCTAAGAAGCTTAATTAAGACATTATAATTTGGAATCAAGATATTACTACAAAACCGAATTATTCTTTTATAATCTTTTTTTCATAGTATTATTAGAGTATCTTAAAGAACCTCAGTTCAAGCCATTTCATTATAGGACTTTACACTATAATTGGTCTAAATTGATCTTTTTCAGGAATGTTTGGAAAGGCTTTGTTGAGTGGAATCAATCGGTTTTCCCCAAATATTTTCAATTAAATCCGCTGTTGATTGCTGCCACAAATCAGACATTTAATTGTATGTACTATGTTATTTAATCCAAGTATCAGAAATTAGATCAAAGGTTAGTCCTTTTTTTTGTGACATTTTTTCTTTCAAAAATTTGAAATCTTCTAGGGTGATTTGTTGCAATTTTTATTGTTATTTTGGTGAATATTTTTTAATTGTTTAGAAAATGCCAAGTTAATTTAGGCAATTTTAAAGAATTTATTCATTATCAGTGACCAGGTCATTTCCATCAAGAAAACATTTCATTAAACCTCCATCTCTTTTTGCTGGTTTCATGATTACAAGCCAAATAAGAAGGGGAGTTTAGTATTTCTTTTCTTGTTTCTTGAAGGCACATTATATGTGCTCCTGTTTATTTGGCAGTTTTTAGAGTATCATATTTCATTGAGGATACGTTCCATGTGAGGACGATTAATTAATTTGGAGTTTATGATTTTATAGTTTTCATGCATATGCTCGTTTTGGTTATTGTTCTTTTGTAATCATAGTCAGCAGCACAGATCTGACTTACCTGAATTGATTCCTCAAAAATTTTTATTTTTTTTAACTACTAGGTAGAATGGTGTTTTTTTGTAATGTGTTGTTTTAATCCTGTCTTACTTTTAAAGACAACTTTACATAAATTGCAATATCTATTCAGGTCTATTTAGTAGTCATTGTTGGATTCTTATTGTGAAATACCTAATAATTTGGATTCTTCTGTATCATCTATTTAAATGGGCTTTTCTTAGTAGATTAAACTGATTCCATTATCATAATTATTTTGTGCTACACTTTCTTTTGTTTTATGGAAGAATTGATTGGTTTTTTGGTTTTAGTCTATTATAGAAAATGATCTTTCTAAATTCTCATCTTCTTTTTAGTCTATTTATTATCTTTTCTTGATAACATATGGACTATCTAATGAGAAAAGTCCATTTTTCTTAATTAATTTCAAAGTTTATTTGAAAGATCTTCCATAATAGTAGGTGTATTTCCCATTATGTATTATTATTTTAAATCTTGTTAATTGTGAGATTAGTTCAAGATGAGAATATTTTTCTCTGTTGATCCTTTTTTATAGTATTTAAAAATCAACTTATCTATTTAAAATGAAATTATCAAAAATTCCATTTGTGAGTATTTTTAAAGTTGTGTAGATGTCTTGAAATTTGCATTCTTCGCTATTTTAATGGAGAGAACAGAGTTACTAATATTAGGGGTGATTACTAGTTACTAGTGTGAGATTTTGATTAATCTCTAATGGTATTAAAAATTCTATTCAACTCTTGATTTCTGATTTTTTCTCTAAACATTTCTCTTTTGCTCTATATAAGTTCAGAGTTTGTATGTTATTTATCTTGGATAGATTATTCATCGGTTGGTTTTGATATTTTAATCATAAGTAAATTTTCATTAAAATATAATACAATTATTAAAGTTTAGAACAAATATATTAAAATCGATTAAAGTTAAGTTATTAATAAAATATACAATTATAAATACAATTATTAAAGTATAAAACTAATATAATAAAAATAAATAAATATAATCAATTACAGTTAAGACTTCATGAAATCAAAAATTTTAATTACAATAATTAAAGTTTGGAACTTATATATAAGCTGATCTTATCAGCAAATATAATTAATATTACTCCAATATATTTTAATTAATTAAAAGTATTAAATTTTATGCTAGAATATTTCAAATATATTGAATCAATATAATGCAACTATTTTATTGACTCATCATAAAATATACATTGGTGAAAAGAAAAATTATCTTTCTCCGGTGAAAAACAATTTTTCTTTTAGATACATATGTATTGATTTAATCATTGGAGAAAAAAAAAAATTTCTTTTTCACGATGAAAAGATAATTTTTCTTTTCACCAATGTATATTTTATGTTGAGTCAATAAAATAGTTGCATTATATTGATTCAATATATGAAATATCCTAGCATAAAATTGAATACTTTTAATTAATTAATCTATATTGGAGTAATATTAATTATATTTTGCCTATAAGATCTGTTACACTCTTCATTTGGTCAATCTTCTTCGTCTGCTAGATATACAGCACCATAATTATCAAGGTTTCTTTACTTATGAAGGACAAACAAATTATTGATACAATAATAATTCATTCCAATCTTTGACCTTTAGAAATTATTTAATATATTTATTTATGCATAAGCAATGATATTTAAAACNTTGATTAATCTCTAATGGTATTAAAAATTCTATTCAACTCTTGATTTCTGATTTTTTCTCTAAACATTTCTCTTTTGCTCTATATAAGTTCAGAGTTTGTATGTTATTTATCTTGGATAGATTATTCATCGGTTGGTTTTGATATTTTAATCATAAGTAAATTTTCATTAAAATATAATACAATTATTAAAGTTTAGAACAAATATATTAAAATCGATTAAAGTTAAGTTATTAATAAAATATACAATTATAAATACAATTATTAAAGTATAAAACTAATATAATAAAAATAAATAAATATAATCAATTACAGTTAAGACTTCATGAAATCAAAAATTTTAATTACAATAATTAAAGTTTGGAACTTATATATAAGCTGATCTTATCAGCAAATATAATTAATATTACTCCAATATATTTTAATTAATTAAAAGTATTAAATTTTATGCTAGAATATTTCAAATATATTGAATCAATATAATGCAACTATTTTATTGACTCATCATAAAATATACATTGGTGAAAAGAAAAATTATCTTTCTCCGGTGAAAAACAATTTTTCTTTTAGATACATATGTATTGATTTAATCATTGGAGAAAAAAAAAAATTTCTTTTTCA